TAAATAACCAATTACAATAAATGTTGAATAATCTATTTAATAAATTATTTATTTAACACCAGAGACTGTTTACTTGGTCCTACAATTTATTTATTTCAGTGTGAAAAAAAAATTTATATAAAAAATATTTCATTTGATCATTAACATCAAAATTTCAAATATGATAGTCGCAATGAAATATTGCTTCGAAGTTCGGAATATTTTATTAAAATCATTTTATTTAATCAAATGAATAAAATGTCATTTGTTTTCATACTTGTCGTAGCATTAAAACAAATAAAAAAATGTGTTTTTGATAACAATATTATTGGACCAAATTAAATATTATCTTAAGAATACTCTAAGCTTCTTTTGTTGATTAAATAAAAAATTCTTTTATTTAACGAAATTTATTTCTCAGTGTAAGAGAAAGATAGGCAAAAGTGAAACAATAAAAAAAAAGTACTAATTTATGAAAATAAGTTTAAAAACGTTTATTGCACTTTTTGTTTATCAATTTTCCATTTCATTAATGCATTAAAAATAATTAACATTTGTTAATAAAATGCTTAATTTGTTGATTGAAATTTTTTTGTGGTGTTCCACTTCACCCCCTCTTCCCCTACTTACTCTCTTAAAAAAGAATTCATTGATTCAATTTAAAAAAACAGATAAAAATATCTATATTAATATTGAAGTTCAATTTTGAAGTTGAAATGAAAAAATTTAAATAAAACTAAACTTTTAGCTTTTTTTATTTATTCTATAAATTAAAAACATAATAATAATGATAATATATTTATATTCATATAGCTTGCTGCAACTAAATACTAATTGAAGTCAAAACTTTTACTAATTCTCATTGGTGTAATTGTAATCAGTAAATATCTGCTAATGGTCTGCCAATATTAGTTTTTCAGGAATAATTAAATTCACTTTTAGGATCATCTCTGAATCTGATTTCTTCAATTTCGAAGCTTTTTTTACAGAAAAAAATTAACTAAAAAAAAAAAATTTTTTTTCTGAATAACATTTAAATACTATTAAATGGTTTCAAGAAGAGAAAACAATTATTGGATTCAACCACTAATTTATAACCTGACCTAGCGAAAAAAATTCTATAAAATATACTGATATGCATGCAAAAGTAAATATCATTAGTCAGGCAGTAGTTTTTCAGGATTAAATCTGTCATATTTCACAGGTAATACATGTGGGGTAAAGAGTAAATAACGGAATATTAGGGAAAATAGTCTTAGTTGTAAATAAAACGACATACAATAATATATCTAAGTAAGTGTGTACGCATTGTGGGGATATATATGTAAAAAGAATCGAGATCTAAACGCCGCCCCTATATTTCAGTCCCTTTCATATAGGGTGCGGCTTTTGAGTTTGGGAGGTCGTCACGCCTATCAGCTTTGTCGTTACCGATACATCTGTCGAATCCGCTGATTTCTCATCTTCGGATACTTTTCATCATTATTACTTGGTTTAATCATTGAACATGAAAGAGCAGATCCATTTCTGTCGCTCAAATCATCTCAATAAAGGCTTTCAATGTCAAATACTATTCATCATGAGCTCAATGAACTGATAAAATCAAAATTAATAAAATTTTAGTGCTTGTAAATACCAATAAAGCTGACTTTAACAACAATTTCTTTTACTATTTATGAGGCAGTTAAAGGACAGAAGCAACCCAAAATTATTAGTGAGAACAAATTGCTAACATTGAATTATGGTTGATAATAAATTTTATTTTATTCATTCGATTTCAGAATGAAAATTTGACGGTAATAGTTGTGATAGTTATCATCATCCTAGTTATTAGAGTCCAATTATATAACAGCTAAGCATTTTTTCGGTGGATAAAAAGGCTAAAGGTCTTTAAGATATTTTTTAGGCATTCCATTGATAATCAGAACTGATGAAATGATTCAATAGTAGGTTTTCAATTCAAGGTTTTGTATAATTTTAAGCTTCTAACCAGGGAATTGAAAGTAGAAGCAGTTCATCATTGATGGTTAGAAGGTAAAAATTTATTGATAAATTACATGCACTTAATCTGGATTATAAAAAATTATTATTAAATTTTTTAACTAATATAGCATCATTATTTATTATAATCTTTAATTTTAGAAAGCTGGTGATGTATATTTAACATCAATAGCTGCATCACCTAGATCATTTATGTAATATAATATTCAAAGACTTCTAAGAAACATGAAGAATTCAACCAACTACAATATTTACCCATAATACCCATAAACTTCTTTTGCTGTTTTCCAAAAATCCTACAAGTGTTTTTGGTTAAGTACTCTAATGATTACATGTGGCTACTGGACCTCCCAACAAAAAGCTTTCTTCGAAAAATTGGAGTATAAATTTGTAGTTGTGACAAGGGGAAATTTTTTAGTGATGTTTAAATCGCCATCTTGATGGTCTCCAAGGAAAATCGAAGAACGATCGATGGGCGCGTGACTCTCAAGTTGTAAAAGAGTATCAGAAGTAAGACCCCACATATCGGATGGTCTTTTTCTATGATTTGCCATTCATTGATCTCCGCCCCTTACCATCCCCTAGTACTTCACTCGTTTCTGATGGCTTCTGAGCGGCTTTCTTTGAAATGTATGCTTCTTACTTCATCACCCCCATGTTATACTAAACCAATCCCTAAAGAAATCATAGCTTCTTTGACTCAATCTGTTCTCCCACAACTTTAAAACACTATTTAATTCTTTTTCTCTCTTTATCTTGCTGCACTTGGGCTTTTCTGGTGCATCCACTTGCAGAATGAGATGCGGTAGGTATGAGAGTTCTATATAAAGTATAACAAAACACTGAAAAAAAGATAAAAGAAAGCCTTTGTATCCAAAAGTTTGGGCTTTCAACAGTTGAGTGAAGGAACTGGATGATAAATCATGCAGTTTGGAGAATAGCATGATCGATTGATATTTAATTTCAATTCTCACATTAAAGAAAGAACAATGTAAAATAGGCTGATTTTTCTCTATAGATGAAAGGTGAATATTGTACCCAATAGTTTGTTGCTTAGGCCCTTGGGTAACAAAAAAATGATTTCATTCTATTGATCAGTTGATGGGAACATTATTTGTTAGAAAGGTCTGGGAGGTAGGTTTAGATCTTATTTTCGCATGATACTCATGGTTTTGACTTTTCTCTGAGTGTTGGATCTTTTATTTACTTTCATAAATCCAAGAAATTTAAACTGAATATTTCAATCTTTATATCAAAATTGTAAGATTTTTCAATAATATTCCTGATTATATCATCAACTTTAACTTCTGAATGTCTAAGCATTGATAGATTTCATATTTTATAGATGAAGAAGTTTAAATTCTTATTGATTTCTTAACCTGAGATGATGACTATTTTGAAGAATTTTCATTAAAATCAATTTTTTTCATTTAATTTAAAATCAAAAAAAAATATTAACAGATGTAAATGCATATATTTTTGTACATTTTGACGCACGTCATGAGTCTAAATGCATTCTGTACATAAAAAAAGATATCACTTTAGAAAATATTAGAAATTGAAATAAATAAATAGATTTGATTTACAAAAAAAATCAATTATTAATTTAAACTGTTGATTGTTCCAATCACTATATTTTTCCATCAATATCATCTCAAAAATATATTTTATTTATTGTGATTTAGGAAAAAATTAACTTATTGATAATGGTTGTTTGAATCAAAAACTTTTCATTCAAACCTATTTTTAATTTAAATTTCTCATAGGAGTGAAGACTTTCAATCAAAAATTGTGTAACTTCCATTACAGAACTCTCACCAATTCCCATCATTTTATTGCAATATCATTTTTCTATTGCACCAAAGATCCAAAAAGCCGATTATTTCGACACTCTATTCATTTTTTCTCAAAAATCGTTCACCATTCTACCACAAATCGGTTACTTTTGAGCATTGTTCTTGACCACGTTTCAACTTATTGATCTCTCCTGTTCTAATTTCTCTGAATCATGAAGTCAGAACTAGAAAATATTTGATGATTGCCGATCGGTTGTTCATTTAATGCTTTGTTACAGTTATTATATATCAGAAGACGCGAAATCGGTGTTGATCAGTAGTGGTTTTCTGGTTATAACGGTAGTCGATTTAAAAAGTTGAAAGACAAACGTGACTTGCCGACTTTTGTGTCGAAAAAGAAGTCAGAGTTTGAGAATAAGGAAGCATGATGATGGAGAGATAGAAGGTGGAAAATAGAAGAGAGAAGAGAAGCCGCTCGACCACCTACTTTGGATACACAATAGAGCATAAATGCGTGGCGACAGGAGCGGCAGATATACGGCAGGCTGATTGCTCGTTGTCGTCCCAAGCACGAATGAAAATTTGGGTTGTTCTTCTTTTATCAAAATACCAAACTAGCGGGGTGGATCATTGTTATGTTCTTCAAAAAAAAAAAAATGCTCAATTTTTCTTTCACAAAAAACTCACGGAGATTTATTTTTACAAAGAAATGGAATAAATAAAAGGAAACATAAAATAAAATTGCTGAATAAATAAACAATAATAAGAAGACTATGAAACTCAAAGATGAAGCTGATTCTAAAAAAAACAATTATACTCTCACTTATTGATAATAATTTTTAAAAAGGATCAAATATTTTATCAAAACAACTGGTTTTCTTTTAGTAATTAATCATTTATTATAACGATTAATGTATATTAAAGATAAAATACATTAATTAAAAAAGATAGAAGAAAAATATTTACAAACAATATTTATAACTGGCCAATTAAATAGACAGATTAGTGAAATCACATTAATAATCATGGATTAGCTAATACTAAAATTCTTTCATATTGTTTCATTATAGTGTTTTTATATTTACATTTAACCCATCATTTTTTCTTTTTCATTATTTACATATTTATGCTCTAATTCATTATATTTAAACTTATCGAAAAACAATTTTTACAATATTCATTGCATCTTAATTACACAATTTTGTTTTAAATTTAGATCTTCAGCTAATTATTAATAATAATAGTCTTATTGTTTACTCAAGTAATATGCAAAATGTAAATACAAGGCACTGTTTTACTTGGTCATTATTTAAATTTTCTCATGGTAGCTACGAGTCTCATAAATAATTATTATTTAATTTTACTTAAATCACTGGGTAAGTTTGTCCACTTTGCTAGACAAATATTCATTGTCTAATTCATTAAACTAATATTATTATCAACAATATAACAATTATAATTCTAGATTAAGTATTAACATCAGTATAAGGCATTCTTCATTTAGTGAACTCGTCCACACACTTGGGAATCAATTGATCCCAGGTATGGGTATCCACTCTTAGCTTCACTTGGACTGTGTGGGGTCACATGGTGATGACCCATTCCTGCTGATGGAGATGCACCTTGGACCATGCAGGCACTCATGTTGGAACCTGTTGGACTCACGCTGCCACCTAAGCCTCCCAAATTCAGGTTGGTTGGTGATAAATTGGATGAGAGGTTGGAACTTGCGTAGTGAGGACTGTTGAAAAGTCTTTAACAATAAGAAAAAATTGAAAATAAATAACTGTGGACTCTGAAAATTTTTTTTTGGTGATTGATGGAATTCATTTGTAACTAATGGGAGGTAATATTGAATATAATACAATCTATTAATTATTGAATAAAATTTTTACAGCTTTATTCAATTTTAAAATTAAGCTTGGTATGAAAAATATTGATTAAAATGTTAATCTAATTTAGTCTGAATACTTACATTATTTATTATTATTTTTCTTAGAAATGTATGCTTCTTAATTATTAAATTTACTGCTCAATTAGTTATTTTGATTGCTTTTAACAGCAGTTTTACTGTCAATTTACCATTTTTTAAATTAAGTTTTATGACCACTTGATTTGTTTAAAACATAAAGCTTTTAATATGATTTGATTTAATTCAATTAATATAAAATTATGAGATTCAATGATTTATTATTGTTTAAATAAACAAGATTCTTTCTCCGCTGAGATTATTCACATAGAAAAATTAAATTTTGAAAAATAATAGGAAAAAGAAACCATAGAAAAACTTATTTTGCATATTTCTGTGAATTACTACCTAATTTCATTAACAGACTGATAATTATCCAGAAAATAATTTTTTATCAAAGAAACTATCACAAAAACATTGAGAAAGCAAATGAAATAAATAATTGATGTTACAGGTACATCAAAGATGAATGTTATAAAGGCATCAAAAAGGTGAGAGATGGATGAATCGAAAGGCAAACCTAAAGTTAAACCTGACCAAGTTGATTATCAGCCGGTAGCGTTTCATTATGAAGCCTCTAACGTAATTGCAGACCACACCGAGTAGAAGAATTTCTCGACCACCGTGTGGTGTATGGAAACATCAAGCAGACAGTTGGCTCATCGAAATTCTTTTAATCATATCATTTATACACAGGTGTGTACACAAAAATCGTTAATAAATAAACCTTATAATTCCAACTAAATATATGTTTATAACATAAATAAATTTTTCATATTGTTAAAAATAATTTGCTATTTTTTTAAAGCAATCAAATAATAAAATATTTTATTATTTTTCCATAAAAATTATAAACCAAGCATTTAATAATATGTTTTTTGTAAAATTACAGACTGATGAAAATTCTTCAGAAAGTAAAATCTGATGCAGACTACTGTGATTGAATTGATGATGATAATCAGGATGATGATGATTAATATGGGGTAGTTAATAAATTTAAGATGGAAAGCATCAACTTACCCATAGTTTTCGGATGTTGCTCGAGGCCACTGTTGCTGAGTGCTATAGTAGTTCTCCCCATAATTGTAGTGCTGAGGATATCCCGCTGTGGTGGCTGCAGCCGCAGCTACTGATGCCTGGCCGTAGCTTTGGTAGCTGTCGGCACTGCTGGGATAGTGTTGAGTTGGGAAAGATTGAAGGCTCATCGTATTGAATGCATTCAATTGTTGACTGTTGAGCTGTTTACGTAGCCGAGCACGTCTGTTACTGAACCACACTTGTACTCTAGCTTCTGTGAGTTTTGTTCTGGAAAAAAAGAATTTTTTTCATCAGCATTATTATAGAATTAAATTGCTAATGATTTTCTCAGTTCATTAAGTTTTTTTTTTTATTTTCGAATTTCCTGTTAATTTGTCTTATGTTTCTCTACATGCATGTCTGTGTAGATATAGATGTCATGTATTACTATTGGAAAGTTGAAAATTATAAATATTTTTTTTTTAGCTCATAAATTAAAGTTGTAACTTGTAAATCAGAATTATAGTTTATAAATCAAAATGGTTTACTTATTAAATTATCGTTAGTTATTTATTATTAAATTATCGCTCTTGACTATAAATCATAAATATTAACTTTGGTAATAATGTTTTCAAACTTTCTGACAGTAGTATACACCAGTATACATGTGGAGAAAATACTTTAGTTCTAATTAAAACACATTTAATCCTTTCTTTCATTAATCATTGATAAAAAAAGTGATTACTCCAATAAATATGTTATTTTTTAAAAATATTTTCTCCAACAAATTGATCTGAACCTTTAGTTTTTGGAGTAATTACAGGACTTTCTCTTCTATTTAAAAACCAAATATATCAACTTATATAAAAATTTTAATAAATTCTGAAAGGCTTACTTTTGAGCAAGTTCTTCTCTGGTATAGACATCAGGATACTGAGTTCTGAGAAAAGCAGCTTCAAGTTGTTCCAGCTGTTCTCCAGTAAAAGTAGTTCTACTTCGTCTCTGCTTCCTTTTCAAGGCAATTCCAGGCTCACTTTCGGTCTCAGAGTCATCACCACTGCTACCACCTGTGTCAGAAATGCGGAAGAAATTTGTTAAATATGCTTGAAAGCAAAAAACCATGTGAATAAAAAATAATAAGTTTAAAAGAAAAAGAAAACTAATATGGATGGTATGTGGAGATTTATAAATTGTATAAAGCGATTTACCTCGACCAGGAACATCTGTCGTCCGAAGTGAAAAGTAAATCGTAAAATGTATGTAATTCTACGGTTCGTTAGTTGATTGAAGAGGGATGGAAAATGGTGGCTAATGACGCTACAAGAGCTAGAGGTACTAGAGAGTTGAGAGACGAAAGAAAACATTCTTTGCTCACGCAATCGACGAGTGAACAAGCTGAAGAAGGAAAAGAGAGAGGAAATAACGTTGAGAGTGGAATTTCAGTTCCAGCACGTGCTAGACGTCAGATACTGAAGATAGGAAGCGAATTGTTCCCGCCCACAGTTCACACGCCCGAGTCTGCAACCCACCATTAAATCCTTCGTGATTACAGCCGTTCGCTTGGCTAACCTATACTAAACTAAAACACCAGAGAAATTAGGGTTCGTGCGCCAACAGGAATTAAGTTCTTTGACATGTAGGTTCCGTGACTCTTTCATCTATACCCTGCCAACTCCACTATGCTCTAGTGCAAAAATCTTAATTCGACATTTTGCTATCGATAATCTCGAGCTGAAGACATAAACTACAACCAGTCATTCTCCAACCAAGAACACCTCAGGTTTAATGTGGATAGATTTTTATGGAACTGGAGAATGCTAGGTTTATTCAATGCATACTCATTAACTGATAAGACTAGATTTTTTCTTAAAGAAGTTGATAAGCTTAATAATCTACATGTGATATGTAAATGCTGGATGATTAGTTATATTTTCTCACTCTTGATTATTAAAATTAAAAATATGCTTGAACACTGCTCTAATTCATCGCTTTTATCCGCTCAATATCGAATTCAAATGAAAAAAAACTGCATATAATTTTATTTGCATAAATTAATGAGTTAATAAATTAAAGAAAAATATCTCCATGCTTATTGGAAAATGATTTACAATATTTCTCCAACTTATTTCTACTACAAGGCAATTACTTTCCATTTAAAAAATACTAAATTTTTCATTCTCAATTAAATAATGGTTCAACATAAAATGAATGTACACAAGCTTTATAATTACTCCAAGTTCACTTCTCCACATGACTAGAATAATAAAGAAGCTATGATAAAAACATACCAGTACATGATTTAGAGTAAAAGTTGGCCAATAAGAATGTTGATCAACAGATATGTTGATTGCTAAATGAAGCGATCAGCGAGTATACAACTGAATCAATAGCAGGTTTTCTAAAGCCGCTAGGGCGCGAATAATAGTAAGAGTAACATCAAGAGAAAAGTGAGCAAGAGCATTTACTTGCAAAGCGGTAAGTAAGATTAAAGGCCATGCCAGAAGTCGTAAATCCTTAGCAACGCTTCGAGGGCATTGCGATTCTGTTGAAGCCTGACGATTTCCGCGACCCATCGACGCCATGAAATATTTTATTCTTTTAAAATATCACCACTTTGATGTATTGGATCATTAAATAAAGCCATTGGACCAAGTGGAGAAAATTCCATAAATATTTAACATTTTTTTCCTCTGCTGATTGAGCTAACAAATAGAGCTATTAGTGCTCGTTGCAAATATGTCAAGGAAATAGTGTGAAAATTGACTTTAATATCCGTGAATAAATTGTGCGGTTAGCGGTCCGTCGCTTACGGAACCAATCCCCCAAACAAGAACATGTCTAAATCAATAGCTGGTGTGTTTATAGGTAATGTTGCCACGAGCAGGATGCAGACTGTTAGCCAGCAGGGTTTGCTAAACAGGAACAAGGATGAAGCACGTCTTTCTTCATCACTCTCAAGTATAAGATTCACCGCAACTCTTCGGCGGCACTCCCCGAGATTAGAGGAGGCACGAATGCAAGGAGGAGCTGCAGCAGCTTCAAGGGACCACACGCCGCGGTTCAACTTCAAGATCTGCACCATGATTCCCTTTTGCTTTTTCTTTGACCTAATATAACTCTGTGTACTTTCCTTCTATCATTTACTTCTTGCTGATGATCCTATTCCCCCCTGATGACTTAATATAATTTAAGGTAAGAAAAAGGAATTATTGAAGATAAAAAATATTTCTTGTTTTTTGTCTGCTGCTGTTGTTGATGCTTATTTTAATGTCATATTTTGTTTTATTCGAGTGGAGTTCATAAAGATGGAGAGAATAGTTTTAATATACAGGCACTTCTTCGTGTTCGAAGAGACTCCTAATCAAATGTGAAACTCCCAGGCGAGAAGATAATAAACTCAAGACATTCGCGCGCACCACGGGGCGTCTAATATATTTCTTCGTAAAGAAGAAAGAGAATACTTGGCTGTTTCACCGGCGTCCTAATAAATATAACGCGGAATTCTCTTTAAGAATGCCGACTGAATTTTCTGCTAAGCCTTACGTTCTGTTATATCCTCCAAATTATTAGAAGGTAATTGAAGCCTCGAGCATTTAAAAAAAAAAAATTTTTTTCATCTTTCTTTTTTCAACTTACTCTCTCTTTTCTTCCTGTCATTAAAAATTTTTATACGCGTGCTTTTAGTATTAACGCACGTATGAAAGTACCAAGGTAATGTTTCCGGTGGTAGAATCATGTATATATGAGCCAGGAAAGGAGTTTTATGTTTTAGACAGATGTAAATACTCACCAAGGATACCGTCTATTGAATGATTACGTCGAAGATCATCTCCAGGACGAGTTTGATTTGGTCCTCGAAGTAGACGAGAGATGCTTGATACTGATGGTGCTGATGTTTTGTCACATACACCGTCCTGCTGGCAAAACCGCATTGGACCAGTTAGTATTTTAATTCAAAGTTAAGTTTAAATTAATTATTGAGTGTACAATCAAATAGAGATCAACTTCTTCTTTTGTTTACTTAAAATTCTAAAATTCATTATTTTTTGCTAACTAAAAATTGTTTGATTTTAAATTAAATATTGAACCTTCAGAAGTTAACATCAAAGTTTATTTATTTTTTCAAGAATTTTTTATCCATGCGTAAAATGATTTTAAAATAATAAGTTGTTTATCAGCAGACCTTTATTAATCTATCTCTGATCTCCCATGAAAAAATTCCAGGATTTTGTCTCTTAAGTTCTTCAATCCTTGTTTCAACTTCTGGCGTAGCAACTCTGGGCTTAGATCCACCAATGACACCTGGTCTGATAGATCCAGTTTCCTGATACCTATTAAGGATCTTAGACACACATCCATGTGAAACTCTAAGTTGTCTAGAGATCACACATGGTCTGACTCCATTAGCAGCCATCTCTACAATTTTCAATCTAGTATGATTCGGAAGAGGACGACCGTTGATAAAGACTCCACCCAGTTGGTTAACTCTTCCTTGTCCTGTGAAGCAAAAAAAGAAAAATATTTTCATTCAAATTCATTGGAAACATCAGCAGACTTTTAATAATAAGACACGCAAGGTGCCGCTGTGTTACTTCTAATTACAGGTAATGAGGCCTTTTAATTATCTTAATGATAATTACGAAGTTCAAACAAATATTATACGGCAGTGACGTGGTAAAGAAACCAAATGCAATGAGATGAGGACAGTCGGAATATTGCGTGCATAAGGCAAGTTTCAAGTACGAGGGATGGACTTGAAGAAAATCTTCTATCTACGTCTGACCAACGAATTACGACTGTATGGTTTTGCTTCAAGTAATAAAATTCCCTCTGGCTATTCCGGTTTTTTTCAACCTCCAAACGTTAAATATCGATTAAAATAAATGAAAAAAAACTATCAACATAGCTTCACTTACATCTTGCTAAATGTTTCCTCATTCCAAAATGGTAATGATGATGTTGATGATAAAAAAAAAGTATTATTGTTGAAAAATAATAAATTTCAAATTAAAGATAATGTAATAGGAAAAATTATTGTTACGAGACAGTAAATAATTCAGCTGTTAGCTGATAGAGTAGACAAAGTTATCACTCATAAGATTTTACGAGGCTACAGGTAATTGAATACGATAAAGAGCTATTGTTTATCCGAGTTCGACATGTTTTATGAACCTATCCACCGCGAAAAATCATGGTAAAGACTTTATTTCTATTTCTACTACTGCATATATTATTCAAGTAAATGTTTCACTTTTAAAGCTGGTTATAAAATGATGGTGCCAGTCTTGAATACCTTGACAACAATTGTTTATATTTTTTTAAGTTAAATAGGTCATTTGAACAATACTTTATAATCTAGATGATGATATCATCTCACCTAAAAGACTCAGAAAATCTCCAAGATATTTCTAAATGTAATAAATGCTATTGGATCCAGTCATGAGTATCAATTTATAAAGAGTGTCTGATGGCAATGATGATCATCAGCTTCTGTCTTAGATTAGTATCGATATTCTAAATAATCAACTTTATCATCTTCAGTAGTGTAGAAGTTAAATTAGCTAATTATTTCTAGAGTTTTAAATGGAAAAAATGCTAGTCACCTTATTGACCAATTTTATGTAAACACGTTCATTGATGGTGTGATCATGTGATTCCTCATCATCAGAGAAATTTCTACACGGAAAAAGACTGTTGAGAAGACATGACTTTTTTTCAAGTTACATCAACTCTATAGTCAATTACTTTGGAATTGGTGTAACTTTTACTACTGATGTTATCCATATATCGTTAGTTCTACAAATTTATTATCCGTGAAGACACCATTTTTTGCCATAATCATCAAGCTAACCAATATTTTATATAAAATTGATACAAAAATCATCACATTAAATCACTATTTCCACATACTTTCTTAATATTACATCTGTCTAGCCATTTTACAGCTTTTTTTATTGTAGCTCTTGATATATTACAAAGAAAAACAGTAATTTCAAATTTATTTAAGCCGAATAAAAATTGGTTTTGATCAATTTAATGATTTTTATTGAAAGCAAAGTAATAATCTTGAAGAAAAAATCATTAAAACACATTGAAAGATAAATCCCTATGTTTATGAAAAATTGAAAGGCTTCGATATAAACAATATTTGTATCCAAAATATACCCCACAACATCCCCCAAATAAAAAATGATTTACCATAAATGTAAGCGCGTGTTGGTAATTTTGCAAAGTTCCTGACTTGAACCACATTTATCTATACTCCAAGTGTGTATATACTACACATACACACACTTGCGATTGAGCAGAACGGACACCTCAGGTATGACGTCAGTGAGGCCGCGGGGCCCGCCGGGATTACAGGCAAGATCAAAAGGAGCCGACTGACGCTGAGAGAGCGCAGACTCGGACGCACGCGGACCCTAAAGCGGGTCCAAAGCCTGCTACGTGTAACCTCACGGCGAGGACGACAACGCCCAAGCTATTTCGATCCGGATTTCCCTCTACTAGTGAACACCAAGTTTATTCCCATGTTTATACTATGTTCGATAATGGAAAAAGAGAGGTTAGATTATCCACGAGAGACAAACGAGCACGTTAAGAAGCCAATCATTTCCTTCAACTTGACTACAAAGCATTCATCAAACTTTAATTGTCATCATTCATACACAAGACAATAATCATTATACGGACATTAAATGCTTGATGTTTATAGCATGAAAATTAAGATGCAATCAATTCAAACGTCATCGCTTTTGATCTTTAATAAGTTTTAGTCCAAGCAGCTCACAGTTATATAATTGAGTTGATCTTTCAGTTGTAACTCACATTAGTATGTTGGATTTAATTATTTGAGTGTTTTATTGACGTTATTATGATGATTATTCTAATTTCGCTGAGGACCCATGGACTTTTTTTAGGTAAGAATATTTTTAACTCACGCGTACTACGCACGATATAATTACGGGTTGTTTCGGCGTTAAATTACATAGCCGGAGAATTTACAAGCCTTCGATATTTCAGGGCCACTCATATACTCTCGCTTCCTTCCGCAATTAGGTTAAACTTGGTGTGAGTACTCAACTCTTTTGCTTTATCGTGAAAAGAGTATTATATGGATATACATGTATGTATATGAAGAACGAGAGAGAGAAGAGGATCATGGACCACCCTGGAACCCGCGATTCAAGGTGCATTATAAAGAGTATGCGCGAGAAATAATTTGGAGCATGAATTATTGATTATAGGCAATTGATTTCCAGCGATCATGGTAATGCTTGTGATCGTGAAAAGAATGAAGATATACGTGCAGAGCCAACTTATATTACCGGAAAAATAAAATTCATTTTTTTAGTATAATAACATTGGAGTCGCTTAAAAAACCGTAAACAACTAATTAAAGAATTTAAAAAATATTCCAGTATTTTTCTTGCATAATTTATTCAAATTACAATGGTTATTAATTCTGAAATATTTTATTTGTAAAAAAAAAGGCTTATTTTGCGTTCATTATTGTAAAAGATCATCTTATAGGATCATGATAAACATATTGATGAATTGATCACTAGAAAGTTATCAAGCATTCACTAATACAAAACTTCAACAAACGGTAAACTTAATCATTTTGGACCATGCTTATATCTTCACCAATGATTTTATAATAATATCTTTCAGAAACATTATCTTTTATTATTTATCTAGATTCATTATATTGTGATTAAAATAACATTGGCCATGATGACCATAAGGTGAACCTTTAGTTCAAAATATTTCACTGTTAATGAACTTTTTTAGCAATAATTTATCACTGACTAGTGTTTTGTCATTAATTATTATCAATACTCATTCATTAATTTGCCGCAAAATTGATTAAAGTAAGCTTCCTCTATTTTTTCTAATTGCTTCAGGCAACAAAAAATTGGATTTGATATCTCCAATCGTCTATAGCGCAACATCAAAAAGTAAATCAATTATTCAATTTTAATTATCATGTTCGTCATCACCAAATAGTCATTCAAAAAAAAAAAAAGTAAACCAGCAAGCTAAATTATTTTTTTTGACTATCATTACGATATTTTAATTACTTAATTGTTTTAAAGTAAATGTAATGAGAAAAAAAGGTTGGATTAAGATTGACAAGAGTGTAAATTAATTAAGAAAAGCGTATAATGAAAGCACTTAGTAAAACAATTGTGGATTTGCTATAAAGACTTGTATTTTGCAGAGAAGGGTATGGTAGTCTGTGGTTGGAGTATCTATCAAAACTATCAGGAAGATAAGAGAGATAGTATATATAGAAGACAATTGAGCATGCGGGGATGCATGTACTTAGAGATCAGTGTGAGTTTCAAGTTATATACAAGGGCTTCAATCAACGTGCCGTCGCCGCAGGCCGATCCGATATCAGACATTACGTACCCACGTCTGAACATGCCGTTCCACCGCCCACCGTGGTATGATGCTGACTCTTGCTGCTAAAACCTACCTGATGCGCATAACTCTAGTCCTTCTTGAATAATATCCGTTCTGCTTCTATTCTTATTATGAATTCATCCTAATATTCTATTATTTTCTCTCCTTTATTTTTCCCTTCTCATTCCAAAATATTTCATCAACAAACCGCAACTATTTTACAAAAATTTCTTTCAAAATTTTTGGAGCTTAACAAAGGCTTGACTTGTTTCTTTTCACGTTAATTTGATGATTCGTGTGTTAATAAGTTGAGCAATGATTTATATAAAGACGAAATCAAGTGGATTCTTTATTGACTGACATTATTGCTTTATGATCACCGTGAGCATGAAAGAAATGGACTTTTTGATGAGTATCAAGAAAAGGATGTCAAAGGTGTTGGTGGAACAGCTGTTACCGACGGTAGGCCTCATTTAATTCAGATTATTTCATTATAAATATTACATTTGTGAGATTTATTGTATATTAAAATAATTATGAAATCAGTAAATAGTTTTTAATACTTGAACAGTGATCGATTTATTAACCATCACAATTCAAGAAAAAATTTTTACTGATTTTGAAATTAGCAAAAGTTTGAAATTAAAATATAAACAACATAATACTATCATCATGAATATTTTTTTTAAAAAATTCTTTTTAATTTCAGAGTTAAGTGATCAACTCAGCAGATAAACTTGCTTCGAAACTGGAGTTTATCCAAGTTAAAAAAAATATTTCTTAAAAAGTTGAATTTCAACAAAAGATAATAAAAAAAAATGAAAAAAAAATTTTTATAGTATATAATAAACTAAATTTATTTTCAAATTTTGACAGTCTGTCAAATGATTTACTGATTAGAATAAAAAAGGAATTTTTGAAAGAATTTACTGATTAAAACGAAATATTAAAATACCTTGGAAAGGATATCCACCAGTGGTGAAGTATGTCGCCATGTTGAGGGTGCTGACAGCCATTTAGATAAAGTCTAATTAAAATCAATCACTCTGATTCTCAACACGAGTATTCAATTAGAAAACTAGTCCTCAATCGGTAAGTAAATAGTCAAAATATAAACCCGATCACACAAATTCAATTTTAAATTGCACTGATCTAAATTGCAAGTAGCTAAGACACAACAAGAGTTAAAGTTTAAAAAAAAATGTCGCAGAGTCTCGAAGGAACTGAAACTAGTCTAGAGATGAGTGACAAGCGACCTGTTAAGCTTGGAATCTCAACTCCAACTGGATCCAAAAGTGGGATCTCGACCAGTAATCTCTTTTGCTTGAATCGTGACCAAAGAGAGACCACCCGGTAAAAAGGTAGGCAGCCGAGGCGTCGTGAAAGGAGAGACTCCGCCTCTACTCGCTGAAGGAAAGCAAAGAAGAAAGAAGCCGCGGTGAAGTAAAGCTAAGAAGACCACGCGATCATCATCTGTGTATTAGTAACATACAGTTCTACCATCGCCTTCTAAAATACTACAAGAGGTGGTCTTTCATTTCAAGCTCCGCCCGAGACGTTTCCACCTACACCCACGCGATCTGATTCTTTTTTAAAGCCACTTGTAGATATTTATCATTTTCGTACAATTTTAAATTTTAAATGCAATGTTTAAAGGGAGTGCTATTATTTCCCTGATGGTTTGATGACCTCATTCGTTATTGCAATACATAATGCACATATGTGTAACACTTATTGTTCGACTTGGGGTCTTTTTGAACTTCCTAGAGGAAAATAGCTAGCTTTGGAATACTGTCTTTATTTTCGAACCGTTAGAATTCTAACTCTAAACATCCAATCATAATTTTTTGTGGTAGAAAAGTAGTATAGATTTATTGAACCATGAAACTTGACTAGTAATAATCATAAAAACTCTGTTTCTCAATGTTGAATCATTTTAAAGATCAAAGTATTTTAATTCAAAAATGTGGTTTAAACTCTTTGAAAAATATTATTGACTCCAATTGATTCTATAATCAATTTAAAAATTTATAAAAAGAAATATTGTTTAAGAATAGAAGATAAAATATATGAAAATTAGAATTAAAATTTAGTTTATTTAATTAATAAGTCAAGTAAAAATTTTAAAAGTATGATATTTTATCTTCCTTCGACTGCATGGATCCAAATATCCTAAAGCATCATAAGAATATATGATGATAAATATGAAAAAAAAATATAATTTTTATTGCAATATGTTGACTCATACAAAATTACATGTTTGAGATTTATATTTTTTGTTCTTACATCATATCTATCTTGAAAATATTTTAAATCAAAACTGTTTTTTTCAATATCGACACAACAATGTTGATGTTAAATGTTAAAACTTCGATAAACTGTTAGACAAAAGAATTATTTTGTTTTTATAGTTCAATGAACTTATTTATTTTTAATAATGAAATATTAATAGCACATGATTAATTAAAAGAATTACTTCATCATGTTGTAATTTGTTGCAAATGTAGGTTAATTATGAATGTCTGATAAACATCAAAGCACAAATAAAATTGTTAAACATTCCATTTAAAAAATAGTCTGTAAAATTTAATATAATTTATATCACGAATACGAAAAAAATATTCGTCTACAAAAACTTGAATATAAACAGATAAAAAATATCATTTTGTTGCAATGAAATATTTTTTTTGTTCAAGTTTGTCAAATACGGGTAATAACACATATATTTATAAAGATTAATATTATTACAAATTTGTTTGACTCCATATAATTTTCTCAATTCAGTTTTGGATAATTGCTTTTAACATTTGACCCACAGGTTCAAGGAATGACCATTTGCATAAGATCAATGGGGAAAGTAATGAGATTATACGGTATACGGTGTCATTATTTACTTCAGAGTGTACTAATTCTTAAATGACTCAAATGAACATTTATTATAAAGCAGATAAATACTCTTGTTCACTTTATTATTAAAATACTATGTGAAATTTAGCAGATATTTATAACAGTATTGCAATTAAAAATTTATATTTAATTACTTACAAAAATTTTTGTAGTCTCAAGAAGATGATTTCTTATCCATTTCGTTATTTCATCCTCATATTTCTCACAAAACAGCATGTGATATCATTCAGGAATATTTTTATCTGAAAAAGAGAAAATTCTTTTAATAATGTAGTATCAATAGTATTTAAAATTAATTTTTAAAAAATTGGTTATAAAACAATTATCGTTATAGAAAAGTATTTGAAGTTTTATTACAAAGTAAAAAGTAAAAAAAAGGAATTTCATTCCTGACTTTTTCTTAAAACTTGAAAGTTACAAAGCAATAAAATCCAGATTGTCACTTTGAAATAGAAAAAGCAAACTGGCAAGCTGCATTTTGGAGTAAAATTTATGACGTGGGTACCTCTGGTACATGGCCAACACCAAGAACAGCAACCAACGCCAAGTTGCTGATCAGTTACGGTGGTCAAAGCGACTTGCACTCCTCGTCATTATGGCATAATGCATATCTTAATGATTACGAAACGGAACACTGACACCGAAAGCGGATGCGAGAAATCTGGTGAGGTTCAACTGGTGAAATAAAGAGAACATATATAGAAGAAGACAGAATTATTATAACTGACAACATCTACAACGTCCGCGCCCGTCCCACGCTTCTGCAATCAGCCCCTCATAAACTACAATCACGACACGTGCCTCTATCACTTTTACTTGCATATCCATAAGTGTTTACATATTTAAACTTGACTACAGCTTGATCTATACCTACCGGAAATATTTTCTATTGTTTTTCTAGGTATCAATCATTTACTATTTTTGAATTATTTTTCTTTTACTGCAAATGGAAAGACATATTTTTTGATGACTGACGAATAGAGTTGGCTACAATATTTTTATCACTAAAATATATAAATTGTATTAATAATTTAGAGAACATTAGCTGACTTGATCTATGTGGTTAATAAATTTCATTAGTTAAGAATTCATTTAGACTATTGTTTAGACTACACAGCATTTAAATGTATAAAAATTTTTTTGTGTTATTATTATAAATTATTGAGTCAATATATCACAAAGTATTATACTTATTTTATCTTAAAATTTAAGCAGGTACAGAAAGATATTCCAGTTTAGAAATTAATTCAAATTAAATATTTCTAGTGACTCATCTAAAAATTACCAAATAAAAGAGTTTCTTATACTTGTTCTACACCCATAGTATCTTTAAAAAATATTTAAGGAATGTCAGAGCATTGACGATAGCTGCCCAACATTCAACTATCTCTATTCATCCTCTGTACACATATGAAATAAAATTAATCGTTTTACCAGGTGAATCACGCCCACAGCTTGGTTGACAATTTCCTAGACCACTTCCTTAGGGATTCAAACTGCAGGAGTGTAAACTCTAGGCTGGTATCGTCTTTAAACTGACTTGTCAAAATACATCAATGCATGAGTAATAGTCATCTGCACGAGCACAACGTAAAAGCACACAGTTTATTGTTATAATAACAACTCCATACTATTATTCTCATTCATTCTTAACTTTTTCTCTTCCTCTTTTATAAACCAGAAGTCAATGGAAACAATTAGGCATGTGGATTCTTCTGGGACGCCTCACTTGACACTTCTGGGACAAAACTTCCCTCCTACTCGATACTTGCAATTTTACTCACTGTTAATGCTTTCAATTGAACTTGACTTCTTCTTAGTTGTCCCTTGGGTATTTGGCCTACTAGCAAAGTGTTCAATGATAACTTGTGGTTCACAACAAATTCAAACCTTATTCTCTATTTCTCTCTTTCTTGTAATATCTCACTGGTGGTTTTAAATTTTGGGTTTCATACTTACACACTGGTGTCTAGCTATTAATCGATCTTCAGGGACTAACCGATAGATCATGTCAAACCAGCAGGAGCTATATTGGAATACCACCTATGTAACAGTTCGTACAAGTCCATTTAACTCAGAAAATTTGCTCTTGGGAGGCATCTAAAAATTGAAAAATTGAGATGTGAACTTGATTCTTGGCTGATGCATGATGGAAGTTGCTCTTGGGAGATTCTTTGGTGCTGTTTTCTGAGAAAATATATTAATATATTTTATGCTTTGTGATAGTAAGGAAGTAAATTGAAAAATGAATGAATATGGATACTTAACTAAACCAACAATTTGAAGAAAATAATAATAAAAATAATAAGAATCTGTGGACTATAGTCAATAAAATGATGATGTTAAATAATTTTCAATCATCTTATATTCTTTAAATACTCTCATTCCAGTTAACTCCAGGTTATTAGGCTCAAATATATTCAACATGAGTTCAACTTTTCAACTCAAGCTACTAACAGCTAAATAGTTATTTTCAAATGTCAAGTCCATCATTGATTTAATTAGTGTTAAATTGAACACTAAAGTAAGTAAGTAAATAGTCACTGATTTACAGTGATTTATTTCAAGATAGTAAGTATTCTTCTATTCTATGATCTATGTCTGGAGTAAATAACTTCAATTGAAACATAATCCATTGCCAAGATGTTTTTAGATAATAAATCGTCGTGATGTAGGGATCGATGCAAGTCTCGAATGATGCAGAGGTGATAGATGGGTCGCATGCCGATCGTAGCTGTTGGCAAGACCCATTAAAAAGTGCGTGGGTCCGACGAGTGGGTTCACATTTACACCTGAGTCTTTTTCTCAGGCGTGTGCGAGTCTCGAGCCGCCGAAGGCTTAGCTTTACTCCTTGGGGTCTTGAGTTGGCCCGCGGTTAATTGCTGGCATTTAATGAGCACTCTTTGACGCGCCGCAAACCGCTAGGGTAAGAGGTGAGTGCTTATAGTCGTAATGGTCAAGTGTTCTTGTGTTTTGGTATCAACTTTACGTGGAAGATAATAAAAATTTATATAATATCCTGGCATGATGATTTTTATATCAAAATAGATGACGAGAAGATCAAGAATATTGTAGAAGTTGACTTGTTCTAACAATCTTCAAAGAAACCATCACTCCTTGATTATCATCAAATAATTTCTGAAAAATAAAAAAGAATTAGTAAAGTCAAGAAATAATTAGTTCTTTTGTAAAGAATTATTTAAAAGATGAATGATTGGATTTGCTGTTGGCATTCAGGTAATTCTGTTATTTATTTATATAAACTTGGAAATGAATGGAGTAAATAAGGAAACTAGGATAAAGCAAAAGGTTTTGCTATACCCAACAAATCCGTGAGATTTATGATAATTAGATGTAATTAAATATAGCAGGTAACTCTTGTTTCACGACTCGTCAGTGGCAATTAAAGATGTTCACTTAGAAACGCGTGCATCGTAAAAGGACATTTAATCAAAAGAGGTACCTACTTATTTTGTTGATTCGTGAAATGCTCAAGATATACCGAGAAATTTTGCATGATACTGAATAGACCGACTTGTAATTATCTGGAAAAAGGTCAAGTGAAATTCAGGCTGATTAATTTCCTTTCGCAATAAGATTTATATTTTTTTTTGTATTAAAAAACTCATAAAAAATAAATTAATTTTCTAATAATCATTTATTTTATTTATTTGAAACTGCAAGGTCTTTTCTAGTTTAAATAATAATTGTCATGATCAGTTAGTAAAATTGTAGAGAAATAATTAAATAAAATGATATTGCTGTACATGACCTATCAAAAGCCTAATTTATAAAGGTAACTATAGAAAGAAAAGAGAATTCTAATCATAATAATTTATGTTTCAAAGATTAAAATTTCATTAATTTTATTGGGCTTTATGTTTCATTTGACAAGTCATTATTGTAAGAAACATATATGACTGTACCTGACATACGTCTCGGTGTGTTAAAAAATTCGTTCGACCTTCCAATTTGACACCCACAACTACCTTCGATCGATTCATTCATAACTATAGTGCATAGTATCCCGTCAAAATGTTCAGGGGCTGGACCACACGCAGGTATATAAAATGAAGGCATGGTTATGAATGTGAGAATGCAGAAGCTGAGTTAAAACTCATATGGAAGGATAATGCATAATAAACCAAACTTTACTATAAAGAAATGGTATTGGCCCCTTACTAACAATCAAGCTATTGACAATTGCGGTCAGTAAATCAAGATGACGGTACTTTTGTCGGTCAGCATCACGATGGCGGTGTGACTGTTAAGTCTTTGTGAGCCTCATGCCGACATTGTCGTATAAACGATTGAAGTAGGTTCGAACAACACATAACAAAGCAAATGACAAAGGGGAAATGAATTTCCAATGCAGATTCGACCCTATAATATGAAAAATAACCGTGACTTTTAGACTTTTTCGATTTTTCTTCTTTCATATAAATTGTGATTGGCATAATTGACTCTAATCAACTGTTCTGTGAATAAATAATCTTCACTAATTTTATCTATTATCATGTATTTATTTTCATCGCATTTATCTCTCAATGTTATACTCGATAATTTATTAGAGCATCACTTTTAGAAAAATAAAATTAATATTTCTACTATAATTAGACTATGATTCTTATTCCAAGTCATATCAAATGATATATACATTAACTTTTATAAAATCAATTACCTTGATTTCATTTTTAATATTCAATTCTGTAATTACAGTTATAAACTAATTACTTTCCGGATCAGCTCAACTAATGCCAGCCATCAACTGTTGATTGAACAGAAAGTCTGTTGAGAACGCTGTTATGGTCATGTTGGTAACAGAGAAACAGTTGGTAATAAAATTCACATTGAATTCTTCGCAGTCGGTAAAAAGACTTTCCTTTTATCATGGAAAAATTATCAGTCGGTTATTTATCACTTGATGCACACTGAAATTTTACTATACCAATTAGAATTCTCCCCACCTTTTTTCAAATGTATAGGTTGTTTAACAGCTGTATGAGGCCGTAAAGCGCCACCTAGGTGCTGGTGCCGTACAAATACATAGAATAGAACAGCTGTATGAATGTATACTTTGTGTAGTGTTTACTATTTTTTATTTTGGAATTGCAATTTGTAATATTTAAAATATTACATAAATTTGTTTTAAAGAAACTTATAACTTAGCGACATGCTTCCAAGTAAATGAAAGTATTCAAATTTTGTTAAATGAGAGTGTTTGTAATGTGAAAAAAATAAAATCAACAATTATGAAAGAACTGATATCCAACCAACAGCCAAGTGCATCGTTCTCTCATCATTCGAATAAAAATAACAGTAACTCAAGTACAAGTAACAACATGACAAATGGAAGTAGTCAACGAAGATATGCTGTCTTCAGTACAGAATGGGTTTCTGCTATTGGAGAAGAATTAGGGATGCATCCTCTGCAAGATTCACTGTTGAAAAAACTGGCTGAAGATGCTTCATATCGTTTAAGAGAAATTTTACACGTAAGTATTGTTTTTATGGGCATCTTGATGAGTTCATTAATGAAACTTAGAATAAATGGATCATCAAAATTTATTAAACATTACAGAAATGTGTAACGCGGTTGAATCACAGCCAAAGAAGAAAGTTGACATCTTATGACGTTAATGCAGTAATAACAAATCTATGTGATGCTGATCCTGTTTACGGAGCACCTGATCAAATGCCTACGTACAATACAGAAGCACAAGTATTCGTTCCTCATGAAGATTTCATAGATGTTAGTGCAAAAGCGGTTGATCCCATTAATCTTATACAACTAAGTGGGCCTTATATCAGTGAAACTGAAATGGTAGATCCAAAGTTGACTGAATTAAGGCACAATTATGCTAAAAAAGCTCTCAAAACTCTATTTAATGGATCTCAAAAAACATTTCAGGTATTTACAGTACTAAATTAATAATTCAATGGCAATTAAATTATTATTGAAATTTTTTAAGATAAAACGTAATCATAATTTCTAGGTTTTGTTGAACGATTGTGTAACTAATCCACATTTGGATGGTGAAGGAGTCATCGATACTCTAATTTCCATTGCCAGATCGACTGTGATATCAAATAATGCTCAATATACTAGAGTGACAATAAGAACTTGTCAACTTATAATCGCCATTGCTTCCAATAGCGAAGCTGTGTATCCTTATCACTTAAACTCGGTATTATGATAAACTTAAATTACTAATACTTTATATGAATTTTTATTTTATTATTGATAGATAATTATGGTTTTCAGGTGGAAAAGTTGACAGAATTATTATTAGAGTTATTATTAGGTCAAAGTTTCATTAATCCTCATGTAGAATCGTTATTCAGAACTTGTACGCTAAAACTGATGCTCAGGTGGCCTTCAGTAGCAGATAAATATGTTCCTATGTTAGAAAGTGTTCTCATGAAAGATGAGAAAGATATCTTTACAACAAATAAAAAACGGCTTACAGCAATGGAGCTACTTGGAGGAATTCAGCCGCTAACATTCTTCCAGAAAGAACCAGAATCTCCTCTTGCATTAAATAACATTTTGAAAAATGCGCTTCCTGGTACTGCTTTTTGGTATCAAATAGCTGTAAGTACTGATGTTATTTTAATAATTTATTCATTAACAATACAATGATATGATTGTCAATTCATTTCAGTTATCTGTAGCTGCTTTGGTAAAGTCAAATCAAAAGCAACCGAATCTTAATTTACTATTTGAACATTTTGGTGATTCGTTACTACCATATGTAAGATGTCCAGTTGAAGAAGATGAAAACAAAGTTGCTTCAGGTCCAATTTTGCTTCCAATTATTGTCAGAAGTAAAATAAGGTATGCTAAAATTCGACCAAGTTTAAGAAATCCTGGAGATTGGCAGGCAGCGTTTCCAGATTCTGTCTTAAGAGGGCCTCGTCGAGAAATTAGGTAATATTTGTACACTAATAATTAATTGACAAATTTTTATGCATTATTTATTCGAAAATGATAGTAAAATACTTTAATCTACTGTTTCTGTTTCTAAAATTTATGATACATTTCTTGGTAATTCATTGATTACTTTTCTTTTAGATTTGCATTTGCTGGAGGAAGGCCAGTAGCTCCAAACAATCTTCGTCGCGTAAGTTTACGTGCGAATTATCAAATATTAAGGAGCGAACTTCGGGCAACATCAGCTCATGTTGCTTCTCGCCGTCTTTTGATCTTAAAAGACAAAAAAAAAAGCTTCATTGGATCATACAGTTTAGCTAACATCTTACTTTAATGACATCACATATTTAAATATATTAAGTAATTTTATTTTCTTAATCATCAATCGTTAATAATAATCTAATTAGGTTTCATTTTTATCTAAGTTGTATGTTTACATCAATAATGAGTTAAACACTGTACATAATAAACATATTGAAAATTATTTTATCTTATACTTATTACTTACCGTCTTAATAGTATTAAAAGTACTAACGTGAGTCATCAACATGAATCAGCAAAAGTTGCTCTGGATCATCCCTGAGTTTTTTTTTATTGAAAGATACGGATAAATTGCAAAAGTATTTTATTATTATTACAAATTTGAATATAGATTTAGAGTATTATTGATTGAAAATCATCAATTTTTTATAATCATCAATATTGAGATGATTTAAAGACTCTTAAAGGACACAGTAAAAAAAATAAGTTGATTATCATCATTTTCATTGCACGTCTACAGTATCATCCTGATATAGGCTCCCCCATTGCTTCTAAAAATTTCGATGAATCAACAATTATCTTCTCAAGACGTTCTTTTGTCGCAGAAGTTTGACGCTGTTCTAATTTACGTTTTGCTGACTCTATTGCAACACGATATCCAGGAACATTGCGAAGGATTTTTATCTGTTTATCAACAGCTAGCAATAAATACTCAGCTGTAGCATCGAATTTCAAGCAGGAAATATACCCTACAAAGTCAAATAGAAATAATTACAATCATTTCCCACAACTTGTGGAGTAATTAACAATTTTGATAGTTGACAATTACCAATATCTTCAATAGTAGAGTCCAAATTGCCACTTATAGTTGAATAAAACGACAATGATACGCCATGAGCTATTGCTAAAACTTCTCCATTTGGTGATAAAGCGACTTTGGCTGGCGTAATATTTTCCCATGTTCCAGATAGTAAAAGTCTTGGATCCTCACCTTTTTCATACTCAACTAAAAATTCAAATATTATATTATTCATAAAATTCTAAATTAAATTCCTAAACTTTTAAATAAAGCTATTGACAGAATGTACTATATTTAAACAACTGATATACTTTTAGTATCATAAACACGATAAGTTCCATCCTTTGATACAGAAGCCATGATACTAGAATCTGCACAGAAATCAAAGTCGTACACTCCTGATGAGTGGCCTGCAAGGTTGAACGCTTTGGTGACTTGTTTAAATTCTCCAGACTTAGTAAAGCCTACTTCCCACACCTTAACATCTGGAGTAAACCCTAGACATTTTCACATTATCATTACCTTCATCTTACAATTGTTCGAGAAATTTTCTTTAGCTAATTACTAAGAAATAAATAAATACCTGAAGCAGCAACGAAACGACCACAAGGTGATATTCTTGCACGATGCGTGGATCCTAAATAAGTATCAATAGTATTCAATATTTCTCCTTTCAGATCCCAAATAATCAAATCATTTTTTTTGCTACAAGTCATTATGAAACGTCCATTACAGGCTATTTCCAATCCAACAATATCTTCTGCATGACGCTAGATAGTTCAACAAACAAAAAACAAGATATTAATGAAAAAAATAATGCATTGATGAATGATTCCATGATAAATTATTTAAATTAAATAATTACTTTTGGAAATTCAAGAACCAAAGTTGCAGTTGAGAAAAATCCATTTGGTTTTCTTCTCAGTCCATAGACCTCGATATTATTGCTGAATGATTTATGGATGATAATGGCTTTTCCATCAGGAGAAACTCGTACATGTGTTGCATAATCGTAATCAATATTGATACGTAATGATTTCCGTTCTTTTGAGGAAAGATCCTTCGTACACCACAAATGAACTGTGCGATCTACAAAAAAAAATTCAAATTAATTAATTTTTCACTTATCTTAGTTTTTAAAGTCAAATTTAAAATTATTTCCAAACTCCTCATTACTTTCCTTCAACAACTTTTCTTTGGCCATGAAAATATTTATTATTTGTCAACTTCAGTACAATTACCATACGGGTATAATAATAAAAGGCATACTGAATTTTATAACACAATATTTTAAATTTAAAAATCCTTCGCAATGTTCATGGATATCGTGCTGATGGTATTGTTGATTCAGTGAAATTTTTATATGCAATGGAGGAGCCTATATCTATATTTTTTACTGTGTCCTTTAAGAGTCACTAAATCATCTTAATGTTGATAATTACAAAAAATTAATGATTTTCAATCGATAATACTCTGAATGTATATTCAAATTTATTTATTTATTTATTTATGCCTCCAAATGTAAGGAGTCTACGTTCCCTCTGTGATTAAGGATAATTGATAATTAGAGTTCACATTGGAAGTAGAAATTTATTTAGAGCACAAATAAACAATAGATTAGAATTAGAAATGTAGGATAATATTGTATTTAAACTCTTTTGACGAAAAATTGAGACAAAAAAATCGTTTGAAAATCTTGAATTCACATACAAGTATTATAAAATAGTCGAGGTCATGTTTTAGATTTATAATTTGATTTATACTTCTATAAATGGTATTTCATTGCATAAATAATTAATACTGATTATTTTGTAGTACTTGCATGACAATTTGATTTTTTTCATGAAATTAATAAATCTAAATTTATGTCATGAAGATTTTCAAAAACTTCTCTTTTCTTAGTTTGCTTATCCTCAATAACTAATAACTCATGTCTAGAAATATTATTAAATCAGAGTTGAGTGTTCAGATTTTATCATTAACGTTATTCATAATTGCTATTAATATAAATAATGTCAATTAAGTAGGACATAACGAGACATAAGTAATTTTCAATTGTCCATCTTGGCTGTAAGTATATACATATATATAGATTTTTTTTAGTATATATTTTTAATAGTTCATTAAGATACGAGTGGCTTAAATGAGTGATCATTCACGCCGTGTCATAGTCGCTCATTTAAGCAACGAGTATCTTACACTATTTTGTAGCACCAGTGTCCTAAATTCGTCTTCAGTTTTATTAAAATTTAAATATAAAAATTAACTGAAGAAAAGCAAATAGTACATTACGATATAAGGGACTAATTAATTTATTTATTTGTATTAATTGTTGGACATACTATTTTTTATACGAAATCGAGGTCTAGGGACGAAGCCCAAAAAACAAATGATAAGCTCAATAAAATGAAAAAAAATATTTCGAACTATGAATACAAATTAATTAATATTAATTAACTGGGCATAGGTGAATGGGTGCAATTTTTCGAAAGTCGATCGCTACAATACATTACAAGTTGAGAAAATATGTTCAAGAAAAAATCAATTTACTTGAAACAATCAATACATCAAAATTAATTACACAACTTAATATTAATTAATTATTTTTTTTCTAAACAAGTTTAAGAATTAAAATTTCCACTTTCTATTTATTATTTAAATTATAAAAAGATGTTAATAAAAAACATTTGAGAATCATTAATTGAGGTTTTAGCATACTTCAGACTAGAATCATAACCGACGAAACCATGTAATTTTAATCATTAATTATTTTATTATTTGTTATTTTTTCGGGATTTTGAATGTTTTTAAATATATTTTTTCGTTTTTTTGGGGGGTGAATGTCAAATTATTGAAGAAGAAATGTATGGATTGATCCTAAATACGAGCCCGTGGCCTAAAAATATTCCTCTCTACTCGTTTCATAATTGTTTATTTAGGTCAACAGTTAAGCGAGCCCTAAACACGAATTTAGGACACGCAGTGCTATAAATTTAATTTTTGTTTTTTTTTAATCAATAGTTCTTAATAACTAATAAGTAATTACTATGAACTTATGTCTAAGAAAGAAATCAAACTGAATAATACTGTTTTGTATGAACGTAGATATAACAAATTTTATTCAATCAGAATACGTATTCACAATAAATTTTTAAACATTCTATGACAATTTTTATAGATAAGTGACTAAATATGGAATGACAAAATATATAAAATGATATTTGATATCAAATATACTATTCCATGTTTGTTTACGTTCTTCATTCTGACATCACACATTAATTTCAGATGTCGAACACACAGTTGAAAAATTTTTATTTAAGTTATACTTTGAATCTATTTTCAAACAATATTAGACAATAATCTTAAATTTAAATAAATATGTATTTTGAATTTACATATGCAACGAATTTTAATTAATTCAATAAACTAGATTTTTTAAAAAAATTTGCAAATAGTATACTAATTACTATCATGTAAAATCACACATTCCTTCTAGACGTTGAGTACACTATTCAAATAAATTTAATCTTAATATTAGTTTAAATCTTAATCTAAAATATACTACTAAGTAAGTTATTTCCATTTATGTACAAATATTAATTTAAATTAATCATGAATAATATGTACAAATCATGAAGCTAAGAGTTAATAATAAAAAATACAATTTTAACATGATTAATCTTCTAATTTTCCTGTCCATTGTTATCTGAGACGTTTAGCTGGTGGAGGCATGAGATCCGAATCATCTATAAATCGATGTTTTTTAATGTAGTCAAATAAATATTCAGAAGTAATAGGCACTCTAATACTCTGACAAACAGATTGAGCAGTGGTGAAAGAATTGGGAAAAGATTTATCTGTCCTTTCACGCATAAACACCCAATGTCCATTTTCAAATTTACACTCAATTATTTTATTATTTAAATCTTTAATTGCTTTAGTAATTTTTATATGATCAAATGGTTCTTTTAAGCCTCCAACATATAACTGACCTATTTTTTTGGGTAGAATACCCATACCTGATTCAACGACTATTTTTAATTGAAAATCTACAGAATTTAATGATAACGGCTTCCATTTTAAGACTTCTGCTGCAGTTCCAGGGATGTAGGGCTCCTTCGAAGGCTGGAAGATCAATCCATCTGGTTCATGACCCAATTGTCTGGCGAATTTTTCACTCAACAAACTGTTGACTTGTGTGATATCCCAAAATTGCTTTAGTCGTACAGAAAAAGGTTCTTGTTCTCGGCGTATTCTACCTTCTTTTAATGCTCTGTGTCGGCCTCCCATTACTTCTCTCTCGATGATGGTATATCGATCAGGAAAAAATGATTTTTTAGATACATCTTTCCCGTCATACATGATTACATCATAAGCTAAGTACCTGGGATATTCAGCACCATTTACTTTATCAATTACCATTTCGCCATCCAATAATGTATCTTTCAGATTTCTTGAAAGATCTCGAGGGTGTGGAAATACTAATCCAGACACTTGGAAGACACTATTATCTCGATCAATGAAGAATACCTCGTTATCTGCTTGAATCAGCATCATGTATCTGGTACCATCAGCTTTCCATGATACTCTGTATGGTTTGATATTAAGTAGAACAATATTCTCCCGGTCCATGGAGACTGGTTGAGAACCAGGGAAGCCACTACTATTCCATTGGCATATTTCTTGAACTCTTCTTTGAATTCCTGTAACTTTAGCTACATCTTGTACAGGTACCACTCCAGGAACTCCAGCCATGAAAACTGGATTTTTAACAATATATTCCTTACGTCTTCGAGTATGTTTGCTACTTCCGGATTGGTCATGTTCTTCCTCATCCTCTCTGGAGTCGTCGTATTCCAAACACCAAGCAGGACGTGGTGGTGCAGGTGGTGCATCACTCTCATCATCATATCGTCTATATAACTCTTTGATGTAGTCTTCTTTGTAGATTCCAGGAGGTCTGGCAATTGAGAATTCACTCACAGCAGCATCTAAATTAAATGTGTCACTTTCAACTAAGTAGCTTATCAGAAGAAACCCAGTTCTATTAAAACCATGGGTGCAATGGACTCCAATCATCTCGAGTGGATTTCGAGCAATAAAATTTTTGCAAATTTCTACAAAAACTTTGGTTTGTTCTACAGAGGGAGTTTCTCCATGACCTCGACATTGAAGTTTATAGTAACGACAACCGTGGGCTTCGACGTCAGCTTTATTATAAAATCTGGTAGTATTTGTCAAGTCTATCAGTAACCCCATTTTCAGTCTTTGACTCTTTAATGATGCAAATAGCATGTCCACAGAAAAACGACATTCTTCAGAAACTTGACTGTTAAATTCTTCCGATAGTGGTGTTTTAAATGCGAGAAATTTATTATTTATCAGTTTTATACTTTTTCGAGGACAATGTAGCCATCGTGGAGGGATTGTCCCTTTACTACCTTCAGAAGTCGAGCTTGACATTGTTTAACTTAACCTCAACTGTATAAATGAAGTTTTTTTAATCACAAACACCCACTTATATTTTTAAACGTTCGATTTTACGCTTTGATTATGCAGTTGTTGCATAAAAATACAAGTGGACTAGTATTTTCACAAAAAAATTAACATAAAAATTACACAGTATACACTTTTCTACGACTGAGTCTTTTCTGATCACAAAACTTTTTCCTTGCTTGATGTACCAGTCTTATGCGCCACCTGGTGGCGAATCATACAATTTGCCAAGTGTCGTGTCACCATACGCCACCTGGTAGCGTGCTAAATGCCTCTAGTGGCATAGCTATGAAACATCAAACTTCCGGCGGTAGTGGCACGTGGTGTTTATTATTCAAATCTGCTTGATTACCGATAGTTATGTTGTTAACAATAACCAAAAAAATAAAGGTAAATGTTGATTTACCTTTATGAAGTTTAATGTCCAGTGATATAGTTTTATTATCATAAAATTGTTCGTAGATCAATAATTTTTTTGCTAGCATAAATTGTTAGAACTATTACTCAACACTATCATAGTAGTACATTCAGCAGGAGGTGTCTTTACATAATCGATTAAAAATAGATAATACTCTTTCAACATTTTTTTATTACTTTCAATTAATCATCTCTGCTGATTATACACTTTTGATGATATATATTGTTTATACAAATTCTTTCGTAATTGTAATACAATAATATTTTTGACACAAATCAACAGTTCAACATTGCAATGTTGAAATAATTAATTATTAGAAATTAATGACAATGAAAAATTTTTGTAATTAATATTTATTTTGCTGAGATGTTGGATATAAATTAGTACGCAGAAAAATTCATAAAGTTAGTCGACCTTCAACTGAGTTTGATAAAATTAATACGAAGTGGCATCAATACTAACAAGTTGGTAAACAACTACTTACAGTTGTTTTTCTTCTATTAAGGTAATAATGGTAGAGAGTAAAAGCATTTTATTTCATTTCTCAATTTCAATGAATACTGAGTAAATTTAGCAGTAAATTATACTGTCTCGACGATTTCATTCAAAGATACCCCAAGATTAATGGATAAGTAGATAAATGTTGGTACATTGCAAGAGCCAAAAATTATTCAATTAGTAATTATAAGTATGAATTCATTTGATACCAGTGATCTTCAATAACCAAGATGGGTAACCGGTAGACCTCGGTCAACTACCTCATGAGTTTGACAAATGACGACCTTGACTAAGTCTTGTCTGTACCAGTGGTCTCATGTAATTCAAAAGTTAATTTTATAAAAAATTTTATAAAAAATAAAAAATTTATAAAAAAAATAAAAAATACATCTTTCATTTGGACTTTAATATTAAATACTTAATATAATTGCAGTGATGAGCTAAATGATCTTATATGAGTTTAAATACTCATGATAAATGACCAACTTATCCTTTAGAATATTTTGGCAAATTGCTAAGAAGTCAATAGTTAGCTTTTGAAAATATTCTACTATTAAACGATATAAAACCTTTGCTAATGGAGGGGTTAATTATATTTCAGTGTATTATTAATTGAAATCTTTTTTAGTTACTTTTTATAATTATTTTTTATAATACTGCTTAATAATTCATGCATAAATCCCGTGGAAATAATCATAGAAATATTTCGAAAATTTGGCAATCAAATTAGTAATTATTGTGATTTCATTAACTAAATGATTTATAAAAGTAACAAGGTATAAATTTGATGATAAAAGTAAATTATTAAGTAGTTTTTGATCAATAGAATTATTGTTAATAAATAGTAGATTATGTTTAAAGGAAAAGCTAATGCTATACTACTATTCAATTTGCTCTAGAAAATATGATCAAAGGGGAGAAGCAAGGACATCCTCGGGGTGAAAGTTACTATTTGTGGAGCCAAAGTCCAGTGATCGTATATTTGTTACCACAAAAACGAGGAAACGTTATCGAATAATGTTAAGATAATGGTTAAATATGACCAAAAAAGGAAATGAAGTAAAATTAAAACTGGAATTGTGGGAATGATTATTAACGTTATTAAGAGAGTTGAATTGTAGTTGAAGAGACTCTTCTCTACCGGATGGGTGCTGCCAGTTTTAATATAGACGTCCTTGATAAAAGCAAACGAGTACAGCCCCCATTGGCCCCCTTGAGTGTGATCATCATCGAGCAAATAAATGCCTTCGTACAGAATCAATGTTATAATCCACAACGATGTCATATGAAGCATAAAAGTCACTGTCTACCTTGTGATTTCGAATAAGAGAAAGCGCCATTGTATATTAAGTTTTGATCATCATTTTAATTTTAATAGTATGTCAGCTTCATTAACAAGACAATTTTAAAGACATCATGTTTTTAATCTAACATCATCTTGCTGTACTTCAATTGTTTTTTCATCAATCAAAATAACAAAAATGTCCAATGAGCTATGAAAAACGGTAGAGTGAAAGTGAATACATGATTATTTAATAAATTTTTCACTTCAGTAATAATATCTTTAATAATTGAAAAAAATAAACTTTCAACATATTTTTTTAATTAGTTTCACGAGTAATTTTTTTCGCTAATCAAAGTAATAAATTTCCAATGAGCAATTAGGTCAATTAATATCTTTTTTTTTTTCATGACTTGATGTTTTCACAATTAATCTTTATGTTTAAAAATCATCCTAGCTTTGAATAAATAATGATGTTTTAACCTTTATTGCTCAGAAAAACATTTGAAAAAAAAGATTAGCGCATTGAAAGGAGAGCAAACATTTCAATAATCAATTGCAAATAAAATGTGTTATTTAATGGATTTTCTAACGTTTATTTTATACTTTAAAAAGACGTAATGCATTTTGTAATCGTTACAGGTGGAACCCGTGTGTTCATCGATGAAAGAAGACGACGGAGTTATCGAAGTTATTTGCAAAGAAGAAACGACTGAGGCGGGAGGGGCCAGGAGGTCGCATTAGTTAAAGCAATTGGGAAATCAAACATGGAAGCATAGCCGGTAAATGTAGATGGCTCGTTTGTTTAAAAGTTACGACACGCAAATCTTTACTTTCGTATCATCAAGCATGTCGTTATGAAGGACTTTGTCACGTACAGTTTCAAAAATTTTTGATAACATTAAAAAGGTGAATAGAATGAAACCAAACGTGACACCTAAATTAAACATTTTATTGGATTGAGATAAGATTGAGTCTCATTTGATATCAATTTTTAAGTAATGTAGATTAAATTATTAGCTTGTACCAATTGAAGCTTTCAAGGATTTATTTGCATAAGTGAAACTATTATCATTATTATTTCGATTTATTATTATTTAATTGTGAAGCTTATTTTATTCATTAATAAGTAAATGTCGAAAAGCGATAATAGTTTTTTTACTCATTGCAAATATCATCTTAAGTTGAGTAAAAGAAATGTACATCATCATTATTACTTGAAACAATATCAATATTTAGCTTTCTCTATCATCTTTGTATGATAGTTAATAATGAACCTCTATAACCAGAAAATTTATAGAACAATAGCGTGGTTGATCAAGGATAGAATTACAGTTCTCGGGTCATTGTGAATCTAATATTCATGGCCACATCCAAGGTAAATGAACTTCAAATTTACATTTTTCAGCTCAAATAATTTTGCGGTAAAAGTTTAATAATAAATGATCTTGAAAATGGAAAAAAGAGGTTACTAGATAAAATGAAGGTTAAATTGAGTGATTAAATGAGAAAAAAAATAGTCGTAAGAAGCGAATCAAGGTTTATAAATGAAATTAATTACTATACTATCCTGAGAAAGCGATTCTGGTTGAAAAACTCTAATTCCTATGACTCATATCCTTATGGTCTTGTCTACACTCCAATCATTAGTGGGAGCCCTCAAGTAACCGGGGAATAACATTAAAACGTCGTGAAATCTGAGAAGACTGTGGTGAATATCTGGAACTAGGTCTTAAACTAGGGCAATACCAATGGGTTTCAGACGTTATAGAAGTGTCTACCAAGCAGCACGACAACTCGCTTGAACGGATTTCAACGGAGAAAATCTCGGTGACTTGCAACAACTTTCTTTCTTGGTCCCCAAAGCCATCGTCAAGATACAACGAGAACATTTACTTGGCTTATTGGCTGGCAAACTTATAGAAACAACAAGTTTACGAACTTTCTCCTTGTAGGCTGGTCACGAGACTCCTTGGAAATCGCCAGACCAACGCTTCTTTCAGGACGTTTTCACACCCACATGTCTCTTTAGTACATAAGGAGAAAGAGTCGTTAGTGAAGGTGAGCCAGAGACAAGTTTCAAAATTATTCACAAAGAAAAGAGTTATAAAAAGACTTTCAATTGTTAAACATCCATGAAAATATGATCATAATAGTAACACTAATTACTTACTTGAAGATGATAGTAAGTTCATTAATATAAAATTAATCTTTGAATATACCAAGAATTTAATCTTCCTAGCATCTTACGAATCTCTCAGACAAACGCTTTTTGAACATTGCTGAATTGATTATTTTGATGTTATTTTTTATGAATATCAGAATATTATTTGAATTATGTTAATATAAAGAATATCACTTAAGATAATCATATTTTTGAATTGAATAATTTTTTTTTTTTTTCATTTTTGATAAACATTTTTACTCTTAATATATGTTAAGTCTTTAAGTCATATATAGAAAGGAAAAAAAGTCCTGCAAAAAACTGGATTCAGTTGAGGAAGAGATGACGAATGAATTGAATGTTTAAAATAAAAAAAAAAAAACATGACAGAAGAACCTCTTCGGTAACTTAAAGACACACTGGAGTAGTTGAACAACAAATTCAATTGCAAAAAGGAAACTTGAGATACGTTTTTCTCAACAATTTCCCAAATTTGGTGAATTATCATTTATAATTAATTCTGTTGCAACTGAAAGACAGTTAAAGACTTACACGTTAGGCTATTGGCAAAAAGTCGATGAGAGATCCGTCACACTTGAGTAGTTTGACTAGATTCAATGAATTTCACACTTGCTTAAAGATTTTTAATCCTAAAGATAGAATAGGATATGGGAAAAAGGGATTTGTAGGAAACTTGGGCAATTATCTAGAAGTGGGGAAATAAGGATTTAGAGAAAACTTAACTTGAATAATAATAGGTACAACAATGATATTTGAAGAATGTAAAAAAATTTTTTTTTTTTTCCTTTGTTTAAATCGTAATACACTTGTAAATTAATTATTTTTACCATTTTCATACAATTACAGTGAACAGTTTTGTCAAATTTTATTAAATACAAATTACAAGCATACGTTCTAAAGTGGTTGCACAAAGTATGCTGGTACATATTTAATCACTCTGTGTTGTCACTCACAAAGTTTGTGCATTTTTCAATTCATTCAGACACTTGACACATTTTCATATGAAAAAGATAGTCTTTAAATAATGCAAAAAATTTTATTCTCATAAAAAATAAACAAGTTAATATTCACAACATTAGGTTGACGATAAAAAAATCGTCTCTAAGTACATAATCTAATTTTATCTTATATTTAATTTACATTTAATTTACTATCTATATATCTTAAATTATCGTACTGATGTTGTCTTAATTTTCTTTTATTATTTTGTTCGTAGAAAAATACCATAGAGTAATTGATAGTTTTTTCGACGTAATAATATCAAATTTATTGCTTTAAATCTTAAGTTTCGAGTCCTTGATATTTGATTTTTACCAATTAATGATAGATAAAAGTGATTTTAAAATGAAAAATTAAGTATTTGACATAAAAAAAAAAGAATATATTTCTCATCAACAAAGTATGGTAACTTTATTAATAGATGTAACTGAATATCAGTGGTGTTAAAAAAATCTCAATGTCTTATTAATAAACTAGAGATAAAATATTTACATAAATTATTTTACACAAATAATCGCAATCAAAATATAAAATAGTTTCTCTTCTCTCTTTCTCTTCATGATAGTATTAAAAAATTTTTTTTTTTATTTAATTTCTTCGATTTATTATAAAAATAAATATTCCATTAATATAAAAAATATTATCTTGATATCTATTACATTATATTTAAGGAAAAATCCTTATATTATAAATTGGCAGTTTAAAAGATACTTATTATTCGATAAGTATCCAGCAAAGGCTAGGATTTGATAATTCATACCAAAATCCCGATACTTTCAAGTATTGACATTATAATAATCGGTGGAATTGTCATTATCAAAATTGACATCCTGTACATAAATAATTAGATAAAAGAAAAGAGAGAAAGAGAAATCAATACATGATATGTACCAACACATTATAATTCTTAAACGATTTTCATTTAAATAATTGTGAAATGAGATTCAAGGAAGCGCACAGCCGTTAAAATAATAAAGGGATTTACTCCCTTAATCAAACATTATGAGATAATGACAACATTGATATTTTAAATGAAATGATTAATTTAATATTAAAATGAATTCGTGTTTTCGAGTGTATTTATACAGGTACGTATCCTATGAATGCACTTGAATCAATACATTCTTATGTCGATGCTACTGATGTCAAATGAATGATTAATGTTCGCATTTGTTTTTCGTTAAAGTTATTTTTTGTATACTTATAATGCAAATTTGTACAATGTACAATAAATCTAAAATCTACTTTTAATAATCATCACACAATAAATGAAGCTTTTATAAATTCTCTCTTAATAGTCTCACTGAACTGAATGAATGAAGAGAAAAAATGAAGTAGATGAAATTATTATAATGATTAACAGTCAAGATATGAATCAATTAATTGTTCAGACATGGAATACTGTGACCAAGTGATGATATAACACTTACGATAATTTATCGCTGATGTGTAGATAGTATAGGTGGGCATACATACATAATCAGATAGTCACGTTACTGTACATATGTAATGTATCACAGATTTCACTTAAACTACACTTCTAACACTATTGAATTCTACAGGTTTCTCTGGCGCTTTGTAGAAATCCTCCCACACTTGGTATCTCATCAAGTCAATAACAGTCTTGGCGTCTTCAACAGAGTCGTGCTCCGCAACTTGGATTTGACGACCAAGCTTGGTTTGGGCCAACATTTTCAAACTAGTCTTTAACATGTTACCTGTGTTATCAAATGCATGACATGTGTCAACAATAGTTGGATGAACGATTTTGAGAACTCTTAGATCATTTTCTAAGGCATGTCCCATGAGAATTGTTTCAGTCGTAATAAATGTTAAAAGTCTAGCTTGAACATCTTGTAAAGTGGTGGTGCAATTTTTAAGATGGTCAGCAGTAATTCCACTGAAGCGAGTATTGTAGTCAATAATTTCATTATGTGGTTTAACATAAGTATTATAAACTATTTCTCCATCCAATCCAATTACTGTAACTTTTGTTAATTCCAGACCAAACTTGGTGTAGCACATTTCGCAGTCCAATGCGTATATTTTAAAAAGTGGAACTTTTGCAGGCTGGGTTACCACGAATCCTTCAAAAGGTCCATTGCATCCAATATGCGCACCAGACCAGACATGTCTCGGTGCTACTGTACATCCTGACGAAAATTCGAAACGGTTACAACAGGTATAGTATCTACGACGATCTATCTCATTCCATCTTTTCTTTCCCCAATGGTGAAGACATGGATCTTTAGTAATGTAATCACCATTGTTATCGGTCAAGAAAGGTTTGTAGCACCGAGCACATTCACGTTCTTTGATGGATGTTGATACTAAAGAAGGAGGAGGAGAAGATGATGTCGATGAAGATGACGACGGTAACCATGAGTTCGACTCGTTTGTGTCAGAAGTCTTCTCACTGTCGGATGAGCTCTCACCATCCAGATCTGAGTTTTCAGCCGAACCTCTACCACTGTCATTGTCACGATCTGACCGTTGCTGCGATGATGGTAATGCTGCTACTACCTCTTCTCCTTGTGGTGTTGGTGGCACCACTGTTGTAGTCGATGCTTCATTACCATCCTCTGTATTTTCTGGAGCTCTTCTACGCTTCGGGACAAACTCTTGTGCGTTAGCATCCAATTGATGATGAGTTCGCTGAGGGCGTGGAGGGTGTGGAAAATGTGACTCCCGAAGAAAAAAAGCAAGTTTACCTGCTCCTCCTCCCAACACTGGATACCCAAGATGTACCAAATGATATGGATGAATGACATAATGAGGAAGTGCTTCTCGAAGAAGATTATCAGTTACACTCTCATAATTATCAAATGATTCTACATTGTAAGCCCCATTAATAGATGTATTAAGATTCACATGTAAAATAATCAATTGATTGTCGGCTTTTGCTATCATGTTATAACTGGATTGAGGTGGATCAGTTGGTGATTTTTTTTTTTCAGGTTTCTGCACATTCTGGTTGGCCAGGTTGGATCCTTGGTTTGTACATGCTCTTGTCATACTAGGTGGTTGAACATTACGACGTTGTTTATGCTGATAAACAAGCTTGCTGCTGGTTCCTTCATGACTACGATGCCAAATTCTTCGTGTACGTATACAATCTTCAGTGCTCTCATTACTGTCTCTGCAATGAGTGGACTCACGAGATGATCGACGATTTTTTCGTTGACGACGTGTCAAGTTGATAAAGTCTGCATCTGTCATTGCAGGTGATGATGATCCTGATGCATTTGAGAGATTTTCGTCAGTGTTAATCAGCGTTTTAACCGTCTGTGATGACTTAGGAACATTTGATGAATCAGGACTACTTGGTGAATCATCAGTAACATCACTTCCAGTAGTACCTGTGGTGCTAGTCCGATCGATGTCATTTTGGTATTCAGCAACTCCAATTTCGATGGAACCTCGTTGTCTCTGTCTCCGGAATCGGCTGCAATCTTTGGGTACACAAAACAAATTTGTATAAATTCGATGCTACACAATTTTTTAAATTATTGTTTCTGATTTTTTATATTTTTTTTTATTGTTTTTGTAGAAAAAGAGAAAACTTAGTGAGTGATATTGACACACACATGCAAAAAATTCCATTGTTTGGATTTTCACAAAAATTTCTTGTGCTTTCTACCCAGCTTTGAAGTTGATTAATGAATCTCTAGTTAATTACTAGCATGTGATTTAACAGCTCCAACACTCAATTTGGTTAGTTTGTATATCTCTGTACAATACTTTCAACTCAACGTTACTATCACTAAAACTTGGTCTAATTGGATTATTCTAATGAAATAAGAATAAAAAAAAATAATAATAAAACTTGTAAAACTTGTCCATTGTTTATTTTAGTTAAGTAATGATTACATTTGTCACAACACTGAAGAGCGACGATCTCGATGGTTTCCACTTTTATACAACTACTTTTATTATCCATTCATATTTAATATTCCAATTTTTTGAAGTGAATAAAAAAAATGTACAACAGAAGTCAAAGAAAACCCTTCGGTGAAAAAACAATCAAAGACATGAAATGATGAAATCGGATGCTCTCAACAACTAACTCTAGATAAAAACGGAGAACATGTTCGCGGAAGAGGAACAAAAAATATGAGGTTGAAGCACGACGATAACGGGAGAGACGTTATTCCTGTTCGCACGGTTGTCCGATACCGTTGGACCATTATGAAATCATCATCATTGAATCAAGACGAAGCAAAAGAAGAAGAGTCTTTCCCTTCATTTCATTCACAAGTCATTGCCAGAGGGAAATGCTTTCTTATTTTCACATAATCTTTTGATTATAAAGTGCTTACGTCAAACTGCTATGCAATTTCGAAGAAAAAATGATTAAATAACTTGATTATTACACCTTTCATCAGGTATTATTGTTTTATCCTTAATTGAGACATTTTATACAATTTTAATTATCAAAAATTTCAACTCCACAAAATTGATATAAATACTTTTCCTTTTAATCGTATGGCAATCCAATAATTAGAATTATTTTAAAGCCTTCTATGTAGGCAGTGACATTACTTCATCAGTAAAAGTTTTCATCTTTCAAATATTTACTCTATAGTGATACCTAAACTGCTAATAAAGATAAACATTAATTACAGTACAAGTCCGTAGAAAAATTAGTCGATAAAGTAATTAGAAATGTCATGGAGACGAGACCAAGAATATAAAAACATTAGAATATACAAAAAGACTGTTATAAGAAATTCAAGACTAAAAAGAATGTTCATATTTCTAATGGAATAATTATCTTCTGAATCGATTCTCAATATATTCTGCTACATGTACTAGATGGATCTTGCTAAATAGCACTGATAGTCTCTCTTATAAATTATAAATTTATCAACTTCTACCTTTTTATTATGTAACTAACTGACATTTAATTTCATTTATTTAAAAATAACGATATTTAATATTAGATAAGATTATAAATTTATTAAATATTAACAAACCGTTTGGCCTTCGTTAACTATGTAAACTAAGTAATTATTAACTACATATATGTTTTAATTACTCGATTACTTGGCTTACTTTAATTAAAGTAATTAAAAAAATTTTTTCCGTCAATTTAAAGGATATTTTGTGTCCCAAAAGAACATTGTTAATATTTATAAATAGTTCATTCACTTGAGTGGTGAATAGATTCAAATGACTGTTTTAATATTTGAAGAAATAGCAATTATGAGGGAAATGTATTATTGATAACAAATTTTTTCATTAATGTAATAGATAAATATTAAATATAAGTTGGAGTTGAAATTCAGGGAAATAATTAACCCACAATTGTATTAAAAGCTGTTTAAGGCTGTGATTATATTAACTTCCCAGTGGGAAGTTATTTAAATAATGTATTTAGCTATTTTGAAGCCCTCTCGCGTGCTATATTTCCACCTTAACCAATAACGGGGTCTACTGATTATACTCATGTGTTTCTAAGGAGCCACAGTAACCCACTCCGCGCTCCCGTTACTCACGATTACGATTCTCTCCGGACGCGTAGCCAAGAACCAGACATTTTTCAAGCGATGAGCAACTGAGGTGAGACTTCGTGACCACGCAAGACTCAGGAGTTCAACTACAGGTCATGTTAGAGAAATTTTTTTCTTTTTATTTATGAAATTTCAAACATTCTACTGTCAGAAAGCTACAATCATTTCGCGAATGATAACGGTTATATAGTTTTCTTATTACTAACAGACATTCAAGCTTTTTTTTTTTTTATCAATTAAAATAATTGGATATTTTGTCTGATTTTTAGAAACTGAAATATTATTGACATTGAATAGGATAGAAACAGATAAATTTACTGGGGAATCTAACGATGTGAAATACTAGAAAGCATTGATTTATATATATATATATATATATATATATATTGGACCGTTAGATGGTGAAAATATGCAAAATTTTATTTATATTTTATTTATATCTATTCTATTTGGTCGTTTTAATAAAAAGCAGTTGTTTTACTTTGTGAGTTGTGTGCTTAAAATTAGATATAATCTGAAAACAGGTTTATCTCAAGACTTGTTGCAAAATTTGTTTAGTTGAGTAGTCGAGTGTAGAGTTAACTTCCATGATAAAGTACTAAAATGTTTTTACATTATTAATTAAAAAATTTTCGGGATCAATTTAATAGAGCGTTGAAATAGTGTCATTAACGTTTTGTTGAGTCACTTTACATACTAGCCAATTGATTTACATAAATACTTTGCGCCTTATTCAACTTCAGCAGGGGGTAAAAAAATAAATATTTGCGAAAAACAAACAATGAAATTATTGAAAGTAATGTGAGTTAAGAAAAAAACAATAAAAAAAAAAACCTGAATAAAATTATTAAAAATAATTTAAGAAATATTTCTAAAATGTTTGGGATCTTTTGAAGTATATAAATCGTTAATTAATTAAAATTAGCCACTGTTACCGATGACTCTAATTAAATGACTCTGTACATAATTACAGTTTTCCTTTCTTTAACCACAAGTTTCTCGTGATGTATCCGAAAAAGAGATCAAAGTTTAAACGAATTATAAAGGTTAAAGATTAAAGTCTATAGATAAGAAAATTTAATTAAATGACAATGAAACTCTAGATGCAATTAAGCGAATCTTAAGAAAATTAAATGAAATAGATGAAAAGGCAATCAGAACAGCGCGATTCTACTTCAAAGCAAAGTAACAGTATCAGCCCCCATTGGGGCCCACGATCGATTTCTCTCCAAGCTTGACCTACATTGAAATTAGTGTCTATCAAGCGTGAGCTCGTTCTTGCCCGCGATTATTGGTCCTCTTCTCAATTCAACTGAGAGGAAACCGTCGTACGTGACCATGAGAGATCGACCAAGCCAATGAACTTATGTAATACAACATCAATAGATTTATATAATATATTATCGTTAAACGCGTTAAACGAGATACACCGTGCAATTTCATTATCATTCGACTTCTTTATAGATTATCACTCAATCTTTCAACACTGTATATTATCTCACTTTAGGAAAACTGACTTTATGTAACATATAGAGTATTTACAAGAGTAATATTTATTTTGGAGCATGATTTGAAGTATGATTGTTATGAGGAATAAAGAAGATGTAAAAATATAAAAAAAAAAACACACACACATGTATAAAACACCACATACCTTCAGCACAGCTCGCAAGAAATTTGTCGTCACTGGAGAAATCCATTTCCAACACAGGTCCTGTATGTCCCTTAAGAGTCCCAACTATCCACGAGTGTGTAAATTCTTGTTGAACTTCACGACGTTTTTTATTTTTCGCACGTTTACTGTTTGCTGTTACTGCTGCAACTGCTCGTTCGACACTCTTTATCTCCTGAACTTTGTCGTCATTTGAACACTTGGTCCCATCTGTAAACGAAATGAATTTGTTAGAAATATGATTGATGTCATTGGTCGAAATCTTCTCAGGTAGATGCACTTCTGGTCATCTCATTGGTTTAAGAAGTAAGACCAGTTGTCGGGGGTCAGTACCTCCCAAACTAAGTGTCTTAGCACATGGGTCACTTGAAATAATTTGTATGGTGGGATGTGTATTATACAGGTACTCTGAATCTTGATGTAGCTAAAGTTTCGAACGTTCATATGAACCCTTAGGATTTGACTTATATTCTTTTTTCACGTATTCCATATGATCTCTGTGCGTTGGTTTAATTTTTTTTTATTTAAAATTATTTTTTCTTCGTTCATATGAACGTTCGAAACTTTAGCTATATCAATCTTGAAGGAAACTTAGACTTCCAAAATGTAGCTGAGTACCTGTAACCATACCTGGGTAAAACCCAGGGTTGGATCCTGAGTCAACAAAAGTGAAATAAACTTAGTAAATGCCACTTACTATGCTAATAACATTTATTGCAGAGGCAGTGGATTTTATGTGACAAAAGAAGAATGGAATAGACAATAAGACTCTGAAAATTATGGCTGGTAAGTCCCTTTGGCTTGGACAAGTCACGTTTGCCCATCTTTGATTCATTGCATTTTCCTATATTTGAGTATAATTCTAAATTAGGATTTGGAAATAATCCATTGTTACTTCTAGAAATACTCAAAACCACCAAGTGCAAAAGTTTCCCAATTTGTGTATTCAATTCTATTCATTCAACAATTAGCTGTATGGACAAACATGTAGAGAATTTATCATTAAAAATCAGCAAATGACTTTAGCATAAATTGATGTCAGAAAGTATTGTAATCTCCAGAATGTCCAACAACTATTTTCATGTTATATTATTATGTTCAAATAGTTTATGAGTAAGCAAGGTGCATTGCAGGTAAATAAATATGTGATCATTTGTCCATGTTTGCGTGTGAAAAATAACATTGTATAATGTTATGGAAATGTATATTTACATAGTAGAAATAAGAATTCTATTTTTAAGCATTAGTTCAGTCAATATAGGAGGCTTTGCTCTATTTTCGAGCACAGTTGTTAAACAATGAGCAATTTATAATTTTCCAACTTCCAAATATCCACAATAACCTACAGAAAAAATGTGCCCAAAAGCGAAAGGGCATTATTTTCTTTTTTATGATTATTTTGCATTTCAGTGGTCCCATGTATCTAAGTGAGATAGCGCTATAGGCAGGGTCGCGTGCTGAATAACAACATAACTAATCAAATAAAAGCAATGTATTTTTATGAGAAAAGTCTTTTTTTTCAGTGACTGTTTTTTTTTAGAAAAATCTAGAATATCATTTATTTACATTTTTATACACATGAAATGTGATAAACACTAATTCTATGTAATAAATATATAAAAATGTAGGCAATAATTAAAATTCATGTCATCTTCAAGCATGCGACACTGCCTAGAACGCTTTATGGTTTAAATAGGGGACCACTAAAATGGAAAATAGTTTTAGGCTTTTATTTTATTTATTTATTTTTATTTATTTTTTTATTTAGGCACATTTTTTCAATAGCTTGTTGTAAAGATGTTGAAGTTGGAAAATTACAAATTGCCTATTGTAAAAAAAATGTACCCATAAATGGAGCAAAGTCTCTTATATCGACTGAACTACATTAAAAAAATGAATAAAAAGTTATGATATTGTTACCCCTAGTAACTATCGATTTGATCCATTTTTTATTATTTTTTAGGTCAAACTTAGGAGTTCATTTGTTTTTTTCCAATATATATATACATATATATATAGATAGATAGATAGATAGATAGATATTATGTGTTGGTCTGGGGATCGAAAATGTTCATTAATCTTTTTTATTGTAAGTTCAGAAAAAAAGTTTTCAATAATATTATTAATCAATCTCAAGGTTTCCATTAAACAACCCTAAGCTTGTAACAAATCTCAAAATTTCTCAGTCTTTCTGAAAGATTTCCTTAATGAATTTTTTTTCGATTTCTGTATGACTTTCAAAAATTGTCTATAGAACTCGAAAATGAATATAATGTTTCAATTATTCACGTTACCATAAAAGTAAATAAAAGAAGCTCTGAGCCTAATTGAAACCTCGCACAAATCTTGGTCTCTTCGCTTTAAAATACTTTGCCTAACCCTGGAGTATGTTAGTCATACTGGAATGACATACAACCAGACATATAAAGAAAAAAATGAAGTAAGTTTCTTGGTGTCATCAAGTGATAATAAAACTGGAGGATAAATCGTGAAACTGTTATAATCTGAGTTAAAAATGGACACTATTTTTTATATAAATCGAAAGAGACTGTAGGAAAGATTTAAACTTGAAATGTAACATTTTTGATAATTCATATCATACTAATATTTCATTAATATCTTACTATTATTGCTAGGGTCCCTCCCTAACCAATCAATTTCATTAGAATTAAAAATCCCTTTTATTAATGTCCCATATAATATGAAAAATAAACCAGAAAAACTATTTTTCCCTATCTTTTTTTGTTTTATTTTATCTTCGTTTCGCAGTTATTCAAATAATTATATTTTAGTAAATAAAAATACTAGTATTGATAAATGTAATTTTTGTGTTATAAGAGCCTAGTAACAATACTCTTTAATTATTTATTAGTCAATATTTACCATCAAAGGAACAAAAAAATTAATATTCAGTATTTTGTTTGCCACTGTATTGATCTAGTTTATGTGTATCTATAGTTTTTTGGGCCAAATTCAAGAGTTTATTATTCTCATTCAATAAATGATTTTCTACATTAATCATTTGATTCATCAGAATTTTATTATCTAAAATTTATTCATAATCGTTTGATAATTCAATGTCGTCAAGAAAATAAATTTATTAATAATCTAAGTATTAGAAAATAAATTATTCATTTTATTATATAATAAAATAGTAATAAAAATAAATACTGATTCTTATAAGAATTATATGTGAATTTTTTTCGAAATGGGCCATACATGAATTTTATATAAAAATTATAAGGATTATTGATGAACAGTGAAAAAATCATGTATGAGAATTTTTTTAATCTCAATCTGATATGATTAATATTAAATTTATTTTATCTAAACCATATATGAATCATACAAAATTTAGATAGAAAAATTTATTATGTATGATTTTTATACTGTTTATGTATGATTATTATAATTTTTATATGAAATTCATGTATGGCCAATTTCAGATTTGATTTTTATAAAATTCAGTAATCATTTTCTTACTATTACATCATAATATATGAGTGTATTCAATTAGCTTTTTGTTCTGGTCATCTCATCGGTTTAAGGAGTAAGACCAGTTATTGTGGGTGGTCAGTATTTCTCACGTTAAGTGTCTTAGCACATGGGTCACTTCAAATAATATTTATGGTAGGGTGTGTATTATACTGGTACTCTTAATCTTGAAGGAAACTTAGACTTTCGAAATGTACCTGAGTACCTGTAACCATACCTGAGTAAGACCCAAACTCTGATCTTGAGTCAACAAAAATAAAATGATTCACGGATTACAAGCAATAATAAAAGTTTATATCCTCAAGACATCATCATTGATAATTTGATAATCAGTACATGATGTTTTCTGGGTCATTAAGACATACTTTAGTAACCCTAATTTATTTTTTATAAGTAATTAGATGATGTTGTTATCGATTTTTAAAAAATCGTTTTTTTTTCCTGAGAGATTTTTGGATAAACTAAAATAGGCACAGGCCTTCAAGTAGGGTCAAAGTGGTCTCTTGGTAAAGGTCAAAACTGATACATAGACCGATTAAAAGTTGGGAGATTCTAAAATAGAGATTTTTTAACCTAATTATACCTTTCAACATCTAGAGTATTTAAATAGCTTTTAAAAAATACGATAAGAATATCAGTCAAATTAAAATTATATTTATAATGATTTCAAATTAAAACAAAATTAGTTCGAATTAAAATAAAAGGGAAAATAAAAGTAAAATTTATTCGAAGTTATTTGTTCCTTTGATGGTAAATATTGACTAATAAATAATTAAAGAGTATTGTTACTAGGCTCTTATAACACAAAAATTACATTTATCAATACTAGTATTTTTATTTACTAAAATATAATTATTTGAATAACTGCGAAACGAAGATAAAATAAAACAAAAAAAGATAGGGAAAAATAGTTTTTCTGGTTTATTTTTCATATTATATGGGACATTAATAAAAGGGATTTTTAATTCTAATGAAATTGATTGGTTAGGGAGGGACCCTAGCAATAATAGTAAGATATTAATGAAATATTAGTATGATATGAATTATCAAAAATGTTACATTTCAAGTTTAAATCTTTCCTACAGTCTCTTTCGATTTATATAAAAAATAGTGTCCATTTTTAACTCAGATTATAACAGTTTCACGATTTATCCTCCAGTTTTATTATCACTTGATGACACCAAGAAACTTACTTCATTTTTTGATGAATAGAAAAAAAATTAAATGAAAAAAATGTGTGTCATCGAAGAATTCTAGTTAGTATGAAATATAATATTTATTCTAATATCTTTATAAAGATATTAGAATATGACGATTATAATCGTCAAGTATGTTCACTAATATTATAATATGTTTCTTTAATGATAACTCTTTTATTCAAGGTCCATCTCCATAGATATTAAAAAACCCACTCATTTTAACTGCCATATAAAATGAGTTGTAAAAAGATATGACAAGATCACACAAAAGATAAGAAAAATTAATGTTTAATGTTTATAAGGAGTCGGTGCAAATATTGACTTTCATTTATTTAAGAGCATACATTTCGGTATTTTTGCATTAATATCAGAAATACTGGTAATTAAAATTGATAAAATAAGAATTATAAGACCATGACCGTCGACAATGCTTCAATAGCCGTTATACTTGGGTTAATATTTTAAATGTAAAACATTTATCAGTCTCAAAAAATTTTGAGACTACTTAATCTTATTTGCAGACAATCATATTTGTTGCTTCTGGATATTTTTTTTTGATATTGAACACGTTCTGTCATGTATTTTGTAAAGAAACATTTGTAATTTTTATCGCGTTGGCACAAGAGACAAAGTGAAAATTGGAATTTAGAATTTAAATCATACTAATTAATGGGAATAATGGCCTGTGTGTATATGTTTATTTATTTTGCGCACGATTTACCTAATAGGAAGTCAATTTTCTATTCAATGGACGTTTGAATGAACTGCTATTTTGTATGTTGCATTAAAATCATTCATTGTATCTATTTTATTATTTATTTAAATAGCTTTATATATATATATTTTTATATATATATATATATTTCTTGCAGCATTTTAATCATAACAAAAGTCTACTTAAAATTCATCCTCTCTTTAAAAACAATTTAAATTCTTATGCATAAATTATTGCACTGAATTATTAGTAGCAGTGATGAGAAAAAAAAATCCACTTTAACTAGAAATGGAATTGATAACTTGTCATTGAATCAATTGTTCTAATTTGATTGGATCCAAAAATGAGCTTAATTTAGGTAGACATATTTGAATTAGAGCATATCTAATTGAATAAAAATCAAAATATCAATTATTAAATCAAATAAAGTCTGATTAAATCTAAATAAATTTAATACAATTGAATTCATTTTTAGATTTACTTTAAATATTTCAGACAGAAGCAATGAAATCAGAAGACTTAAGAAAAAGTTAAAGCCATTGGATTAGTCATTAAGACTAATGAAATGGAAATTTAAAGGGCTCTTTATTTACTCCAAAATCAAGATATACTCGATTTAAAGATATGTGAATATTAAAATTATTTGTAATTTAAATTTTAAAAAAAAGATTGTAATTAATACAGAATCGATAATAAACAAAAATTGAATTTGAATAAATAACCTCACGTATTGGAGTAAATTAAATTGATTGGATCAAATTCAATTTTATTTATGATTGTCAGTCATACAAAAAAAAAAAATAAAAATTGAATTTAATCTGATCTGACAAAATTAAAAATATTTCTTTGAAAAATTTTGAAGTTGAAAATTAGATATGTTAGGATATAGGCGAAGTAAAACAATTATTTAAGTGAGAAATTTTAAATGACATTTAAATTTAAATTATTGTATAAATGTGTGCTAAAATTGATAAAATAAGTTTCAGTAATAATTCTACAATAAAAAAAAAATAACTGTTCATAAATTCATTATTAACAAGTTAACATGATAATAAAGTGCAATTTTAAATTAGCTCAATTGCCCATTTTTCTTGATTCTTATTGCATTCACAAAGTTATTTTATTATTTCAATACAACTTGTTTTGGAAATTGAAACTCTTGTTGTGATAATAATTAAATATTTTTTTGACTTAGTTTCTCCTTTTTTTTTTTTGTTATAAAACACAGTAATGAAAACAAAAACAATCTGTCTTTCGAAATAAAATAATATTTTTCACCTAATTTTTTATTTTTAATATTATTAAAAAATAATCTACATTTCCTTATCATATCAATAATGATGAAAATATCAGTTGTCCACAAATAGTACTAATTGGTCGATTAAAAATATATTAAAAAATAATTAAGTAATTTAATTGATGAAATGAACGAATTATATGGTGGTAGTTCTGATTGATTTTTTACGTCATTTAGATGATTTTGTTTATCTTAAACGTATGCTATATAAATCCTAAATGTCTTATCTATAATTGTCTAAATGATAATCTGGCATTTTATTAAATGGTAATCCGATAATTTAACATGTGCGTGACAATGCAAGTCATAAAAAAAGGCCTATTTGTGTTCCACGTGGCGACAAGTTGGTCGCTAAAAGAGGCTCACACGTGGTACAGTTGTGCATTACATAGCCATGTGCATATCACTAATTCCCTCCCTATGCAGTCTTACATGTTTTTTCTTCTGTTTTCTTTCCCCCTTAGAGAGTAGCAACGACGCGAGGGTAAATATAACCAACAACGTTTATTTTTATGCTCTATGTATATAGGGAGCTTAAAACTGTTTTACCACGTCGTTGAAACTTGGCGAGAGTAACTAATATGACATTAAAGAATTAAAGAATACAAAAAGTTTCTTTGTTACTTTCTTCCTCTTTAAATAAGATGAACAAACCTGAAAGAATATTTCAAATGGTAATGAGTATTGTTTTAAAACCGTTTTGTTGTTTTACGAAATGAAGAATTTATAAAAGTAGTACCTGAAGAATAATTTAAATAAAAATGCAGTTCACTATACGAAGCATCTGAATAAGAAAAGAGTTACTTAAGTTACAGTTGATGGCGTTTCAAATTGCAAGCAAGATCACTTTGTGTATGAGTAAAAAGGCACGTACACACGTGGACTTCCATCCTGCTCTCTCCTTCTCTCCTGCATTCCACTCAAAACGCCGGTTTATGTTTTTTCTCTTTCATTCTAGATTTTCTATCGCTCTTACTTTGTCACGAAGCAGCTGCCAAAAAAGGTGGCCAATTCCTAGGAAAAGGGGCAAGGAGAAACCGCAACATTCTCAGGAAATCTTGCTTCTTATTTTCTAATTCATTCGCTATTTGTGTGTTCAATTCATAGGAAATACCGTAAATGATTGTCAATAAACAATTAACTCAATAAAATAACGAGAAATTACTTGGAGCATTTTATATAATGCACTGTAACCTTCTAAACTACTTTTTTTATTTATTTATAACTTTTTTTCTGATGTAATAATTTAAATATTGGCTATTTAAAAATTTTCGCGGTTGATTTTAGCTTAACGCGCACAATCCTTAATGTTATCCTACAGGACATGAAATACTCCAATAAAATCATGACTGAAAGTGTGACTTACTTTTAATTTTATTGCCTCTGGAACGTCGTCCAATGATGAAACCGATGAATATTACCAATGCACCAAGTCCTAATGCACTGACGACAACAGGATCAGATAATCTGAGTCCCATTATTTTCAACGCCGCATCACCCATCTTCCTTGTGACTCCAGAAAATCGCTGACACTAAATATCTCGAATCTCGAAAACTTTCGAGATCGTTAAACACACAAACTTTTACCACACTCGCGATTTTTTGAGAGGAAAATCGTTTTTCTTTATAGACCTTCTTCACTCTCCTCTCAAAGACACTTCGGGATAAATCTCCCGGTATTTTCTTCGCGCCGCGATGCCTCGAGGCACACGATGTGCTGCCTCTCGACGCTCTCTTAAAGATTTTCTTACTCTCTCAGACTTCCTCTCACACCACAGATTATGAAAATAAACTAGAGAGCCATACGGATCAAATAAATAGCTCAAGTTTGCAGCTTACGTCGGTAAAGACGCGACAAACTGATTTTAAATAACAGCGCGATTTTTAAAAAAATTTTCAAATTCGTCTCGTCGTTGATTGATTGTTAAAAAATAATAAATCACTCGCGATAGTATATAAGAGTATCCAAAAGTGTTTCAAATCTTTTTGATTTTTCATTTCTTGCGAGCGCGACTCTCTGCTACTTCTCCGTCAAGTTTCTACAAGTTTCTGACCGCGTGCATTCCCGTACAAGCATCATCTACCGGTACACTGCTTACAAACCCGCGTCACTCCCACTCTACTTCATTCTCCAAAGCATACTACACATCATGGCTGTAATCCCCACCACTGTATCAAATAATTCGTGTGCTTTAACCACGACCTGCGCGTTTATTTTATCAACCAAGGAAGCAAAAAAGAACGAACAAGTTTGAGGCGTAACCTCACGTGTTAAAATTGTCCAATAGCAATTTAACAATAGACAACGTGTAACAATATTGAAAAATCAATCAAAATATTATGTTTTTTCTTTAATCAAAAAATCAACGAAATTGATGATCACAATCATATGTAATAAAGGTAATGCATTCATGTCAGGTTCATTACATTACTTTCCTCATTAATATCTTTTACTTAGATCATCGGATAACGATGATGCACTTTTCCTCGAACTCAACATTATGTTCAGAGAATCTATATGTGACTCAGAGTCTTGTATAGACGGGAAATCTCTGCTCTGAGGATACCGTGATATAAAGAACGAACGCGTCATTTATAGTTCAAGGTTAGAATATTATCCATCTAGGAAAAGCCAATATAATAGATAATAAATTTTGCTACTGTATTCATAGTATTAATAGGACGTTGGGAAGTAAATTTTTTAAAATTAAAATCAAGTATTCTATAATTGAAAAAATTGCTACATATTTTTGCATTAATATATAAAACTTATTTGTAAATCTATTTCAGATAAAACAATTTTATCAAAATGTTATTGATTTATTTTTTGTTTACCATTCTCAGAATCACAATGTACATTAGGGATTCAATTTATTATATTGATCAATGCGTCGACAAAATAATGTTATTTAATACAAAAAGAATGACATGATTAATACATAGAGTCAATTTGTTGCTTGTAAAAATACTGTGAGCATAGTTGTTTCAAGGTTTTGAAGTGTAAAATGTCAAATTTATTTTTAAATTTATGCTAAAGAAAGGTTCTGATAAAATTTTCATACAAGTACATACGCATGTTCATTTTAAGTTCAAGGAAATACTAGATTAACAATTGCAAATATAAAGCAAACAACGCACATTTGATGAAATAATTATTTGTAAATTTCAATATCTTCCGATGTTTGACGTTTTTATCTTTTTTGTTGACTTTACAGACATGCTGATAATGTCCCTTCAATTGGCAGAATCCAATCTTTATCATTTTCTCCAAGCTCTTGAGCACAACATGAAACATCAATGGAGTTTGCGTCAGCCTCATCGCGATACTACTCTTTACGAGTGAATGATCTTGAATAAAGCTACTATACAAATGATATATTGATAATAAATTGGATGGCAAGTCTTGAAAGTCATGATTTATGATGAACAAAATATGGGAAAGAGTAAAAATAAAATTATAAAATGTGACTTAATACGTAAATAAGAAGAAAAAGGGGGGAATGAAGACGTGAGAGGATGAAGGAGAGAAGTGAAAAGACGAAGATGCATACAATTTTGGTCCGTTAGTCGCCCCGTTACTTTTCCTGGTTTGAAACCTTCAACGTCCCCAATAAAAGACGGTCAGTTGATGGGGCAGAAAACCTTCAATTGAGATAATAGACATACAAACAGCTTACAGTAACAATAGGCTAGAATCCTAGTCTAATTCTAATCTGTTCTTATGCTTTATATTACTGAAGGTTTAGAATGGCTTCAAGAATATTACTCTCGACACTTCAATTGTCTCTGAAACATTAAGTGGGATAGACCATCAACTGGCACCCATATATTTGATGCTTGCGAATTAGCTATGGAAGTATAAATCCTAATGTTATGCTTTTGAATAGAAGCTGTATATTTTGTACAATGTAAAAGAAAAACTTCTTGGAAGATATTTATATTTATGACTTGGCTAATAAAATTTAGTGCTATTGGACCCTTCAATACTACAACATTCCCAGTCAGCTTGAAGACCACATGTCAGGTCAATAACACCAGCAAAACCACGTGTACTGATGTCAGACTTGATTGCTGTTACATATCAATTTATTTCGTGTCGCTTTGCTTTTCATAAAGCAATTAAATATTTTTTCAGATATTACGTGATGAGGTATGAGTTTTTCTTGTGGTTAACCACAGTTTTTTTTTTTCAATCAAACAGTAAAATAACAGGACGTTTTTTCAAGCTAGTATAAAAAAAATGTTACATGATTTTGTTTATTATGATTTTGTTTATTGAAGATAATACTATTTTGACTATTAAGAAATCAATAATAAAATTTTATTATTTTTTTATTACAAAATAAGCATCATTTTAATAGTTCAAGTTAAGAAGGTTGATACCTTTAGTTTTATAAAGAATATTAAATATAAATTTTAATTAATATTAATAATTCTGTTTTAAGAAACTTATGACGTTATTTTTTTCCTTCACATTGATTCTTATGACAGTTATATGAGTTTTCACTGAAATTACGTCATCAACTCAAATGGCAGTACAGTTCCAGTAAAACGTCACATAATTCTGATACAATAATTTTTAAAGAATTTAAATTAATTGTTAATTTAATTGATTTTTTTTTCCATCATATGTTCTTGGAGTAAAACTTGCATAAAATCATATAACATTTTACTGAAACTACATGGTCATTGAAATAAGTAAATAATACTAAAATATTACATGACCTTCTAAATAAGTTACCATAAATAAATTTCAATTAAAACTTCTTGAAAATCATGAAGAAATTATTTTTAAAAATCACGTTTACATTTTGCAAATTGATTCGAATTTATTTAAAAATTATAAATATAAATATTTACGTCTTGCTCCTTAAGTTGATTTTAATTCTGAAACTTTATTGGTCGATTATGTATTGGAAAAACAAATTAAAAAACAAATTAAGAAATAATGATATTGTTAGAACATGACCATACCTAAATTTTAATAGTTCCATCTATACTAAATAATCATTAACCATTGATATTGAATAAGAGCATTAAATTTTAATGATGAGAAAAGATTACTGTATTTGAATAAAAGAGTTTCTACATAGTTATTAAAATTTAATGCTCTTATTCAATATCAATGGTTAATGATTATTTAGTATAGATGGAACTATTAAAATTTAGGTATGGTCATGTTCTAACAATATCATTATTTCTTAATTTGTTTTTTAATTTGTTTTTCCAATACATAATCGACCAATAAAGTTTCAGAATTAAAATCAACTTAAGGAGCAAGACGTAAATATTTATATTTATAATTTTTAAATAAATTCGAATCAATTTGCAAAATGTAAACGTGATGAATAATTATTTCTTAGTTGCGGACGAAAAGCAATAAATCATTTTAGTTGCGGACAGGGTCTTGACCATCGTCATCTCTGTTGCAGACAGGGTCCATTCAGGTGGTGGTCATTGTCTTAAATTTGCGTTATATTTCTCAGTTGCCGACGAAAAGCAATAAACCGTTTTGGTTGCAGACAGGGTCCATTCAGGTGGTGGTCATTGTCTTAAATTTGCATTATATTTATCTGTAGGGTGGGACTCAATTTTTGTAGACGAGGCTACCTTTTCACTCTGTTTCGGTACCTGATTAATTTCTTATTGTCCCTGTCCGCAATTGAGACCACTATGGTCAAGACCCCGTCTGCAATTAAGACCACTATGGTCAATACAAGACCCCGTCCGCAACTGAGACATTTTATTACACTATTATTGGGCCTCGTTCGCAATTGAGGTGCAGCTGCTTCAAATGTACAAATTTTATCAGAGTTTTATTGACATTTAATGATATTTAAAGATACTCACCCGTTATAAATAAATTAAAAAAATGTGGGTGTTATTGATAAGCATTTAAATTATCCGTCATTTTGTTTTGTGTTATTTTTTATTTTGTCATGATCAGTCTTTTTTTCTCTTTCTTTCTTTTCTTCTCTATTCTTTGGAGTCTTTGTTTTGTAGAACATCCTCTCACCTCTCCGTTATCTCTCCAAGTAGCGGAATAGATTCGTTGACTTGTCTTGGGAGATTTCCGAACCCACTCGATCACATTGTTTCTTTTATAATATTACGAGCCAATTATCGCCATTTATATTTCACTTTTATCACACAGCGAGGTCGTGCTAAAAGTTCGATGGCATAGGAGAAAGACTGGCAAAGACAATAAACGATATGGAAGAAAAATAAACAAAACGTAGTAAAATAATGAGTACAATGGAGGTAATGTTTACTAATTAAATTGTATTTACACATTTACATTTAGTTTAAACGGATTAACGCTTATCAGGTATTGATATTTTTATCTGAGAATTCTAATAACTGAACATTTGGTCTATTGTCTTGAATATTAATATGTGTTGACCTGTTTTAATTTTTTTTTTTTCAGTTTAATTATTTAACGATCAATTTGGAATATATGCTAGTATTACTTCATCACATTGGATAAAACTGGATAAAAATATGGTCTATTATTTTGACATAAAATATATAAATTTATGTATTGGTTACTCTTCTCTTGGTATATTATGGCACACATCCAAGTCATCGAACGTGGACCATATTTCTAAATATATTCCTAAGGTTATTGGCCTCACGACTTCAATGAGACCTGTGCAAGCACAATGTCGTGTGTGAAAAAAGAAAAAATCTGTTTAAATAAAAAACAAATAAATTTAGCCGAGGACACGTTTGGGTGTTTTTTATACAAAGATGATTCAGTACAAGGATTTCTGCTTCAAAAAATTCACAGGTCATAGCTCCCTGAGAAGGTCTTGGGGATAAAAATTCAAAAATAAGGAAAATGTTATTCAAAAAAAAAATGGTTTGATCGAAAAAATTAATAAATATTTATGTAAGTGGAGAAACACGCTTCTTAACTGGAGGAAAAAATATACATCAAAAACATCAATTACATACACTTTGTTTTAGTATATCAAGTATGTATGCATATATATAATAATGATAAGAAAAAGTAATATATCCTTTTGATAATTTTCCTCTTATATAAAATTAAGAAATTTCCCAAAGCATGAGATATAATATTATTTACTCATTAACTACGTCATAAACGACATGAAAATGCGCGCGAAATAACATTAGAATCATTAAAAATTTTTTTAATCATCAAACTCTTACACGAATGTATTTTTGCTATTTCTACTTGCTTCCTAGTCTACACCTGAACATTATTATTGGCAACATGCCACGGTGTACGAAGTGCGCAATTTTCACTAGTACTCTCTTTATTTCCTGTCTTTTTCCCGTTACATTTATATAGAAATTGCACAATGGTTCATAGAATTGATCTGAAATTACGACATGGAAATAAGTCTAAGTAAAAAGAAAAAACGAAGGCACTTAATTAATATTAATATCAGAGTAGAAAAAAGTGTTATAAAATATACAAGTGTTTATAAATACTTATTTTTAATTATTATTATATGTATATCATTATCATCGATAGAAATAAGTGATTAAGTAACAACAAACTATTATAATAATAAATTCTTCCGTGATTAAGTAAAGCTATTACTTCCAGTTATTAGTCAGCAAATGAATCATTAGACAAATTGTAAACCTGATATTCGGTGAGCTATAGCTCCACAACTTCATTGACATTCAGTTACAGGTGATGACAAAAATTAGACGGAATGTGAAGAAGATATGACAATGAACAAAGACAGGAGACAAAGTATTTTTAATGATACACACGTGTCTAGATTGAACTGCGCGCGATTATTTAAAAGTACAAAATAATATACATAAATATTACTATCAAATAATACTTTCGTTGTGAATTTTCAAAAAAAAAAATGTCTATTATCTAGAGATTAATCGTCTTGATACATTATTGACTTACCTTGAGCTACAAAAATCCTTGAACACTTGTTATCGTGTTCCCAATTGTTCAATATAATCATCATGAGTTTTTTATCAAACTAAAAACAGCAGAGGTAAATAACAATTTAGCTTCACAATTATTATCTTTTTTTTCAATAAATTTAGCACGTTTTTTTGGAGATATATAAAAGTTTTTCGATGCAAATGAATAAGAAGAAGACATTTGTTGATCCACATTTGTTGCAATCACAATAGAAACTGAACTTTGTCTCTTGTTGTCGATGTTCCGTTGAAGAAGATACATTGACGCGACTCTGGTTGAGCTGGAGGTGGTTGTGAAGAAGAGAACGACACGACGTACGCGTGCAGCTTGGCCCCGCGATGTTGAGGTTCTGTGTCATGTCAAAAGACAGAGAAGAAAGAAGAAGAAGAGAGAAATATATAGTGCACTATCTCGGTCAAGCAGTTTGCTATCACACACTCTTAGTCACGTAAGTCTAAGTCTTGACGCAAGCCGTATATCGACTAAAATGCATCCAAATCATATGTGAGTAATTTATCAATATAATTATACATTAAGTGTACTAGTGTTGATTTTACATTGATGAGCAGGGAAAGAGGTTGATATTGACACATTGGCTACAAAAGAGATACAATATAAACAGAGAGAAAGAATGAAAAGTAAAGGCGTTTAACCACGATGATAATAAGCTGGTGATAAACCTGATGGCCAAGCCTTTATCCAGACTTTTTTTCGTATCTGCATGCCTACACTGCGACCTTGTATCTTTCTGATGCATAAGTTGCAGTTGGAATTCTGATGCGTCATTTATATCAAAACATTCATTGTTTTTGATTTTATTTTTATTATTTGGACTCCGATGTGACTTACAGAAATTTATTTGGATCATCTGTTTTGATGATTAAGTTGTTATGAAATAAAATAAAAATTAGTTATTAATGATACTACTTGACTGTATTTTTGTTTCGGTTTTTTAAAAGTCATCTCCCATTGGGAATTATGGATTATTAGCAAACAAAGACTTTTTAAATCTTTTTATTTAACCATTGTTACTATTGTAATTTTTAATGACTGGATTCACTTGATTTGGTATCAAAGATCTACATTAATATTCTTGGTACTTGAGATTTTTTTTTCAATGTAATTAGTATACATTTTAGATATTGGAAACGCTGTGCCACTGAGAATCACTATTGACTGTTAAAACTTTTTCAAGAACATCAACACAATTATAAAAAAGTTGAGTCGAGGTTGATTGAAAACGGAAGCAATGAATTCGTCTCTTCCGACAAGGTGCGAATGGCGACAAGAGCAATGACGCGTAGCTGTATGAGCTTTGAATAGACGAAGCGGAAATATATATTGTAAAAACAGTCCTGTCAATTTAGAAGTCATTCCTTGATTAAGAAGCCGGCACAAGGTTGACCTCCAGACATAGAATGGAAATTTATTTTACTTTTTATCATAACCACGTTATCCTAGTGATACTTTTTATTTCACGAGTAATGGCCAATATTTTTTTTTCATTATTTATTAAACGTATTTATCTGAGTAGGTGAATTATTACAAATTTTCACTGTAATTTGATAAACTTCATCCAAATTCCGTAATAAAAAATTTAGTTTCATCATCTACAACCTTATCTTCATGAAGCTCGAGTGTTGGCTAATTGGTTTCCGATATTGATAATTTTTTATTCTAATAAAACAATCCTTTCATCGGAAAAGCATTATATTTTTCTGGCTTAAAGTTTATGAATTAATTACTTTATTGTAAAAAAAAAGATGAGTAATAAATACATTGAAAAACAAAATATATAATAATACCTGATACTTCGTAAATTCTGCCAGAGATTTGACCTCTGAAAAATCAGACTTATAAAAATTTTTTTCAAGTCTTTCAAGACTAAACGAACTTTGATTTTTTTGGAACATAAACACAAAGAGTTGTGCAAGGTCACTTACTCTATAATTTACTGTATAAACAAATTGAAAATTTTAAAATAAAATTATTATTATTTAACATCAAGTCATTTTCAAACTCTCTAGTTGAATACACAAGTCATTATCTATTCTTAACCTAGAATCATTATTTATAAACATTAGAAATACATTATGCAAATTTTTCATTATTCTATTAACGGTATTTACGCTAATTAGAAACAATTATAAGTATTTCAATCTGTATAATGAGGCATTTAAAAATTTTGCTAGTGCCACCTATTGTATTAATTATGAATCATAAAAAAATGAATTAACTTGGTGGATAAAGGTGTTTATAATAATTATGCATTGTTTCAGTAATCAATTAAAATATCACTTTAAAAAAAATGATAAATAAAACAGAAAAAAAAACAATAATATTATTATTTTTATCAATAAAAAAATTATTTCGATTTAAGGATAATTTTATTTTCAAGAATTATATGTTTACACAATTAATGAAAATTAAAGAAAGATAGAATGATTATTGTTGCATGAATTCGTATGAAAATTACAGACATTTTATTTTTTATCAGAGTGACTAAACAGTATTATTGGATCATTGCCCTAAAAATAATAATTGCTAGTACATACGTCAATGTCACATGATTGTTTTCATAGCATCGTAATTACTATAACAACATTGCGTTGCAATAAAATGCAACATACGCATTACATTATTCTCAAAAAATTGACATCATCTAATTGCATCAACTTGTATATTTGTCTTCTGTTATTAAAATCTTATTATAAGAAAAATAGCCACGTGGAAAAGTCCTTTTTAAACGACGCGCTTCAATATTTAAAAAAAAGCCAAGCAGCGACATCTCATTCATTTGTAAATAATAATAAAAAATAAAGTTAGTAAATAATTTGTTGTACAAAAAATTATGAAAATTATTGAAGACAATTATTTAAAGAGATAAAAGTGACATCTTGATGATTCAAAAATGATCCCACACCTAGAATTTTCCAGAATCTTGACGGTAATAAAGATGGACCTGCGCTGAAGAGATTCGCTCCCACTTACGCAACTTTATCGACCAAGTCGTGGTTTTATTAACGAAAACCTGACTCAGTTACAAAGAGAATCACAAAGTGTACGTACGCAAATTAAACTTTAAACAAATTTCAAGTGATAATCAACATGCCACGACGAGGACGTGCTGCTGCTCCTCCTCCAAGGACGTAAGTATTTTTTACAAAAAATTGAATCCTAAGTTAAAACTCAATTATTTCTGTAATCGAATCATAAATTTGCATTACGTCACAGTACCAAGGTCCAGAACATTGTAGAAATATTCATAGATACACAATGATTGGATAATTGGTTCATAGTAATTTCTACAAATTGAGCAACGACATTATTATTTACATCAGAAAAATAACTATTTTCTTTCATTCATTTAATTATCAGTTGTATTGATTCATTAATTGTATTTTAGGGTTAGGCCTTCTCATCCACCAGCGAGGGCCATGCCACCAGCCCCAGCACCTGCAGCTCCAGCAGCTCCAATGGTCGCCCAACCATCTCAAGGGCCATCATTGATGGGACAAATGGCAGCTACTGCTGGAGGTGTAGCTATCGGATCTGCAGTTGGACATACAATTGGACATGCTATGACTGGATTATTCAGTGGAGGCTCTAGCGAGGCTGCAGCTCCAGCTGCTGCTGCACCAGTACCACAACAAAGCATGCCATCTGCTCCTGCTGGTGGTGCATGTGCTTGGGAGGTCAAACAATTCCTCGAATGTGCTCAAACACAGCAAGATTTGACACTCTGTGACGGCTTTAACGAGGCTTTACGTCAATGCAAGATGGCTAATCGTTAGTATTTGGCAATAGTTCAATATTTATTACATTAACACTTAAGATTCTTAAATTTCCCTTTTTTCTCTTTTTCAGACATTTAAAATCGTAGTATTAATCCTAATAGCAAATCAACACGACATGAAAAAAATTCGCAATACCATCTTGCAATATTAAGTATTTTGAAATTAAATGTAATAGAAAAGTGGGAGAAAGTAATAAATTAGATATTAAACATTTTATTTCTTTTTTTTGCTTCTGCAACCTTGTTGAATATGAAGATTTAATTCGAAACAATGTAAAAGAAAACCTTGTAATGATAAATAAATTTCTTTTGGCATTAAAATAATGAGAAAATTGTTTCTATATTTTTATCAGCAAACCAGAACAATCCAACTTTTACCGCAAAAAGCAGCATCAACGTACAAAGAAAGTTAAATAGAGTTAAAAATCTCACATGTCACCAGTAGCACGTGAAAAATAATTATTTACATGAACAACAACAATACCTTTATCAATGTTTATTTTCTAAATATTCATATCACTTAGATCAAGGTCAAGAGGATTGTAAGATAGCTATATTATTATCAATTGTAAATTTTAATATCTCATTCATTATCCAAATAGCCAATGAATAATTAAGTATCCATTAAATTATAAAATAAAATAAATACTCAAAATTAAATAAGTAATCTTAACTTAAAAAATATTCTAAAAACTTATACAATAAAAAAACATTAAAAATTGTCGGCCTCGAAATAACAAAAAATTGATGAAGCTGTAGGGAACAATATTTTTATTAACTTAATCGTGCTTACGAGTTGAGTTTTAAACAAGTGGTACGTTCAAGAGAAGAACAAAATCAAATGGTAGACTATCTTTTTTCTGTATTGAAAACTCGCATCATCATAAATCCAGCAACAGTAGCTGCCGCTATTCCTAGACCAGCTTTCCACCAAACCACTGAATCTCCTTGAATGAGTCCAAACTGTTTCATGTGCCTGCAAGACAATAAAAATATATTGATATTTTATTTCAATATCATTTACATGTAATTTTTATATCACCAATAGCCACATCTACTTTTTTAAAACAATAATTGAATAATGTGCGAACATAGTGAAGCAGTGATTTTCTAACCCGATGCAATACCATGTGCACAATGGTTTTTGGGTAGGATTCCAATATTTTTGTTCAGCAAAAAATTTAAAACAATAATTTTTTAAATATATTCAAGTTATTCAACCATTGAAAATTGAATTTCAATAAACATTTTTGCTAAACAAAAATCCCAAATTCTAAATTTACATTGATGATCCAAAAAAGTTAGGAAAAGGCATTATTAACATAAATATTTTAATTAATAAAAATGAATGACTTTGATGGCATGCACATGCCACACACCCGTAACTGTTAAAGAAATCCACTGTGATAATGATTAATTAATAATTAATTAACAAGTAATGGAAAAAATGTTCATGTCTCTTTAACAAGAAAGAGGACAAAGACCTTTTAAAGGAACTCCACCACCGAGTTGGTGAAGAGTTGTCAAGCAACACGTGGACCATACGCCGTAAATGGCTGAAAAGATTCAGTAGATCGTGTTTTTACCATGATTTTTATGTGACAATGATTTTTATACTAGTTTTTTTTTTAATTCTACAGTTGTCAATTGTCAGTTACACAATGTGATGGGTGTGTGAAAATTAGAAGAAGCACATTTCACAAAAAGCCTAAATATCAGCGAATTTACATTAAGGTGATGACTTTCGCTCCGAATGTCTAATGTATTAAAAATTACGTGCCTATAAATTTTTAACAGTGTAATTGGAACCAACCTGTGTTTGTAAAATAATACCCACGCTGCTTGAAAGCGGCTAAACACGAAATTGGCTTCCGTTAGTGACACGTTTAATTAAAATTTTTATTTTAATATCTAATCATTAAATCGCAAATAAAAATTTTAAAAAATGCTATTTTATCAACAAGTGAATCTAAAAATATTTTTTGTTTAAGTGAAAAATATAGGGAAGTAGCGAAGACATTCCCAAAAAAAAATTTTATAACAAAATTCTAAAGCAATTTAATTATTTTTTCATGTTAAAACGAAGCAATCTAGATTTTTTTTCGTATGTAATAGGCATTCTTAGAAATAAGAATTGAATTGAAATGAATATATAAAATAGTCTAATTTATTACGGTAAATAAATAATTTTCTATCATAGAAACTTACGGAAAAGCTGCCATCGTTGCAAGTTTAACAAAAATTTCTGGTCTTACAGTTCGCGTAACACTGTAGGGTTGTGGTGGCATCAGTTTATATTTGTTGCAGAAACTTGGCGGTTGAAGTAAATAATCTTGCTTTACTTCTGATAAATCACTTTTGTTTGCTACGATCAATACTGGAATTTTACTGTCCGCAAAATATTTCTATAAAAAGAAAAATTAATTAATTAAATTATTAAACCAAACTACATTTTAAAAAAAGCATTCACAACATATATTTAATACTTACAATGTAAATTCGCGCGATATATTCAAATGATCTGGGATTGCTTGCATCATAAACAAGAGCTGCTGCATCACATTGAATTTGTGCGGGAGTCAAGGCATCTTGGACATTCATAATATTTATGTCTCGTAAGATAATGATTTTTTCCTGTCCATAAACGTGAACAGTGTTTACTGCTACATTAGCATTAGTTGGAACTTTGTCATCAGTTAATTTCTGTAAATAAAAATTTACAATAATTAATTCACTAATGAAATACTAGTTATTTATCATTTCATATTCTTTTTTTAACTTACTTCAAGTTTTGGATCAATGAAACTCCTGCACAAAGTCGTTTTTCCACTACTTTTTGGTCCGATCACATGACAAGTGTATACGTTACGGCTGGATTGCTTTTTAGCAAGATCCAGTTTTTTTTCTCGTGTCACTGTGATTGCACTTGTCTGACATTCATCATTGAACATATTATAGCCCAGATATGCCATATATTCTAGTGTTTTGCGAACATTGGTTAAAGTTAAAAGAGCCCACTGACACATGTACCCCTGATAGGTTATCCACCCCTAAAAAATAAACAATTACACAAGTATGATTTATATTTGTTTTATTGTTTATGTTAAGTATTAATTAATCAAAGTAATTTCAGCTTTCTAAATACATACCTTTTCATTTGTAGCTACTGTATGTTTGTACTCATCACCCCACGGTGGTGTAACACAGCGAGAAAATAAAGCTTCGAGTTCTGATGGTGAAAGAGCTCCATCACGATCTCTATCATGCTGCATAAATAAAATTGTTAAAAATTCCTGTCCTTTATGAGAAAGTTCTGTTGTACAGCCATGGGGAACTTTCAAGCTGAAATTTTTAATACATTTTTTTATTCATTATAATTAATAAAATAAAAGGAATTATGAGTTACTGAAATTAGAAAAAATTCTTACGGAGGATGGATGTATTCCTTAGACATTTGCAATTCATTATCATATCCAAACTTTCGCAGAACTGCCCATGTTGTTTCATTCCTCCCTCGTTGAATAAATAAACATTGTAGATACATAAAACCTACGTGATGAATATAAAAATAATTCAATCTTTTGTTTTTTTATTCAATGATTTATATTATTCGAGAGTTGCATAGTTAAATAAATTTTGAATGTACCTTTCATAGTAACACAACCATTACAAATACCATCTTGAATATTTTTTGAAAGAACTGCCTTTACATCTTCAAGAACTTGCGGTTGAAGAGGTGTATTGAAACATGATTGTTGGAAAGCATTGAGTTCCATGTCATTTAACAATCCATCATTATCAAAGTCACATATCTATAAAAAAATTAAAAATTATTCATAATTTTTATACGTAGGAGTAATGAACTGTCATGATAATTTTTCGTTAATAATAAATAATTATACCTTAAAAATTCTTTGAAGAGCTGCTTTACATTCCTCGGTTAGCTGCATATTAAAGAAATCATCAATAAATTAATATTAATTATTTACTGGAGAGTTAAAATAATTAATTAATATAAGAATAATGAAAATTCACCTCTTGCGTATCATAATTATACAATGGAGTAGTAGGATGAAGTACAGCTTTTTGTGCATAGTAAAACATTTCTGAAATATTTTGTAACGTTTTAGCTGAACACTCGATACAACTTTCAATTTCTGAAAATTCTTTCATTATAGGATATACAGCCTGAAAAAAATAACATTAGCAATTATATGTAACAGTTAAAAAATTATCATCAATTAGTTGATTAGTAACGAGTTAATTATACACACCTCAATATTAGAATAATCTACTAGATCTATTTTATTTCCAACCAATACCACAGGGCATTTATTTGTTGTTGAACACTTTCTTATTAGTGGTAACCAGTGACTTGCTACACGGTCCAATGTATCATCATCATCAACCGAATAAACAACACATATTACATGAGCTTTTTGAATTTCTTCCTTGAGTTGATCATCTGTTTGTTCAGAAACTGTAAAACAATTGTTCTCCAATTTATATTTATTCATTAGTACTTTATTAAATATAATACTGGGTACTAAATTAAATTGCAAAAATTAATTACAATGCTTATTATAATTAAAAAATTATAACAATTCCGTTATAATGAATGGAGCATAATATGTAACTCCATTTATGTATACTCATTAACATGCACTCAGTCCTTGAATCTAACCTTTCCTTTTGGGATCACAAGATTTATAATTGATACTCACCAGAATAATCAACAATATGAGTCGGAACTTGTTCTGGAGTAACATCTGCAGGAATTGTTATTTCTTCAGCTTTATTTGGAACATCCTCAGCATATTCTTCACTCACTAAAGAAAGGATTAAGGAAGTTTTGCCGACTCCCTGATCACCAATCAGGAGTATCCTGACATTCCGACGAGGAGCAACCGGTCGTTGCACCATTTTTTTCCACTGATTTATTTATTTACACATAAATTATAGATACAAACATAATTTGTGATTAACTTAACAGAAAAAACATCCTTGAACAGGAGCAAAACGCCAACCTAACCTCTCTTTCACAACCGTTTGCGGTGTACCCTACTAATTCGACTTTCTTCGACTCTCTTCGTTGTTGTCCGCGTTAAAAACATGCAATTAGATAATCCGCGCGTAAATCCAAACCATTCTCAATCGCAAACGCACGCCCAACTGCACGCTAAACCTTGTTTTTTATACACTTCAACGAATTTTAACTCATCTTTTGAGTCATACTCCACACACAACTAACAGAAAAACACCCCACACGCAGCGAACTCTCCGTGGGCGTTTGCAGAAACTCTAGAGTTGACCTCCACTGGGGGTAGCACACAAGTTTTCAAGGTTACACACGAGCATGACAAAGATAGAAAATTAATAAAGAAAGACAGTAACAGCTGATTTTAATGTCAAGTCCACAAACTCGGGATTGTGCGCGAAATAATTGATCTTTCAAGAACTGCAAGATGAGTTTGGATATGTGTCTATTTATCAATAAAAAACCTTGGATTGAAGGATTTGCTTTACCACCGTCTAGAAGAACTGCCAAACACTAATAATAGCTAGACTCTACACTCCATTTTCTTCCTTTCATGAATTTTCTCTAGGATTAATACAATGTCTACCAATAAATTGTCAGTGAAATTATACTATTAACATTTTGTAATTCTGCAATATTTAATATCTCAATACAACACTCAGCAAACTCTGACTTTTGCAAAGTAATCATCAAAGGTTTGAAAATGTCTAGGGTACGGTGTATACTTGAAGAGCACAGAGCTACTCAAGTGCTGCTTTAATAAGTACGTAGTAAATTCTTCTAAAGGTCATCTGAACTCTCGAAGGTCCAGTTGTAAAACTTTTCATGAATTGTTTCAGGAATGGTTAAATTCTGACTTTAGTTGAATACATAGCCAGTTTTCTTATGCTCAAGAATGCTTTATTAAGGGTACAACTTAAAGAGCTTACTGTTAACTCAGAAAGTTTCTCAACTCTAGATAATTTGAACTTATTAGTTCCAGCACGAAGATTTTACGGCACTCAGAATTTTTATGCAAAAAAATTTGTTCACATATTAAAGTGTTTCTATTTTGCAGGAGTAATGGTCTATAAAGTATTTTTTCATATGTTAAATATATGAAAATGAAAGTTAAATACATGGCATTAATTATCATTTATTAATAGCTACTAATATTATTAGCATGTTATGCATGCTAGGACATTTTAATAAAAAAAAAGTAGAATAAATTTGCATGAAAAATTAGCAATGCCTTGTTAAGTCCAATCTCTATAAATTTTTTTACTAATTTAAAGTCGAACAATTTTGTTTATCAATAAAATCAATGAAGAAAATTATTTAAAACTTGATGATCATTATCACTGTATTGAACAGCTAATTTTGATAATCAATATTCATCGCCAGAAAACTTGTACTGACCAAAATAATCATATTTGATTGGACTGAAAGTTCTCTTCAAATAGTAATTTTTCTAGACAATGTAAAAAAAGAAGCAATTTATCCACATCAAGTTATCATTTTGAAAAATACGAAGTATTTAATAATCATAATAAATTACATTTCAACTTCAAAAACATGATAATGTTGACTACAATAATTAAGATGCACAATTATGTAATTTTAATAATGAGATAAATACAATTTAACATTATACTTAAATTGTATCAGTAATTATCATGTTTTTAACTTTTATCAAACTTAATTAAGAGTTTAATGGAAAAAAACATGATACACTATTCATGTTCAAATATCAAAACATATATTTTTCACTTTATCACCAAACATTTGTGTCTATTACCATTAAGATATTGTAAAACAAATTAATATAAAAGATTAAATTGACTACATGACTGCATTTTTAAAGATATTTGTTCCACCCTAACTTTAATTTGCAAGCTATTGCATGAAATTTTCATATCACGTTGGATAAATTCGTGATTGTGATAACCTGAAATGAGAAAATACTACAGAAACTGCGATGAACCCCGTAGACATACACTTGATGGATGGGTGATTATGGGTCATGAGTTCATAATGATATGTCCAAATTTCTTGATACAAAAATCGTATAAAAGCTACAGCGGTGAAACTGGAAGATGTAGACGAGATCTCTGGTTTCGTTCAAGATGCGCGTCAGCATTCTTATTGCAGCCCTTGTGGCAACTGTTGCCGCTATTCCTACACCATTGAAGCACCATGCTGGTAAGCTTATTTCTTTTGAAAATATTTCATTTAACAAATAAAGAATTTTTTTGGGTAGAAATAATTAACTTCATTCCATACTAACATCTAAAATGATATTTGATCATTTTAATTTGTAGCTGATCAAGAGCTTCTTAAGAAGCAACAAGACATCATCTACTTGTTCGACCAAATAACTCAACCAATTCCCAACCAACAATTGTACAACCTCGGTTTCAACTACAACATTGAGCAGAACTTGGTTGATTACGTTGAACCACAAATTGTCAAGTATTACGTTGGTTTGGTCCACCACGGCCATGTTCAACCAAAAGGAACTCCATTCTCCTGTTCCGTGAGCCAACTCCGTAAAGAAGCTGCTCTTCTTACTAGAGTACTTCTTGGTGCTAAAAACTACAACGTCTTCTTGAAGACTGCTGCTTGGGCCCGCATTCATGTGAATGAACACCAATTCATCAAGGTATAAATCAAACGAGCAATAAATTCTTTGCAAAAAAGTTATCCATGCAAGAGACCTGAAAAATCAAAATTTCTGTTACAGGCTGTCATCGCTGCTCTCCTCCAACACCCAGACACCCAGGGAGTCATTCCTCCAGCTCTCTATGAGATCCTTCCTCAACACTACTTCGATGCCCGAGTTATCCACGAAGCCCAGAATGTTAAAATTCTTGGAGTTGACAACCCATTGACTGAACAAACTGTTGTCATTCCCGTCAACTACACTGACTACCTCCCAGGTGGTGAACAACAACTTTCTTACTTCACTCAGGATATTGGTCTTGCCCTCTACTATGCTTATGTCTCCCTTGCTGGATACATGGTCCCAGACGTAAGTATTTAAAGTAAAAAAAGTTCATATGAATAACATCTATAATCATTAAAAAATTTTATTTTACTTTTAATAGAACTTCAGTGGATACAACTCTCACGTTGAAGGTAGCCAACATTCCCACATTGGACGTGGACAAATCTACTATTACCTTCACCAACAACTCTTGGCTCACTACAACCTCCAACGTCTTTCTCACGGTCTTGGACCCATTGACGAAATTGACTTTGAACACATTCAAACTCCCTACCACCCACATCTCTACCACACCAACGGACTTCAATTCGCTGGTCGTTCTCACGACATTCATCTTTCTCCTTACTACCATGATCTCGTTAAGAACGTCCACGTTCTCGAGAAGAGACTTAGTGATGCTATTGACGCTGGATACGTCATCACCCCTCAACAAGCTTTCTTGTCTCTTTACCAACCCCACGGTCTTAACATCTTGGGAGAACTCATTGAAGGAACTGGCAAGAGCGTAAACCCACGTTACTACGGAAGCTTCCAAGCTGCTGCCCGTCAACTTCTTGGAAACGCCCCGGAATTCAGCAACATCTGGGAATACACTCCAGCTCCTCTTGATATCCACGAAACCGCTGTTCGTGACCCAGCTTTCTACCAACTCTACAAACGTGTTATCAAGCTCTTCCACCAATACCAAGAATCTCTCCCAGCTTACCAATATGACGACCTCGTTGTTCCCGGTGTTACCATTGAGAAGGTCATCTTCCCCAACCTTGTCACTTACTTCGACTCTCACGTTGTAAGCCTTGGCAACGGAATCGTTCAACCCGTCAACAAAGTTGAACAAGAAAACCTCAAAGTCAAAGCTGAAGTCCACAGACTCAACCACAAACCCTACGAATACCAGATTGTTGTAAACAGCGAGAAACCTATCACCAACGCTGTTGTCCGTGTCTACCTTGCTCCTAAATACAACTACGATGGCAAACCCATTGACATTAACCACCACAGACACTACTTCGTTGAACTTGACCAATTTGTCCATGATCGTAAGTTCTTGAATTTTTTTTTGAGATTTATGGAGTGGTAATGATTGATGATTTATTATAATAATTTTTTATTATAGTCCACGAAGGCAAGAACGTCATTGTTCGTGATTCTCACCACGCTCCTCACTTGAGCCACGACTACCCATCCGTCCACCACATCAGCACCTACATTGACAGCGCTGTCCGCTCTCAAGCTCCATACTACGTCTCTGAACCTCACCAGATCTTCGGATTCCCCGCCAGGTTGTCCATTCCTAAAGGTCAATACGGTGGATTCCCAGTCCAAGTTTTGGTTGTTGTCAGCACCCCTGAACCTACTGGTGTACAGTATGGTCCAGTCGTCCCAGCTCAATATCAGACTTACCAGAAACCCTACTATCAGGTTGTTGATGGAGAACAATACCATGAAGGCCAAGGACAGGTCCAGGGACACGTTCAAGGACACATCCATCACTCTGTCGATGTCCTTCCCCACTGGCACAGCTACGGAGTTTACGGAAACGATGGTAATTTGATTTAATTGAAAAAAAAAACTTATTTTCTTGCGATAGAACATATTTTTAACTCATGGCTATTCTCAATTTTAGCTGAAAAACTGAAGTACTACTACGGTCACTACCTCTACCAGAAATACCCACAACAATACCCCATCCCCCACGTTCAATACTATGGAGGAGAACATTACCAAACTGGAACTCATGGTTACGGACATCAAGGAATCCATCATCAACAAGGACACCAAGTCTATGGCCATCAATACCAAGGACATCAATACCAAGGACATCAATACCAAGGACAACAATACCAAGGACAGCAATACCAAGGACAACAATACCAAGTCCCTGTTAGCCACATCCAACAATCTGGAGTTCACGGAGTCCCAATCGTCCAACAAGGAGTATACCAAGGTGAAGGTGTTCAAGGAACAGGATACCAAGGTGGAGTAACCTACCCCTACATCGTTGGTGGAGTCCACGGAGTTCAGGGAGTTGAAGGAGTCCATGGAGTTGAAGGAGTTCACGGAGTCCACGGTGTTCACGGAGGCCAAGGAGTTCACGGAGGTCAAGGAGTTCACGGAGTTAAAGGAGTTGAAGGAGTCCAGGAAATCGAAGGAGTTCACGGAGTCCACAACACCTACGATATCAACAAACACAACGTTGAATACCTCCAGAAATACTACCATGGCAAACACATCAGTGAAGTGATCGGAGGTGCTGTATCCCTTGACCACAAACCTTTGGGATACCCATTCAACAGACCTCTTGCACCAAGTGCCTTGTATGTTCCCAACATGAAGATCGCTGACGTTATCGTCTACCACCACGACACTACCCCTGTCTACTAAGCTTTCTCTCAATAGTAGCACGATCAGACAATGATTGCTGATCTTTTTCAATTATTTTTGTAACTCTTCAATTTTAACGAAATAAATTGTTTCTGAATGCAAAATTAATTCTCAAACTTTTTAAAATATCCAATCCTATTTATATTACTGTCAGTTCAACAAAACATTCAAGTATTTTCTATTTTAGAAGCTAATTATGTATATTGAAAAATAATTATAGAAGGATTGCTTAATAATTGACTATAAAAAGATTAACATGCTTTTATTTTAGGAAAATAATTTTTTTTAAATACAAATTTGTATTATAATACTAAAAAATAACTTATTTTATTATAATTGTAATGATCTATTATGAAGTATAAATATGTTAATTAAACATTAAATGATTTTATATTATAGTGGCTATAGAGAACAAAAAAAAATACTTGATGGTATTGTATAATTTACTTTATCATTAATGAATGTAAAGTAGAGGATCCAGATGAGATTTTGTGTCTTTTGAAACAATTTCCTAAGAAAATACCTAAGATAATTTACTCGCCTGTCATCATCTCCATGAATTCTGAAATAGAATTAACAGCTGAGTCATTTGTCTGAAAAAAGATATCTCATTAAAGATGAGTGATGAGTACAAACCGTCAAAATCCACTGTTCCTGAGCCATCAGTATCGATTTCAGCTATTATGCCATCGAGGTCAGAGCTTGTTAACTTATCATCCAAGGCAGCTAAAATTTCTTTTAAAGTAGCTGTGGTGATATATCCATTTCCTTCACGGTCATAAAGACGGAACGCTTCTTTCAATTCTTCTTGCATAGCTTCAGCATCCTCTTCTTCTAGAAATCTTCCGGCAATTTTACAGAAACCATCAAAGTTCACCTTTCCTACATGATCAGGATCATTTTCTTCTATTATTGCATTTAATTCTGCATCGTCAAATAGTTGGCCCATTGTATTTAATATTGTTGAAATTTTGATAGTGTCAATGAAACCAGACTTTGACGTATCAAACATTTGAAATGCTTTTCGCATAATGGCTACTTTTTGCTCGTCTTCTTCCTGAAAAATAATTGAGTAATTTTTTTTATCATTAAGCATTTAAATTAATTAATTAATCATTCAGATTATTCTTAAACCAATTAATAAATACGTTCTTTGATTAACTAGATTATCAGCTAACAAGGAAATTGATGATATCTTGGTACAACAAATTTATTAAAATAATCTATTTTTTTGTTAAATACAAAGTTATATTTAAATCATCCTTAATTATTGATTTTTATTTAACTTTTCTTTTCATTCAATTTTTCATTTCTTTTAAATATTAGAAAAAATTAAAAAAAAAAATCGAATTTTTGAAATAATGCCTTCCAAAGAGAATGACTTTAGCACATGATAATTATTATTTTTTTTTATTATTATTAATTTTAAGTTTTACACTTCACAAAAATCAAAGAATCACTTAAAAAAATAAAAAAAAAAAAAAAAATCATATATTTCACTTAAAAATCACTATAAAAAATTTTATCACTAAAAAAATCCATTCTCTAAAGATGACAATTGATAAGACTAATGAACACCAAGAGGGAAAGATAGACCCTTACCATGATGGTTGTCTTGTTCGGCGGATAGAAATTACCTGACAAGAACCTGCAGCTTCTCCGGATGATATAAAGGCTCGTGGGGTGAACCAGCTAGAAAAGCTACAACTCGGCACAAAAATAGCGGCGTGCATGAGCCGAAAAATGAAATATGTTATAAGTGCTAGTCGAGGTTTTCACGTAGACAGAAGATCTGAACGTACTGTGACTAACTCATTCGGACTACAAACGTGTAATCCATTACAAGTTAATGTTTTTGATGATCCGCACCTGTTAAAGTTGGATCTATATCAATAAATACCACAATAATTTTTTCTTATATTCACTAAGAAAATATCATTAACAAAAAAAACATCACTTACTCTACATTCCAGATCTAAGAGTCATCATTAGTAATTGATGAAAAATTTTAATGAATTTTCAGGTCATGAGGAAGACTCCTACGTATTTCCTGGTTGGCAGAGCCCAATTTTATTGAAGTATAAATTACGTTAATATATTTAAGACTAGCAGCATAGCATTTTCTCCAATAATAAGGAGACGAAACGAAGTGTCGCAAGCAATTACGCAACATAGTGTTGATGAAGCCAGTACAAAATTATCTTCCAGTAAACTATTTGGCTCAATTTAATGAAACAAACAAAGAAACAATAGAAGACAATTCTTTCTAATAAATGAAAGCGATCGAAGAAATTTATCTCCAAGAGGGACAAAAATTAGATCTTTATTTCAAAGACTGTTCCTAATTGAAGGAACTATAAAATATATCAAGTTATGAATGTTACACAGCTTACATTGTGTTGAACAATTGTTGAGAAGCTATTGTGAATATTGGTGAACAAAATGCATTTAGTAGTCTAATAAATTCATCAATGAAAGAAAGATTTTATTTATGAATTCTTAATGATTCAGTAAATTATTTGTTAGCTGACATTTGGATTGTCTTCAACTATTTCTTCGATTATTTCTCTTTAATATGCAAATACAAGAAATTCAGTCATGATGATGATCCATAAAGATTCTAATTCAAAGAAATTGGAATGAAAGAAAATTGAATTAATGCTTGTAGTTTTACGGTACGTTTACTCGACAACACTCATCTCACTCTCCTTTTCAACTCTTTTTCATGTCTTCTCACTTCATCCTACACCGAATCAACGAAATATTCTGTGCCAATTTACAAAAGACATTTGTATCTGGCAAACTATCGCGTCTGAGATACGAATCGTTTGAAAAGAATGCAGTGGATGGTCCTTCTGAATTCCGAAATGTTCAAGAGACATTTTCGTTTTATTATGTATATTTATGTAAGACTCATCAGTAGAGTTTCATGGTTCATAGCAAATAATTTCTGTTACTATTATTATCATTTTTAGCAACATCTTCATTGACCAAAGAGATAAATATGACAACTACTTAGCCTCTCCAATAAAAGGCGAAGGATAACTTCGTGAATCTTTTGATCATTTCGACCTGAAAACACATAGCTGATGATGAAGAAGGCCAAGCAATATTTAAATCAACACGTAGCAGTAATTTCTTCATGTGGCTGTTGGTATTATTAACTTGATAATTTAACTGAAGGTTATCCTAAGATAATTTCTATTCTAATCTAAATACAAATAATCAAGATTAAGATATTAATACAATTATTAACCGGATGTTCATTCTGAAAATAATATTTATAATGTGTTGAGAGAGTAGCAAAAAATACTCAAATTTAATTATAATTTCTATTTTGTACCATACAATGTGATAATTTTATTTTTTTATTTAATTATCCATCTATTTTTGTTTACAATGGAAATTAATTTTTTTACATACTTTTCATTGTTTTTAATTTACATAGTATACAGTTATGCTCAAATAAAATAACTTTTTGTTTGATTTAAATACTTTTCGCAAGTTTCTTTGACTTATAAATTATTTACTGGGTTGGTGTTTTGTTTATTTTTATGCATTAAAGAGACATCTGGTCAATGCTCAGCTGGATTTATTCACTGAGAGAAAGAGTGAACACAAATAAAGGATATTTAAATCCTTCAGTTCACAGAAAAATAGTTGAAAAATATTTTTTTATAGTATACATATATCTGTTGAGAGCTAGAGTAGTATAAGTATTTAACAATACAGTAAGAGAAGTAACTATAGACAATTGTTTGAATTATGTTTATTTCTTGACATTTTTCATTCGAGTTCATTCACTTTCATCAATTCAATAATGAACTGAAATGATTCTTCTATATCTGGATTGGTTGGCTACGGGCCATTCACCACGAATAAGCTTGTGGGTTTCGCATATTCGTTTTTCACCCACATTATTATTACAATCGAGGATAGTTCGTCACGCGTCATCAACTCTGCCCAAAAATAACCAACATTGCATGACAACCGGAGCAAATATCTTTATGTAACAAACATAAATAAACCATCTATTTTCCATCAACATTTTATTTAAAAAATGAATTCTTTTCGTTGACTCATACATTTTCTACTTTAAGAACATTTTCTGAGTTTAGCATCAAACAAATTCGTAACTTTTTAAGACTAATTAATCAGTTTGTTTAACTATAAAATATATATGATTTCATTAGTGTCTATAATTTACTAAATTCTTCAAAAATTTGTAATGGAGTATTTTTAAAATAACTAAAAAACATTAGACACTGGTGTATATTATTTGTACTTAACTGATAAGAGGCATTAATGAGTTAATGAGCGTAACGACCTATTAGTATACATCTCAATACATTTTAATATTGCTTCTTTCTTTTTACTTTCTATACTTTTATCTTTTTTCGTACAATGTTATTGAATAGATACTTTGTAAATGTGTAAAAAATAATAGCTTAGTAATAAAAAGTAACAACAAATTTATAAACATGTTATTTATAAAAACATTTGATTGATCCAGTAGAATTTAAATAAATTCAATAATAACAATAATTATAAAAAATACGTCACAAATAAAATAAATATAAATATATATTTATATTAATGAATTTTTAAGAAAATTTTGAGCAAGTATTACTCAATATCTAGCTAATAACCTTATCCTAGGTTCATCTAACTAGAATACTTGGGGAATAATCATAATACCTTTTTAATTCAGACAATTTACAATTTTTTACAACACTTATTTTTTGTCTAATCTATATACAAGAAAATTTTAATCGTCGAATAGAAATACAATTTATGGTTTTGAAATAATTAAATACAAGTTGATATCAGTAGAAATCAAAAATGCCTTTAGAATTGAGTATCAGTGATGGCCTACAGACCTTGACCTTAATGAATGCCGTTGAATTCAAATGGAAATGTATTTATATATGCGAAACATTGTTAAACGATAAATGAAAAGATACGAATATTCTATATAGACTTATTGATTGGCACTTATTACCAAAAGTTGGTTTTTAATTACAATTATTTATCTTTCAGTTAACTATCGTAAAATTTGTAAAATATAACTCACCTAATATACATATATATCTAAAAACTCTCTATACACAGAAAAGTCTAGTATGTTGTAAACATTACCTGACATAAAAAATTCCTGCAACTATAAAAAAAATTAAGTAATAGAGCCATTTATGTTGTAATAGTTGACAAGTTTGATGTTGTTGCTGGTAGAGTTTCAGTATCAAGTTTTTCCGATGATCCAGCTTTTTTAGTTTTTCTTCGTTTGTTAAGAATTCTCAGACACCAAAGTATTGCTAAAGGAAGTGGTGTCATAATGGCACACGATACCGGAATCACTAATGAAAAAAAAACTATGTTAGATTTTAATTATAGAAAATAGAACGAATACATAAATAGATATGAAAGAAAAAATTGTCCTATTAAAAAATAGAATAAATTGATAAAAACATAACTTCATCAAGGTCTCTAGTATGAGTCTGATCGTAAATAACGTAAACAAAACTTCTATTAATATCCCTTTCATATGAAGTGGCATTTATATTAATTAACTGTTACTCACATTGATAAAGAATGACATCAATGAATATCAAACTCACTAAAAATTTGTGCTTTCTTAATTAATTTTTTAATCAACTGTCTAGTTTTTTAAAAATTTCATTAAAGAAAACTAGTTTTTATTCATCATAAATTCATAACTAATTGTTTATTGATAATTACTTAACTATTAGAACTACTTTATTGAAATTAAAAAAATAGCCGAGTCTCACCTGTTGTTAAATCTGCAGCAGGCTGAGGTAAGCTGAATCGAAGAAGGAAAATAGCAATTCCTGTATTTTGAATACCCGTTTCAATTGCAAGAGCACGAACATCACCTCTTGGTTGTTGAAAAATCGTGGTAATTACTAAACCGCACAAAAAGCCAATCCATGGTAAAGCCATTCCTGCTATAATAATCTGTAAAATGAATAATCAACTACATAAATTAAATCGAATACTGATTTTTTAATTTTATTATTAAAAAATATAAATGAAAATTAAATTACCTGCCAGGAGAATAATTTAAACAGATACAAATTAGTAACAATAGCAAAAATGGCAATAAAAAGTATTAAAATAATAGAGAATGGCTTCATTATTCGAGTTAATAATTGACTAAGTTTTGGAACTTTCTTTTGAATGAGATAACCAATACTTAATGGAACTATCAAGCTGAATGCTAGAATAGCTATATTTGTATAAGGTATTTTAAGATTGCCTTTATCAAAAATATATTTTCCTAAAGTAAAGATCCAGAAAGGGATAGTTCCTAAAAAAAAAGACATTACATGAATTGTACATTAAATGTATTGGTAAATCATAAATTTAAAGTTACAAATTCTCGTTACCGAAAGCTCCTAAAGTGGATATAGTCGTCATACCGATGGAAAGGGGAAGATTACCTCCTAAGAGTACAGTCCATATATTGGATGCTCCACCACTGGGACTAATTCCAGTGAAAAATATACCTATTTGCATTTCCGGTTTGTCAGGAAATAGAGCTTGTCCGATACCAAATGCTAACTATAATCAAACATTCATTCATACTATTATTAGATTTGCTTTGCTTCTAAAACCTATAAAATATTCAGCTTATGTTTAGCCTTCGATTTTTTACTCAAGAAGTTGTCAGTTTATACTTAGAGTTTTAGATTAAATATAAACAATTACCAATGGCATAATAATGAATTGACAAAAGGATCCAATTAATGGTCCTACAGGTTTCTTGGCAATTTTTCGACATACACTCCAGTCCATAGCACAGCCGAAATTAATATAAAGAATGAAGACAAGCGCTGCAATACTTATCGTAAATAGTTTATCAACAATTCGTTCTGGACGTATTACAGTAATTCTTAATTCTTTCGATAAGAATGTTTCCTGTAATTAAAACAAATATTAATGTAGCTCCTGCATGAATAATTAATTTCATTATTTATTCGAAGGGTTTCAACCCCTTGATATCGATTTAATTACTAGTGTGACTTCTCCGGAAGTTAATAAAACTTAATTGTTGCCTGCAGGCAAACTAAACATTTTCAATATTTCGTGAATGTTATAACTAATTATTAGAACTGTCAAAATGTTATTAATTATTTTCTCTCTAGAGTTTATAAATTAAATATTATTTTATGTTTTTTGAATAAAAAATAAAACTTACACCATCATAATCAAGTTCAAGTGAAATATCTGCTTTGCCGAGAAATATTCCCGTAATGTTCAAATTACTAGACCATGTGCCTCCATGAGAAATAAATTTTAATGAAGGTTCAGTAACGTTTATAATGTTTTTGTCTGAGTTGACTACTTTAAATTCCATTTTCGAAGTTTCAGCGTCATTTGGAAGAGTTATGTTAAATGCAACTGGAATAACTTGACCTATATGAATTTCTAAAGGCTCTGAATCCAATGATACTATCCATTCTTCCGCACTCGCCAATCCTAATAGAAGTAATCCAATGTGTAGAACCAACATATTCTGAAAGCAAAAAATGATATAGATTGAGGTCTTTTTACAATATTTACGTAATTCAACTTTATAATGGTCACGTTTATCATTCACAACAGTTTTCCTCATAATCTTAAATATTTCCTTAACAGTATTTCCCTGATATTCAAATGATACAAAAATTTCTAAGAAATAAGAAAATTATAAATTTAAAAAGTTTTATTTTATCTTATTTTTTTTGAGATTGAGATAAATATTATAGAAAGAGTGACATAAACCTTGTCTCTTACCACTGCTTAATGAACAATCAAAATTCAAACACTTGCTAAAATACCGAGAATTTATGATTACTAAAAATGATGTTTGTGAAGCTTCAAATCAATAAAAAAATCTCTACGTGACTGATAAAGAGTCAGGTTCATTAGATTAGAGAAATTATAGCTATAAAAATTTTATTTTGTCAATAAAAAGAATAAAATTTATAGAGTGCAATATATTATCTCAAGTAACTCATTGAAACTCTAGAGACTTGTCTAATAATGAAAAAAAAAACAACAATTATCTATTACGAAAGAGTTATGAGGTGCATAAATATATCGTGTATTTAATTGTTAAGCACATAGTGCAATCGTGTAATTATTATACCTTCTAAAGCATTCTAAATAATTTTATAAAATATGTTCTGATTGACAATCACTACGCATTGACTGAGAAAACTTTTTACTTATATGCACTGATTAGATAAAAAAAATTTACTTACTTTTCTAAGTAGGATGTCAAACCGGATTTTGGAATTTCTCTTGAGATTTAAAAGTAAATTTCATCACTTGCAAAAGCACCGGTACACTTAGAAAAGCGTGCTCTTGGTTGCAAAGCAGCATGTGTAGTTCTACACACACATCCTGTTGGATTGGACTTATTATGTATGAAGAAACATTATTCAATAGTATTTGTTACCTGATTCCCACTGCTACTAAGTACAGTAAGAATCAGAGATCAAGGTAACCTTGAATGCCTACTATCAATTGATCACGTAAAGCTACTTCTGGACATTTTTCCATTGCTCCCTCTTTGGGATGTCAATAAAAAAAATTACGCTATTATCATCAGCTGATTCATGATATTTTTTTTTATTGTATCATCAAACACTTGTTCAAGGACTAATAAGGATTAATTAGGAGGCTATGTTTGACAGTATTGTTCAAGTCATGCAATGTAATAATTACTGATGTTAAAAATCTTTTCAATCACTTGTGAGTTAAATAAATAGTTTATTGAATTTTAACCATTAATAATAATAGTTCTTATCATTATTTATTACAACTGTATACGCTTATGATAGTTTAGAAAATATTATTTATGTTAATTTAGATGCAATTATGATACAATTATTACTAAAATGGATTGTATATCAAAATTCTTGAAACTCTAGATCAAATAACTTTTGTATAATATCATCAATTTGTAACTCTTTCGATATTTCAGCTATCATTTCATCAACAAGTTTATCGGCTATCCTAAAAAGAATTTTAAAAATTAAAAAGTGCATTGATTTTTATGACAAAGAAATAGTGACGAAGATGAACAAAAAATTTATAATTACCACGCAACCACTTCCCAAGGTTTATTTGGACTGTTGCTTGTGTACATTGGATTTAATCTACATGCATCTTGAAATTTATTACGATAATCTAAAAGTTCATCAATCGATTCTTGAGATACGATTAATGGAATTAATTTTGGATTTTCTTCATTTTCAATATTATAAAGAGATGTTTTAACACTCTGCTTCTCTTCTTCTACTTTCTTTTTATTATTTGTTTTCGATGAAAATTTCTTCGTATTATGATGAAAAATTTCTGATTTTTGTAGTGGCTTACTAAAATTACAATGATACGCATAATTATCAAATTGATAAGGCAAAAAATATAAACGATAAAATCTAAAGGTTTGATAAATAATTAATAATTCATCAACAAAATAAGCTTCTGGGAAATTCCATGATTGAATTGAAACTTTGATAGCTGTATACAGTAATTAAAAACATACTTCATAGAATTAGCTGTATCATATTTAATCGAATCGATTAAAAACTCCTCTTCAGTCTCTTTGTTTTTTTCTACTAAATATTCTTGTAAAATTTCTAAAAGAGTTTCCATTGTCATTTCATTAATATTTATTGGTGATTTCTTTTGCTGAAATGAACAGGACAATCCGTAAATGAATAAATGATAAATGATTGAGATTATTTTATATCTAATTCATCAAACAAACACTAAACTTACTTTTTCTGTTATCAAAGATATAACATGAGTAATAATAGGCAGAAAACTACAGAATTGTTGATTGGTCAATAGTAGATCTCCATTAAGATTTTGATCTTTAACAACACTGTTGAAATTTTGTTTACTTGATTTAGTAGTCGTAGTAGTAGTGGTTGAAGGTTTTGAATTTTTATCTCGTTGACGTGACTTGACAGCTCTTTTTACTACTTTTCGATTTATATTTGATATAGACGAGTGACATGCTCTTGATAAAATGGCGCTATTTCCCTAATAATAATTAAAAAACGAAATAAATGATTTAATTTAAATGTTCCGGTTTCACATTAATAGATTAACATTAACAGATAAAATTATTAATACCTCTTCTGAATCAACTGGTATCATTTCTACCATGGTTTTAATATCATCCTCTTTCTGGAATCTTTTGGCTCTTGATGGACCACGTTTAATTGGCTCTTTTGGGTTTTTTAATATGACATTAGATACTGGAATTGTTGCAGTTGAAGGATGATCAATTAACTTTAACTTTCCAATATTAGGTTTCCTCTCCTTCATACAAAATCCAACTGTTACTGTATCAATAAATGTTGAGAATTATCACATAAATATTACTCCAAAAAGAATTAAGCTAAATTTTAACTCACTAGGCCGTTTTTTCTGACTCTTAGCAAATCTATTATCTGCATAATACATGCTAAAACGGTTTGGCAACATTTTACGACTATCAGTTCGAATGTTTCTTCTTTTGGTATCGATAGAAGATCTCAAAGTGGATTGTGTAGTGTAACTGTATATAGGAGATGCTTTTTCTGAATTAGAATAAAGCTTTGATAAAATGGCATTACATCTTTTTTGAGTATCTTCACCCTATAAAAAGTAATACAAGCTTTTATTACAAAAAAGATAATAAACTTTTGTTAAACTTTAAATGTCAGTAGAAAAGCCAAGTGTAATATGATAAAACTATTTATAAATTTAATTAATTACTTCTATTAAATTACCAAAGGAGGTGAAGCAGCATCACCTGCTCCAAAATATTCAGCAGTAAGATTTATTTTGGAGCAGACATCTTTTAAATCCATAACTATTTGAAGAATTTCTTTGAGCTTTCCTGGATGTCCTTTTAAACATGAACTTGGAATATGTTTACAATAAGCACATAAAGCATTGAATAATAATTGATGAATTGAACATAATTTAGTTTCTAAAGCCTGCATATGTAATTGAGATATTCGTCTAGATGGTTTTATCCTAGCATTCGGTAACATCATTTGTATATGCCTTTGAATATCTGCCATTTGCCTACTTATATCATACAAATAATTTCTTGAAAATCTCACAATAAATTCCATCATTCGTTGCTGTCGACGCTTCAAGTCTATTTCTCCATCTGGAATAGGTATTCGGCAAAGTCTGTAATGGATTTCGTCTAAAAGTTCTGAAATTTTGACCTGAATGTCTAAAATTTTTTGCGCAACTATAGGATGAGGACGAATTATAGAGGAATATTGATCACTGTTGTGAGAAGTAATTCCAGGTGATAAATCACATTCTCGACAGTTATAATCTCGAAAAATACATGACCGTTGATGTTGAAGTTTCCGTTGGTGTCTAATGGTATTTTCATATCGAGATTTAGATATTTTAGTTTTAAAATCTAATTTTGATATTGGAGATCTCTCATAAACTAATGGATCTTCATAAGCTTTTTGAACCTCTATGTAAGTATCACAACTTCTTCTATCATCATCGTCATTGTGACTTTTTACATCATAATTAATTCGAGATAATTTTTTCTTAGGTTTAGTCAGTCTTTCAGTTTCTTCTAAAAAAGCATCCTGTTCAAGTCTTTTTAATTCTTGATTTAGATGAACTTCTTCCAAATTGTTCTCCAACACTTGTCTAAAACGAATTAATAACTAATTAATTTTTTAAATTTTTTATGTTCATTTAATAGCCAGTAATATTTACCTCGGATTTATAACATTGTGAAAACAATCTAACAGACATTCAGAACCTTCTTCATCTTCTCTTTCAATAAAAGAAGCCCATATATTTTCCTCATCTTTTTTTATCCTTTCTCTTTTAATATCATCAATATCATATTGACATTGGTTTTTTGAAACATACTACAATAAATTTATTTATTTGTCAGATTTTCTTTTACTATTCAAACAGTAAACAAATAACAAAAGTAATTGAAAGCAAAAAAAGAATTATCTCATGAGTACGAAGTAAATGAATAATTGACATTGAGATAAATACCTCAAAATTGTAGTTCTCTTCTTCATCTTCCGAAGTAAAAATATTTTCTGATTCCTTATTTATTGAAGAATTAAATTTAAATGAATTAATTAATGACATATCGATGTGTTGGTTATGTTTCTCACCGAATATTTGGTTTTTTGATCCATAGATCTATCTTTTATTATCCAAAACCATGGTAAAATTATTATCAAGAAATTTTATCATATAAACTAAAAAAAATAATTTTAAAAATAATTAATTTCACAGTAAAATAGAGAAAGGACTGATAAGCGCGTTTTTTTGTTTACGCGTCGTTGGGTAACAACCGCCCAAAACGTTTTTTATTTTATTTTTTTAACGCCAAAGGCGGGAAATTCGAATGCATTGAAATAGATAATATAAAATAACTAGAAATAAGTTTTTACCTACTTTTATATTCAACGCGTTGCTTTAGAGAACGTATAAAATAAATATTAATTATTAAATATATATCAGAAAAAATTTGATAATTTTTATTGTGTATCTTTTCATTCATCAGTGTTTATTTTCTTTTTGTCATCATATTTGTATATGTTTATTTGTTATCAGTCCGGTTGACATTGGCAAGGCTGTAGACAAACACTGATTCAGTACTTCCAGAGAGTCGACTCCAGCACACACAGGTGAGTAAAGGAAAATAATGTACTACATGCATATAGTGGGTGCGGTCGAAACACCCGCACCAATGACCGAGTCTGCTTTGCGAAAGCATAGCACATGAGTCGATCAATACCCGGCTTCTTCTACGGAGAAAGTAGCCTCAAGATTTTCACCGGTTCAGTACAGAATATATTCTTTTCTCGGCTTTATTTATTAAATAAAAAGGACGCGTCCATTACGTTTGCCTCGTCTCAATCGGGTGGACAACCAGCCAAGGGAGGAAGGAATTCGTGAGGGTATTTATTCCGGTATTAAAACACCGAACCCTTTACCCTCCTCCCTGAGTAAGGTTCACCACCTCTTGGCGACGAGTTCCGGTTCTACGTCGCTCAGACGTGCAACGTACGTATTATTTTATTACGCATCTACTTTTCAAAAATTCGATTTGTTTAGTAGATTGGTTGTTTGATAAAATTATATCTTTACTTTTTTGATTAGTTGTTGATATTGTTCAGAAAAGTAAGATGTTAGAGTAGAAAATCATTACTTTGTTCATTAGATTGTTGTGTTATGTTACAAATTAATATGCTGAGTGTATGTAAGACCATTTTAAATTATTTATCAATGTAACCTATTTTTACAGAAAAATCAAAAAAGACAGTTCTGAAATGACTTCTAAAGTGCTTGTGAAACTGCCAACAGTTCCATTTTCTCAAGTGAGAAATAAATATATAATAATATAGATTATTTATCTATAATTAAGTGCATTCTTTCGTTGAACTATTGATGCGTCATGCAAACAAATATTGATTTCAACTGTTAACAGGGAAAAAAATCAGCTGAGTTGATGACATTATCTGCAAGAAATGAGGGTGTTTCGACTCCAGTACGTTCTCAACAGGGTATTAATGGAGAAAGGACAGCACAATTGGAACAAAACATCAAATTTCTTCAAGAACAGCATCAAGCAACGCTTCTTTCATTACATCAAGAAATAGAATCTCTTCGTCAACGAAATAGAGGTAAGAAGTGTGTGCATTATTTATAAAGTCAGTGATTAAAGTAGACAATCAATAGTTCTATTTAAATTTCACCTTTGATTTTAACTAATTTATGTTAATAATTAAAACTAAAGAAAAGATTGATATATTGAATAACACATTTATTTCTTTAGATTTACAATTTCAACTGGTGTTTAATAAAGGAACTATTTCTGCAACTAGTAGCCCATCATCTCCAGAAGATAATTCGAATGGGTTCATCAAACCTAAGGTAAAGTTAAAATAGTTAAAGGTATATTGATTTAGAATTACTTAATGTTACTTGAAAGAATGTTTCGAAAATTCTAAATAGCTTATTTTAAACATTTCTATAAAATATTCAACTAAATTTCAACTGTGAGACATCACTTCGATGAATCATTCGATGTCTGTCTCATAGGGAAGCCCAGTTTGTGTCAATGTTACTCCTCTACAGATCGAACTCCTGGAACGTGATCTAGAAGAACTGAAAGTTTCTTTCAATGAAGCAAAAAAGCAAAATTTTCAACTTCAAGAAGTCATTGAAAATCAAAAGATGTTTGTATTTTTAGAAAAATTCTTCTTCCTTCAACTGTAAGTAAAATGGTATAATTACTAATTGGTAATTAATTATGCAGAAAGTTAGAACAGGCAGAGAAAGAGAAAGAGAAACTCCCATCGACTGAGGCTGGAATTCAAGTGGGAGAAGCATCAGAAGCAGTACAAAACGATTTAGCAGCACGATTGGAGGATGCAGAGGCATTAGTAAAAAGATTGCAACGCGAAAATGCAGACCAGCAACGAGAAATAGCGTCAATGAAAGCATCATCAGCTAAAAATGGAAATCGTAATGGACATGGTCGAGGTCGAGGGAATGAAAATGGCCATCATAGCAGAGGATCATCAGGAGATCCTGGACAATCAAATAGAAATTCTTATAAATTTCCACCATTAGAGAATGAGAATTATTGGAGGAATGTTACTCGAGGCCGTTCAAGGTTTGTTATTAATACTTTATTATATTTTTTGTTAATCAATCCATTTTTCATTTTATTTTTATTATATTATTATCATGTTCTATATAGAACTCATAGTACATCATTTATTGATTTCAAGTGACAGCAGTAATATAATATTTCATATCTGTGACAGTTACGAGCGTCAGTCGGGTCCACATCGACGAAATCATCCGGAAAAAGAAGACAGTGAACCAACTGATATGCCCTGCAGAATTGTCTTACCTGAGTTATTGAATAGCAATGTAAAGCCAGACCTTCCTTGCTATCCTCCATTTTATCGTTCACAGAGAGGATATCATAGTGGTGGAAACTACTATAGAGATGGTGGAAATCGAAAATTTAGAGGTCAAGGACGTCCAAGAGATCGTCGAGATCAAGATCATCGTGGCGATTATCGAGATCGAAATTCGCGAGAACAGTAATGAGACTTTAACGATGGCGCACATACGTCGAGAAATCAGTAACAAATTTCATTATTAAATTATACACGGTAACGTAACCAACGTATACAATTACTGCATAAAATGTAATATGTGGCTTACAAAGCAGACTCTGTGTTTTAGTTACCTCTGCATTGGAAAATCAAGTAAATATTTATTATTCACTTTTATGAGGAAAGTTTAATAGGTATGTTCATATATTATAAAAGATTGAATATTCTACACTCGGGGAAAATATTTTATAAAAAGTAATATATATTATTTGAAAAAGAGATTAATTTTTGAATATTTAGTATATATTTTTTCATTTCATTTATTCCAGTTGAGTTTAGCTGTACCACAAATATATTTTATGTAAATTTGGATTAATACTTTGAAAAATGAATATCTTTATTATAAGTTCACTTTTTATAAAAGTAAATAATGTTATTTTATTTATTTTAAATATATTATTCTTTTCTCTTATGTGAAAGATCAAGTTTCACATCATATGTAGCTGGATAATAGCCGTATGATCTGGCATTATGATAAAAAATGTAGCGAGATATAATGAATCAATACAAAAATACAAATTATAAATTATAGAGGAATATTTACAATCGTATTAGAATCTCCATCATACTCTAAATTTAATTCAATATTAACCCGTATTAAATACGAATTTAATAAAAAAATTAAATACAAAAAATAATGGAATTATGTAAGACTTAATAACAACTTAGGAAAGTCAACATTTCCAGAAATTAATTATTCCAAACTTTATAGAAAAAAAAAAACATCGTAAACATTTATATTCCTCCAAGAAATTACATAAAAATAATTAGACACATAATGATTTTCTGGATTCAATTTGTGAATTTCTCCGATTTAATCTTTAATAATTTTTTACTTTCAATTGATTGAACTTTATTTATAATATCAATTATTGTATTTTTTCATTTGAATTTGAATTTAAGATGATTTTAAAAAAATGAAGGACAAATAATTTGAATGAATTCATTTATTTAAATTTGATTTTTTAGTTGGTAATATTAAAGATATTATTTTGAAATTAATAATTAAAATATATAAGAAAGTAAAAAATAAATTAAAAATTAATTTGGAGTTTTTAATGGACATTTGTTCTGGCACAATTAATATTAATTGTAACTGTTCATGTTTGCTTATACGTAAAATGCAATGCTGAGCTTATTTGTGATAATATAATATTTTCGATATTTGATGTTAATTATTATATAAATATTAATAATACAATTATTAATATAATAACATTATTTATTTATTTCATGAAATGATAATAACAATGTTACTTATCGTTTGTTTTTTTTTTTAGCAAGATTACAAAAGTTTTATGCAAATAATGACCTGACATGAGTACTTGTATTTTATTGGCATATAAATTCTAATAGGAAAGGCCAACAACATTGTCTTTAATATCTCAGTAAAAAATAACGTACGAATGTAAACAAATGGATCGTAAAAGTTTTCTCATTTTTTTAGCTTTAGATTTATAATCACGATAAACTGAACAACAATACCACAAGTCTGCATGAATAACACTCCCAAAATTGAAGTCATCAATATTAACATAAATATAAAATGCGCCTCATGTTAATGATATTTATTAAAATTATAAAATAAATCTTTATAATCATAAAGTACAATTAATACTTGTACGCTTGAATGGGTGATATATTAAATATAATTAATATTGCACTGAATTTTCTTGTTTAATAAAATATCAAACAATTTTTCAAATTTGAAAAATTCCTTTACATTAATACCACTAAACATTAAACAGACTTTTCTACCATTAATAATTCATGAACACTAAATTAAATTCAAAAAAGAAACATTTTTAATCTAAAAAAGCGCCAAAATTTTATAAAATCGTTTTTACCGACTGCAAGTATGGTTTGTTTTTGTTGACATATGCTGCGTCGGTATTACAGTTTACACCTCATCAAGCGCCATATGCGTTTTTACTTCACTTGCAAAATCATCATACACATTGCAACTTGTTGACCTTCTTAGACCACGTGTAAGCGTTTTGATTTATTTGACTATTGTTTATATACAATTAAAAGAATAGTAATTAATTAAAATGGGCAGAGGAAGAAAGCATAAACCAAGGAAGAATTTTGCCGAAAAGCGTCGAGAGAAGCAGAAGGTAAGTCATTTTAAATTTTCTACCCAATGAATTGATTTTTAATATCATTTGGTTATGTTTATTTTTAATGATATCAATTAATAAGATGAATATTTATTTCAGAATAAAGTTGAATCAGATAGGGAAAAAACTCGTGACTATGCAGAAATTATACGTGAAAACAAAGATTTTGAGACATATTACAAGCAGCAATCGATAATGCCAGATAAAGAATGGGATCCTTTTTTGAAAACAATGCGAGAAAATTTACCAACGGCTTTTCGTATTACTGGTTCACGAGCTGAAGCAAAAGCTTTGTTGAACATCATTAAAAGTGATTTCTTTCAAGAAATATTGAACATGAAAAATAATGAGAATGGAGATAATGAAGGAGAAAAATTACGACCACACTGTTTACCATTTTATCCGGATGACTTAGCTTGGCAATTACAGTTGACTCGTAAAGATATTCGACGATCTGAAGCTTTTTTCAGGTTACACAATTTTTTAATAGCTGAAACTAACAGTGGAAGCATCAGCCGGCAAGAAGTAGTAAGCATGGTACCTCCATTGGTATTAGATGTCAAACCTTGGCACAAAGTTCTAGATATGTGTGCAGCTCCAGGATCTAAAACAGCTCAATTAATAGAAATGATTCATGCTGATGAGTCAATTTCATCTCCAAAAGGCTTTGTTGTTGCTAATGATTTAGATAACAATCGATGCTACATGTTGGTTCATCAAGCCAAAAGGTTAAACAGTCCAAACATTCTTATTACAAACTGTGATTCCTCTATAATGCCTAACTTTAAAGTAACTAATCCTGATGGAAGTAACGGAGTGTTGAAATTTGATAGGATTTTAGCTGATGTTCCATGCAGTGGTGATGGAACGATGCGAAAAAATCCTGATATCTGGTGTAAATGGACTCCAGCTAATGGAAATAATCTTCACGGAGTTCAATACCGAATAGCCAAGAGAGGCTTGGAGATGTTAGCAGTTGGAGGAAAGATGGTTTATTCTACTTGTTCGTTAAATCCAGTAGAAAATGAAGCAGTTTTACATAGAATTTTATCAGAAACTGGAGATTCTGTTCAACTAGTTGACGCAAGAAATGATGTGCCAGGTCTTAAATGTAATCCAGGTGTGAGTAACTGGATATTAGGTACAAAAGATCTTCAATTTTATAAATCTTGGGAAGAAGTCCCAGAACATTGGCAAACACAAATTCGTCCAAAGATGTTTCCACCTAAACCTGAAGATGCCCCTAAATATCATTTAGAAAGGAGTATGAGAATATTGCCTCATCATCAAAATACCGGAGGATTTTTCGTGGCGGTTTTAGAAAAAGTCAAGCCTCTTCCTTGGGAAAATGATACTTCTACTGTTCAAGAAACTTCTTCTAAAGATCAAAAACCCGTAGAAGAAATTAAAGAAGAACAAATGGAAGTTGATAAAGATAATGAAAATAAAAAAAGAAATCTAGAAGAACAGAATAAGCCTCAGAAGAAAAGGAAGAGGATAATAGGATACAGGGAAGATCCATTTGTATTTTTTAAGGATGAAAATGAAGCTGTTTGGCCATCAATTAAGTAAGTTATTCATTTAATTTTAAACGTAGGAAAATAATAACAAACTATTTCTTTTTTTATTATTTTCAGAGATTTTTATGGTATTTCTGACGAATTGGATCCTCGATGTCTCCTTGTGAGATGTCATGGAGGAAAAAAGAAAAATATTTATTTAACATCACCAGCTATCCGAGACATTGTTTTATTAAATGAAAATAGTATTAAGATGATTAATACTGGTGTGAAGACATTTGTACGATGTGATAATAAAAATATGAGATGTCCTTTCCGTCTGGCACAGGAAGGAATAAGAAGGGTTTTCTCCTTTGTGAATGAAGAACGTAAATTACATGTTGCTAAAGAAGATCTGATAACTCTTCTTCAGAATAATGATCCTCACAAGCCTCCAGAGATTGAAAAGTTAACTCAGACGACTCAAGAGCGATTGAAAAATATTGGTAATTAAAGCTTCAAACTGATATATTTATTAAACTATTACTTATATTTTTCATATAACATACAAAAAAATTATGAAAATTATTATTTGCTTTTATTATTTAGCAACGGGAAGTTGTATATTAATTTATGAAGAAAATTTGGAAAATTCTGAGCCACTAAAATTAAAAATAGCTGGATGGCGAGGAATAATGTCCTTACGAGCTTATGTTCCAGTTTATGATGCAGTTCATTTTCTACGATTACTTGGAGCAGATTGTTCTAAATACGGTATTTAAAAAAAAATATATATATTCCATAAAAAAAAAATTAATATCAAATAATAATAATCATTTGTATACATTTTTTGAAATTCTAGAAGTCAATAAATTTGAGCAAAATAGGATTGCAATGAAGAATAGTACTGAAACTGAAAAGGAAAGTGAATTAGAAGAAGGTGATACAGGTGACAATGTAATGACTGAAGAACTGAAGTTGAAAAGAATTGAAGCTGTTGCTTAAATAAATAATTAAGTATGAGGCAATTATTGGTAAGCCCAGTAGAATTATTTATTTTCGCACTTTTTTGTAGGTCGTTTATAAAATAAATCTGAATTGAATGCATGTAACATTTTTTACTATTCAATAGTATAAAAAGAAAAAGTAATAATAGCTATAATTTTTAAGTTTCAAGTTCTACTTGATGATTCAATCCTAATAAACTATTAAATAATTACTTTTATAATTGACGAACACAGATAAATTCTATTGGTCAAAAATAGAAATACTTTGTTATTGAATTGATACAAACCTTTCAGTTATTCAGAAATATTGAAGTTATAAATGATCATTTATTTTTATTAAATATTGCTAGCTATTGTAATTACGATAACTATATTATTTTTAAAAATAATTTAGTATACATGAATTTGTATAATGGAAAATTGTTGCATCAATTTCATAATGACTAGCAAGTTTATTAACAGTAAAAATTCTTCAAGTAAAAATTTTAATCAATTCTCTTATCAATACATAGTCAGGAAAATCAGCATTCGGCGATAATTATCAATAATTAATGGATGGTAACAAGTTAATATGATAGTATTGACAGCGGTAGTAATTACCAATGAAAGTATTAAGTAATTAATAAATAGTGATTATTTATAATTACGTGATAATCATCTCTAGAGGACGGGTTTTACTATCAAAAATTTTAATATATGTATAAATATGAAAAAACATCACATTTTAAATAACAAATACATAAACTATCAAACAAAAAAGGACTCAAAAATATCTGTATTAAATAGAGACAATCCACAATAGTGGATTGTTAAGATTAATGCTAGTAGTCTCTTCCTGTTGGTGAAGTTATTTTCCCACTTAGAATTTGAGACTTAGACGGCGATTTTGTGCCTGAAATGGAATATTTTAATATAATCAAAAGTATTTCATTAGCATATTGATTGAACATGAAAATGTTAAAGAAAATTTTAACTTTATTTCTTACATGATTTACTAAATTTATTTCGAGGGTTATTTGTGCATGGACTCTCTCCCATCAGATGATCTCTCCATTTATTTTGATTGACTAGAATATGACAGAGTGGACATCGACTATATCCTTCAATTGGTTCTGTAAATGATTAAGAAATAATTTGATTAAGTATTAAATTTTATAAAGGTAGTAAAGTAATTCAAAGAATGAAAAAATAGCAAATAAAAATGTTTACTTCTGCACTGTTCATCCTTCGAGTGTTCAGGAAAACATTTTTCTAAAACAGCTAGCTTGCATGTATCACACTTGACGTAGCTATTTCGTTGATCACACTCGTTCAACAAGTGTGAATTTAAGTGCGAAATTTCCACTACTTGTTTACATGACTCACATCGAGTCAGCATAGGACAACTCCTCCAGTAATGAATATTCAAACCCTCTTCAGAGTATGCTTGGTCTTTCGATAGACAAAATATACAAGGTCTAAAAATTATAACTCAAATTATCATTTGTTCTATAATTAGATAAGTTAAACAATTGAAACTATTATAAAAAATAACAATAATTACTTATCGCCTTTGTAATCTCCACTATTTTCTGAGGGTGACGTGACGCTCGTTGAACTTTCTGTGCTGACATGCACTGGACTTGACCTAGAAGGGGACTTTGTGAGGTTTGAGACATTATTGTCAATTGACTTTGTACGAGTTGGAGTTACTGTGGACTTTTGATTCGATTCCAATTCTTTTTTTCGCTGAAAAAAGAAAATTAATTACTTCAACTACTGTTTAGTAGCTTAACTACATGTTTAACTTGTTTTTTAATTGTTGAATTTAATACCTGAAGATCAATTAAATCAAATTCATGGAAAAGTTGGCGATACAATAAGTTTCTTCTGGTGATATCATCATCTGGAGGGAGCTGTTTTCGAACTAATCGTGGATTAACTTTATAAACTAACACTAAAATCCTCTCAGAAACTTTCCTAACTGCTTCTGCTGGATGATGCAAACCGGAAGATCCTAGTTCGGAGAGAGTTCGGCATGTTAATCCACTGCAACAATGACAATATCTTATGAGAGCAAAAGTATAAGGTAATACAATCATGAAATTAAAGAGAAATGCTAAATTTTCTATCATTCAAAAAATTAATGATAACATCATAAAAATTTAACATTTCTACAAAACAATTTTATAAGTTTACATAATTTAATTTAAAATATTTCTAATTATTAATTATTTAATAAAAAATACTAAAATTTTGTTAAATGGGATCAACTTGTAATAAAAAATAATCTACATGAATGGTATTAGGTTTTCTATTATCACCTTTGTTTATCAGTAGAAATGCCATGATTTAGAATAAGTTGCTCTACCATTTCTAATCGACTTAAAGCTAATCTCTGATGAGTACTGCTACTGACTGGACGACTTAAATGGACTGGAATTATATGAAGTTCTCTTACACATGGACAATCAGCCATGCTTAAGATTGTGTGAACTGCCATATTATGAATCCGCGGAGTAGTGTCTCCTGATTTAGTTAAAAGCTCTGGAAGCAATCTATCTACGCTTCTAGCTATTTCAGCTGATGATACTCTAGAAAAAAAATCCAGGAATTTTGTAAAATTTCTATGAGTATTAATAACAATTTCTAACCAGCTTTTTTACAATTAATCTCTATTTAAGATAATAGATATTAAAAATAGTGCAAAATTTTGTACTATTTATTCTAGGATATTTTTTTGGTGCTTATATTACCTATTTGTAGCAAATTCAGAAAAAAATATTCTAATTAGTTGAGCAGCTAAACTATATACACTGAAGACTTTGTCTCTAAGAGCTCGATGTAACAATAATATCGTGGCCCTTGCAGTCTTATTTGCTGAATGCTTGGATACTTCTGGATCGAATTTTTTCAATTCATCTTTTAACATCATTAAACCTTCCTCTTTATCCGTAAATTGCTTTGAATAAAATTTTTCAACCTAAATCATAGTGAATAATTAAATTGATAGTTGTAAATTAATATCATCTCTAATATTTTTAATTTACTTTACCATTTCCATTCCAAAAACAGTAATTGGTAGCGCAGCTTGCTTTTTTTCTCTATCGTTGAGCTTTGAATTGATTTTTATATCACTGCTATCTAAATGACATTCTCTTGTGAACTCATTCGTGTGTGAACTGTAATGAAAAGCATTAAAATTTTATATTTTAATTATCTAATGAGAAACATATGAAACTTTTTAAAAACATTAATGATTTTACTGTCGTAAAGCTGGAATAGTTCTTTCTTCATAAGCTTCATAACTAGATTTTAAAGAAGGTCCAGCAGATTTTGTTTTCCTCTTCAAAGATCCTGTGTTTCGACTATTATGTCTTTCTATCACACCATTTGAAGGACTTTCTGTGATTTCTATAGTTAGAGAATAATAATAATTGATTTGTAGCAATGAATATTAATAGATTAAGATCAAAAACTACCTGGACTATGAGGCTTTTGATGAAGAGGAGAAACTGGAGGTTGATGAGCAGGTCCAGTGGGTGAAATAGCACCATCACGACCAGGTGGAACAACTAATCTGGGAGGTGATAAAATATCTTCTGGGACTCCTGTCGTATTTGATGTACAGGCAGCAGTTGGCTCTTGGCCATCTACTGATGAAATATTGTTTTTCTCCAAGGGCTAGAAATTTAATTAACAATTTTCGTTTCAATACTATTTCACTTGCTAATCAGCATTCAATGCCAGCAAAAAAATTCATTAAAACTGTATAATTTGAATACAAATTTACAAAAAATATATAGTAATAGATAAAACATTTACCCCATTCAATTCTAATAAATCTTCAACTTCCAAACTCTCATAGACTTCTTGTCTATATTGTTGTGCTTGAGCTTTCTTAGCTTTTGCTTTATCATAATCCTCCAATGCTATAGCATATTTCTTCTCTAATTCGTACTTTCCAAGTCGTTCTCCAGCTTTTCTCAAGATCTCCATTGCAACCTTAAGCTTTGATGCATATTCAAATCGTTCCTCTATTAAAAAACAAAGAATTTTATTAATTACTGTTTTACAAATACCTACTAATACATCACTAATTTATTTTATTTACCTTCAGCAGCTTGTAATTTCTTAGCTTCCATTTGTCTAATGATTTTTGCAACTTCTCGATCGACATACATTTCAAATGCCAGGTCATCATAGGGTGATGTGTAGTGTGGATTGTATGGAGCATCAGCTTGATCATGTCCAAATGGTTCTCCAATAATGTTGATAGCAATGAGGCCAACCTAAAATAGAATCGATATCACTAAAACATCCAAATGTCTTCATCAAAATATTCCATCAATTTTATTTTTACCTGTTCATGAACATTATGAGAATTTTGGTGTGGTTTATGCAGCCGTAATTTAAGTGAATTAGCTTCTGTTTCTGGAAGAGCAACACTTTTTAATTCCCTGCTTTTATAAAGCGTAGATTCATTGTCTGATAATGTGATATATCCTAAATAATTAAATGCTGTATTCACAGAAGCATTCTCTTCTCGTGTTGTCCATATTTCCAATTTCTCAGCTGGAAATAGAAGGATTATTTTTTGATAAACTTCTCAATATAACATGTATACCTATATATTTTCAATTAATATCTGGCCATATTCTCAAATTCACAGAGTCCTACATTGCTTGCGTGATGTGCAATCAGTTCAAGGTAATTTCCGTAAGAAATTTTTCATTCATTTTACTGTTAATTTTTGGAAGTAATGAAACTTACTGTAGCAACAATGTTTACTCAAATCAATATTGGATTGAAAATAAAATATGCAGTGTAGGCGTATTAGACGTGGTCAGTGTTAAAACATTTACATTCAATTTGAAATAAATTTATCTATTGCATTATCTTATTTAAACTTTGCTCAACAAAGGCTACTCCAATAAATTAATTTTAAAGGTTACTTGAATAATTTATCAAAACATATTATCAAAATGAAATATGTATAACTAAATGAATTGTTGAAAAACATTTTAATTTTCATCCCAAGTTTATGTTTTCTTTAATCCTAATGTATAGACTATAATGAAGAACATGTCGGAATTATCAGCAAATACTCGAGGGTAATAAAAAAACTATTTTTACATACGAATGAGATATTGATGAGCAAGCACTTGAATTCTCGTGATTTTTGCTGGTCCTTGAAGTCGTAGGATAAGCTCCTGTGGATATCCACATCTTCGTGCACTCTGCCATCCTCTTACAGTTGGTCCATGAACGTTTAGTTCAAGACTAGAATGTCTTTCTTCTTCACCTAGATGAATAGATTCTTGTATAAATAAAAACAATCTATATATACATTATTGATATAAATAAATAGTTGGTGTGAGGTTAATTTATTTATTTACTCGGCTTTTTTGTAAAGAAATATTAAAAATTAATCAGATTGAATTTTCTAAACGTTCATTTATACATACTTGTAGCGTACACGACATTAAATCCTATTTTTCTTGGCATGACTAGTCTTGTTTGAAATTATTTCCGATGAAGAAAGAGACTATTTGATGTCGAGAGTTATGTAAATGTATGTAATGTCAAATTTAAAAGGCACAATCATTTCAAAGCTCGAAAGTATGGGTGCTGGCAAATTCACCCCGGCGCAAAGCCAACCTTGCAGAAACGTCTGATCGCAGCTAAGCTTGCGCCACAACTGAGAGTTACATTGGCTCTGTTCCTTTAGCAAAACCTTCACTTAAATTTGTGAATGTATCAATCTTTCATAGGAATTCTTCCAACTTTTTTCAACTTCATTTATTGTTGATTCAACTCTATTTATTTTTCTTTACTAAAACTGAATATTCAAAAGTCAAGAAAATGATTTAAATAAAAAAAAAAATTCATAGAATATTCATTCGCAATTTTATTCTTATTTGTTTTATTTAAGTAATTAAATCATCGAAAAATTTTATCTCTTGAAGTTCTTTCAAATATAGACTACAAAAATTATTTATTTACTTTTGCTGTCATTGTAAAAAAAAGGGCAAATTAAAAACAGGAAAGGAAATAATTTTTATCATTAACATATCAGGCATTTTTGTTAACCGGGAAATAATTGTCCAATACTCTTATATACTTAGCCTTTAACCCTCTGACAAAATTAACCCTCGGCTTCATAACGGATCAATAAATGGAGGCTGCATGACGTCAGAGAGGGTGCGGCGATTGCGATTGGGTTGGTACAATCATTACTGATCTGCTCGCTTGATATTTAATACCACGTGTGTAAACACGTGTATAAAAGTTGATTTTTGTTATTAAATAAAATATTAATATATATGGATTAATGAGTTAGTAGATAGATAGATAAATAGCAAGTTGTTCAGCGATTGATATTCAGTGTTCATTGATTCAACAGATATCATGTGTTTCAACAATAAATTCACTACACATGTGTAAACCAGCAATTTACGTATATTTTTATATAATATTGACGATTATTTACATAGAAAAATGGAATGTAGATGAATTAGATTGCTTTGCGTATAAATAATATTTTCTTTCAAGTAGTAGCAAATAGATAGAGAAGTCCTTTGATGAACTGAATTATTTCAGAGCCACCGAGCTTAGACTGTCCATAAACTCGATCAACAAATGAAATAGGTACTTCTCCAATGGTATAATTAAACTGTCTGGCTCGAACTATCATTTCCATTTGAAAAACGTAGCCTTTAGACACGCAAGATTCGATGAGCTTTTGCAGAATGTCTTTTTTGTAGAGTCTAGAAATATATACAATTCAATTATTGCCTGATTATTTACTTGACATAATTTTATTTTTTGATTCTTTAAATATCGTTTTACCTAAAACTGCCAGTTAAATCACTGACTCCAGGTCTCAAAAGTATTTGAGTTAAAAAATTAGCACCGCGACTAATGAGCTTTCGTTTAAAGTCCCAGCCATAGACTCCTCCACCATCAATGTACCTTGTTCCAGTAACAATATCATAATTCTTTTCTTTTTGGAGTTCTATCATTTTAGGAATAAATTGTGGCTAAAAATAAAGAAAAATTGTTGATTAAAAGGATATAATTTTAATTGATTTTCTATTTGCCAGTAAAAAAAATAGAAAATTCACATGATGAGATAAATCTGCATCCATAATTATAATAAAATTTCCGGTTGCATGTTTTATTCCATGAATATAAGCAGTACCAAGTCCAAGCTTTTTCTCTCTAGGTTTTAACACAATCCTATGTTCACCATAAAGTGCTTGGAGTTTTTTCGCTACCTCTAATGTTCCATCTGGAGATCCATCATCAATAATGATAATTTCATATGGAGCTCTGTAATCATTTATGATAAATGTGTTAGGAATGAAAATAAGATCATTGAAATGGTACATAAATACAGAAATCATTGAAATTATCAACAAATTTAGCCTGGTTGATAAAACATGAACAACTATATTGATATTTGAGAAATTTCTGTTAAAAATATTCAATTTTGATAAAATATTATCTCAGTATGAAATAAAATTCACAATTAAAACATGAAAAATTTATCACAATATTATGTTTTTGACAACTGAAAGTAAGGTTATATCACTCTACTTACAAATCAGTCATGTATTTTACAATCAACCATACAATTATTGGCAAATTTTCAACTTCATTGTAGGTAGGAAGAAGAATAGAATATTTATTCTCTACCGAATTATCATTAGAAGCTGTAGTCATTGTATTTAACTGATTTATCTCAATTTTTGCTGAGTACACAATGTTTTTACTACAGCTCTCACTTCTGTCGTGTTCTCCCTGGAAGGAGATAGCAAAGTTGATAAAAATATCACTATGTAACCTAACAGTTTTAAAACGTGAAAAATGATATTACATGATATTATTATGATAAAAAAATTACTGTGAATTATTTTTAAATTCTTTTGGAGTAAAAAATGTTAGAAAGTGAGGTTAGATAACATAGAATAAATTATTTTTCCGTACCTGTATCAACAACGACAGTCAGTCAAGTGCACTCAACCTGTTACGTGTCTAATTAACCTCACCTGTTCATAATATTTACCTATTATGTAGTGGATTATCAGCAGGAATTATTAAGAACCACCAAATTCCAATAGTTGATGGATATAAAAACTAATTCTGTTAAAAACATTATTAATATATCACTCAACAAACATGGGAAAAGCTACAAAAGTAGTCGTTTGTGGAATGAAAGGTGTAGGAAAAACAGCATTATTGGAACAATTAATTTATGGAAACGTTACCTTGAAAACTGTAAGTATAAAAAAAAAGAAATATAAAATATAGCACTGGAAAATGAATTATATTAGATTTAACATTTGATTGAATTAGCTTGAAATTAGATAGTGTGAACTGCTCATTGACAGGCACTTGAAATATCTATTACTCGTTGGTATTTATTTACTGATGATAATAATAATTGAGTATCATATTATAGAATAATTATAAAATTTTTTTAATTAGACATAGGCATAAAATGTAGAAATGTTAGTGGAAATAATTAAATTGATTGCCACGTTAGACCTACTAAAGAATGGTGTATTAATAATTCATCACTATAGTTATACATAGTGTTTATTATGTCATTCTACTGTATATTCAATGTCAAACCGTACAATAAATCATTAAATGTCAAGAACAAACAAAAAGAAAGTTTTTCTTATATCTTAGTTGTATTTACAAAAAGAATATTTTTAATTTTTTGTAGTGTCCAGAATTTGGGCAGTTCACCTTGATATTAACAAATGACAAAAATATTTATTGATGATTATTGATAGGAAATCCATCCTACCATTGAAGATATCTATGTTGCAAATGTAGAAACAGACCGTAGTACCAAGGAAAAAATTCGATTTTATGATACAGCTGGATTGGAGGCTTTGCAAAGTAACACGAATAATCAACAATTGGCACGTCATTATCTCGGTTTTGCAGATGGCTATGTGTTAGTTTATGACACTGCCAAACCTGAATCATTAGATGTTCTTTTTCCTCTTAAGAAAGATATTGATAAGAATAAAGATAAAAAGGAAATTATTATTATTGTGATAGGTAATAAAACTCGTGTGGAATCAAACCATCAAAGTTTAGAAAATACAGCTAGTAAAGCTGTTAACTGGTGTACTAGAGAGAAAATAAAGCATTTTGAGGTTGATGTAATGGATAGAGCTAGTTTATATGAAGCATTTATTTATTTGTCTTCTAAGTTGAATCCTGTTCAGAATAAAAGCACTTTCTCACAATTAAGCATGGGTAGAAAAAATGTTAAAACTGAGACCACATGATTTTTTTGAAAATTTGTAGACTGTTTATTATTAAGTTTTTTAATATTGCAATATCTTTAGATCTGATTATTAGGATTAAAATGATTTAATATCATAATGTAATTATTAGATATTGAGGAATAAATTATATGTAAAAAGGAAGAATCATTTATAAAATAGAAATGAAAATTTGTTTAATTAAAAATTAAAAATGGATAATTATTGAACAGTTTGATTAATTGTAATAGAAGATTTTTTCCTTTTGGAGAGTATAATTTATTTCTCAAAACTAACATGTTTACGACTTTTTACAAAAATGATGTAAATATTGTTGAATGGTCTTAAGCATATGAAGTTTGACTTCATTAAACCTGATTTCATTGATGCATTTAAGCATGAACATTCATAATTTATATAATATATGGCAAAGTACTTAAATCAATATGACCTTTAGCAAATTACAACGAATTTAATTAGTACAAAAATCTTATTCAAATAATCTATTTATAAATTTACTTTGCATTTCTTATGATACTGAAATTATGTCATTTTATTGGTCGTTAATGGATAGTAATTATTATGATCGCAATATATATATATATATATATATAACATTTTTTATATTCTTAGTTATGACGAGTTAGTAAAAAATAAGTATAAAAAAGAAAATAAAGTGATAAATATTTTTTCGCAATTTTCCGTACTTAATAGCATAATATTTTTATTTAAATAAACTATTTAGTTATAAAATATTTACTTTAATTATGATATTAATTTGATTGAAAAATATTAGTTACAGTTGAATGATAAACAAATACTGGAAAAAAATCAAATGGGACCATCAGGGAAATAATAACACATTAATTGCAGTTAAAAACAGTTATCATAAAAAACTCACATTATATTAATTATTTAGTACACGTGAATAAGAAAAATTTAAAATACGTGTCATACAGTAAAAATAGTAATTTATCACATAATCATTAATTAAAAAATTAGCAAATTGATCACTTGTAACTATTACCAAATGATGGCCTTTTTTAATTGCCTTAATATTATCAACGATCCAAAAATGTAATCCCACAATTTGCTGCTTATACCAAAGCCTGATTGTAAAAAAATTCCATGACAATTATTTGCATTTAAATAAAGTTATTTTAAACAATATAAATACATAAATATATATATACATATATTTACCTTCATCATGATGAGTGAAGTGATGATAATTATGGTACCTTTTCATTTCGTATAAATAAGTATGAACTTTCGGTGATCCATAATGTAAATAGTAATGAATTAGATCATAACATAAATATCCTGGAAGATGATTTATAAAAATTATTAATCAATACATAAAGATAATTTACTGATACAATTAATCAAGATTAAAAGTTAAAAAATATTACTTTATCTACAAACTATTATTGACAGTATGATAAGATTATGAAATGATTCTAATAATTTTACTAGATCAGCTAAAATAGTTCGTATGAATGATGACTAAAGTTTTTGTTATTTTTTAAAAGTTTTTAATAAAAATTACCCGTCATGGTTCCAGCAGCAACGATGTCAATCATGGAAGAAAAAACTATTTTATATAAATTATAAAGAATAAATGCTATAAATATACCAGCTAGTGGCGGAAATACTAGTCGTTGATTATCAAAAGGCGCCTGCAATAAAAATAAACTTTTACTCAATATTAACAACTTCCTGTTATTATGATTTTATTCAATAGCTCATCCATTCATTTTAATAATATGTATTAGTTTCGTATCATAGGTAGTTTAAAAATTAGTACTTTATGGTGTAGTCCATGAATGAGGAAATGTAGAGAAATAAGTGTTGGCGAGTTGGTTGGTGGCTTTAAATGAAAAAGCTTTCGATGTAGAACATATTCAAGGAAAGTCCATAAAAGTAAACCCCACAAAAAAGCTAAAACTTGATAATGAACAGGAAACACTGTAAGGAAAAAATTTCTTTAGTCAATATTCTAATTGAATTATGAATATATAAATACTCTATTACCTGTAAGCCTGGAAGCATTTCTCATAACTCCTTGGTATAGAAAATAAACACAAATTGGTATCCAAACAACTGGAACTAAATACCAAGGTGTAATAGTAAGAATTTCCAAATAATCAGATTTAAAAAGTCGTATTGAACGATTTACAGGTAAATTGACCCACTCCCAGTATCTATCACCCAATGAACCAACTTGACCCAATAATGGTAGCTTCCAGTCAATTAAATTCTAAAGTCGATCACAAATTCATATTATATAAAATGTAAAATTAGTAAGATGTTTTTTATTGAAAATCTTTGCAAAATTTAATTATGCAAGAGTCAATTCATTATTATATTTATTTTATTATTAAGTTATTTTTACATCCTCTTTATTTTTAGGCGTATATAAAATACTACGTTTTCACAACTTGGAATAATTAATTATTGTAACTGAGTTATTATAACTCTTCATTCCATTTATTTGATTAACTATGTTATTATGAAATTAAAAATTAAAAAGTAATTAACTGATAAGTTTAAACTTTCAAAAAAAAAAAAAAAATTGTTTACTGACATTAAATATTTTCAACAATCCATTAAATTTAATAATGAAAAAGAAGTAAATACGTGGTTGAGCTACTTATCTAAGTAAATAAATTAATAAAAGTATTTAAGTGATAAGTATGAATATTTTAACATATTTTATAATTTGCAAAGATTCCTTTAGTAATAATGATTATTTTTTTTACTTAACAAACCTCAATATCTTCATAAGCTCTATCATTATTTAATTTAAATTCTTTAAATAAATGAAATGCAGCTTTTGAATGTTCGACATCAGTAAAAATTTTATCTAGTGCCAATCCTTTGTAAGCTTTGAGTGATTGACTTCCGCCAGGATGATTTTTAAGAAAATCACTTATCTCATAAGTGTCACCTTGATACTTAACAAAAAATTTATTTATATTTACACTATTCACATCACCACTTTCACACTTTTCTTCGTTAATGTAACTTAAGTTGTTTCCATTACAACGTTGATTTTCAACTTCATTACTGTCTGCTATTAACAGACTGTCTTCGACCTTCTTCTTCACCTGTGGCGTCATGCTAACAGCTAGCTTTATTCTACTTCTCTAGCAAACCGATACAAATGTCCAAGATTTTTATCGTCATCATTCTTAATATCCAGCCAAAAGAGGGGTGTTATGTTTATGACGTGGTGTTTATAAAAATGTCAAAGTGTATTATGTCTCTTCTAAGAAAAAATAGTTTATTTTTCGATTAATTTTATCAAATTATTAACTCACACTAATAATATCCAAATTGTCACTTATTATTTTGATGAATTTTTCATGCATAAAAATAATAAAAAGTAAGTTCATGATTTTCAATGGTTCTTGATAAAACAAAGTGCTTCTTTACAGTATAAAACAAGTTAAAATAATAGATATCACTTCTGATAAGTGATAATAAATCGCGACCACTAGCACGTTATTTAAGAGACATAAACGTTTGGAAATAATAAGGGTTTTGAAGACCGATTTTCCTCACATTTATGAAAAGTAGAGGTACTGGTTTGATAGTAAACACTGGAAATATGTGGTAATATTTATCTGATTGAACAGCTGTAGAAAATAGAATGCACGTAATGTATTTATTATTATTACATTGATAATAACGTAAAATATTGAGAAGTAAAATAAAAGCACCAGGTAGAGGTAAAACTAAAGAAAGGATAATTTTGCCAAAATGACTATTTTCATGATAATTATATCAGATTTCTTTTCTTCCCTGTACGTATAGTGTACTAATGCATTTAATCAAGGTCAAAGTGTACTCTTCTTCGTGTAAATTTATTTCAGGCATGGCCGCGATTTTCTGCTTGAATCATGGGCAATTATAATTTTAGACCGATTGGGCAATTGGTTAAAGTTTGTATTTAGAGAATTCACCACTTAAAATTTTCACTAAAATTGAAAATAAAAATTAACAATATTTATTGACAACCTTGCTAGTAAATAGCACACTTTGTTCGTCTTTGCCTGACAATCGATTGGTTTGAATAACTAATTTTTCCATTTTTCCGTGAAAGAAATTCCAGTAAATGTCTACATGCAATGTTTAGAGATAACACTGGTCAAGTAAAATATACTGGAAAAATATTATAATTATATGCAAAAAGACTTGTACGGATTAGATAAAGAGGTCCGTCTTTGACGATCATCTAGACCTAACTGACGTCTAGGACGCGCACGGACTGCTATGTGTTATCGCTGACAATTATACTGATATTTATCGCAATCGTTCCCTTTAAAAATGTGCTCTAGCTTAGCTACGTAGCTTTGATGAGACTGATTAAAAAATTTCCATGTAATGTTACTTTTTTACAAATCGATAGAAAACTATCACCAACAGCTAAACAAAAATTTTATCATTGATAGCAGAAAGCTTAAGATATTAATATTGAAAATCTTATCAATTGTAGAGAAAAATTTTTTTACATTTCCTGAAAATGATCTAATCTACCTTTTTATGCCATTACATGTTTAATCGATTATATAATATAATACTATTGAGCTAGCCGTGAACCTTGCCATAAACAGTTGAATAATTTATTATTGAGCATTGTTAATGAATATAATCAGAAGGGAATTATTTATTTATAACATTTATTAAAATGAGATAAGAATAATAAGAAATATTATTTTTAATAATTGACAGGTCTTTTTCCGTAACAAGGTGTTTAATTGACAGCATTTTTTTCGCTCTCACGGTTATCAGTTCACGGCTATTGAAGTAATTAAATTGATTATAAAAACAATAATTACAGAATATTTAGTTTTTATTATATATTCTGCGAATAGATATATTTTATTAGTATATTAAAAGTTATATATTATATTCATATATTATGATATTCATATATTTTCCGTTCTTAGAAGAATGACAATATTGATGATCGATTTCAAATCAATCTTTGATTAGTTATACTTTTAATAATACTTCCAATCTTATATGTATAAGCTTAAATAATGGTTAGTTCTCAGAACAGCCAAAACATTTAAATATAAAATACTGACAAATTTATAAATTAAATTTTTAATGTTTTTTTTAGAGTAATTATGCTTTACATTCTTCATCATTGCTTTCTTCATCTTCATATTTTTTGAAGAAGTTTTTAATCTCTCTTTACATTAATTCAACTAAAAAAAATATATTATTATAAAAAATTATACTTTTATTTAATCAAATAAACTCATAATGAAATGTTTTGTCTGAAACTTACCTGATTTTTATCAATACCAGTATCTACCATCATCTTCGTGGGGGATACTGTGGTATCTATTTGTCGAATACTACCATGATGAATATCATCATCGAAGCATTTATTGCACCGAAACCTTCATAGTAGAAAAATTATCAAGATCGTAGAAACAAAAATCATAATTTTTAAAATTCCACAAGTTAAAAACACATTAGGAAAATCCGTAGATACAGTTGTACCCTAAAAAATAAAAAAGTTAATATTACAATTGATTATTAGAATCAATTCTAAACAGTCACATGTATTGATTTATTTATTTATTCAAACACAATCTGTTTTTTATAAATTAATAATAAATCACACTTACACTTGATGAATCCCATGCATAATACTGAGGTTTTTTAATAATCATAAAAATCATATTTAATCATATAACACAGCCCATGATAAATGGAGAAAGAAATCTCCAAGTCACTTGCCAATAAATTCCTGGTCGATATCCTGTCATAATTTCAATGTCTTTCGAAAATCTAGAAAATACATTATGCTAAATGATCTGTATTATTAATCAATGTAAATATTTTTTCAAGATCACTGAGCAAACATACCTCTCATGACCGTATATGTACCCAACAGCTATCATTTCTATGAATGCGATTAGCCCAAGGCCAATAGTACTGACAACACTATCTTCCAGTTCGAGCATGTATTCGCCAATTCCTGAGCAAAATAGGACTCCGCCGTAAAAAGAAATAATACATACAAGACCAGTGATACATGGCTTTTTCCACATTTTAAAAACGTCTACATTAAAAGTGGCACAAAAAATTCCTTCCAAAAGACTAATTTGAGAGACTAACCCAAGTAATAGAAGCATTAAAAAAAATGTAAAAGACCAAAATGGGGCATTTGGTAATTGTAGAATGGCATCAGTAAACACTATGAAGGTCAAACCAGTACCTTCGACTACCTAAAATAAGTCATTATTAATGAAACATATTTATTATGACTACTTTATGTTTCTAAAGATGTTTAAAAGTAATGTATTTGATTAAAAATAAAATGATTACTTAATTAAAACTCACAGTATTCAATTGTTCTGTAACAGAGCACTCTTGTAATGTAAAGTTAAATGAATCAGAATTATTTATGTAAGATGTAACAGCTATTTGATAATCATTTTCTGTACTGTTAAGATTTGAAAGCAATTCATTGATGACAAGAAGATTTTTATTGCTAGAAGTAGTTTGAATAATTTTCCATATTGTATGGTTACAGAAACAAGTATTTTAGTGAACCATGTTCCTTAATAATTACCCTTCCAAACATTTTGCAACATTAGTTACGGCTTTGAGTCTTGATATGGTGAAGACAACTGAACTTGCGAAGACTGCGGTAAATGCATTCAATATAATAACGAGAATAACATCTCTTACACAATTATTGTTCGGTTGATTGTAACTTCCAAAAGCTATAAATGTGCCAAACACTGAACCAAAGCTGTAAAATACTTGAGTGGCAGCATCAAGCCATAATTTTAGTTCTGATAATTTTTTCAACTATAAAATAATTCCAATTAAATTACAAACAAAAAATAATACTATAATTTAAATAATTTTTTTGAATTTATAAATGTGTTAAAAAAATACCTGTGGTGTGAAAATGTACACAAGACCAATATCTGCATCTTTCAGTTATTCTTTTTATAAAAAAAATGGTTAAAACCATGTACGGAAATATCGAAGTAAAATAAATGATCTGAAATCCTAATAAATTACATAAAAAAATGTTCCATCTTCAAAGTATAAAGTATAAAATTATCATCAAATACAGTGAAAACAGAAATTACTTTTCTAAATGATAACATTCCTTCAATCATAATATAATAGATAAGAAGCCAATTGCAAAATACGCATAAAACTAGTCACCACTTAAAGTTGAAGGCTTCATGAGAATCTGTAATGGAAGATGCTACATCAAGTATAACTCTATACCAGAAATAAGTCGTGGATGAACTTTTGGCACATTCGTTAACTGGATTTCCTGTAGTGATATTGATCGGACATTTTGACCAGGGTAAAGTGGCCTAAAAGAAACTTGAATGAATATATTTTGAAAGATACCTGTGTCTACTGATTACCTATCAATGATTTTATATCTGCAAAGTTAGGGCACATCCAAAAATTTGACAGATTCAGGAAAATAATAACTCGGAACGTGTTTTTATCAGCCATCATGCTGCTTGAATGCAAAGAGCAAAATTTTTAAGTGTTCCGGAAGAGAAATAAAAGATTTTATCATTACTTACACTCATATCTTGATCCATATCTAAACAGAAGAATTTTCCTACGGCCTTTCAATGTCGAGTAAGCAGAAAACAATTTTAATAATTTTGATTGATTATGATGATGATGAAGAATTATTTACACTTGGACAATAAATCTAATCATAATTACTCATTTTTAATCAACATGAATAGGCATGAATATATTATTAACTGCCCATCAGGAAGTTATTGTAATGGGGTTGATTTTTGAAATTCGTAATTTTATCATGTCTTTACGTTTTGAAACATTTGAAAGCATATTAGAAGGTTTAAACATGAATGTACGTACGTATATTTGTACGTACGTATGTCAGGTTTTTTTTCGTTTTCGATATCTCGAGAACCACTGAAGATATTGACTCCAGACAAATTTTGTCTTTTTTTTTTTATAACAAAAAGAGTGTAAAATAAGTTGAGTGAAGAAGACATTTGAAATAGATTCTACTTATTAAATGATTAACATTATTGGCAACTGAGGCCAACATAATATGATTATTAATAACTTCATATGACTCTAGACAATTATGTATTGTTAATAACAACAGTTATTTTTTTTTGTAAATAAAAAAATTAAAAGATGACAAAATTATGGATTTCAATTAATGGGAAATTCGTCGTCAGGGTACAAACTAAGCCCAGGCCCATTTTTTTAAGTGTCACAATTATAATAATTTATTAATATCTTAGAAACTAGAAAAGTATGATAAAAATAGAAAATTCACCTGCAATGATTTTATAAGATAAAAAATACACCACGAATTGATGACGTTGTGGTATACATTATGGTCCATGTTACATAACGAGAAGCTATTCTAATACCACCCAACCAAGGATGGATTGTACTCCACATTCTTAGAGTACTTTTTCTCATCTGTTGACCAAAACCCAATTCGATTAAAAAAAAGGAATTCCTTTAAATAAGAGCATGAAGAAACAGGCGATGAGAAAAGCACCTGTAAATAAAGTAAGAGTAAAATAAAGTTTAGTTTAGTATAAAGTTAAATTTTTCTTTTTATTTAACATAGAAGTAAATAATTATCACCACCATGTTCCTGACATAAATATGGAAATCTCCGAATATTTCCTAAACCAAGACTGTATCCAATTATAATGAGAAAAAATTGCCACTTTCCGTTCCAAGTCGGTCGATCTTTATTTTGCCTGTTCATGACTTTTTCTAAAGCTTTCAGTATCTTAAAACTTGGATTTATAGCTCTTGAAACTTCATCCTTCACATCTCTATGAATATCATGATTAGTATTTCTTATATTTGCCATTTTCAATAAATACTTGAAGCTTTTTTTACGTTCTATTTATCAATTATTTTGTCATAAAATAAAAAAATATAATTAATTTTATTATGATTATATTTTATAATGATCTCCAACTTTTGATTTCACATTGTTTACATTTCTGTTTGTTAACACTTGTTATTAATTTAACCTACAATTTATATAAGAATGTATTTAATATTATATAAATTTTTGTTACTATTTTATAATTTTCAAAAAATAAACATGTTTTGATTTTATTATCACAATTAAACACAGCTGACGATTCTTATGGCATTAGCCATTCCAACAATTACATTTGCATGATAAAAAATCAAGATAAAGCACGAATACTTAATAGAAAAGTATTGTTTATTCAATTTGAATTCTTTTTTAAAATATACCTTTTACTGCTGTTGGTTATCACTGATTGTTACATCAACAGGTTTTCATCAGTTTGTATTAAATTTTTTTCAATTCTCTTACTTTGTTTTCCTTAAATTTGATGCTTTTGCGACTCCATAGACTAGTATTATACGCAATATATATTAAAATGGGTTTAAATAGACTAGAACCCATGTAAATCACTTTTACAGATTTATATCAATTTTTTAACCAGTTGAATTACTTATGAATGAATAAAAGTATCAGTTATCAACTCAAATAATGAATGAATGTTAATCTGATGATTTCAACACTCGTATTACGAAGAAGCAATGTATAAAAGATCTTTTATATTCTCTCCTGGATACAAAGCAAAATTGACATGCGCGAATCCAAATTACTCCGGTATAAAATCAATCTTATCTATGCAATGTTTATCAACAATGAGTTTTTATCAGCTGATAGAACGAGATTCATGTAAACAATAGCCAGTTTTAATAAAACAATAACTTAAAACAGTTCTTATCATTGAATTTAAAATATAAAAATTATTTTGTTGTTCTTTTTTAGTTACATACAGGCATGTGCATTTAATAGATTATTCGATAATTCAACCCCTTTATATAATGATGTGTGCTCCAATATCTGATGAGAAAATTTATTGATAAATAAAGCTTCAACAGATTTTAGATTGCATATAATGTATGAAATATTTCCTTGTATTAGAATTATTTTTCTTTATCTTTGGTTTCAGTAGCAAAAGAATGCTTTTTTTAGCATCTTTTTTTCTTTCAGAAATATTAACAAAATGTTAAGAAATAATTTTGACTCATCAAAGGATTGAGTTAACCTGTACAAAGAGTCTGGATCCATAGCTAAATATATTTTTTAATTATAAATATAAAAAATACTCTATTATTCTTCATTTAATTGTGGTACTAAAGTTATTGTATGCACTTGGGATGATATTATCATCTTCTCTCCAAAAATTGTACATGAGTCTTAAATTTCATCACATGATTAAAATATAATATGTAATAAAACTATTCTTGAATATTTATATGAAATAAGCGTAGTTATCACTTTTAATTGGAGTAAATTATCTATTCAAATATTTGATATTTATATTATTGTCTTCCAGAAGATCTAAGACATTGATGTTTAAAATTCAATCGTTTTCATAAACGATAAATGCTCCATGAGTCGATTCTTAGAAACAAGCCTTTTGATAAGGTTAGAAACGTCAGCGTTGATGTGTTGTGTTTAGAACTCTTAATTGTGCATCTGAATAAGAGTTTGATGCTACTTAAAAATTAGTGATAAATTTAGAATATACAGTTAAAGCCTTTTTTATTAAGTAAAATATCTGTATTTATCAATATAAAAATGAATCTCAAAATATTCTCATTATTTGTAGTATGTAGTTTTTATTTTACATTATTCATATCAAATTGTGAAGCTAATAAATACTCAGCTGAAGCTAATAAACCCAGAAGAACAAAAAAAGTACCTCCAGAGTCAAGTGATATTCCAGTTCCAACATCAATTCGCGAATTAGACAAACCTTTTCGAATGTCTAAATTGAATTTAGTATGGGCCAAAGCTAAACATGTAAGACAGATCATTTTCATTGATGTTTGTGAATAACTAGATTATAAAAATTTAATGAAACTTAATTTTACAGCGATTGACTGATCCGAAACTTCAATCACTATTTAGTGATTTGAACATGCATGACAAAGAAGAATTGACGTATAAACATTATAGAGCTGAAGGTAAAGACGAAGATGGATTGGAAGCAGCAAAATTGAGAAAGAAGTTGATTGGTAAGTATTAACTATAAAACTTGAGTTTAAAATTATATAAGCTTAGAGTTTATATTTTTTATTTAAATTCAAGGCATTATGAGTACTTACGGTTTATTGGATCACTTTGGTGAAACTGATAATCCAGAACTTTTGAAACGTCATAAACCATTGAATGATGGAAGTAATTATGTTCCTAAGGAATTATTTGAGGATAAGCGACTTAATCAACTATGGGCTAAGGCAGAACATGCTGGATTCACTCGTAAGTATCCTTATAATTTAGTTGAGAATTTAAAAAAAATACAATTATTTTTTAATATGTGATGAACAAAGATGAAGAATTAGAAGCTTTGAAAGAAGAATTTTCTCATCATCAAGACAAAGTTAATGAATATATGAGCTTATTAAAAGATATCGATGCTGGAGACCCAGAGACATATAAAAGTAAGTATAAATAAGTTAAAACATTGAATGTGGTAACCAGATTGTGATACAGTAGATATTAATTCAGATCGAGTCGAAGAGGATCATCCAAATTTAAATGAAATCGACCATAAAGAAGAAATAGAATCTAATTCAATACCAATAAAAAAAGATGATTATATATCTAAAGCCAATTTACTCCGGTATGTTAAATCTTTTTTTATTACCATGATGATGTAATATTCAATTTATATTTTTTAATATTTAAATTATAGAGAAAAACATCATGAAATTAAGAGTGGCTATGATCGTTTAGAAACGCGTACGGCACAAGGTCCTCATCATCAAGAATTTGTTGAACCAAAAGTACAAGGGCTATGGCGAATAGCTAAAAATGCTCAGTTTACTGCTGATGAGTTAGATTCTCTCAAGGTAAGATAATAACAATAGTTGTTTGTAGAAAATATTAATAAATAGTACCATTATTTTTATAAAGGAAGAACTTCAGCATTACGAAACAAGATTGCTGAAATTACGTCATCTTCATACAGAAGCAGCTCTGGAGGCTGCAAGAAATGGAAAAAATTATGATCCAGACAATTCTACTAAACAGAATATCAAAAAACATGCCAGGACTGTAGAAAAACTTCATGCGGATATTGAATCGAGAATTTTAGAAAGACATACTGAACTGTAGATAAAAAATACATACGAATCATATTTAGCTTTTTTTTTATTACTATAAATGATTTAATATTTGTTAAAAAGTATCTAAGATAAATAAATATTTTATACGCAGAATGATATTTTATTACTTTGAAGATTTTATTACGCGAAGGATTGTATGGTGTGGTTTTGGAGATGTGTAACTTGAACTGCATATTTACTGAAGATTTGTATTTCGGTAAATTTTTGAATTATTTTATGTGACTTGAGCAGTTATATATCTCAAGTTCTAGATTTTATCTTATCTATCAGTTTTCAACTGACTTCCTCAATCGAGAACGCAACTTTGATTAGAATTTTATTGACTGAATATTCATACCGCACTGTCCTATAAAAATAATCAAAGTTTTCTTTGATGATCGCTTACTGATCAATAACATGGATTAGAGACTATTCTTATTAGTGCAATACTTTTGAGAGATTTCAAAAATTTGGGTTTCTCGAGTAACACCTTTCGACTTTTTTTTGTTAGGATTATAAGTTGAGTATTTTCAAGCTGTAAATGATATTCATGTTTTAAATCCTTATTCAATTTACGTCTACACGAGAAAAAATAAAATAGATCTACATTGATCTACTGAAATCCATTTTTTGGCACAATTAGATCTACTTTAGATATACATAGATTTACTTAGATCAAATTTTCTTCAGTTTTTCAGATATGAGTAGATTAAATTAGATCTAAAAAATGGCGAAAATGTAGATCTGTGTAGATGTATTTTATTTTTTCCCGTGTAGCTAATTAAAATAAATATTTTGAAGCAAGTGTATAGTTGTAAAACATACTTTCTTTAAATTATTTGACAATAAATACAAATACTTAGCTTGAAATTTTCTATCGAAAAAAAGATTTGTTTCATTACAATTATTATAACAACTTATAAATTATATTTGCTCTTTGCATACATCCCTGATATTTAGCTAGACCAAATTGACTGTCAGCTGCACATGTCATTTTTGTGTGTCCCTTTACAATGAATAAATCCTTCGATACGGAGGGGGGGGGGCACGTGATGAGTAAATCAAAGAGATTACACAAAATTCTTTTATACACAAAAAACCCTATCAATTTATATAATTGATGAAATGAAGTTTTGTCGTTCGTGAGATAGAATTAATAGAAATAAAACATGCAATAACTGGTTTGTTTATGAGTATTACATGTGACCTTGGGCGAACCTCTGTTACAGTGGATGATTTTTTTTTGTAAACAGTTTTTATACATTTTGGTTTTTCGAAGGAGAAAGCCCTGAAGGATGATACACACGGATCTGCGGTATGCAACGTGTTTTTGAATTTTTGTGACACACAAATCCTCTCAACACATTTATAAAAACTATAATTTTTCTCTCTTTTACAATGTAATCAATATTAAGAATACACGAGGGAATGTAAAATGAATTTCCACTAAAAAAAGTTGGGTTCATCATGTATATATTATTTATTTGTAGTGAGTACAATGTTTAAAAAAACTTGAAAATCATTTCATGTTTAAGTTTAATATTAAAAAAAGTTTGGAAGCTCTCTGGCAATTACTCCTACATCGTAAAATGTATCCAAATATTGATTGCAAACTTCGAAATTAAAATCAGCATGCTGCTCAATGTAATAGCCCCGACCAAACAACTCTATGTCAATTATCTCATCAGCATATGCATTCAAATGATTGAACGACACAGATTCATCAACGCTGTTTAATTTGATACTCCACATTACATAGGGGCTGAGGAAGGTGTGGCTATTAAGAATTGTCGTATATACCTTGTTAGGGTCAAGCCAATTTTTGTTTTCATCTTGGGTAAGAGTATAAGAGATAGTAATATCATCATCAAACGAAATAAAATAGTATCGCTCTCCGCATCGATAGTAATAATTTCCAACCATGGTCATGGTCAGCGCAAAGTTTTGAAGCACCGAATTTAGATTGTTTTGCAAGGTACTGTTCTTTAATTTTAAATTTATTCCTATATCGTTGTATTTCACGGAATTGTAGAACAGTCCTTTAGATATATCCGCTTTGAGTAAAATCTCCGAGCCGTTTAGCAATTGTTGTACTTCATCCTTAATTGTATCATGTTTCCACACATAAAATGGTGAAGAGCCAGTAGTGTTGCTGTTGAATATCTTCTTTTCGTGAATATATTTGCTGTATTCGCCTATTGTCGCTTCACTTTCGTCAATGTGATTTTTCATATCCATGATTCTGTCGACAATATTAGATCTTACTGATTCAGTGTCCTTGAGCTGCATATCAGTAGGCAATTGGAACTTCTGTAACACTCGAGCAGCAAATGGGAAAAAATGTTGCTTGAATGCATGCAATGCTATGCCGTACTTTTCTAGCAGTATGTTTGATTGTATTATCAACTTCAGATCAATCACTGCATTGCTCAGTTCGGAATTAGTGATATGGATATTAGACATTGATGCAGATACAATATTTGCTATATATTCAGCTTGTGCAACACTGTCCGCGTAAGAATCAATGCGGTCGTAAATATCAATGAGTATAGAGAAACCCTCGTCGATCTTCTCAAAGTAACGCATCAAATTACTCTGGAGTTCGAAAGACATTTTCTGGGTGAATTTTTGCAACAATGATTTCACATCCCTTAAAGCTGTTCGAACAGTCCATTTAGACATATCCAATTTGGCATGTGATGATCCGTTCGCTGATTTCTTAATTTCGTTTATTGTTTCTTCAATTTGACGAAAATCGGGTAGTATTATGTCGTACACTTGCTGTTCCATTTTTTGCAAATCTTCTAATTGCTTGTAATATTTAGACATCTGATTATCAAGAAGACTCATCATGCTTTCATCATTTTTGAGTTGTGATGCAAAATCAACTACAACTTTTACGCTGTTTATAATTGTTTGCACATTTTTTATCTGGCGAAGAGACCTTTCACGCGCTTTCTTTACCTCGTCTTTATCTTTATTGCCCTCTTCCTTCGCTTTTTGTAGACTATCTTTTTCTGACTTTGTGAAATCAGCTAATTCTTTATTAATCTTTTCAATATCTTCTTGTTTCTGAATTACGTCTGATATAGATTCTGCTTTTCTGAACATGGCTTCTTGCAGTTGTGTCCTGAGTTTGAATATAATTCGACGTTTTTTCATTTTATCTTCCTTTGATGCCGATAAATCTTCCACGTATGTTTCCAAGCTTCGTACAGCTCGAGACAGCTGAACAGCTGATTGTTTGTTCCTTTCGTCCATGATTTTAGTTACTCGAGATATAACTTTTAAATTTGGATCGATGGAAGGAACTTGTGGTCGTTGACCGGGAACTTTGTCAACTACCAATCCTTCTGTGATTGATGCTGCACCTGTGACTGCAGTACCCACTCCAGCACCAATAGGTCCGAAAAAACTTAGAGCAGCCCCTGCAAGTTTCAGAGGTAGAAACATGGCACGCATTCGCATAATTTGATGGATCTTTGATTTATCTTTTTCGAGTAATTCTAGTGCATCTTGAGTAGAATTTACATTTTTGTTTATTTCGTCAACTATTGCCTTCACTTGACTGTCCGAATCGTCCCACAGTTTATCAATTTCAGGTTCAACTTTTTTATGTATAAAAACTTCTGCTTCCCGAATTTTATTACTAAGAATATCTTTGTATTCATCGCGGTACTGTCGAACAACTTGTAATTGCTGAGCTTCACGAATTTCTTTTACATGCGTTTCAATTGTGCTTAAATATCTGTACAAATCTACCACAGTCTGGCCTTTTCTCTTTTTTTGGAGTGTAAAAACTTCGGTTAAAGCTGCAGTATATATATAATTTAAGACTTTTTTATTTTCCAAATTTGTTTCAGTCTTAGCATATTCTTCAATACGAGTAAGTATAGAAGCATAGAATGGTACCAAATCGATTTGATTTCTCAATTTTAGAAATTGACCTTCTAATCCCTTATATTCATTGACGAAAGCGAGTGTAGAATACTGTGTTTTGATTTTTTTATCATTCTCAAATTCATTAATAAAAGATCTTAACTTCGATTCCATAATATTTTCAAATAAGTTCATTCTCACAAAGTCTTTGAAAGCATTAATAGCAGGATAAAAAGTCGGAATGGACTTAGATGTTGGAAGTTTCTGACCATCATCGTTGATTCCAGCAATTCCATTCCTTCCAGAGGGAACTACAGCCCCGTCGGTCCATTTGATGCTACATGACAAATGGGAACAAAAAATGTGCGTCATTCAAATACTAACAGTGTTTAAAGTAAAACTTTCCATAGAATGCAAAAAAATTTTCATTGAACATTAATTGTGTTTAATTACTAATAATGTGTTTATTTCTGTGCGCGGTGGCTAGAAAAGAACAAATAATCTAACAGATGTTGCTAGTTTTATATGTTTACTTTCAATCTTAAAACAAGTGTAGTATACCATGAAAAGTTTTACTCCAAAAAAATTAAATTGAGTCAATTTACGGTTTAGATGTGGAAAAAAATGAAGTACATTCTTACTCGAAATATCTTCCTTTCAAAACAAATATTGTGTACTCAATATGATAATGGAATGTAACTCGTCGACCGTTTGCCGTTTGCCTTCCTCCTCGTCCACCTTGACCGAGTGGTCCTTTATGGCCTGAAATTTACCGTTGGAGATTATTTAATTGATGATAATTTATATTCCCATGACAAAAACCAGCTACTTGTAAATGAGCTTTTTATACATTAAACATTACTAGTTCAATTGTTCGATTACCTGAGAAATTTGATGTTTTCATATCAATGGACCCTCCTAAGCTATTGATTATAATATCACCAGCGTTTCCACCAATGCCACCAGAACCACCATCCCCTATAACATAATAACAATGTCTTAATTTGTCAGGTATAAATCTAAAGATTGCTAGGAAAATTCACAAACCTCCATCACTCGGTTTCACCGCCGGTTTTCCAATAACATCAATATAGTACTTTTCTGATGCTAATCCTGGTTGATGTGACTCTTCGTATTTCTCCATTACAAACTCGTAATTATGATTTTTCAAGTATTTTCGAGTTTCATCGCCGTATCTCTTAATCTCGAAAAATGATTCTGATAAACCTTCTCCAGGGATTCCATCCGCACCTGAAAAAAAGAAGACGTGAGCTAAATTATATTAAAATAATAACTCGAAGAATATGTATAAACGATAAGAAGTTCATTAAATATCACAGCAAAAAATTTTAAATGGAGAAAAAAGTCTAATGTTCTTTAGTCTCAACTGACACCAAGAAAAGAGTCGAGCGTTTGTAATGACAAAGTTCGTTGCTTGACATTTAAGGTATAGATGAAGGTATGTAATTCTTAACAATATTGCTTAAATTGTTAAATTCTTTACCATTTCCACCATGTTGCCCTGGTCCTCCTGTTCCACCGTTCGCATGTATTTCTAAGTATTCTGAATTTATAAACTGTTTACCGACACCGAAAAAGTGTCCAGCGGGACCACCAGGAAGACCTGGTAACCCGGTCCCTCCATTTTCAGAGTTGAAAGAGGATGATTTTGCTGATTCTTTTTCATGAGGTTCTCCTGCTTTTCCATCCAAAATAATCTTTGGTCCACCCATAACTTCCCAAGTAGGTGCAATGATAGACAGTTGCATTTCAGCACCTGTTTTGTTTAATGTGCAGTCTATGAATACTTTGTTTAAGGCAAAGATCTGTGCGATTTTCGCCGTAGTCCAGCAATCTAGTTTTATCACTTCACTTATTCTGACATTGTACCCTTTGACAACTATCTGCTTTGATGATGATATACACAGGATATCAAGTTTGATGGTAAAGGCACTGAATACATCTTTCAAATGTTTCAATTGGAATCGATTGAGTTCCAAAGTTTTAATTTTTTGAAAAGGTTTTTCACTTCCAATCTCTTTTACAATATTTTCTAAATCCGTTATATCCTGCACGACTAAATTTTTTGAACTTGTACATGATGTTATAATATTTGTGATACGTCTGTCATCTCTTAAGTTTTGAGATTTGTAAGCCGATAAGTTTTCATACACATTTTTTAAAAAATCGTAAAAATTTTTTAAATTTCCTATTGAATCTACGATGTTTTGCATCTTTTTCTTCAACAACAACATGTGTGTATCTTCATTGCTATTCGAAATAGTTGTGAAAAAATACAATTTTTCAATATTATCGGCAATAATGTCTAAGTTTATCAATGATAAAGGTATATTCAGAGTATTGGATGCATTCAAATATTCTCGGAAAAATGCTAGTGGTTCATCAACGTTTACTTGTGAAAAAGTATTGTAAGCGCTTGAAACTCGTTGTTGTAATATTTCGATGTCATCGTATTCTTCTTCCATCTGCAAATAGTACGTAAGAGTTTCATCGCTCATTGTTTGCAAGCGATTCGTTAGAGCATCCCTGAATATGTCGTCAACAATTTGGTCAACCGTGATTTTTAATGATTTAGACAAGGCAAAACCAAAATCGCTCTTTTGCGATTGAACATAATGAAGACTGTTTACTATTATGTTACCAATGTTATTAATTTCATTTCGATACTTTGGGTCATTTTCCAGTAATCCTGTGCGTGTTGGCTGTCTGAAAAGAGTAATTCTTGTGTATGAATCGTTTTTATTCTCTAACAACACATCAATTAAACCCACAAACATTCTGTACTTCTCGGAATTTTTTGCTCTATCGAGATAAGTTTCTTTCTTCCTTTGTAAATAATTAGCTATTCCTTCTAGAACTGACTGATTATCATTTACTAAAATTAACGTCCCGTTATCTGCCACTTCATATAAATTTTCTACTTTTGTCGCTACCAAAGCGATTCCATCATAAAACTTTGGAATGTCTTTGATAAACTCACCAATGTGCTCCATTAAATCGTCAAAATCGTTTTTGTTTCCATTAATTTTCAATGACTCGTAATTGATTACGAACATGAGTTTTATGCTCTTTACTTGATTCATGAGAATGTTTTGAAAATATACTGAAGAAATTTCATGCTCAACATTCCGATTATCTCGAAATCCCGCGCAATCAACGTATGTCACGTTTCTTTTGATATCAGTCATTAATTCCGGGATCAGAGTTTGCGAAGATGTTCCATTCCCAATTTTACCGTCTTCATCAATAATTACGAAATATCCGTTTTGCTTAATTGATTTCAATTTTCGACCAACGAGAGCGGAGATAATGGTGGTTTTTCCTGCACCCGTATTTCCCATTACTAACACAACTTCTTCATGTTCACCATGTAAAATGAATTCGCCCTTGTGTTCTTCCCAGAAATTGATAATTTTCGTATAATTAACGTCGACATTTTCTCTATCGATGCTATAGTTAGTTCTCAGATTAGCATTATGATCAAAATTCCTCACCATTGCCAATAACATCATTGATAATAAAGCCCGCGACATTTTGGCGAAATGTGAAACTTTCTAGCCTACAGTATTTTGATGCTAACCGGAATCAATCTCCTCGACAGAAGATGAGCCGCACTATATAGATCGTAATAATAACGGTCAATATTGCGGTTTAAGTGGTACCAGAAGAAAAGACAATATATTAGAAGAAATTATACTTAGATTACGTATAGCTGTGAATGATCGATTCAAATCGGGTACGGAATTTATATTAGTTTCGACTGCTTACATAACCTGTCTCATGGGTTGTTAAGCAATTCAATAGAATAGAAAAATAAAACATCTTCTACATCATTATTCAATAATTAAAAATACTTCGTAAACATATGTGTTCAAGATTAAGCTGAATACATTAAGCGCCTAGAAAATTAAAATTCGATAGTGGATCTTTTAAATTAAGTAATAAAAAGTGTTTTGTATAATTTTTTGGAGCTCATTTTTCGAAACAATAACTATTGAAATTGTTCCCTTACTATATACAATTTTAGTAGTCATGTGACTCTTTATAAAACCACATTTTTAATTAAGTAAGTAGGGAAGATCTTCAATTGTTTTCTGGTCGCTCGCGTAATTATAAAAAAGAATATCACAACAGTGATATTTTGTAAAATACTAACAATAGAAAAATATAGGAATATTGGCAGCTGTATAGGAATATGTTTCGATGTTATTTCAGATGTTTAATAATTTCTATGAAGGCCATAGATGACAAATAGAACAGGTGAAAAATACTTCAATATACTTACAAATTATCATTATCCATTAAAAAAAAAAACCCTGTGGAATATTTATTTTTTTGCTTGATCTTAATTATAGTTTTATAGTCCGTGAAGGTCATCATCATTTGTAATTTTTTCTTTCCGTTTGATAATAAAGCCAGCGTTAATATTTTGTATGTTCAATAAAAGACAAAATGTCTGGTGGTCTAACTGCTTTACAATGACAATTAAAAAACCTGTTCGTATGTTGAATGAGTTTTCTATAGATATTTTTTATCGCAGAGAAACATTAAAAAACAGACAGACGAATGATCTATTGGTGTCACGCTGTAATGGACAATCTTTAATGTGACACAAGAACAGGTCGAGTTGACAGGTGGTAAACAACGCATCCTTAAAATATTAAGCTTAGGAACAAATCGCCATGAAGGCGGGTTTTGATAGGCCATCCTTAAAATATTCGGCACAGAAACAGGTCTCAATATGGCTTGGTATAACAAGCTTCTTTCGAATAACCGGTACAGGAACAGATCACAGTGAAGAAAAATATTTTTCATCATACCAGCGCGGAAAGTTCACTTTTCCAGTGAAGAGGGGTTGAACTTTCCACACAGGTATGAAATATACTATCTACTTCCCTAGGTGTGAAATGTACTATATTTCCGATTGATTTCTATTTAAAAATACTCTGCGCTTTGGAAAATATTTGATTAGATCCTATTGAAGCTATATTTTAGAGAAAAAATATTATTTTCCAATTTATTCCCATTAAAAAGTACTCTGCATTGCTGGTAATTTCTGGTTAAATCCTATTGATAAAAAAAATCATTCAAATTTATTGTATCTCTTCCAATTCATTCCTATTAAAAACATCTGCATCGCATAGGAAATTTCCCATAAATTCAGATTTAAAATTTTTAATCAGATTCAGTAGAAAATTTTCGATGCAAAAAACTGATTTATTCCCATTGAATTTTTTTTTATCGGAATCAATCGGATTATTTCATAAAGGTTGCCAAGATCTACAATTAAACAAAAGCTACTTAATAGTCGTGGTAAAATTAATACAAATGTGCATATTTAATTCAATAACTCACTTCTATATTCAAAATAGATCAATTGTTTAATCAATATTACCATAGTGATAACTTTTTTTTAAGAAATCAAGTCTACTTATTCAATTGAAACAATTTCACGTTCTAAACATAGACATTATTGTATTAGTCATGGCAATGGCAGTACAAGAACGAATTATTCCTTCATCAAATACTCTCGTGAAATATGATAATCCTATATTAGTAATAAAACATCCAGAGAAATCGTCAAAAGATACTACGCGTGGAAAAATAAAATCTGCTTGTAAAGCTAAATCACCACTTCCACTAACAGCGGATGGTAGGAAAGAAACTCTAGAAGTACTTAATAGTATTTTACCACCTAAAGAATGGGAGGAGGATGGTCAGATATGGACCCAACATGTTTCCAGTACTCCTGCTACAAGATTGGATGTTATTAATTTACAAGAACAATTAGACATGAGATTACAACAACGACAAGCTAGAGAAACTGGAATTTGTCCAGTAAGAAGAGAACTATATTCTCAATGTTTTGGTGAGTTATCTTTGTAATTTACTAAAAAACTGTATGTTATTAATTGATTTTATCCTAGATGAAATCATAAGACAAGTAACGATTAACTGTGCTGAGCGTGGATTACTTTTGCTTCGAGTAAGGGACGAAATTAAAATGACTATGACTGCTTATCAAACTCTTTATCAAAGTAGTATTGCATTTGGAATACGAAAAGCATTACAGGTAAATATTTAATAATTATTTGATGATTCCATCATTATTAATTAATTTTTTATCATTTGAAAATTATTACTGTATTAATTAGGCGGAAGAAGGCAAAGAAGATTTAATTACTACAGCAGAAGAATTGAAATCTCAAAAAATTGAACTCGAAAAAACAGTAGCTCAGTTGCAACAAAAGTTTGAACAGGCTGAAAGAAGATCAACAGAACTCCGAGATGCTGAACAAAAAAAGCATTCTGAAGAAATTGAATTTCTAAAAAAAACTAATCAACAACTAAAAGTAATTTTCAAATATTTTCTTCATGTATCAACCATTATCTTTATTATTGCTATTATAAAAATTTTTAATTTATTTATAATTATTTTAGACTCAGTTAGAGGGAATAATTGCTCCAAAAAAATAAAAAAAAAGAGATAAATTTAAAAAGAATATTGAAGAAGATAATAAATAAAATTAACATATATTTTATATTTGTTTATATGATTGTTTATCGGCATGATATTTTGTTTACAAATATATGTAAGTAGCATTAAAAAAGATATAAATATTGCTCATTAAAGAATATGTCTGATAATATTCATAAACATATAATGTATTTAATGTCCAATTTGTCGCTCTTTTCGTGTCAACTATCTTCACATTTTTACTGAATCTCTGCAACACGAGTAACTCGGCATTGGTATTTGTCATTCCAAAAGGTGAGTATGTTAGATACACATCATGCAGTTATAATTGTTAAAGAGATTGTAGTATTTCCTGTGGCACTTATCCTTGGTCTGGTCTCTTAAAATATTTGACATTCAGCAAAGTGGAAACGGATCCTGAGGGGTATTTCAAGCCTCAGGTGACACAAGAACAATCAAGTATCCAAAACGTTTATACAATAAGTGATATAAGCTTATCCTAGAACTAAAATTAAAGTAAACTCAAGTACGTTCATTCCTTATTGAGATAATCATTTTGGAACAAAACAACCCTAGACAACAGAGAAGTTGGAAGTCCTATAACAGTCAGTAGACACAAATATACCAGAGGTATATCATTACCTCTGTTAATATTCTTACATTTCACGACTAACGAGCAGAGTGGACTATAGGCCTGATAATATTACTCCTCTTCTCCTCGTGAAACAACCCTAAACGTTAGAGAACTGATCATTTGTCTTAGATATAGACAAATCCACGCAATTGCAACCAGAAAATTTTCATTAATACAGTGCTAATTTATCTGACTAGAATATTTTATCTATCATTCATATAATCAAATCTACAAAATAATTTATAGAATTCATGCACAAATGTTTTTCGAATCTTTTCGAGAAAAAGATTTTGAAGCAGCGAAAGCTTCGTCAAGATGAGTCATACATCCATAATTACCCTTTTTCAAATAACAAGGTTTTTCTGAAATTATCTTTTTCTCTGTATGTACATAATTCTCTAAAGAATTTTATTAATAAGAATCTAATTATGCATACAAAACTATAATCTGATAGTTACAATTATAAGTAATCATAAACTAATGAGAAAGGTGTCTTATAAAGCTTTAATGCTCTATTCCATTAATTTTTTTTTCTTTTTTTTATAATAAAGAAATAGATAATGGTGATAATAGTATGATATATATTTATAGTAATAGTAAAAAAAATTACAAGTATTTGACCAGTAAGAAAACATGTAATTAAATATTATTATATCATTTTGGTGAAAGAATAAAATGTTGATAATAATTTTTAGTAAAATCAACCATATGATCTAATGTACATTCAGGTAAATCTTCAATTGGTACAGCTGGACTACCTGAAAATTTAGTAAAAGACGGTACTATCGTTTCTGGGGGTATTACTGCACCATCTTCAATGTAACAGCATTCTTTGAGAATACATCTTCTTCCCTGTTATGAATAGAATTTAATTATGACTACTTTCAATAAAAAACCATCAGCATAAATCAACAGGCGTTTTTCAATTTAGAAAACACGAACACACAAAGTAATTCCATACACTTTGGGCCTCAATGAGAAAGAAATATTTCAATTTGGAACTGTCAGAAAATTGTCTTTTTTTTTAACTGAAAATTTCACTTTTATTTTAAATAATAGATTCTGGATCACATAGAGCATTACTATAATTTGTCGTCACCAAATAATTTGCTCAAGCTTTTCCAAATTGCCATATTTTTCTCATTTGAAAAAAAAAACGTGCTATTTCTAAATGAAAAACATCCAATATCATTATTTAAAACGTACAAAATTGTGTCATTATGATTACTTACAATAACAACATTCTTTCCAATATAAACATAGGAACCCACTACGGCTGCATTTATTACTGTACGTTCACCAATAAAAACATGATCACCCATTTGCAAAGGGAAGAATGCAACACTGAAAAATATAAAATGTTCAACATGGATTCTATGAAAAGTTTTACTGGGTTCACAATATTTCTTCTCAAAAATTATAACATTCTATTAAATTAATGTTAGTATTGCTGAGGCATCCCGAAAGGACCTACTTCTAATGAACACGTAAGAAATTAATCTGCAAGTAAATAATTGCATAGTTAAATTTACTTTAATATACTTTAGAAAAGTAATTTGAATATGGGTTCGAATTAAAATTAACTATAATATGTAATTACTGAGTTTTGTTTTAGTGTAACTGTTCTGAAATCATAACATTTGCATAATTTGATAACAGAAGCTGATGATAATGCGAAGTTATCCAATAATTATATTATAAATAACCGAGACATTTGCTTTAAATCATCAAACGTACCCTTTACTAAATTTCTTGAATGGTGGTCGAATGACAACATTTTTGCTTATTATACAATATCGACCAACTCTTATATTTGCTAAATCTCCTCTGATAATAGCATCAGATTGAACAATAACTTTTCCATGCAAAACGATATTCTGTGATCCACATAATACTGTTTGACGACTCACTCTATTCCCAGACGTCTAGAAATGGCAAAAATATTAATTATCCATCAGAAGTAGATAGAAAATTGATTGATTGTATGAAATTTAATTGTATATAGAAATACCGTTTCTATGTACTCAGTTTTATTGTAATAAACATCTTCTGGTTCCATAGTAGAAACACATTAATAATTAACAAATTCGTTATTTGTTATTTACGTTCTTGAAGGTGGACATTACTTATAATTAATGAGTGATTTTTGTATTGACCACATTGTTTCGCATGGTATAGAAAACACAATGCACTATATGTATGAAACTGAATTGAAGAATATACCTAGAAATTGCAATTTTTATTAATTACATATAAATACTGTATTAATAAATAAATTAAAAAATGAGTAATGCTCCAAAAATATGGCTGCGTTCAATTTGAAACTTTTCTTGCTATATGAAATCGCACTTTCTATAGTCATGATGTAGTGGGAGAATTTGAGTGCGCTTGTGCAACAGAAAAAATCGTGGTAGGAGTAAAAGCAATGTTATGTGGAGAGGTCAAAATATCGATAATATACGGATTCTTGTCGAATAGTTCAACTATAAAGTTCTTACTGTGTTTAACCTCATTTGAAAAGCACGCTTTGTAACGTGAAAAGTTTTCATATTATTCCTTTTTCATGTTTAACAATCATCATTATTTTTTATATTAAATCAATTAATATAGTAATAATAAAATATTGAAATATTTATCGGTTTAAATAAAATAATAAGTTTTGTGCGCAAAATGGACAGCAACAGTACGGTGCACGTTGAAAGTAACGAAATTTCTGAAGCCGAAAACCATCATACAGAGAATGGTGAAGTTATTGCAGAAAAAAGCAAAGATGAATCTCCTGTTAATGAAGATAATAAAACTAAGAACAACGATCCATTACTTCTAGATAAAATTCAATCACAAATTGAGGTAATTATTTATATTGCAATTCTTCTATCATATCATAACCTAACTTTTTTTTGTTTTCATACTGTGTTATATTTCACAGTACTAAGAATATTAGTTTTTAATTTAATCTCATGAGAATTTTGCAACGATTTTTTTACATGATAAAGAAAATTTGTTTCACTGTACAGTGAGATCCGTATATATTTTTAAAAACCTGAGATAGCTTGACTCGTGTATTTTTAAATAAAATAATTTTCAAGTCAACAATATTTATGTAAATGATACTTGAAAGTTTAATATTTTTAATTAAATTAGTTGGATGTACATACATAGACTACTGTCCTTTCATAGAACAATGAACTTCGAAATGTATTCAAGATGTGCAGTTTTCTCCATAGGTATAAAGTATAGATCCCTAAGAGAATGCCAGGTAAAACGTGGGAAATTTTAGACACGTACTTAAGTACGTCAACTATAATGACAATTTTACCTATTATATCATATGGATCATTATTATATTATATGGATCAAACCAGCCTACTTTTCTTTACCTGATGTTTAATGACCTTCAATTTTCAAAGTTCCAAATGAATAAATTTAAGATAAATTAAAAACTATAAAATTTTAAGATTTTGTAAATGTATTAAACAATTGTATTATTTGTATAATAATTTCATACCTCTAAATGATATTATTTTAAATGAATTTAATTTTTTTCAGTTTTATTTTGGTGATGTTAACATGTTACGTGATAAATTTTTAATTGAACAAACCAAACTTGATGAAGGATGGATTCCACTGTCAGTACTTCTTCAGTTTAATTTGTTGGCATCATTAAGCACAGATACTGATGTTATACTAAATGCCGTCGAAAGAAGTGATTTGATGGAAATATCGGAAGACAGGAAAAAAATACGTCGACGATTAGATAAGCCATTGCCAATATACAATGAGGAGTATAAAAAAGCCCAATTAGCAAGAACTGTATACATGAAACCATTCCCACAGACTATTGGAATTCAGGATTTAAAGAATTTTTTAAGTGAATTTGGACCAATTGAAAATATTATTGTATGAATAATTTATTTAAATACTTGAGTTACTATATTTTTGAACAGAATATTAATAATTTTAATTTAATTATTTTAGATGAGAAAATACAAAGATGAAAACAAAAAATTCCAATTCAAAGGATCAATATTTGTTCAATTTAAAAATATTACAGATGCTAAACAAGTTGTAGAGAAAGAATCTGTTTTATATGATGGAAAAGAGATTATTAGAAAATTTAGGTAAGCTTTCAAGAGAATGCATAAATTTGTATCTATCAATACTTGTATAATATTTTTAATTTATAATCTTGGAAATTTTTAACGTCAATTATAGTGAAGACTATACATTGGAAAAAAACGATGAACGACATAACAAAAAGCACAAGAATGACTCTAAAGAACATAAAAAAAAAGACGTAAGTAGCAATTTCGACAAATGCTCTTTCATTATTATACATTTAAAGGATGGAATATATTATTTTGGACTTTCTTACAGGTAGAAACAAGTGACAATGAAAAAATAGAATCTGATTCACACGAGTTACCAAAAGGATCTGTTTTACATTTACAAACTACATCAAATAAAATTTTATGGGAAGATATAAAAAAATATTTTGTTGATCTTGGTGAAAAAATAATCTATGTTGATTATAAGAATGGATCTTCAAGTGGCTGGATCCGCTTTCAGGGTACAGATTCTGCAAAATCAATTTTGACAAAAATTACAGATAATAAGGTATTTACTAATAAAGTTTTAAGAATATAAAATTTATTGAAATTATTACCTTCTTAATTAATTTTTTTTTATTTTTAATAATAGATTCAAATAAAAGATTTCGACGTTACTTGTCGATTAATAGAAGGTGATGAAGAAGAACAATATTTACAAAAAGTACAAAAAGAACTAAATTCTAATAAAAAATTCAAAAATAAAAAAAATCGTAACAAAAAAGGTAAAATTTTTAATGATTTAATCATTAATAATATATTCTTTCTTTTTTTTTAATTAAATTAAAATGATGATTTGCCATGCTAATACTGAAAGACAATTTTAGTCTTGTTGAGTTGATATATCGAATATACTGAATGAAGAAACAAAATGTAAATCTTTTCCATAAAACAGTTCATGTTTAACTTTTCACATATTTATGTTTCAGGTTTTAAGACAAACAGAAAACGTTCAGGTAGTCCAATATCTGATAATGTTGCCTCAAAAAAAGCAGCAATTTAATGAACAGAAAGTACCTATCAGTTGATAATTTTTGTAACAATTATGTGTAATTAAATTTGACTCAATAAACTTAAATTAATTAAAATCCTTGGAACTATTAAAAATGAGTAATAAGTATTCAATCCCTAGAAATTTTTTTTAAATATTTATCAAGAAAATTTTCAATCTCGAATGAATTTTTACAATTCTATACAACTTACATGATTTTTTTCTAAATTTCAACGAATAAATTTTCAACTAAAATATCTTGTAATATATATTTTATAAACAATAGTTACAACAAATTTTTTTTCAATAAGAAACGAATAATTACAATTTCTAATTTTCTATTTGTTTCATATTTTTCCCATAACTCATAAGAATTAAATGATGTATTTTATTTCATGTAAATAAAAGACGTATGAATAAAATTTGATATTACTATAAAACTGCATTAGAAAATAAACTAAACTCTGCAACTCATAAACCTGTGACCTTCAAATAAGTATTAAATTTATGAATATATGCATACATATACATATATTTTTTATATATTAAAAAGAAACTCATTATAATATATGACGTATTTACAGTTTAATTCAATTATATGTTATTCAAAAACTTGATTTCTTTTTCGAATCATTCATCTTCTCCTTTTTAGCTATAATTTGATGAAAAAAATGTTAATTATGTTGTATGAGAGATGATAACTTTTATACAAAGTACTTCTTATGACTTGATTTTAGTTTTGATCCACTTATTGCAGAATAAGTAGATTAACACTAACGTCAGACTAGCTTGATAATTTAAATTCGATGTAGTATACAAAAAATCATATTACTGAAAACTCATAACACATTTTGTTTCATCATCATAAATTACTAATTACGTAGAAAAATTCTTTTTACACAATTGTGAAAATAAATTTAGAATATTATAGTTTTAGTTATTCTAGTTTTATTATTATAACGATCAATTATTTGTTCATTATTGTTACGGCAAACAACGTTCAGAAATAAGTAAAATTTAATGAGGTATGTTTTGTGTACTCTTAACGATGAATCTTAATTATTCTATTTGAATAACGAATGAAGGTTGCATTAAGAAGTATGGTAATTATCGGTATTTTCCAATAGTAATTCTTTTTCATTTCGAGTAATTTGCTTGGGACTAAATTTCTCCAATGCAGGATCGAAACAAGGCTGCAATAAATATAATTAATTATTACATTTTTATGGTACTTGTGCATTAGCAAAAATAAATTTACTTCAAAAATGCATATTTATGGCAATTCAGATAACAATGGCTAATGCAGTTATACGATTTTATACTATTTATATATTTAAAATAAAATTATTTAACTTAATTACCAGATTATTAAAACTTATTTTTTAACGTGATATTTTTAAGGTATAATTTTTGAAATAGCTACTTTGTTTACTAATACTATATAAAAGTATGTAATGAATAATAAAACAATTACATAAAGACATTTATGAAATAAATTATTAGTAATGATTATTTTATAAAAGTATTACTTACTGTCTCACAAAGATTCATATTGCAGCAATTTTCAATTACTATTTCACACTGATTATTAGATGATGGCCTTGATGTCAGTGGAGTCAATATATTTTTGTTAACAACAAATCTTTTTTTAATAATCGGTTTTTTGCGAGTTATAAAAAGTATATAACCAAGTATAGTAATAATTATTAGAAGCACTCCAATTATTGTTAAAAATATTATCATAAACATTTTGGTTTCAGGACAATTATCACCATAAGAAATTTTCTTATCATAATGAACTTCTTCACAGCTGTTAAAAATATTTTTAATTAGTGATATAATGAAAATACTCAATTTAATTTGAACTATGTCATAAACTTACCGACAACCATCTAAATTGAGCTCATTCGACGTAGATTGAACACTATTACATATGTTCATGCATACCTCTGTCGCATTTAAAATTTCTTCACATCTTACACCTTGTGAATATTTACAAGTACAGTGAGGTTCACCCTCTTTCAAAGTGCAATCACCATCATTTAAACAATAATTAGAACAAACATTCTGTTCACAATGTTGTCCCTGATAGTTTTCATCACAGTTGCAGTGTGGTCGACCATTTTCAAGAATTGTGCATTCACCATGTAGACAATAGTTATGGCAGACACTCTTTTTACAAAGGAGATCGTTGAAACTGAAACGATGTGAAATTGTTAAAATTATGACCATATTATTAAAAGAACTGTTTTTAATAAAACATTATTATATTGAAAGCTTAAATCAGGACTGTTCAATAAAAATAAAATTTTATAAAATAACCTTCTAATCACCTGTGTTCACATTGACACTTGTTATTGATAATATCAAATAGTTCATTGTAAAAGCATGTTTGAGAAATTTCAGTAATAGGTTCATAAAAATTCTCATTATTGGTGAATGTATATTGTTCACTACTCTTGTTTGTTACCTCTGAAGACAACTTTTGAAGTTGTGTGTCGAATACAACGCAATCAATAGGACCAATATTGTCTTGTGTTATTAGAGTAGTAGGATTAGCATCAACGTTTGAATCTCGAAATGTTTTCCATATCCTCGGTGTCGAATCTGATTTTATATCCTTGTTTATACTCCATATAGCACCATAAACTGAATCAGTCCAATATATTGTACTCTGATCAATTGTGATATCAAAAGGTTGCTGATGTTTTCCATGAACCAATAATTCTCGATGCGATCCATCAAAATTACTCCGTTCTATTTTATAATGTATTCCTTCATCATCATCTATCCAATAAATTTTTCTAGTTGTATGATCAAATGTAAGTGCGACTGGATCATATAAATCAGTATTTATTATGATTTTATAATCTGTTCCATCCAACGTTGAACTTGAAATACTTGAACGAGACTTGTTACTGTTTGTCCAAAATAAACGTCGATCACACATATCTAATGTAATACCTTGTGGATTTTCATTTTTTAAATTTAAAATTACTTCAGGTTTCAAAACTTTATCCTCTGAACTAACGTCTAATTTGAATATTCCTTTTTTTTTACTATCAGTCCATAATAGTGATTGAGATATAGGATCATAAATGATATTAACGATATTCCAAAACTCTTGTTTTCCTAAAGAAGAAAAATAAATTATTTCATAACTTATCATTATTATTTTTATAATATTAATTACTTACTGTTGAGAAGTACATTTATTTCAGAATCTTCTGATCGTAGATTCTTTGAAAAAATTGATATATTTTTATTCCTGGAATCACTAAGATACAAACGATATGATATTTTATCATATGCAATTCCAGACAACGATACAGCATATCTATTCTTAATACGTCTCATTAATGTACCATCATGGGAAAAAAAATGTACTTCTTGTCCTATCGTTACTGCGAGATCTGAAAATGGAAAAACTCAGAATCAAAATGTATAAATAACTAGAGTCTACAAGATGCTACCAATTTTAACAATTACTTTTAGTGTAATATGCTTGTAATCAATCGAATAATAATTTATTTTACAAGTAAAGGACATATTTACTTGGCTCTTATAAAAAAATTTGTTATTAATTTTAAATCTAATTAAAAAAAAATTTATTTCATTTATTTTTAAAAATAAATGTAATATTATAATAAAATAAATAACGATATTGTATTTAATGTTTAAACTATTTAGCCAAGATAAAAATGTCTTTCTTCATATATTATATATGTCCATATATATATATATACACTAATTAAATTAAACATTGAACGATTATAATGTCAAGTATGCTTATCAATTTATCGCATAAAAATTTCATTCATCAACAAAAAAAAACTAAAACTACTAAAGTTTTAAGTCTTATTAATTTTATTCTTAACCTTCAACCTCCAAGACAAATATATGATGTAAATATTATATAACAATATAATTTATCAATTATTATGTCGATAATACTTATAAATTAATTTTTTATTCTATTAAAAATATTGATACAGCACAAATTTAGCAAGTAACATTACTAAAATATGAATTGAAGCAACAATTTTATTTATGGCACATCTAGATTTTTGAATCTCATATTTGTAAAAAAGTTTTTTTAATATAATGTCCACGAAATTAATATAAATAAATATAAATAATTTCATTTATATCATCTTAATCGGTTAATTTAATTATTTTTTTCATCCTTTTTAGATTACGTATTACTTATATAATGATTGATAAATTTGAATTAGTATGTTAAGAAACGAACATGAATATAAATGAAAAAAGATTACTGTCTTTGTCATACTTAATTTTAATAGGCGACATGATTATTTTTGCCAATAATTTGAAAGAATTTATTCAAAAATTGGCGTACGTGACGTTTCTTAATACATAAATGGTAGCTACTTTAGAGATATTTCTAATTTTTCTTATTCACAGTATTTCGATTAGGATAAAATTAACAGTAACTTACCCCATGATTTAGAATAAGTCAGGTTCATCAGAAATATGAAAAGAAAAAAAGAAACTAAAATACGTTGACTGTAAAATGACATTATACTTAAGTTATCATTTAAATTAAGTAAGTACTAATTCGCAAATAAAAACTCATGTGCCGCGCACGATTTTTTTCGAGTCTACGCACGCAAGCAGTTGTAAGTACACTAGTGTGGTAGTCAATGAATGTATTACCTTACATATGTATCAGTGAAATACATACATACCTATAATTGTAGATCATATAATTAATAGGTATTTTTTGTGTAATAAATAAATAATATAACTAAACATTATTGTAATAAAACTTTAACATTATTTAATTCATCATTTTTACGTCATTTGTTATAAAACTACAATGTATGAAAATGATTATTTACAAAAATTTTTACAATAAATTATAACTATAAAAAATAATATATCATTAACATTAATTTCATATTTCATACTAATTATATTAAATCGTATTAATTATTAAACGAAATTTTTAAGTCAAAACAGATGACTTCAATGTTTTTAGAACTTTAGATAAAAACAATATGGCGGTCGTACACAGAATCACAGTCTGTTGTTATTATATTATTTAACTTCTCTCTGTAAAACGAGAGATAGCGCGTTGGTACTCGGTCTGTTGCTACTCCAATCGACAAACCTTAGTATCACAGCTGTATAACGTGCGCACGTTGATGCCTTTATAAGAAATAAATAATAATACTATAGTTAGTCAAGATATATTATTAGAGATGAAGAGGTTGTGAAGAAATGTGAAGTTTTTAATTAACTCGTTTAAATGGTTAATTAATAATGCTTTTCTCTTTATTATTTAATATAATAAACGATTACATATAAATAATTTCAAGAATAGTGTATACATATATATGTAAATAACACATAATATGTATGCTGTGGCAATAGTAATGTATAGTGCATAGTAAAAGCAAGCAAGCTACTTTTGAATTACTGGTTACCTTTTATGGTAATTGAATGAAAAAAAAAACAGAAAAGATATAAATAAAAGTATTTGGCTAGTGTATTTTTCAACGTAAAGTGATAAAAAGTAAGAATATTTCATACTCATAAAAATTAATATAGTTAATAATTATAAGTGACAAGGATAAATTTAAAACGTGCAATAATTACAATTATATATTACTAATTGTAATAAATATTTATATTATAATAATACATCTCATCGAAATTGATTTATTAAGGTATGATATATTTTTAAAGATAAAGATGATCCATTTGACTCATATTATTCATTGTAAAAACAACTGTGTATCGAGTTTCTTATTAGTCAGCATTAAATGTAAAGCTAAACGTGGGTGAGCCTGTTTTAACCACACCTAAAATTTTATTTAAATCTTTACCCACATTTATTACTTTATAAAATATTTAAATTTGAAATATCATTATATTTAATACATTTTGACAAAATCAAATCTTACTGTTTAAATTAGTTTAGTTGAAAGATTCTAGGACTTTTTCTTCAGTATTTGCATAATAAAAGTTGTAACCAAAATTTATCACTATGAGTCATAACAGATTAATAATAGAATTGACCTAATCTGCAAACTTTAAATTTTGTTATTTCATTTTTTTTAAACAATTTTACAGTTAGTGTAATTTTATATAATAATTGATAAAATAAATTACAGCCATGGTGCGATATAGTTTTTTAATATCATTAATGATATGGGTACCTGGTGTACTATCATCTCTTCCACCGCCAGAAAGACTGACTGGCATGAATCCTTGTATTAGCAAACAAACTTGTCATGAATGCATACAAACGCCTCATTGTGCCTGGTGTGCTGCTCCAGTAAGTTCAATTAAATTCATTTATATAATTTATTGTAAACAGTGAAACATTAAATTTTAATGATTTTAAAAATTTTTCCAGAAATTCAATGAAAAACGTTGCTTCCTTCCAAACATTAACACTAAAATATTTGCAACATGTCCTGAAGAATTTACGTGGAATCCAGACAATGTATTTAGTATGGTACGCCATCGAAATTTAACAAAAGGTGGATACGTAGGTGTTGGAGAATATTCCGGATCAAGTTTTTCTTCAAGCTCTAGTAGTTCATCTTGGAGTAGTAAAAGTTCTAGTAGTAGTAGTAGTTCAGCATCAGGAAATAGACAAGATGCCGTACAAATATGGCCTCAAGAAGTTAATTTGAAACTACGAATAAATGAAGCTCACAGAATGTCATTCGCCTATTCACAAGCTGAAGATTATCCAGTTGATTTATACTATCTTATGGATCTCAGTAAATCGATGGAAGATGATAAACAAAAACTATCGGATTTAGGGCAACTACTTGTGGAAAGTATGAGTAAAATAACAAGCAATTTCCGGTTAGGATTTGGTAGCTTTGTTGATAAAGTGGTGATGCCTTATGTAAGCACAATACCAAAAGCTTTAAAAGAGCCTTGTGATGGATGTGCTGCACCCTACGGATATAAAAATGTCATGAGACTGTCTACAGATACTAGTGAATTTGCCAGTTTAGTAAGTAATGCATCAGTATCCGGTAATCTAGATGCCCCTGAGGGTGGTTTTGATGCTATCATGCAAGCTATTGTATGTAGAAATGAAATTGGTTGGCGTGAAAAAGCTCGTAGACTATTAGTATTTTCAACAGATGCTGGATTTCACTTCGCTGGAGATGGAAAATTAGGAGGAATTATTCGACCTAATGATGGCCTATGTCATCTTGATCATACTGGACTTTATACTCATTCATCACTACAAGATTATCCAAGTATCTCACAAATTAATTTAAAAGTTAAACAAAATGCTATTAATATCATTTGGGCTGTTACCGAAGAACAAATAAGTGTTTATAAGAGGCTAACAAAACATGTAGAAGGCTCATTTGCTGGTAAATTATCTAATGATTCAAGTAATATTGTCGAATTGATCAGAGAACAATATGATAAAATTTCAAGTTCAGTTGAAATGAAAGATACAGCAAGTAGTGTTATTAAAGTAAGATATCTTTCTAGTTGTTTAAATGATGGTCCACTCATTGAAACATCAAAATGTGATGGTCTAAAAGTTGGCACTAAAGTTGAATTTATTGCTGAAATCGAAGTAACTAGTTGTCCTGCCAATCGATCAGAGTGGAAACAAAAATTTGACATTTACCCTGTAGGTATTAATGAAACACTAACTGTCAATTTAGAAATGCTTTGTGATTGTCAGTGTGAACATAGTGGACCAATGTATGAAGCAAAATCTCCAGAATGTAATGGCGTAGGTACATTAAAGTGTGGAGTATGTGAATGCTATGATGGATTCTTCGGAAAACGATGTGAATGCAGCTCACATCAAGAAATAACCGGTTTCGATAGAAACTTTCAATCATGTCGTCCAGATAATACTTCTTTAGTTGATTGTTCTGGACGTGGTACGTGTGCATGTGGTCAATGTGAATGTGAAGAACGAGAAAATCATGAAGAGGTGAGTTGATAACGTGATTCGAATAAATTTGTAATACAAAATATTATCCATAACTTTGAATAATTAACTTGAATTTCTCTATAGATTATTTCTGGACACTTTTGTGAGTGTGATAACTTTTCATGCGATCGAGATGATGGATACCTTTGTTCAAATCATGGCACATGCCAATGTGGACAATGTATTTGTAATGCAGGTTGGACTGGGCCCAGTTGTAGATGTCGATCTTCTAATGATACTTGTATCGCTCCAGGTACTACCAACGGTGTTTTATGTTCTGGACACGTAAGTAGTTTTATCATAATTACAATCATAATACAAATATCATTCATAGATTATTATTTATAATATTTGAATTCTTTAGGGAGACTGTGTTTGTGGTGAATGTATTTGTCATGAAGTTGGTAATATACGATACTCCGGAAAACATTGTAACAAATGTCCTACTTGTCCTAGTCGTTGTGAAGAACTGAAGCCTTGTGTTCAGTGTTTGACTTATAAAACAGGAAACTTAACAGAAAGTGAATGCAATAAGCTCTGTACCGAGTTTGTTCCAGAGACAGTAGAATCTATTGTTGTTGATGTAGATAATGACGAAGTTGCATGCTATGGAATCGATGAATATGATTGTAAATACAATTTCGTATATTATTACGATAATCAAAATTGTCTTAAAGTAAAGGTTCAAGCTGAACGAGAATGTCCATCGCCTGTCTACGTACTTGGAATAGTTTTAGGTGTCATTGCTGCAATTGTTCTCATAGGACTTGCATTTTTACTTTTATGGAAATTATTAACAACTATACATGACCGCCGAGAATTCGCTAAATTCGAAAGGGAACGAATGATGGCCAAATGGGATACGGTAAGAAATTTATCTTATTAGTATAAATGATTTTATCAAAATGCTTCTTGAATTAATATGCTAAATAATTTATTTTTAAACAGGGAGAAAATCCTATTTACAAACAAGCAACGTCTACATTCAAGAACCCAACTTATGCAGGAAAATAAAAAATAAGAAGATAAGATGAACGGACGTTAGAACAATTATTGTTAAAAATCAATGAAAAATATAAAGTACAAGAAATTTAAAAATGAATTCATAAATCAATTCAATAACAGTTTTCAAGAATTCGAATAAACTTGCATTTGATTTATTTTTACAGATTGTTTAAATAATTTTTAAATTATTAATTTTCATTTTGTGAAAACTAGCATTTTTCTTTTTCTAGAATACTTATTTAACATAAAATAATTATTTTATTTTCTATTACGAAAAATACTGCCATAACACTAGACTGTACAAAAGAAAAATAGAAAACATAAAATAAAATCATTGTTTTGTCATAGAAATGCTAACTAATTTAATAGATTTACAAAATATTATCTTATTAAATTATTAGGGGATGTTTTTTTTTCTATTAAAGTGCCTTATATTATGATAGTATATTGAAAAATTATTGTTAAAAATAATTATTATATAATAAAATACGAAAAATCTCAGTTAATAAGCAAAAAATGAAAATTTTCTGATAAATAGTAATACTCTTATTATGAATATTTTTTATTATAATTAAAAATATAAGAATTATAATTATAAATTAATATCTAACAATATCTACTTAAATGCCAAGTTATATCATCTATATTTTTATTTTTCTTATTAATATTTTTAGAGACTTTCGTCTCTTTTTTTTTTTTAATGTCTTTATAATAAACTTATGTTGAAATATTTAACCACCAAAGTTATGAATTTTATTTTGATATTTTATAAAACTGTCTGTGACTGTAATTTTTTTCATTCTAAACTGTAAGCTTACAATGATGATAATGATAAAAAAATATTCGATAACTTTAGATACATTGTAATATCTAATAAATGTTTCAATAATATACATGTGTTGTGAATATTTTTCAATTATGTACCGACATATTGTTTTCATTTATATTTATTTAAATGATATACAAAAAACTGAATTTAAAAAAAAGAATTAGAATACTCCAATCAGTGATACGCAAAAGTGTCCATATGAATTATCAGTAAAAAATTTAAATTGCTTGCTTCTCTTAATATTTTAATTTTCGCTTACCTTTTATTCTTTAAATATCAAAAATAATTGATTATTTGCATACAATTATGAAAAAATTTTAATTTAATAAAAATTCTTTGTATGGAATAATAAAAACATTTAATTAATGTTATATATTTGTATATATTACTATTGTCATAATCATGGCAAAAGTCTTAGATCTCTACTGTTTTCAATTTTTATAAAAATATGATGAAATTTTTTATTCAAGCATTAGTGACAGGAATAATAAAGTGTGTCTGTTAATTAATCGGCTAAATATTGGATTACATAATCGCGGTCGTTTATAATTCAACCCGTACAGAAAATATTTGCCTATCAAATGAATTTGCAAAAGAAATTTAATCTGAAGATCATTTGTTCTTTAAATAATCACTGTATTATTAAAAGAAATAGTAAATATGACAAAGATAAACAGTTTTTTGATAAATGAGCCATAGAAAATTAATACCGGCTTTGGATAAATTTTATTTTGAAGATCATGCAATATAAAAGATCTGAAAAAAGTTTTAACAAATTCTGTTGAAACGTTCTATTTCCATAATAAAAATTTTAAGTAATTTAAATACATAGCCATTTGGAAGAGACAACTTATCGAATGATTGGTATTATCAAAATATTAAATCAATGCCAATACAATATTGTTGTTTATGACTATGTATGAATTACAACAATTTCATATTGTTTATGATATTTGCACTTTATTGTAAACAGTTGAAAAATAGTTGCTACATACTTATAGAATAATGTTTATTGCTAATAAATTCGATCAATAACAATAGAATATTATTGCTAATATGATTCATAACAACAGTATATTGTTTCTAACAATTTGCAATTATTAGAAACAATTAAAAATAAATACATAAAATTTGTATAAAATTGGAACAAAAAATAAAATTGATAATAATAAACAGTCAATGGGAAGGAGAAATTCATTATGTAGATAAAAAATTCATTCATTTCTTGATATTGAATTTGTTTAACTGAATAAAATAGAACTTGATAAACACACTGATAAGCTACAAAGGTAAGAGGTATATTGATTTTACCTGGGCTTTTTTAATTAATTAAAAGAAAATGGCTTTCAACAATATATTTTAGACATTTCAAAGAATAAATTTCATGTTACGGAATTGTTTTTTAATTCTAATATATGTATGTTTCTGTTTACACATCTTATGCCAAAAAAAATAATTTTTATTTTTATCTTACAGAAAAATGACGGAAAATAGTGAATACTTATTGGACATCAACCAATCAGAGATCAGTTACAATCGTAACTGTCGGTAATATATCATTTGGTAATAGATCTCTTCCTTACCGACGAAATGAATGTAAGATTACCGGTAAAATACTGACTGGTATGGAAATTTACGTAGCGTAAATTTCCTGACATCTATAGATTGTGAGTCATCTACTATAGTAGTGTTGTGTATGAAAATACTTTATTTAGTATACATGTATAAATTTAGACGTATATATGTGTAACTCACAAATTATACTCACGTGTTGGAAAATTCAATGAAAGTGCAAAATAAAATTGCAGGTATTTTATTACATCATTATATTGGAAAGTAGTGCAACGTCTAGCTTAAGCTTCGATAATTGTGTTAATATAAATATAGTAAAACATATAAAAAGCAACAATTTAGTACAATTGTGCCACAAATAATTGAGTGTTTGAAAATGTCCTCAAGAAAATGGAGTTGAATATCATACTAATTTATGACTGTTTGACAATTTTCATTAACTTATAGTTAATAATTATACGTCATATTATTATATTCATATAAATCTATTTTTATAGATTACTAATATTTTTTCAGTCGCATAACAAAGTTATCACCCATTAGATTATGGAAAAATTGTCAAAGATAGCGTGGTATTTTCAATGGTTGAAAAGGAATGATCGTAAAAATGAACAATATCTTCAGGAAGATAAAATATTATCTGTCAATCAATTAAAAAACATTGAAAAAGTATCATCAACATCTAATGAGTGTGAAAAAAATAAAAATAATTTTTCGGATATTCTAGAGAGTCTATTGTTATGGAAAAATTCGGTCAACAGTATATCTGTTGTAATCGTTTTTAACATACTTTTTTGGTAAGATTTATTATTGTCTATACTTAACTCAAATTTATTATTAAATTATAAAAATCATTCTTAATCTTTCGTACTTTCATGAATAATTGTACTAGCAACGCATAAAAACATTAGTCATTGTTGGATTATACAAATAATTGCACATATTCATTATGCATCAGTCGCAATTCAGCATAAAAATTCGATTAGCTACTTATGTATGTCTATAGAAGCAACTACAGTCAACAATATGTATATAAATAACGCATGTAATACTGTTAAATTACTGACAAACTCATGATTCATATAATGTAAACATTCAGAATTTAAATAATGATACAACATAAATGAACATTATTTGTTATTCTAAATATTAGTGTTGTTTTCACAATATTACGAAATCATATAAATTCATCTAAAACACTGCAAGATTGAATATATCATTTTATTCTAATTGCAATTACTAATAAATTATTTATTATCTTCAAAAAGTTTTCAAAAATAAAACATGCATATATTACATTACACAAGTTAAAGCAATTTTGAAAATTACAGGGGCATTGTAGTTTTGGAGATTCGTGGCTTTGCAGCAGCCAGCAGTGCTGCGCTAGTTGTGGTTCTCTGCTACAGTACTCTAGAATCGCAGATAGAAAAAGAACCAAGATCACCATCATTAGATTCAATGGGGTAAATAATTTAAAACATTTTTGAGTAGATGTATTTTATTGTCAATATTTAAACTTTTCAAATTTTAATGTTTCAGGTCTTTAGTTCAATCATTTCAAATTGACAAAATGATAAATAAATTAAAAGCAGGCATTGAAAATTTGAAGACATTGCGGAAAAATCAACCTGGAACGGTACGAAAATTATTTAATTACTCATGAACTAATTTTTTTATGTGTAAATTATTTGTTTACAGTTTTGTATCGTAGCTTGTGTGACGTCAATAATGTTATGGGTAATTGGACGTAGTGTAAATTGTATTCTCTTGGTTTATGTTATTTGTATGGGACTTCTAGTAGGACCTGGGTTACTTTACAGAATACCTAAAAAAGTTCTTATTTCCAAAGGTATGACTAATTTACATAAATCAATAATCTAAACGTTCATATTAATGCATTTTAATTTCAATTTTATATCACTATATATAGAATGGGAAAATGAGATGGAAGAATTTTTACCTGCTGTAACTGAGGACAATTTACAATTATTAAACAGAGTAGGAGAAACTGGAAATCATTCTCCAACACCACCAAATGGTTTACCAGACCATTTTATTGGTGAATATAATAAAAATAATATATTACATACTTAAAAATTTTATTATTTTAATGAAATTAACATTAATATTACTTTTTAGATTCATTCGATGATGAAATCACTGGTCTAAAAATGCCATCTCATGAAGATGGCAGTACAGATGGACTTGAATTATCAGATGAGTTAGAATTGAGTGCTGGTGAAATTATCAATGATAATGGCAATTTAACGGCACAAAGTAAACATTTTGAAGTTATTTCTTCTTCAGATGAAGAAGAACTTGATCTTAAAAGCAATGATTTATCTAGTAATAGTGACGATAGCGAAAGTGAATTTGAAGTGATTGATAGTCATGATATTACTAGTTTAAGTAATGATAATAACAATGATCATCATAATTTGTAGGCATAAATATAACAAATACATACTATAAATATATACTATAATATAAGCAATGGTAAAAAAAAAAGAAACTCGAGTAATTGTACAATTGTTAATTAATTTATTTTTATGTTATTAAGTTCAATGAATATTGCTTCAAGATTCACTGTAAGATATTTCATTTAATTTGGATAATTTTAAAATAATCATTGGTGGTGGTGCTTCAATAACTTAGTATATATCTATATTTACAACAAAATTACTATGATACATACATTTTAATTTATCTGACAGATTTCAATTATAATCATAAATGAAATCGAATTATTTTGTCAAGGCTATATCATATAAATTACTTCATTTATAATAGAAAAAAAATTTCAATTTGAATCTACTCAAAAATAAACAGACAAACAACAAATATTAATATTTATTTCATTAAAATGAATAAATATTTTGTTCAAAGTTTCCATTGATACTAAAATAAGAGATTTAACTTATTTTTCACGACGTAAAAAGTTTAGAAAATCAATAAAGAATTCTATTAATAATCACGAAATATTTATTATAATACTGAAAAAATGAGGTGCAACTTTAGAACAAATATTGAACGCAATGAAATATAAATTAAGTAATTCTTTTATTCTGTTTGTACAATTTGTCATATTTTAACTTATTGAAAATAAATAAGTTATTTTAATATCACAGACAGTGAAGTATATCAAATTACACACTATACAGTAATAGTTTATTTTTCTTAATCTATTTCCGTTTACTATTATAGTATTTTTAATGTAATACAAGAGAAAACCTATTTATGTACATATGTGAAAATAAACATGTTTATTAGTAAAAAAGAAAGATTCAATAAAACAAAATAAACCATTGTATATCATTGTAAACTCTAATAAAATATAAATTTTTGAAACAAAATTTGATGATTGCTTGTGAACCTTACATACTAATACTGTCATTTAGTATGACTTCAGTTTCATTTTTTTTTTCAGGTTCTATTAGTTGAACTTTATTTCTTATTGGTAAAACTTGTAAAAATGCTTCTTGCCATGTTTTTTTTTCTGTTATTCGCAATAAAATTTCAAATACTGAAATAGTTCAATAAATTAACAATACTGTCAGTATCAAATATTATTACTCTTATCATTATACTCACCATGATCAATAGTAAGAACTTTTCGTGCTGTCATTTTTAAAAATTTATCAAGAGGCAGTCTTCCATGCTGAATATTTGATTCTTTCGCGAGTTTATGACAAAGTCCCTAATATAAATATTTATAATTAAAATTTATGCTTTGTGTTATTCTTAAAATAATCAATTATAAATAAAAAATACCTTGTGTGAATTATGATCGACTAAACCTCCAATAACATAAACCGTGTCATCATTTAAAGCTTCAATAAAATTTTCAGATTCACTTGTAAGATAAATTATGTTTTTATCTTTATATATTTCTTTGTAGGAGTCTGAAAAAAAATTCACCTAAAACGTTAAAGCAAAACAAATAAAATTCTTACATATTGTAAATAAATAAAGCAATACAATGTAATGTTTCAAATAGTCCTTACATCCCAATGTTGATATCCATTATGCTTTTCCATTTCACGTTGACTTCTTCCATTAAAATTTGTTAGAGAAAACTGTACTGGAGCTAGAGCTCGTCGATTTAAAGAATAACATCTGAGTATTTGTTTTATAAGTTTAGCAATATCCTTGTCAATCATTACATCATCGAATGACATATCAATTGTTATAGTAACACCGCAAGTACTATCTGCCATAGTACTTTTTTTAAGGCTTTTTCTTGATGGACCAAGATCAATATTATTTGATCGAGCAAATGCACGTTTTTCCTTCAATTTTATTCTCTCTTTCAGTCTTGAATTAAACAACATATCATTATTATTTAGACTAATAATTATGTGTATGATATTAATTTATAAATATTATCAATATTTACCTTTTTTCGGTTTTTCTTGCCAACCATTTTTCTTTTTTTTTAATTTTCTTTTGATGACGTTTACTTAAATTAGTAATATCACTTACATTACTATCATTTGTAATACTATTAGATGAATTAGATACAAATATTGTGTTAACATCATTACTATCATTGCTCTTATCAGATGTATTATCAGTTTTCATATTTTATATCCTGTTATCAAATTATTTATATGCTATTACAAACAAAAATAATATCTATATATTAAAAATATATGTTTATATGTTATACTATTTACCCGATAATAATTAATTATCAAATGAAGAAGGATTCTTTCAGGAGTTATCGTCATGCAATGCTTTTTACTCCATTGTTGGTTGCAAAATTTCGACCTATAGTTCAGTTAGCATGTAAACAATAACCAACGTAACCCAAATGTCAAAACATTATTTATTTTATAAATTTCATTTATAGTTTGAGGATATACACATGATAAATAATTACGTAAAAGTTAGATAAATATATGATATAAATAAAATTTATGTAATTTAGAAAAAATTATTAGGCTACGTTTGATTTTTTAGTTTTTCTTTGAACCTGATTGAACTATAGTTATTAAAATTAATCAAACTATACTGTTCTCTCCATGTTTCAAATGGAGTAGGGATAGTGCATCTTTGTCCAATTCGACTACGAGAAATTCGTTCTTTTTAGGTTACCCCTCAAAATGGTAAGTATTAATACATTTTCTGTGTACGCAAATATGAGTAATTTCGTTTTATAATAAAAAATTTTTAAACATTTGAGTAGAAATAAATTAAATAATTCATTTATGCTTTATATTATGAAGATTATATGTCTATATATTCGTTATGAAATATTTTCTATCATATAAATGATCACCATGTGATTCATTTATATACCTGTAAATAATATTTATAAAAACTTTATAAATAAAATTCATTCAAACATGTAATTTAGTATATTATTAGTTTATTTTTTTCATCATATTTGTTTAATTATACAAATAATAACAAATAGTAATGATTCTACATATGCAATTAGTATATAACCTCTAAATCAAATGATGATAACATAATTGAGTGAAATTCTGTGATGGAATAATACTGATTTAATGAGTCTGATACAAATCATTGATAATATTCTTTTAAATTTGTTATAACTATTCGAGTTATTCTAAAACATAAACGAATTTTTTCAGCCACCCAAAAAAGATAGTAAAAGCTCGTCAAAACAACCTCAGAAGACACAAAAGAAGAAGGAGGGAGGATCCGGCGGAAAAGCTAAAAAAAAGGTAAATTGAGCTTCATTTGTAATATTTGAGGTAATCTATTGACTAATTAAATATAAGTTGTTTTATATTTTACAAGTTTTTCAATGTATTGTTGATGTATTTAATTTTATTTACAGAAATGGTCGAAAGGAAAAGTACGAGATAAATTGAACAATCAAGTGTTATTTGATAAAAGCACATATGATAAACTTCTTAAAGAAGTTCCTCAATATAAGCTTATTACTCCTTCTATTGTAAGTGAACGATTAAAAATCCGTGGATCACTAGCTCGAAGAGCACTTATTGAACTTCAACAGAAAGGACTTATTAAACAAGTGGTTCAACATCATGCCCAGCTTATCTACACACGAACCACTAAAGGAGATGATCCTGCTGCATAAAAAGTTTATAAACTTTTACTTTTAAATTAATAAAATCTAAAAAATATACTTGAAATGTTTTTATTTCAACATATCATTCATGAAATGATTAATTACATTCATTATAACTTAATATTATACATCGATTTTCGGCTTAAAAAAGTTTTACGTATTTCTATACTTCAAAGAGGTCAAAATGATGCTTATTAAGTGAAAGAGAGCAAAAGATTTAGGCAAAAATCTCAGATAAAAACTAGTAGTACCAAAAAAGCTAATAGCATCTTACTTGATCATTTGGAATCTAATTACAAATAAGTAAAGTTAATTAAAAATACTGTAATCTTATAAATATTTTCAAGATCAATTAGATCATCATCGAGATGACTTGTATGAAATTTCTATTTTGTGATTTAAACAATTGGATGTTATTTATTTAAACAATGAACATAAAAATGTTTATACTACTAGTGTATGTATGAAAAGGCTAGGGAATTTATTGGACTCATTAGATGTAAAGGACCTTTAACAGAGTCTGACGCAAAAATAATGCTGAAACATGGCTGACTTGGTTATGTTCATAAGATATTTGGCATTTCTGATGAAACATGGTGATGATGCGCCAAACTCTATCTTGAGTGACTAGCATGCGCATGATGTTGTCGACGCATTATCTACATATATATACTCTGTATTAACGTGTCATATCATAATAATATTAGACATATATATTTGCGTTCAAGATAACCGTAAAAAGGAACATATTTTACTCAATAAAATAGGAATTAAACATTAAACTGTTACAATTCATTATGTCGAGTGAAAAAGAATGCCATTTTAAAGCAGGGCATCCACCAGCAGGTTCTAATATAATTATTATATTAACAATTATTATTATCCAAATATACAGCTTCAATTAATGTATCAATTTTGAACTTTACATTTCTTTTCATATATTTCTAATTTGAATAATGCTTTAATGATGATTTATGATAATTCAATCACCCAACTTTATTTTTGCATTTATTTGTAATAACTTTAATAATTATTATCCAGTTAAGGCTGGTGGAATGAGGATAACTCAACATAAAACAGCTCGAGAAGAACGTGAACAATTTAAACTGACTAAAACTTCAACAGATGCCAAACTTTCAACTAGGTAAAAATTGATCATTTAATTAAGAACTTAATATCAACATGATATTAAATTTGAATTACATCCTAGTCCTCCTAAGACTGTAATGATTAGTGGCGCTCCAACACGAGGTAATGCTGATTTTCCACCCGAAGCAGTTCAACATTTTCATGAAAAACCAGTTCCAACTCATGATTTAAGATCAGCTAATTCTTCTAGACCTGTTGTCATACAACAACCTAGAAAGTGAAATTATCACATTTGTTTTTTAATTGAAAAAATTTATGGTTAAAGTTAACATAAAATATAGATATTTCAAATGTTAAATTTTTCATATAATAACACGATATAAATTTTATTTTTTGATTTTATGTTATAAAGATTTTCTTTTTTCTAAAAATTTATGTTTTGTTTTATTCAAACAATTATTTGAATGAATTTCTTATTAAATATAGATTGAAGTACATATGTCCAATATGATATAAATGGGTTTTATTGGTACGATAATAATGATCAGGATAACTATTACTTAGCATTTTTTGGGACCATGCATTATGAGTTTATATTTTTGTAATTAACTTGATTATATATTTGATTTATGTTTGAAAATAAATTTAAATATCACAACTTTATTAATTTATTAAACTTTATTTAAAGCTACCACGTTTTTAAATTTAAAATAAATGTTTACAATATGATATAATATAAATAAATTTAAATATAATGTCACTGGTTACCATTGTTGCGTGGTGATCACATCATTACATTCATAACACCGTGTGACTTTTTTCCTCACCTAGCAACCAAAAATGTATCAAGTATAAACACTATGATGTGAGCTGTCATGGATTGAGAGAAAAAAAACAAATGAAAGAGGTTCATCAAACTAGCAACATTTCTATTGTGTTTGTTTAAATGTACTTTAGAAATGTGAATATGTTTAAATCTAAATATCATAGTCTTATATTAAATTACATGTAATAATTGATTTATATACAAATTCTTCAAATATAAAGGATAGATTTTTCAATTGCAAAAGTGAAAATGTCTGACAAGAATAATGCCGAAAAATTATCTGAAATTGATTCTCATGTCACTAAGCATTACAATATTATTCGAAGACTTGGCAAAGGGGTATTTTTTTATTAAACAATTTTTTTATTTATTGTTAACAATATTAACAACAGTAATAATATTAATAACTATTATTATTATTTTTTTTTAAATAATAATAATTATTATTATCAAATAAAAAATAATTTTCAATTGATCGACATACATTGAGTCATATGTATAAATGCAAGCATATAAAATCTGAAGTGAAGATATAATGAATTAATTTTTTTATAATTATATAAATGAATAATAATAATTAATAAAATATTAATTAATTAATAATTATATAAATGAAAATATCTGTTTTTACATTTATTTAATATTACAATTCTATCAATTTATCGGATTTAATAGAATTATTTTTATTTGTTAATAAAATATTCGAAAAAATCTAAACTCGTTATTTTTATTCTAATAACATAAAATCTGTTTATTCTAAAAGGCATATGGAATTGTATGGGAGGCAACTGAAAAGAAATCAAAAGAGACCGTAGCAGTGAAGAAAATTTTTGATGCTTTTAGAAATCAAACTGATGCTCAACGAACATTTCGAGAAATAATGTTTCTATTGTCGTTTTCTAATCACGAAAATATTATTCAATTAATTGGATTACATAAAGCTAACAATGATCGAGATATATATTTGGTTTTTGAATTTATGGGTAAATATTTTTTAAAATATATTGTTAATTTTTACTTTCGTTATATTCTTGATAATAAAAAGATAATATTTTAACAGATACTGATTTACATAAAGTTATAAAAAAAGGTAATATTTTGAAAGATATCCACAAAGTTTATATAATGTATCAGCTATTCAAAGCTATCAAGTACATTCATTCTGGAAATGTTATTCATAGGGATTTAAAAGTAAGTAATTGCTTATATTTCATAAGTAAATAATTAGAAAATTCTACAAAATAATATTTATTATTTAGCCATCAAATATACTTCTTAATACTCAATGTCACTGCAAAATTGCTGATTTCGGACTAGCTCGATCAGTATGTCAGCAGAGATTCAATGATAAAGACAGTGATACTATGGGTGATCCTACTTTAACGGATTATGTTGCAACAAGATGGTATCGAGCTCCAGAGATATTAATAGCATCAAAAAAGTATGTACCTGATATTATTTACATGATATAAATATCTCATAATAACATATGATAAAATATTAATATCATTTCATCAATTATCGAAACCTTAATAAATATCTTTTTATCTCAGATATACTAAAGGTATAGATATGTGGTCTTTGGGTTGCATTCTTGGTGAAATGTTACTTGAGAGAGCACTATTTCCGGGTTCTTCTACAATTAATCAGATTGAAAGGATAATGGCTACTCTACCACCTCCCACACCAGAAGGTAATAACAAATTTGACATCCTCACGAATTAAAATTAAACAATTTATCTACTTTCAGATATAGCTTCAATAAGTGTTGGATATGGTTCGAATTTATTAGAAAAAACTCCAAGTGTACCACGATGTAGCCTACAGGAACTTTTAGTAAATGTATCTGAAAGTGCATTGGATTTAATCAGTAGACTTATTGTCTTCAATCCCAATAATAGACTAACAGCAGTTGAAGCTCTTGAACATCCTTATGTTGCTAAGTAATTACATAATGAATACACTTCAAAGAGATAGCAATATGCTTTAAAAAGTTTCGATTTTAGTCCAGCATTTTTAAAAATATCTTTGTAAATTTATTGAATTTATGTATTACAGCTTTCATTATCGAGCATATGAACCAGAACGTGGCTCCAATGTAATACCTCCTTTACGCGATGATATACAGCTGTCTGTTGAAGAATATCGTAATAAACTTTACGCTATGATGGATGATAAACATCGAATAAATAAAAATCTGTTAAGATCTAAGTTTTCGGGGAAGTCAAAATCTAGAACTGGAAAATTTTCGGAACACATTACACGAAGTATAAAAGAGCCGAGTAATGTTCAAAATGTACCAAAGGATGTGATGAAAAAAAAAGATTTACAATATCCTAATGATGATATTCGACAACAAAATAAAATTAATGATTATTCAAAACATCAATTACGAATTACTGGTAAATATTTTTCTTAATAATAATTTTCATTGTTATCAATCCTTTAATTATAAATGTATATTCATATCTTTTTAGCTGGAAGAAATACACTTTGTCAATACGCCCATAATGTCCTGAACAAAAATTTGAGCAATTTTCGATCTAATTGTACAAAAAGTTGTCAGTGTTTTACTAATTATCAACCCCAACAGCAACATCCATTAAATAAGACTCAACGATCTATCAAGTCAGATCAAACAATAAGGGTAAAGTCATTTATTTTATTTTCTTTTTAATTAAATTATCATAATAGATGTGCGATAGACGTAAATTAAAATTATATCATTACAGGCCCCTTACTGTATGGAATATATTTAGGTATATCTTTAAGTATTGGATTATTTAATATTATTTTATTTTAAATTAATTTTAAAAAAACTTTTAAGCTTTACTTATTATTCTTCAATACTTTAATAAGTAATGTATTTTTTATCAATTTATTTATTTTTTATTTCAGTCTGGAATATTTGTCAAAATGAACATAATTAATCAACCGAAATTGCGAACCAATGTTAAAACTTCAAAATTAAATAAAAATTCTACTGGATCATCATTCAATAATATTATAAATCATCATTCATTGTCGAAAGTATTTAGTACTGCCTCAAGTTCATCGAATTTGAGTAATAAATCTTATGAAAAAATGCCAAATAATATTACTAAACATTTTTTTAACAGTGATGGAAATTTTTATCGAAACTCAATTGAATATCAAAATCACGTTATACAAAATTATTTAAATCAAACAATTCCCAAACCTAATAAAATTGTAGGTAAACGTATTCGTAATTAAATAATTAATAATTTCACTGGTAGTAGTTATAAAATTATTAACAGAAAAGTGCTTGAAAATTCATTTTATAAAATTTAATTCTAAAAACAATATAAACAAAATTTATCACTCATTATTGGCTACTTTTGGAACTAAATTGTTAAAAAAATTTATTTTATGATGAACCTGCATTGTACTACTTTCAAATGTATTTTTTTATAAATGTAACTTTTTGCTGATACAAGTAAGCAGTGTGAAAAATGTACTGAAATGTAATTCTAGATCAAATTTAGATAATACCAATATTGTTAGTATTATTATTCTTTTTTAAATATTGTATATTGTGTGTCAATATAAAAAAAAAAATATTGTGCCATAATGCACAGTGTGTAATGATTCAATTAAATGTAATTTTTATAATGAAATACAAATTTTAGATGCATAAAATTTATAATTTGTAAGAAATATTATTTTCCTGTATCAAAACTAGTATACAAGTCAACAATCATTATAAAATTTTATTTTATGTCTTCATTTTCAAATAATAAAATATAAACATCAAAGAAATTATATCAATTATAATTAATATATGATATGTTAATAGCAGATACGTGGGAGAAAATTGTTATATTTAATGATTAAACAGTAGTAATGTTTAATCAATATTCGGTTAAACATGGTTCTGATGATGTTATGTCAATAACAACAGACGATTTATTACTTCAAACTTTTTTTAAAAATAGTCTGTCATATAATTAATTAATATGGTACTATTAACAACGAGCCTGATTGAAAAAAAATATCATCATCATGAATTACAAAAGAATTCTAATAAAAATAACGGAAAAAATTACTTACTAAAAATGACTCATCTTTATATGGATAACAAATATATCCATGCAATTGTGAGTATAAGGAAATATTTTAATATAATTTATTATGATAAATTATCAATTTATTGACTTTTAGGGAAACATTTCGATGTGCAAAAATCTGCGAGTTATTTATTTATATAAAAATAACATTACAAAAATAGAGAATCTTAATTTTGCCATTAATCTCACTCATTTATATCTTCAACATAATAATATCGAAAAAATTGAAAATTTGAATGAATTAAAAAATTTAACACATTTATTTTTGGGGTATAATTTTATTACCACTCTTGAAGGAATGGAAAATTTGGAAAAGTTGAATCAGCTTCATATTGAATATCAACATTTACCACCTGGTGAATCGTTAACATTTGATTTAAGAACTCTCTATGCATTATCGGTATGATTATTAATGATTACTTTTTCTATTATGAAAAAAAAAGTTTAAGTTAAATAAATACTTATTTGTGTAGGATCAATTAGAAGTCATTAATGTAACAGGAAATAATTTAACGTCATTACAAAGTTTAAATTGTCTTTATAATCTGAAAGTTTTAATTGCAAAAAATAATATGATTGATAATCAAGAAGATTTAGGTAAATTAATCAAAAATCTTAAATCTCTGAAACAATTATTTCTACAAAACAATCCTGTAACAAATCATCATAAATACTGGAAAAATATTATATCCAATTGTGGGAATGCATTGAGTAAGAACAGATGAAATTTTTAAATTTATCACTATTTATTTTTATATTATAATAATTATTATTAACTATATTGAACGATTTGTTGTTATTTAAGTTAATCTTGATGACAAAATGATAAATGAAACATCTCGATGTTTTATGAATAATTTTAATAGTATGCAACAACTAAAATTAGAAAAGCGAACAAGCGATGTCAATTTAAGCGAAAATGTAACTGGTAAATAAATATAATTATTTACATTTAGCTCAACTTAAGGTGATATGCAAATTAATGTGTGTGTGTTTTTTTAGCATCATTGAATTTACCACCAGCATTTAAAAAGTCCGTATCAAGAGCCATATTGCAAAATAACTCTAAGTTGTCTATTTATGACTTTAAAGTAACAGAAGATGGAGAAATAAAAGCTCAAATATTTCCATCATGGAAAATTGGTATCATTTTTTTATAAAATTTTGAATTTATTATTGGTTTTTAGATTAAACTAATTTTTTCAATTCATTTTTTAAGTATCATCAAGGACAAATAATAATAATTTACATTTAATGCCACGGCCGTTTTGGAGAAATAAATTGAAAAAAAAAGTCCTTTCTCAGCATTCAAAAATTATGGATTCTGGAATAATCTCTTCTGTATAAGCTAATATGAAAAAAAATAAAACTCTTGTTTTGACTATTCTTACAACAATTACAACAAAAATTTATTTATTTAAATGGAAAAACGGTTTTAGTTTATTTTGTTTAAAAATTTTACTTCTTGGCCATCAAAACTTGAAATTCCAATATATTATTTCAATCGATATAATTTTCAATCAACATTGAAAATTCCTTAACATAAATATTTATGATATATACTTTTGTCAAGTCTTAAACAGATTTAAAACAGCTTGGGTGCCGGGTCTCCCACTGTTGCACAGGAAGGCTCCACCCCCTCGCTGTCTTCACCACCACTGGTCCAAAACTTATGGATGGAAGTGCAGGTGTAGTAGTACATAACAATTAAAACGAGCTGAGAAAAGAATTCCTCAGATGATCTTCAAAAAACATGATAGAAGGGGTGGAAAATCAGTGGTGGGAAGCCTGAAAGCACTGAAACAACTAAGGAACTTTTTTCTCAGTTCGACAATAGTTGACAGTAACTTTGTCTTGTGACAATATCCCGGAGTGTTCCCTTTGATGATGGTGGGAAACCCCCGAAGGAGTTCTAAGGTCAACCAGTGATTATTACATTGCTTTTTCTCAGAGATAGTCTGGGTGACTCGATACAATCCAAAATAAGTGAAAGAGGTATCTTTAACTCCGTCTTGTGACACATTAAAATCCAAAAAAAAGATATTTATTGATATAGATTTCGAAACTCACATTTATTTATGACTTGTTTTGAATTTATCAGCTTCTTTAATACTAGTATGAACAAAAATTATTTTGAAAATTGGAAAGAAAAAGTTGCATTGTTTAGATATCAAGATTGGGTTTTAGATTTCTTTATAAAGTATCTATATGTTCTGATTATTTTATGATAAGTTTTTTTTTTTTATAATTTTTACATCAGGATACTACGGTACAAAAATCTTAATTCAATCTTTCACTCTTAAATCGTAATAAATATATACCGATAATGATCAATTGCAAATTTTTTTGTACTAAAAATGATAAAATACATGATACAAAAATATTACAAAAAATATAATCATGAAAATAATTACAGCAAATTTACTATGAAGAATATATATGAAATAATAAATGTAAAAATTCTCACCTCATTATAATTTCAAGAATATTAATAGCACAATTCAAGATAGAAAATGGTAAGACTTATTGTTATAAATAATAGTAATAATATATATATATATAGTATTGTAATAAAAACAATTTGAGAAAAACTAATATTTGTGGCAGACATACATACTATGACTACTCAAGCTATGGCTAGATTTAGACATTTACGCTGACCAATGCATGTTTGCTTTTGGTTATACATTTTATACTTGATAATCATACAAATTATTTCCAAGCAAAAGTTACAACTGCACAATTATTCTTCAACAATAATTTTTTTTTAATTGAATTCATAAAAATTTAATTGATATAAATATTTTTTATCAAGATATTTTTGTAAAAATTTTCTTACAGAAAATTTTAAATGTTTATTTCCATATGATAAGATTTTATGATATTAATATCATATCATATATATATATATATATATATCTATGTATAACTTAAGCGATTTATTTGACATATCTTTAATAATTGATGAAAAAAGTAAATAATTTCTGTTTAATAGTTTTACGTTTAACACAACCTCATTATTTATTAACGAAAAAATGTACGAACACTAAGTAACGTCATTATACCATTCCTTTAAAAATGAAAATTATATTAATTACACATTTTATTAATAATTATTTCATGTCAAACAACGTAAAATTATAGTTCATTAGTTATATTATTATTTTTTTTCTATATCTTAATACCTGTCTTATTTATTACTATACTATTATTTTTTTTATCTTGATATCTCGGTAGAAAGTTTGTTTTTCATTTGAGACCTATCGAACTTTTCGCACAGGCATGGTCAAAAATAGTATACAGACCTAGGGAAGAGAATGAGACTTGTTCAAATTATAGATTTACCTCATTTAGAACATCCTCACTTTCAACTCGATTGACAATTACACTACAGCTTTGAACCAATCCCCTTTTTCCCTTGGTATGTAATAGACTATTTATAGGTAATGTTAATTTTATTAATATAATTATTATTGTGTTGTTTGTTGTTGAATTTCAATTTTTTCTACAGTCATGTCAGGATTCATAGCAGTTGCTTCTTGAATAGCTTCAGCTAATGCACGATCATGATCAATTGGATCACCATCCGATTGTATTGTAATTTTCTGTTCGACTCTTGTTTCTACAACTCCATCTCTTTCCGTTTTGTACTAAAGAATAAATATAAATTAGTATTCAAATATTTTTAATAATAAAGGTCATTATTATTGTCAATGAACTAACCGTGATTGTTTCGACAGTCCGAGTTTTACTGGAAATCGTTTGTGTACTCACAATTTCACCACTTGCACTGTACGTACCATCTTCACTTTCAACAGCTACCTTTCTCGTTTCAGATGTTGATAGAGGTACAGTTGGAGTAGATACTGTTTTATTATCAGTTTCGGGTGATAATAAAATGTTTTCTGCTGTTGATACTAATTCATCATTACCCTAATTTTGAAAGAAACACAAAGTAGATATTTTTAGAAATTATGCTTTTTTTCTTATGAAAAAATTTTCAATATTTATTGATAAATATTCATAAAAATTCAATCGAATAAAGTACGAGAGAATGATCTTTTATAAGCTATTTTAATTATTGTGATATCCACTGTTGGATGTAATTTAAATTATATAAGTAATAATATACAAATTTAATATTTATCAACTTGTAAAAACAATTATTCTTCCAAGTATTAGTAATAAGTTTAGTACTATAATATTAATACTACTATTTTACAAATAATTAATAGTCACCTCTGGAAACATTAATATTATATAAAAACATAAATTAATATGACAATAATGAAAGATTATGCATGAAGGCTAATATGAATTACCTGGTAATACTGATTGCAGAATGTATGTTGTTCATCATCAATATCTATGGGTGTACCCGAATCACCGCTGCTTGAACTTGATGTACTTTGTCGTCTCAAAAAGAACTATACCATGCAATGTGTTAGACAAGCAATCGAAATAAATTATCAATAAATATATGAATTATAATGACTAATTAAATTAAAATTTTTTAACATTTATAATAAATATTATGTAAACATAATAATAGTATACGTAATGTCTAATGATATGTAAATTAATCATTTTAGAGAGTTTAAACAATTTATGACACCGTAAATGGAATCATGAAACCTTTTTTTAGTAGCGCTGTGTACTAGTTACATCAAATCATGCTTTAAATATATAATTACATTTTAAAAATTATATTATATAAAATTTTCACCTGTTCTCCAGAAAGAACATGACTTGTAGTCCTCACTTCTTGAGTAACGACCCGTTGTTCTTGTCTTGTTGCACTCGTTGCAGTAGTATGAGCTACGGTTTTTTCTTCAACCTGATAATTTTTTGAAACATAAAAATAAAAATAATAACAAAAAAATTGTAAGGTTTTTTTTAAATTTTAAAATTCAATGAAATAATCAGAAAAAAATGAACAATTATTTGATAACATTTATACTGTAAAATTAATCGATGTCTAGATATTTTTAAAAACTTATTTTTTCTTTTAAATCGATTGAGCAAAATGAAGTTATAATTTTATTAATAAATTATATGATCATCATATGAGACCTTGAATGAAACTTAAACTATCTAATTTTTAAGAATTATTTGAGGTTTTCTATCCCTAATCTTTCATCATCATACTGAAGTTTTTTTAGAATCTAATCATTGTTGCAGAATTTTTGTCTTTTTTTTAATTAAAATACTTGAAAGAGTTGATTGATCATTTAGTAATCAACTAAAGTTTATAAACATGCTAAACATTCGAATTACTAAAAATATAAATTAAAATAAGAGTATATACATACCTGACTTGTTTTTTGATTTTTTTCAAGATCTTCATGCATAGTAGCTGTACGAGTAGTAACAGCTGTTGCAGTCATGTATGGAGCTCTGCCATCATCTTGTGTCTCTGCCTATGTTCAATATCAAATACAACTACTTATTGATAAATAAAATATAAAATACATTATTTGATAATACGTTTCAATTTACATCAAACAACTAACAAACAATGAATCGTAAAAAGCAAATACTCGATAAAAAAATAAAATTTAAATTTATTTTCAATGCAAAAATAATAATAAAATTAAGTGATTACCTTATTTATACTGGTATTTACAGTTATTTGTCCTGTACCACCTGGTGTTAAATCTTCGATTTTTTCTTCAATATTCTGAGTTAAACCCTCTTGATCTTTGATTACAGATTGTTTAGTGGTAGTCTTAACAATTGTCGGAGTACTTACAGGAATAGATGGTTTTTTAGCATTTAATATTGGTGATTGTGTTGATAATGTTGATATTTGATCGGAATCCATTTTTTGGCCATTTTTATCATAAATTATACCGTCTTTAATAAAACCTTCTCCGAAATTATGATTATTATACAATTTTCCATTATTATCATAAACTTTTCCATTTTTTACAGAAACATCTTTCAAAGATTCTAGCGAACTTTTCGTAATTGGTTCACCATTGAAATCACAAATCAGACCATTTCGAATAATAGTTTTATTAGTTGGAATAGAACTGTCATATAATTTTCCAGATGTATTATAAACAAGTCCATTTTTGACAACATTACCATCAGAATCAAATGATGCTTGCTTAATAGGCCTTCCTGTTTTATCAATAATTATACCTTCTTTAACTTTAAATCCTTCATTTCCAAAAGATTCTTGAGTTAATAGATGACCATTTTCACTATGTACTCTTCCATCTTTTATATAATTTGTTTCTGGCGGTAAAGATCCTTGTGACAATACTTTATTATCAGGTCCATAAATAAGACCATCTTTTATATATTGTCCATTACTTCCTAAAGAACTTAAATTCAATGGTTTACCATTAAAATCATATATTCTTCCATTCTTGACGGTATTACCGTTATTATCGAAACGACCAGATACCATCGGTTTGCCATCTTCGCTAAATACCAAACCATATCTTACTAATATTGTAACATTTTGTGGTGTACTTTTTTGATTCACCAGTTTTCCATTGTTATACACACGTCCGTCTTTAATATAATCACCAATCGTATTAAATACACCATGATCTAAAGGTTGCATATTTTCATCTAATATGTATCCATTTTGTATACAACAACGACTGCAACCAAATGAACCATGGTTTAACGGTTTATCATTCTTGTTATATAGCCTTCCTTGTTCAATGTAAATTTGATCAGATAATGGTTCACCAACATTCAACAATGAGCCATCTGAAGAATAAATTAAGCCATTACGAATGTATGAACCATCAATATTAAATGCACCGAGTTTAAGAGGATGTTGATGTCTATCATAAATAACACCGTCTTGCACGTAACATTCGTTTGGTAATAGAGAGCTTTGATTTTTTGGATTGCCTTGAGAATCAACTATTTTACCATTGGAAATAGAAATATTGTCAGGTCCTTTATCATCTTGAGTTACAGGTTTACCGTCACGATCGACTATCAGGCCGTTATTTATTTTATTGCCATCTGGCCCAAAAATACCATCTTTAACTGGTTTACCATTCTTGTCACAAATATAACCAGCTACTACATACGATTTATCAGAGCCTACTACTGACCCATAGGAAAAGGCTTTTCCTTTGCTATCAAAAATTACTCCATTTTTAATATAACAAGAATCTGGAAGTGGAGAATTTACATCTAGAAGTTTACCATCCTTACCATACAGTTGACCATCTTTTATAAAACTACCATCAGGTTTATAAAAAGCCATTTTTACTGGCTTTCCATCTTTAGTACAAATTTTACCGTTCCGTATTACTAGACCTTCAGGTATTAAAGAATTTTGATTTAGAGGTTTACCATTTTTAGCTAAAATCAAACCTTTTTTTATTTGATTGTTAAACCCAAACGGTTCTTGTTTAACGAGTTTTCCATCTGTTCCTGATATTAAACCATCTTTGATTAGATAATCTTGGCCGAGAAATCCGTTATCTAAAGGTTGCTCATTAGCAGCATAGATTGTTCCTTCTCGGATAATCGTGTTATCAGGTTTGAAAATCTCTTGATTGAGTGGTTTTCCAAACTTGTCATATATTAAACCTTCTTTTATGTATGCACCAGGTTGTAAATGAGGAATTTGATTTAAAGGTTTGCCATTTTTATCATAAATAATACCATCTTTAACAAAACTACCATCTTTTTTGAAATATGCATGTTTTATAGGCTTTCCATCTTTGCCAACTACTTTACCATCCTTTAAATGAGTACCTCCATTTGAGAGCAATGAAACTTGATTTAAAACTTTGTTATCTTTACTAAAAATCATTCCATCTTTGATATTTGATCCATCCGAGTTAAAAGATTCCGATTTCACTAATTTATTATCTTTATTATAAATTTTTCCATCAATGATGTGATTTCCATCTCGTCCAAGAAGTCCAGAAACAGGTTTATTGTCTTCATCATAAATTAACCCATCTATTATGTAAATGTTTTCAGGCAAAATTGCTATTTGGTTTACTAATTTACCATTTTTATCACAAACAAGTCCGCCAACAATATAATTTTCATCAATACCATATGATCCTCGACTAAGTGGTTTTCCATCATTGGAAAATAGCAAACCATCTTTGATAAATGTTCCATTACTATCAAACGGATTTAAATTCATTTGTTTACCATTTTTACTCAAAATTTTTCCATCTTTTACTAAACAATTTTCAGGACCTAATGAAATTTTATTTAATAATTCACCCGATGAGTTACATAAAAGACCATTTTTTATCAAATAATCAGAATTAACTCCTACAAATTGTTGATTTATAGGTTTTCCATCTTTGCCGGTAACTAAACCATTAGTTATATAAACTCCTTGTATACCAAAATCAGCTTTTTTTATAAGTTTGTCATTTTTATCATGTAATTTACCGTCAATGATTTTATTTCCATCTGGTCCCAAAGAACTTTGTTCTAATGGTTTATCTCTTAAATAAATTAAACCTCCGATGAAGATGCTATTCTCGGGTATCGGAAGTATTTTATATTCTCTCACTGGTTGATGATCTTTCGACAATTGAACCCCTGGTGTAATGCTTGTACTAGTTTTTTTTTCTTCATTTATAAAGTCAGCAACTGCTGAAGCTTTATCATTCAACGGTGACGTCATTTTTTGTTGTTCTTTTAGACCGGCTGATTCAACATAATTTAAACCAGGAGTCTTCAAACCACCTACCGATTTATTATCAATTGGTTCTTTAGTTTTTCGTTTTTCGGCTGATTCAGCAACTTTCTTTTCTTCACCTGGAGCATAACTAAATGCTAATCCTGTAGCTTTTTTGCTACCTGTAAGCGGTGACTTTTCACCTTGAGATTCTGGTGAAGCAGGTCCATCTTTATATGAAAAACCAAAAGATGGAGTATATGGTTTTTTAGTTGGTGATGTTTCTGTTTCTTCATAATCGTAAGTCTTGGTATATGCTGGTGAATCTGGAGCCTTTTTTGAAATTGATTGATTTTCGTCTGACATTGATTTAGTCGGAGAATCAGTGTGATTTGTTTTATTATCATCACTTTTTTCTACCAGTTGTTTATTTTGTAGAACTTCCTTTTTATCCTTATTTTGATCTTTATCTCGTTTTCCAAAGAGGAATCCGCCAACAGGGATCTTTATCATAAACAAAAATAACATGCAATACATGCTAAATTACATACCATTTAAAAATTTTACAATAACAAACTAAAAATTTACTCTTTAATATTTCAATATTTTTACATTAAAAAAATAGCTTAAATACTATTGTTCATCTATTTTTATACGTATATTATAACTACAAAAATAATATAGAAGTATGCACTAATATGTTTGATTCGTCAAAAAACTAGCTTTTAAAAGATAATTTAGCAACACAAATTAAACATATTATGATAAACTAATAAATAATTTCTAATAATTGTGCTTAGTTGGTTACCTTAATTTTCTCCTTCTTATCTTTATCCGATTTTTCAGGGCTTTCTTTTTGTTTAGGCTTATCTTTTTTTTTTTAACGACTTGATGTCATTAGAGATACTATCAGAATTATTTAATTCGTTGAAATTTTCTTTTTCATGTTCATTTTGTTTTTTTTTTTTCTTGCTAGACTCACTTGATGGAAGAACGGCAATACCTCCAATTGGTTTCTACAAATTAATTTCAAAAAATAATATCAAAAAGCTACACATGCACGCAAAAAATCAATACAATATTAAATATTGAAAAGCATTGATAAATCATAGCTATAAAAATAACATCAAATTGACGTAATTAAAGAATGGATATACAGATAGACTAAAACCATAATTTTTGGTCAAGAAATAAAATAATTTCATTAAATAATTAAAATAATTTACATTTATATTATTTTCTAGAATATAAAAAAAAAAAGTATTCAAAATTTACGGTCTGCGCTCCCAATATCAAAGGTTTTTTTTGGAGTAAGATTGTTATTCAAGTATCATGCTTATTGGTAGGATGATCATGACAAAGTTAAAATATAAGCATAATCATTATGACGATATAAAGGAAAATTTACCTTTTCAGCCCGCTCTGCATCATATTCTCCTTCCAGACTACTGGTACTGCTGATTGATGTAGTTCCAACGCTTGTTTTACGAGTAAGCTATTGGTGTTAGTAGTTAATAGTTAATTAATTATTTTAACAGCGCATAATTATTTATTAACTAATTTAACAAATTAATGTGCTTTCTAATTGAATATTATGTAATTGTCATGAATTGTTATCTAAAATTCTACTGAGCTATGATATTGAAATTAAAGTATGTAATGAGCAATTTCACTGATCATGATCAAATGTATGTTCTAATAAAGTGATTATTTTACTACTGACATGCTTTCATCATCATAATATAATGGATAATAATATTTTAAAAAGCTATAATTTTATAGATATCAAACAAACATGAATAACAAACTCACAGATGTTATGACACTTGAAAGCGTAGACCGCATTTGAAAGTGTATTCCAATTATTTTATTTAAAGTAATTTTTAATAATCAAATTATTTTATAAATATCTAATTCTTTTCTTATTTTGTCAATTATAAAAAAATCTTAGTATAAACAGTAAAAGTGAATACTATTTTTCAATAATATTTTAATTACCTTATCTTTTTTAATTGGACTGGGCTTTTGATCGATATGCTCCATATCAGGAATCATTTCAGGTTCGTAACTCATTGTATGTCGTTTACTCGGTTCAGAGCCATATGTTTCAATAGGCCTATTTCCACCCAATGCTAAAAATGATATTTTTCAAACGATTATGAAGAATAATTTATTTTTGACTTTTTTTTAGGCATAAAATTTTACCATCCATGCTTCGAGAAGTTAAACGACGACCACTTAATGTTCTCTCAAATTGTGGAGGCTGTCTTTCAATAGGCATTCTTTTAGTTTCATAGTGTGTTCGTCCAGAATATCGGAATCGTGATCCTAAATGTGGCAATAGTCCAACTTTTTTAACAGGTTCAGGACTCATAAGTCTAAAAGATATAAAAGATAGTTATTATAAATAATACGTATATATTATATTCAAAGTTGAGCTTATCTGAGAAATTATAAATAATAATTCATATTTACCGGAAGAATGTATGATGTTCGACACATACTTTCCACAGTTTTTTAGCAGTTCTATGGTTAGCTAATTTAAAGCCAATAGTTGATTCATATTGTTCAAATTCACCTGGACGTATTTTAATATAAAAATTGTGTCGTTTGTATGATATTTTCAATATCTTAGGCCATGCAAATCGATTGATTCTCAGTCTATCTCTATGAACAAGAAGGCCAGATGAACATACTCCCAATATTATATCGACACCTTCAGAGTCTTTAGCAGGATGAAGATCAACACCATACATAGCTAGTTTCTTTGCATTCTCGAGGTAATGCAATTCTGCTTCTGCAGGTGTTTGTCCCCTATAAAATATTGGTTGTAGTACTAATCATTTATATACTAATGTAAATATTAATTACACTTACTTGTGAGTTTTATGAAGATCCATAACTTTTTCTACTAATTCAGGTGTCTGATTGGGTGCAAATTTAAAATCTTTCAAATAATCTCTACCATGTTCTTGAGGATCATAATCTCCTATTTCTGATTGTACCAAATAGGAACCTAAGAGAGCATGGGTTACAAAAGAACATGCGAGACGTTCAGTAATTATATCATTTCTAATTTGAAGACACAATTGGTATCTAGTGATATCTTCTTGTAATTGAGCTGGGTCTGGAGGATAGAATTTTACTTCAAAATTAAACCTCCAAGGTTCACCTGTAAGCATAAATATAAACATATAGAAATTACGTACATAAGTTTGTGTAATAAAGACTTACTTTTAACAAACTTGGAAATTCTTCTTTCAAGATCAAGCCAGTTACGAGAATCATATTTATCTTCATATGTAAGACCAAAATAATCCTTTTCCAATAAGTTCATACTAGCACAAATTTTGTCGAGGAGTTCATGACCTTTAGCTTTTCTCTATTATTAAAAATAATTTATAACATATTATTAAGTAACAAATTTATTGATCAAATAATAAAAATATTTAAATGTTAATTGACTTATTTTATTACCTCAATCTGAAAATCTTTTATCGTACCATCAAGAAGTTGAATTTTAGCCAGAGTCATTTTACCCTTCATGATCAAACCTTTACCAGGAGAATTAACTCCTGTTCCATTTTCTGGCATTTCATTATGGGCCTCAGTAGTAGTTTTTTGTTCTGGCATTGTTGATGATTAAATTTTTTTTTTTCTACAACAATAATTGTAAAAATGTTAGGTTACAGTATTATAGTAGACATAATATCAATAGCGTGATTTAAAAGGGGCTATCTACATAACGAATATACTTTTCATGTCCGTATATCATAATTCATCCCTATTATAAAAATATCATTGTAAAGATCACATTGCATGCAAATTATAAATACAGTATACTAACATTGTGAATGGATAATAAATAATTGAAGTTCATCTACATACTTATTTTCAACAAGTATAAATAATTTTTAATTCAACAATACTACATTTAACTACAAATCAACAAAAAAATTAAATTATTTAATTATTTGAGTCACTGTAAATTTTTAATTTTATTTACAGTGTACTAGAAAAATATAAATTTTGGGGAATAGAGTTGAAAAATATAAACAAATGAATAGTAAATATAATATAAATTGATATTTCATGAAAAATAAATAATTTTCGGGTAATTTATGAATTAAAATCCAAATAATCAACTATTGTTTTTAAATATTAGATATTATATGAGTGTTGATTTGTTTAAATGCCAATTGTTTTTAAATATTACTTTTTTTAATTTAAAAAATGATTCACTTCTAAAATTGTGGTATGAGCTCATAAATAATAAAAATTAATGTCGGTAAAAAAGATAGCAAAATTTATGTCTCATGAATGGAGTATAAAATTGTAAGCACGTATATTTTAAATCTTATTTAAGTGAACTTAATTGACATTATTAAGCAATTATTTGGATTGCTTGTCTTCTAACTTTGTACGAGTTGACTTGTAATCTGCTATTTTTAAATGAAATTTTTAATTTTTAATTGTTTAGTTATTCAAATTTTTTAAATTAAAAATAAATATTAATTGTGCTGATTTTATTGATAGTTATAAAGCGAAATTCATTCATTAATTGAACTTGCAAGTATCATCTGTTTTCTATGACATCATTCTAAACAACATAGAAGCTATGGGCGTGTACAGTTTTCACATATTTTTGTAATGACTTTACGAAGCATTCTTTAACCAGTAACCAAAAATAGTATAATTATTTATTTAATCTTATAAATAAATATATCAAATTTATAATTATACAGTTTATGAAAAATATTATATATTATTTAAAAAATAAGATACATAATTTTCTATACATGCTCTACATAGCATTTATATTATTGTCACAATCACAAAAGAATTTTCTTTTAAATTTTGTGTAATATTCAAAAATTTCATTAAAATTAATTAAATATAATAAAATTTTAACTTTATAAATATAGTTGTAATTAATATGATTAATAAAAAAAAATTTAGCAACTAACTCCAATCCTATCGCGACAGGTGGGAGTGTTTTAATTTTTTAGAAATTACATTTACAGAAAAACGAATTGAATGAATGAAAATAAAGAACAGATTCATATTTAATTCAATTAATTTATCAATGAATCTATTTTCATATCTTTATTAATAAATTAAGGCTTATTATTATAAATTTTACATACCTTTAAATTATGTATTTACTACATATATACAATATATATTATTTTGTTACAAAAGATTTAAATACACTATTTATAAGAACAAATAAAATACTTTATATTAAAACCATAAACAACTTGTGCTCCAATTTTACCGATGGTCTGTAGACATCAAACTAAACAGGTTGTGTGTTCACTACTCATTCCCTGTATTCGTATATTATTTTAAACAAATAGTCCCCTCTTAAACAAAAAACTATCTTATTTTAAAATAAACTTTCTTCATTTCTCATATTGGAATTATACTAATAGAGTGAATAAATGTATAAATAATAATTTCAAGTGATTTTAATAAAACCGATGATAAGAAATTGAACTTGAATTATTGTTGATAAACCGTTACTACTTTTAGTATTCCTACGCCACAATGAAAATGGCACCGACCCGAAAACTTGAAGCGAATCGACGTAAAACTTTTACTACGATCGTAGTGTGTATACATTTATACAAATGATGCAATCACAGATCGGGCACACCCAAGCATGTACAAAGTAATTTAAACTAAAGATGGCATTGAAATCGGTTGTTTTGAAATTTCGAATAATGTGGAAAATGGAGTTTTATATCTTCTTTTAATTGTGTGTAAATATCTGTGATGTTATTCTTCTTTAGATAATTATTTAATTAATAGATAATTGTGCAACGACCTGCTTATTTTCTAGGCTATTATTTTGGGTTAAGTCAGACACGTCTCTCTTCCTTACGTCTGATGTCAGTCTTTTAATACCATCTATCTATTCTAACCTTTTAATACCATCTGATGTCAGAGTAGAAAAAAAACATAATTTTTTTCAACCATTAAAATCTGAATTAAAACTGTTGGATTTTTAAATTTAAATCTGTAAACTGTAATCTGTTTGGTTTATCATGCTGATATCATTCTGAAAACTTCAATAATAAAATAATTAACCATACTGCTGCTGTCACTTTATACACATTTTTATATATTGACATCAGAGGGCATTAAAACATGAACATCAAAAAAGTGTCCCTTTAAATGGAGTCAAACTTTCAGATGCCATGATTAATGCTGAAACATGGCCGCTATGTTAAATTAGATTAAATTGTAAACTTGTGCTGAATCATGACTTCTGAACGCCAGACACTGCCTGAGGAGCTTTAAACATTAGTAAAAGCTTTTAATCATTTAAATTTCTAATCATTTTAGTGATAAAAATATTAACTTTGATTATTTTAACAAAACAATTGTTTATGTATTTGTTTATTAATAATAATAATTCGTTTTTGTGCAATGTTTTATATGCAGAATAGATAATCTATTGGATAAATCTTAACGTGATTATGAAGATAAAGAATAATGTTGCCAAAATACAAACATTGTCTTGGCAACTCTGCAGATGTATATTGTTATCAACACCATCATCAATAATAACGATAACAGTCACACCACGTGAACTATGCCACGTTTCATAACTCGGACGACAAAATGTCAAACTCTAGATATACTACTAATGAACATTTTAGTATGCTTCGATCAGCTTATTCATTAGTAAGCTAGTAAGTTGATTACAATTTTCCATTATCTATTATTTCTGTAATACATTATGGATATTTTACTAACTCACACCAACTTTTTTGATTTAACCATTCTTAATAATTAATCTATATAAATTTTTCATAGCCATATAATCATACGATAATTTTCACTTCATGACTAATGCTTTGAAATTAATTATAATAATAAATATTAATTTATTTCAAAATTTATTATTTAGTTAATTGATTAAAATTACCTAAGTAAATACACTTATACGTAATGGCAAATCAGTGCAATATTTTGGTTACTGGTGGTGCTGGTTATATTGGTTCACACACAGTACTGGAGCTTCTTAACAATAATTTCACAGTTGTAGTGATTGATAATCTTGGTAATGCTTATAAAGGTGAGAGTATTTTATACGTAAATATATATATAGAAACTAATAATATTAGTTATTAATTGACGTTCATTTATTGATCATATAATATTTTATTTTAGATGAAAAAGCGGAGAAACCAGAATGTATAATTAGAGTGGAAAAACTAGCAAATAAATCTGTGATTTTTGAGGAGTGTGATATTACTGATGAAAATTCAATTGAAAAAATATTTGAAAAGGTAAAAAAGATGGTTTATTTATTATTAAAAAATATAAAACTATAATTGAATAAATTTTATTATTTTAGTACAAATTCGAATGTATTATACATTTTGCTGCATTAAAAGCAGTTGGAGAATCATGCCAAAAACCATTAGAATATTATAAAACTAATGTTGGAGGAACAATAAATTTATTAAATGTAATGAAAAAGAATAATGTAAAAAAATTGATTTATTCAAGTAGTGCAACTGTTTATGGTGTTCCTGAAAAACTACCTCTAACAGAAGATATGAAAACTGGAAATTGTACAAATCCTTATGGTAGAACTAAATACATCGTTGAAGAAATTTTAAAAGATTTGTGTGCTTCTGATCCGGTAAATTCTGCATTAAGTTTATTTTCTAAAATAAAATATAAATTTATATATATATATTGTTGTAGGATTGGTCAGTAATATCATTAAGATATTTTAATCCAGTGGGTGCTCACCCATCAGGTGAAATTGGAGAAGATCCGAATGGAATTCCAAACAATTTAATGCCTTTCATAGCTCAAGTAGCTGTTGGAAAACGAGAAATGCTGCATGTATATGGCAATGATTATGATACTCCAGATGGAACAGGTACGTTTTGAGGAAAGATAATAAATTGTACATTTTTATCAATATAATTTTATTTGTGTAGGTGTAAGAGATTATATTCATATAATGGATTTAGCTAGTGGTCATGTTAAGGCAATCATTTACCAAAAAACGAAGAATATAAAAGGCTTCAAGGCTGTAAATTTAGGTACGGGTAAAGGCTTTTCAGTATTACAAATGATCAAAGCTTTTGAACTGGCATCATCAAAAACAATTCCATATAAAATTGTTGAACGAAGACCTGGTGACATATCATCAAGCTATGCAGATGCTTCACTTGCTAATAAAGAATTAAATTGGGTTTCAACAAAAAATATCGACGATATGTGTAAGTTCATATCAATGCCATAATCTATTCTTATTCAACAGATCACTCAGACATTCATAAACAATAACTACGTAAATATAAACAATGAATAATGAAATATTGGCCTACAAAATAAATGAAACTCTTGGAATTATTTTTTGATATTTTCACAGGCAAAGATACATGGAATTGGCAAAAAAAGTATCCTCAAGGATTCAAATCTGGATCAATACAATAATGATAGTTGTAATTGATGATGGTTAACTTGTATATTCATGTAAAAAAAAATTGTATTGATCAATTAATATATAAATATATATAATATATGTGAAATACCAAATAATAATAAATGAAAAATTAATGAAATCTTAAAAGAAAATTATTTTTAATTTACTATTTATAATTAATTGTAGTATTAATATTTAACGTAGCACTCAAGTTTAAAAATTAAACAAAATTTTATTATGCTAGTTTATACATTTTATTAATTTCCTTACTATCCTTTTTATATTACACTATTCTATTCTTTTTCTCGTATATACTTTGACTGTTTCCTCACTATACTTTTCCTACTTATTATATAGTAGAAAAGAAAGACCGGAAAGATTTTCCCTCTTTCATATTCTTTCCTTATTAACTTTTACTGTATTGTACAAACTACACTGTTGCACAAGTGTGTATATACATTTCTCCATTATTTGGTATTAGTTCATCGTCTTGTCCTAGTCGTTGAATTCCCCTTGATTCCCCTGGATGGCTGGATTCCCCTACTCAATGCTCGTGTTTGTCCAGTTATGTTGCTGTAGCAAACATTGCTAGTAAAACGATTGTGCTCTTACTTTGAGATTCTTTACGTCTTCAGACAATGTACGTTGTGAGATTATTATTTTATAAAATATATTATTTTTTCAATATTTTTCTTGTTAATTAATTAATTAATTATCAAAGTTAACTATTTATATTAGAATTGATAAATTTTTTCATTTACAATTATTGAAAATATTGTTAGTATATAAATCGGTGTGTAACTTGAAATAATTAAGTTATATATTAACAAAAATTAAATGTAAACTTGAAAAATATTCTTAAATATCAGTACTATTACTGAAGGATATTGAAAAAAACAACGCCAAGGATACTCGTTTATATATACATAGTGATGATTACTTTTTATTTAAATAATTGAAAAAAAAAAAATTCGAAAAATACACATTATGTTTAAAACAGTGACTGCTTGATTGATTATAATTTTATCATTAAATTATTGGTGAGTAAGATAATATTTATAGTAAGAATGAATAATGCAATTATTTCTAAGTAGTTAAGTTGTAATAACAAAATATGTATAGAAAAATTTATGAATCAGAATTCATTTCGCAATATCTAATAAAGATATTTGACAGTTGATTCATCTATATTTTCTAAATTAAATTCTCGAGAGTTTGTCAGTATCTGCCATATTGATTCTGTTTATTTCCTATCTCGATCTACTTTTATCCTTTTTACATACATATTTATATATAAAAAATTAACTTTTAAAAAACTATAGACATAAATTTTAACTATTTTGAATTTAAATATTATCAAAGAAGTATAAAAGAGTTTTTTGTTTATCTCATAATTAAAATAAAAATTTACAAGTATCAGGTGGAATGAGTTGAAGTAAGCTTTTTAACAAGTACAATAAAAAATATGAAATAGCTAATATAGTAATGCAGTTGCATATATTAACAGGTGAAATAAGTAAATTATCTTTATTTATTTATTTTTTCCTAAGAGTTCTGTTATATCGTTACATGTATGCCTGTGTATTAACGGAGAGTAATAGCTACTATATGTTGTTCTTTACCATGTGAGTGTATGAGTATGAATGTCGATGAGTGACCGTATAAGTATATGTAGGCATATAATATAAACCATGAGAGCTAGTTGTATTGCCTGAATACCTTGATGGGATTGTAATGTATACGTGTATAGTTTCTGGAACGCGGTACAACATGACGGAATTTTATTTCCTCAATAATATTCTTACATATCAGTTGAAATAGTATGAATTTTCCCAGACTAACCTTATTATTATTTTTTTTGTTCTTATACAATAAGTGTACCTATTCTTAACATTGTATCGATGAGAAAGTGAATGTATTTTTTTATTTTTATTTCTATTGTAAATATTTCTATCATACATGTTTATAAAATTTAATTATTTAATACCATTGTTATATTTAATAATAAGTTTATTTATATACAGTAATAACGATGTAGTTATAAATATAATATATATGGTATATTGTTAGTAGTTTTCGCCGTTTTTTGGTTCAGAATTAAAGCGAAATATCCAGTATTTTGAGCTATAAATATAATCCTAATCACAATTCAACCGGATCTGCTTTTATCAGAGAAACAGGTTTATTTAGAAAGAAAAAAGTTAAACTACTAGTAGACTAGAAACAATCAAAAAAATTATTCATCTTTGTAGTATATCGGATGAAAATTGATTCAGAAAAAAAAAATTTTATTTTTCTGAAAAAACTATAATTTAATTTATTTTATTCGTGCTTAATTGTGTTATGTATTGATTTTTATTCAACGTATTGCAAAAAAAAAGTTGTTTAGTATTTCTATCAATTTTATTCTGTTGAAAACAAAGTGATACACCGAGAAAAAATATTATTGTAATATAAATAGATGAGTGAATTTTTATATTTTAATATATAAAATACAAAATTTAAATACATCAATATAAAAATATAGAAATTAACCATACTAATTTTTTTTATTAATATTAATATATATTTTTATTTTAATTATTGATACAGTTGAAAATAAGATTTTTTTAAAAATTAACTATATGATATACACATAATATTACATTGAATAATTTAACTGTCACAGATTAGTATGTAATGTGTAGAAAATGTATTCATAACAATTTTCAAACTTTATACTTTTGTTTTTTTTTCTTTCAAAAAACTAAACATATACTAAGTAAACAGGCCAATTACTTTGAAGATTAATCGTTGACACTTGTACTATAGGAGATAAAAAACTAAACGACCTTCTGATGTTAACAAAATCGCATATTGCGCCTATAAAAAAACATGGCTTAAAAAAGAATGAAAGATGGTCTGAGAATTATTATAATTACGGCGCCGCTAAGAAAATGTATTTATGATAATAAAATTAGCAATAATCATTGATTATTTTTATGTCAACATTAGGACTATTTAAATATTAAGTCTTCGGAGTATTGTATCGAAAGAATATCTCTCTTAAAGCAAATTGGCATTGATATTATTTTTATCAGTAGCTCTCGTTCATGAATGTAATAGTAAAAAGCACGCATCAATCACGCATTACTATAGGTTTATTTTTATGATACATATGAAATACTACACTAACAACATAAAATTATTATCACATAATTTGAAATAAGCAATTAAACATGATGACGCTAATGATGATAAGTATGAGTGTGGTATAATTAAATCTAATACAACTTAGAAGAATATAAATTTCTTAAAGAATAAAGCACGACAAAGTTACATTTGTTCACTTTGCTTCCATGGAGTGTAATTGATTCTAGTGGCCGTTATACTTGTACGTTGTGTACAGTAAAATATAACAGTTAAGCTGAAGAGAAGTGGACGTTATACAGTATATTGTTAAGGTGCGTCGGTCGTGAGTTGTAACATTGGTACGACGAATCAGTTGTGAAATGAATGTATAGCTGTAAACATCAACCGTAGATTAATAGATTAACGTTTATTAATAATTCACGTGAATTGTTAAATTATTTTAACGTATTCTAACGATAATCGATTGGAAAGTAATCCACCATATATATTTTTATTCATTTAAAAGACGTAAGTAATAATTTATTTCTTATATTACTAAAGATTCTTTGACACGTTGAAAAAAAAAATAGGATAATTTGACAATTCTGTTGGTGTATATTTATATTTTTCATTATAAATCATTTCATTTAAGTGAATTATTGATAATAATATCTGAAACTTCTTCTTTTAGTCATGAATATATAAATATATGCATCTATGTGTGTGATGCAAAACTTGGTTTTATCATTCAAGGTTATGACATTACCCTTCTGTTACCTTCAACGATTGTAAATTATATATTTACGTATTCACTTTATTTCATTTTTATTATTTCAACGTATAAATATACTGATATTGTTCACTTTTATTGGATTTATTAATTGATACCTATTTAATTACAATTAGGTATATAAATATAGTATTTGCACTTGTATTATTACAGTTAATTCAATCTATTTTATAATTGCTGAAGTAATTTATTATTTTAGAGTACGTGATTCAGAGTATTGAGACAATTTATATCAACCAATATCTGCAATTTATATCAATCATGTTATTTTTATATTCTTTATTACAGAATATTGTTATAATGAATTTTTTTCATAACAATAATAACCTAAAAAAATTATCTTTTTTTTTTTTTTTATGTATGCAAGTAATATTATATAATTAACCTATTTTTATTATGTATTGTTGTTTAAAGTGCTGTATTTTTCTCAAATTTATCATGTAAAGTATTGATGAACAGAAATTAAAAATCAAATTAGTTATTTAAACAAATTCTAAATATTTTGTGAAGAAATATGAGAATTTAAATATTTCTAATTTTTTCTTTTTTTTTTTTTTTTTAAAGAAAATAGTTTCAGATAATTTATACAATTTTGATGTTTTGTCAACATAATACTGTTTAATAATTATTATTTTTAATGAAAAATAGATATTTTCATTTTCTTCTTGACAAGTTCTTTTGGTATGAATATTTGTACACACATAATGAAACAAAATCATTAGAATTTTAGTCACATAAATAATATAACACATATTAGCATGTTAATCAATATTTAAACCGTCAATAGAGCCAATAGATAGGTATTGATAAATTTAAGGTTACAAAAAGTCACATAATATAACAATTTTATGCTTTACATATGTACATATAGTAATAAAAAAAAATAAATAAATTTTGAAGTAATGAAGAAAATAAAATGAAAAAAAGTCTGAACATACGTTTATATATGTCTGTATATACACATATGTACATAGGTAGGCCATTGACTTAACAAAACTTTCGCCAATGCTTTCAAATGAGCCAAATACATTCGATTATGGTTGATAAATACTCATCTACTTATTATTAGATATGTGTGTCTGTGCACCATTGTGCACATTCCATTAATCGTTAATGCAGTTATCGTACTTCACTATAAATCCTTTTTGTATATGATGTTACTTTTTGCATACAAATACTCTTTTAACTTCTATGAGATGTTATTTAATTCATAGCTACTTGATGTTTCGATTCAGGAATCAAAATAAAGAAAGCAAAAAAATTTCAATTATTTATATTTTTATAAATAACAGTGTATAAAACTAATTTTGTGATGAAAAATAATCAATCGTGTGTTCCATTTTGGTGAAAATTCAATATAACGCATATATAAATATTTAATGTTATTTGTATCAGTTGATTCATGAGTATGTCTCATCTATCAGTCAAATATGGTTTTGCATCAATATCGGAATCTACATAAATATATGTACACAATATAATCTAAATACTTTGATGTATTGTTATTGAATCATTTTATTTAAAAATATTCCACCAAGATTGATATATCCAATAGATTATAATAGATAAATTTAATCTTAAAATCAGATTTCATCAAAAGTCATTTTATCAATAAATATTTTTATTTTTATAACAAAATAATTAATTTATAAATATTGATATAATTAAAAGTCAATATTTAAAATGATTAGTTAATGGATAAAATTCATTTCTTTCGAGGATTTCCGCAAAATTTTATTATATAAAAAAAAAAATACTACATTGACTGAATGCAAATGAGCTATATAATAACTACTTTACACTACTCTCTTTGTCTATTTCTAACTCTGTCTCATCGTCTTTCTAAATCTTCCGACTAATGATTTTTTTTACTTTTTTTCTCTCAAACCGTCAAGCATATTACAGTATATTTTTTTACAATTGTCATAAATGGAAAATTACCAAGACTTTTCTAGAAGATTCACAAATTTTTTATGACTTATTTTAAGTTGTTTATTAATTTTTCAAACATTGAATTATTCATATTTTACGTTTTTGTTTCAGGAAGAATAAGTGCCTTATTAAAACATAATTAAATACTTTTAAATGTTGTTTTCAATCAAATGGTTTTTTTAAAAATCTGTTAATTTTAAAATCAAGAAAAGGAGAAATTCAAGTTTTTCGACATAAAAAATTATTCATGATAAAATTTATTGAATTATATTTCAAAAAATAACAACAAAAAAGGCTTGGCCAAAGAAATAATATATCAGTATTGTCATAATAAAAAAGAAATGAAAAAAAGGACATAGAGTCTAAAAAATTTGCTATGTCTACACATAAAGAAAATCATATGTTTTTACAACATTGTACGTTAGTATTTAACGTATTATAATTGAGTGTTAACGAAAAAACTAATGAAAAAGTAAAAATATTAAGACTGAAATTTAAACTTTAAAAAAAGAAATAAAAACAAAAATGAAAACCATGGGTGATGTGGTTGCTGATGTAGCAGAAGAAGAAGGATGTATTCACGAAAATGATCAGAATGTATTTGTTGGTAAAGAACTCAGTCAACGAACTTTTAAATCATTAAAAAGAGGTCTAGGAAGATTATGGAGAAGGCATAGAGGCAATGTTTCTATCACTGAATATGATCCTTGTTACAAAGTTGCTTATCTTGGCAATGTGCTTACTGGATGGGCTAAAGGTAAGTAGAGTGTACTATACTCACTATCATCAATTGTACAATATATAAATATAATAAAATTCAAGTGAATTCTTCCTTTATCAAATCTATTAATAAACTTGGAATAAACAGATTAAAACAGATTATTATCTTATCAGCTTACACAAAAATAAATTTTCATACACAGTTATCCGGAAATTATCATTCTTTTTTCACGTGATAGAAAAAAGTATGAAAATTATTTTTATCAGTTCTTATTTTTAAATTAATCTATTTCAAATATAAAAAACCGATAATACTTTAAGTTTTTTAAAGATAAAGCTTTTAAATCTGTGAAGGATGTTTTTATGATAATTATTACTCATTATTATAAATAAATATTTTTATTCTCATTTGATTATTAATTTGATAAATTTGGATTCACTCAGTTAACAGTGCACATATTTGAATAATTAAACTAAACAACCACACCACTTGATATTATTATATTCACAGGCGAAGACTGCATTGAAAAACCAGTATCAACCTTGTGGCGTAATTACGTGAGCAGTAGTAGACCGGACGTTACGATGAGATTGACAATAACGAATGGTGGATTAACTGCTTCGACCAAGGATCATGGATTAACAGAGTATTGGGCTCATCGAGTGACCTATTGTGCTGCTCCGGCATCTCATCCACGACTATTTGTCTGGGTATATAGACATGAAGGACGAAGACTCAAGCCTGAATTAAGGTGTCATGCTGCTTTATGCTCTAAAGAATCAACAGCAAAAAGACTTGCGTCCATCTTAAATACTAGATTACATCAAGCACTTGTGGAATTCCGTCGTGATAAAGTTTCTCGTCAAAATGCTAGGTAATTTGCATCACAATTACTCATATTAAGCTTAGAACAAATTAAAAAACACAATAGTTTATTTTTAACTTAATTGACAAGTTCAAATTTAAGTAATGTCTTATTTTCAATTAATATTTTAAAAATAATTTATGAGAAATAATTGATGAAGTTTTAAATAGAAATAAATTTTTATTATATATATTACAATAATTTGTCAATTATTTTTTAGGCTTTCATTAGCAAATGCTGTTTACGAGAATCCATCACTTCCACGAAGAAAAATATTGCTCAGTACTGGGGGTCAAAATTATAGACCTCCTCTCGAAAGATCAAAAAGTGCTCCAAAATTATCTTCAATTGAGGAAGATTCTGTAGCTGAAGAAATAGAACAAAAGCGTTTACTTGAAGAATTGAGGTATAGTACATACTTTCAATTATACACACATTTTAAAGTCACCTTTATACTATAAATTTTTTTCGTACATAAAAAGAATATGAACAGTCTTAAAATAGTAACAGCATCAACAATAAAATAATATGGATATGATGTGAGGTATGATTAAGAAATACGAGCACTAAAATAAAATCATAAAATTTCAATTAAACAAAATATAGTATCATTTTATGTTTCACGGAATTATCAAATCTAATGAATTTGAGTTTTTATGAATTGTTACATCGTGATCACAATCATTCTTAGAAGATAAATTTTTTATAATTTGATAAAAATAATTACAATTCGAATGATTAAATATTCATATAATTCTATGTTTGATTCAATTTTTCACAATAATATTTTCAAATACTTTTATTCATAAAATTTCTTCAATTATTTTACTTACAATAAAAAATTATCGATTAATTTTTGGTATGTTTTTTAAAACAATCAGTATTTATACAATAAAGTAAATTTTTTTTTAATTAATTTGTACAGATCATTGGAAAATGTAGCACGCAGCTGGAAAGACCAGGACGGTTGGAGATTGGCACGATTAGTCGATGCTTTAAATCGTGCTGGTGCTGCTTCAAGTAGTGATTATTTAGACGAAAATGCAAGCATCTCAAGTGGATGTGAAACTGCAAGTACTTCAAATAGTGAAGAAAGAACACTTATTAGTGATGATAATCACCTAATGAATACTGGTTCAAACGAATTACGAAATAATAGTAGACGAGTACTATTCTCTAATAGTATTATTTTATCGTCATCTAATCCAAAATTATCACGTAATTCAGAATGTCCAGATAATTTCATTTTATACAATGAGAACACAGCATATTCTTGCAAACGAATTGGTCGATATACATCTTCAAATAGTGAAAATGATAATCTAATGGAAAATGAAGAATCTAATGCTCATCAATCTACAAATGTATTTGACTTTGAAGATAATCAAATTTTTCATGAGGTTTGTTAAATAATTTAATAATAAATGAAATTTTATAATTATTTATTAAGTATACTAAAAATAAAATTGGCCTTTCAGATTGTTGACTATAGGCCGCATGGTGAAAGTCCAATAAGAATAGAAAATACAACCGGAAGAAGGATGGAAGTGAAAGGTGAAAAGTATCCATCTTGTGTAGATCAACTTTTTCAAAATGAACATGAAAGATCCGAGCAAGAAGATACAGAAGGAGAAAAAAATGAACATACAGAATTACGTTTCATAACTCTTGATTCGTTAGATGAAGAAGAAGCTGATAGCGACGAAAGTGGATATGTTGAAGCACCACCATCTAAAGTGGTATTATTGAATCAAAGAGATAATTCAGATTTTACTAATAAAACTCGTTTGAAACCAAATGATGATATAAGTGATAGCATAAATAATCAATCTTGTGATCAATATGAATTTGAAAATTTAGCGAGGTTCAAAGATAGAGAAAAAGTTGATTTTATTAAATGTCCAATATCAGAAACAATAAAAAAACTTGCAAATGCATCATTAAAAAGTTCTAAATCGTTAGAAATATCAACAAGTAATTGCTTGAAAGCTCTAAATACTTTTACAAATTCAAAATCGTTTGATAGTATAGAAACAATAAAATGTGAGGATGAATCACCAAGTCTTTATCAACGAAAGCAATTACTCGCACAACAAGGTGTAACAGTATGAGTAATGAATTTTCAGTGATCAGATTTTTATTAAGTAGATTACTTAATTGGCAATTGACAATACTTAGTAATGAAAAATAATGTACACAAAATTATTTAATTTAGAAAAGAAATTACGTGATACATGCACGATAACTAGTCTTTTCATTAATTAAGTTTTTTATTTAGAAAGATTGTGGAATAAAACTTGATAGTTATATAATGCATGCACAAATTATTATTTTGATTTTTTAATTAAAAAAAAAAAGGAAATAGAAAAATTATTTGAATTTATATAGATAGAAGATTTGGTGAATATTTTTTTCATGTAAAAATAATTAAAAACTTCTGAGATGTACGTAATAACAAGTATTATTTTATATCACTATTACTATTGGTTAATAGTAATTATATATCTCATGTTGTAATTTTTTTTTAATTTGTTAATACTCATTGATTCTATTAAAATTCCATAAGAGTAAACATTTATTCATAATTTTTCAAATGAATTTAGTGAAAATTAATGAAAATGCTCTCTTTATTACAAAATATATTATAATTATAATTAGAAATAAAGTATAATATAAAATTGGTTCATTATTTTAATGGTTACGATCCTATACTTTCAAACTATTTTTATATAGTAAATATGATATTTATAATATATACGTATGATTTATTATTTACATTACACACTACTTTATCATTCGAAAATGTTTACTACAATGATTTGATAAAATAATAAGTTTTTAATATTTCATTTCGATCGACTTCACGGAAATATTTATTAAAATTTATAAATAGTTTCTGAATATAAGAATTTTATTGTTTTACCGGAAAGTATGTATTGAAAACAATTTGTACATATTCACAAGGGAATAGATAATATTTATACATTTAGCTTTATCGTAAAATCAAAAAAAGTAACACCGAAAATGATATTAACAAAAACTATGTGCACTGTATGAACTTATACTTGAATAAAGGTTATTTTTTGGTAATTATTTCTACTTATTTTATAATCATTTTAATGAACTTGCTCATTTATTTTCATTGCATTATCCCCATTTCTATTTTATGCAAAGGTTTCAAAAAAAACTAATAATGTCAATGATAATACATTTGAGTTAATACAAGTATATGTATGTATGTTAACTCGTTAATTAGTTATTTACTCATAATAACTCGAAAACAAATTAAAATATCAGTTTTCGCTTGTAACATCAAGAATTTATTGGTATTAATATAATTGAAGAAAAAATTTTTTTCACTCTATTATTACGTGTTTTGTTATATAATAATTAAATATTTTCTATGGCAGTCAAATTAATTATGGATAAATAATAGTTTAGTATAAACTGAAATATTAATTCGAAATGATTAAAAACTATCATATTGGTAAGTTGCTACAATAAAACTGAACTTTTTTTTAAACTTAAAATTGTTTATAAATCATAAATTTTATGAATAATGATACTTAAGGAAGTAAAAAAAAATAGTTTATTAATAGACAAATAACCTCGAAAAGATGAACGAATTTTGTTATTTTTGAAAAAATGCAAAAACACCTCGAATAGAACCCGTTTCCATTCTTCATAACAAATGGAATTGTTATAAACGAAATGAGTCTGTTTTTATTCATTTGATATGGTTAGTTACTTTATTTCAGTAAAAGAAAAAATTGTGCGTAAGAAGAATTCGAATGTACCTCATAGATCCTTTTTTTCATTATTTACAACGAATTTCATTGTTATACACGAAAAAAGTATGTTTTCATTTATGGCATACGGTTGGTAACATTTTTTTAGTAAACGAAAAAATTATGCGTTAAAAGTACTCATATATATATAGAAAGGGTCCCTATTTTTATTGTTTATAACAATTTAAAACTTATTATTTAAATATTACTATGATCAATAATCACTTGTTAGTAACAATGTTCAATTGTTATGAACACAATTCCATATTATTGACAATTATTATTGACTATTATAGCGTCTTTAATGCTGTTTTCTCAATCCTGATACGAGTTTAAAATTCTTTCATTGCTGATATTGTTTTGTACAGATTTAATTGTTATAAACAAAAAGAAAGAGTTTCCATTCATGTCGTACGGTTAGTAACTTTTTTTTAGCAAAAGAAAAAATTACGCGTTAAAAGAATTCAAATATATTGCATAGATCTCTGTTTTTATTGTTCATAACAATTAAAAAATTTTATATTCAAATATTATTATGATCGATAATCATTTGTTATTAACAATGTTCAATCGTTATGAACACAATTTCTTATTATTAACAATAATCATTGACTATTTTATTATCCTCAACGCTATTTTCTCCATCCCAACACAAGTTTTAAATTTTTTTATTGCTGATTTCGTTTTTTAAAAATTTTCTTTTCTATGAAATACTGTCATCATATTTCTGTACAATTATTCTAAACATTTGATATTCATATTTTTCAAAAGATCTCGAAATTCCGTCTAAAAAATGGTATAATTTATAAATTGCAGAATTTAGGTAGTTCACTATTTTTTCAGTTTTTTGATTCTACATAAAAAATGACTGGACCGATTTTGTTGAAAATCTAATCAGTTCCAAGTTACGTAATTACGCGTCGAATGCAGTTGGTCCCACGTCGATATCATTTTTTGTTCTCGAGATAATCGAGGCGAAAAATAATTCCGAACACACATACGTACATACGCACATACACACACACAGATATCCACTGGAAAAAGATCGTATTCGACTCTGGGGATCTTAAAACGTGGAGATATGTCAAAATTAGCGATTCGCAAAATCGGACCCATCACTATAACTTCCCACTGGGAAGTTAAAAACTAAAGAAAATTTGATTCAAGTAAATCTATGTATATCTAGTGAGATCACTGTATATCTACACAAATTACTGTATAGCTATAGAGATCTCTATTGATCTCGATGATGAGAAAAATTTAATACATCTACAGAGATTACAGAAGATCTAAAGTGATCGAAACAGATGTACACAGAACAAAGTAGATTTAATTGTGCTAAAAAATAGATCAATGTAGATTTATTTTATTTTTTCCAGGGTTGTTTGTTTTTCAAATTTGTGCCCCTATATTTTTGGTGTATAACGGCATTTTTTATTATCAATTAGAGAACGGTTAAGATTTTTCCTTATCTAAAAGGTGGTTATCTCACTTTTTAGAAAAATCCCATTTTCCAGCTGAAAAAAAAATTATAAACATTATTTTCATAATTCATTAATTTTTTGGTTACTGAACTATTGATATCTTTCCCTCCCTCCCTATATCCAATGAATTCAGGATTATTGTGAGTATAACGGCCTTGCTAAATGTAGGTCATGAAACAAGGTCCTATAGCAATCTCAATAAAAGTAGTATAGTGGTATGGTGACAACCACCGTTGGTATTTAATTTATATAAAGCTGTAACACTGATATTGAAAAAATGTACACAAATGATCAATCAATTAACAAACTGATTAGCAATATATAATTAATTGACTCCTATCCCCATATTGTTTATATAATAAATAATTTATTCGAATTCTATATACAAATAGATATATGAATGATGTAGAGAGTAAAGAGACTAGGGTTGACCAAGTATAAGTTTTCCAGTCGATTTCAGTAGGTCAATTTGACCTACTATTTTCAATATCAATTAATAATTTTCAATTCTTCTATTCCGTTGTTTTTGATACTTAAAGGAAATTTTGAATTAACAAAATATTCAAATATAAAAGAACAAAACATGTAATAGTGATGATAAAAAAAAAAGAATGCATGATATTTTGAATTTGATTAAAATATTAATAAATGATATTATGAAAAAAGTCCACTGAAATCGATTGATCGTTTTTAGTTTGAATAGATACTAAGTATGCAGGATCCAAACGAAGCGATCAGTTAAGTGTGCCATCTAAGTAGAACACATGGGTGGTAGTACCTGATGGTACCAACCAAGTATATTACAAACTGGTATACTTATATGTTACATACTGTTTATAATGCCAACGCTTCGTTAACTTTGCCCTTCTCTTATTTTTCACTTTAGTGGTTAGTGGTTCTTCGAGTGAAAGACTTTCTTCACAAAACTTATGCATGATCATCACGTATACACATCTACATCATGCTAAGCTATACTACTAACTCATGGTTTTTAATATAACTCACAAACAATGTCCTTGTTATTAAAATGTATTAAAAGTATTATTTTTAAGTATTTTTGTATTTAATCATTTGAATATTTCTTTTATTTCATTATAAAATGGTATATTTTAAATATGTGTCTCAAAGAATTTTATCTCACTTCACAATATTTTGATAGAGTTGAAAAGAATGAGGTCATTGACCGACATAACCAGACGCATCACGTTCTTATACTTGTTATATTTTTAATACCATAAAAGAATAAAAGTTAGTTAACTGCATTATGTTATTTATTTATTATATTTGTTTAGGAGTGAAAAATGATTTTCTTGAGATAATTTCAAATGTATGAATGTGAGTCATTGAAGTATGATTGTTAAAAAAAATCATTAGCCAGTGATTATTAAATAATTATTGTTTATCATAATAACATTTATAAAATTAATTATTAAAAAATTAAAAAAAAAAAAAAAACAAAGATTATAAATAAAAATAATAAAATGGTGAAAGTACTATCAACAAGTGTAAAAAAGTTATTTCTTTGATGATGATGTTTCTTATTAGATTAATTTACAAATATATATTTAAATTATAAAATTTCTAGTATTTAATTATACTAAGTGCATAAGTAAATACAATACTGTAGTTTCTTATAACTAATTGATATTACTATTATTATTTTATTTTTGTAAAGTATTGTAAAATAATAATTTAGTACAAATATCTCTACATCGTTTTATTGTGGTAATTTTCTAGCATTGCAACAGTTGTTTGATGCCATTTCTAAATAAATGGAATAAATTAATATTTAGTTTTGAATGATGTATATATATATAATTTTCATTATTCTTCGATTTTGTTCATTTTTTAATGATAATTTTACGCAATAATTTTAAAATTATATATAATTATTTGCGTAGCCAGCTACGCTAAATACAATTGAGTATGCATATACAATAAATTACTTAATGTTTTTACAGAAAATTTTTTGGTAATTTTCTTTCTTTATTTTTTTTTTAAATAAGTAATATTTGTAAAAGATTGCAACTATTTCGAAAAAGTTTTCAATAAATATGTATATTAGATAGAAAGAAAGGAACAGTATGAGACGTTGATGAAAAAAAAAAAAATATTGGAAAAAATACCTTCAATTACATACGATTGATATGAAATGTATATTAACAGCATTCCATAGGTGTGAGATCTGTGGATCATCCTTTTCATTCGGAAGGAGAGAACACAGCCTTCATATTATCTTATTTTCAGGTATCTTATTATTATTTAATACCATAATAATAATAGAGAAGAAATTATTTAATAATTTAAACACAGAATAAAATAAATAATTTATATAAATATAACAATAAAACACAAGTGAAAGTGAAAAATAGTGAAATTATAATCAGTAGAATAAACGAAAAAGTTATTGCAACGGCACTAACATAGACTAAAAATAATAATAGTATTATTATATTAAAATATAAATAACCTGTATTGAATCCTTTATACAAGTATAAAAAAGAAATATTAAGAGTATTGATAAAAATAATTATTGTATCGTTTATAATATAAATAATAATATTAATCATCATCATCATTATCATTTTTATCGTCATCACAATTCACCACGATAATAAGTAGGTGTACTGTTAAAATTCTTATTCTATTTTATTATATATTTATTAAAACGTAAATTTACCAACTTTCAAAAATATATTTATTTATCCTTGTAAAATTTTCAAGAATGTTCATATTGTAATGTACAATACATTAATTTATTATAAAGAAGAAAGTTATAAAATTAAGTATCGAGAGAAGAAATTAAAAGAAATAGGTCATTCTTCAAGATGAAATAATTAAAAGAGATGTATAAAATATTTTTTGTTTTAAATAATTAATCCAAAATCAAATAAGTAATTAAGTAGAAATCAAATATTTATTATTTTTAATTAAATAAAATAATTTAATAATTTAAAGATAATCAGAAAAAAAGTTGAATAAAATTTTATAAATTATAAAGATTTTAGGTACACTGTAGCACAATCACGGTAGATCGTACTTTTTTTTTTATAACATAATTTTATAAAAATGTAATATTATTGCTAATTATGTTCAAAAATATCCTATAATTATCGAATATACTTTACAAGATAAAAAAAATTTTTTTAAATTGTACAGAAATTCAAATATTATTAGTGATGATCAAAGTATTGTTCCATAGCAAAATATATATTTTTATTAATATAAATAGTGGTATATGTATATATACACACCTAATTCATTGAAAAAATTCCATTCTAACGCTATAATGTACCATTATAATTATACACTGCACATACAAATTTTTACGTTTCACTTCAAGGTTAAATACCCTGAAATATTTTTTATATATATTCGTTGCATAGAATAGTAAAATTATGTTACTATAATTATAAAAAAAAATTATTTGTCTATTTGATTTATATTTTAAAACCAAATTGCATCAGTATGATACATGAAAATATGAAGAACTCTGCTATGCTTTTATCATATATTTATGGTCATATATATAGTCAAGTTTCTAGTATTCAACTTGAACGAAACTTTCAGAGCTGTATTCACAATTAGTGAACAGATAAATAGTTGAATAGAGTAATGAGACTTGACTGTATTGCTCATAATGAACGTCTTTTTTAGGTACATATTCAAAAGGATAAAGCTCATTATTTACTGCACATAATAATTATTTTTTGTACACTTGTACTGTTAATTCATATTTAATCTCGACCAATCCTTTTATGAATTTGTTGATGTTTAATGAGGTGAGCTTTTTGTCGAAATGCTTTACCACAAACCTCACATCTAAATGGTTTCTCACCTGTATGCGTCCTCAAGTGAACTTTAATGTTACTTTTATTGAGAAACCCCCTATTACATATAGAACATCTATGAACAGGTTTTTCTTTACCACTAATAAGACCGGATTCTGTGCCGTAAGGTAGTGCCGCAGCTGCAGGACTTTTTTTCGATGGATTTTGATTTCCTGGCGATGGACGTGATCGCTTTCGCGGATGAGAAGGAGTAGCAAATGATGAATGAAGTAAATGATCGGGACTACATGATGTAGATACGCGACCTGGCGGACTAACTGGAGGATATGGACTTGTTGACGATGGTGTTTCACCGCATGAGGTATTTTGTAAACCTGTATTACCAGCCTGAAGCCTTGCTTGTAGTAATGGTGCATAACCCGTAGTTAATAGACTTTGTAGTGTGGATCCATGCTGGTGTGAATGACTGTTGGGATTTGTTGAGCTGTAGATTTGAGAATATGGATTTGGTGACGTTGTTTCATGAGTTTTTGGTGAACATTCAGTATCAATCCATTCAGCGATATCAATCCAATCTCTAGAACCATCGGGATCGTGTTCAGAACCTGGACCATTACCTCCTCCTCCACTAGGTACAGTTGTGTCGGCGATTGCCGAGCCAATTATTTCAGCGATATCTTCAATATCATAGTCAACTTGTTGTGTAGACTGTGGTAACTGTTGTTGTTGCTGCTGCTGTTGCTGTTGTTGTTGAGGTTGTTGTTGTTGCTGTTGAGTTTGTTGAGAATGTTGATGATGATGTTGATGGTGATGGTGGTGATGATGATGATGATGATGGGGATGCTGCTGTTGTGATTGTTGTTGCTGTTGTTGAGATTTTTGGTTTCCTTGAGGGCATGGTGTACTAGAAGATACAACTGGAGATTCATAATATTCTTGATTAGAAGAAGGAGTAGGAGAAGATGATTGCATTGATGGTCGCTCTGCGGATGATGCTATAGTATGATAGTGATGACCAGGTATACCATTTATACTGAGATGACCGGTATAACCTGTGAAAGGTGGAAGAGGTTTCAATTCTGCTAGAGACTGTGCTGATGCTACTCCAACTGATGATCCTAACAAAAGTGTGTCCCAGGCATCTTGAATACCTGCAGCAGTTTGCTTTACATCGGACGGTTCTAAAAAATCTGTACTTGTTGTAGTCCATGGTAATAATAAACTATCAACTCCTACAACCTCCGTTGGTGATGCTCCTACAACTAATCCACTTGTTTGACTACTATGAGGTGGCTCTACACCAGCTGCTGTCAAATGAGGTGGCCCTGTAGGCGGTGCTGATTGTGTCTCATACTTCATATCGATTGTTATTTCGGATGAAGGCGATACAACTACGTCAGATGAATTTTTGATCAAATTTTTCGGTAAGTTACACTTTGATTCTATACTGGTACTAATAATATTGTAAGGTGATGTAGCTATTAGATCTTCTGTTGACACGTCTAAAACGTTTTGTTGTGGTGATGAACCACTGAGTGAATATTCAACTTTAGGTTCTTGATCAAGTTGTAATCGTTCAATAGATGAGCTATTATTCACGTCTTCAATACTTTTTGTTGTCGAAATTTTGGAAGTTGAAAGTAATGAACTTAATAAAGATGCACAAAAACCAGTACCTGTAACTGATAAATCGTCTATGTGACTGCTTCTGGATAAATTTTCCGATTTTATACGAGCATTGAGTGATGATACTATACCAATAAATGAATCTCGCGATGATGAAGATGATACTGGTGACGGTGATACGATTGAGGTATCAATAATTTGTGCTTCAGAATCTTTAACACTTGTTGTAGCCACTAGTGTTGATATGGTAGGAGTATTTGTATAGTCAACTAAATTTGGGGACGTCGTATTTAAAAGAGACGACAAAACTGTTCGACTACTAACAGTTGGATGATCGACTCCTCGCGTTAAATGCGAGGAATCTGTAGACTTTGGAGCAAGCAGCGTGGAAAGTAGATTATTCGATTGTTTTGAAAAGCACAAATTTTTGTTTATTTCTTGATTACTATTATTATTATTTATGCTGTTTATATTATCAGAATTTCTTCTACTTTTTTCTTTGTTTCTATCGTTGTTATTAATATTATTCGTTTTATTACTGGTAATGTTATTAATATTTGATTGCTGATAAATTGGATGTTGAATTGTTGATGACAATAGTGGATGATTTGATATTGAAGGGCTTGGTGTTTTGCGAATTTGATTTTGTTGTTCAGACAATTGTTGATTATTTTCTCCTGGTGATCCCTCGTCGTGTTCAATTTTTGGTGGCCCTGGTGTTGGAACAGTTGGAAAGAGGGAACCAGGATTCCACCAAGGATCCACTCTACTGCCGGGGGTGTTGCAACCGCCAACGGCGCCGCGAGGACCTAGAACATTCAATTAATTCCCAACTATTTATACGTTTATTCTTAATAAAATAACTTTTGAAAAAATCAATCATACCAAGTAAGGTAATTTTTATAGATATAAAAATGTGAATATGTAAATAAATAAATAAATGACTGCAGTTACACACTCATTTCTCTATGTACAACAAAGAAAAAGACTTGTTCTAGCTAACCAGGTTAGTAGAACATTACTTCCAGTTACAGTTGAGCAAATAGTTACACTTGCTCAGATCAAATACTGTCACTTGGATCATTTTAAATTTTATTTTATTATTAATTAATTATAATATATATTTTACAAATTATTGTGTTTATTTTTACTAAAAACTATGCAATACGTTGTACGCGTATATAACATTAAGTACCATGATAAAGTTGAATGAATATTGTATCAAGGACATGTTGATATACAGGGTGCTAAAAAATGATAAAAGGACGATAAAAAAAAATTTTTTAAAGTACGCCGAAAAATGATGCAGTGTATTATACCAAGTATGAAGTTGTTGAAACAATTTATTCATTCAAAGTAGTATATGAGTAGTAACCTTCCCTCAGGTCACCGTCCTTGTCGTCAGGTTATAGTCCGTCCTTGTTAAGAGCTTGAACTAAAGTAATGTGTAAAAGATTGGTGGAGGTATGGAAAACTGAGTTGTGTAGCCGTGACGCGCAGTTTGCTTGTTTACCGTTATATTATTCAGTGGCGTCGGAGTGAATACATCTGAGTTTAAGTGGACCAAAGTAAAGGTACAACTTTTTAAGCTGTTTATTAATAGGATTGAAATGAATATATAATATATAATTAGTTAATTGATTAATTTTGTAACTAGTCATATTATATTTAAATAAAATTAACAAATCTCTCAAAAAATAGATAGAAATAATTTTCAAAATTTTAAATAAAATAAAAAAACCAAAAAAAAAGTGAAATATTTCTAATTGTAGCAAATGATGTAAATATTTTCATTGTTTACTAATACTAATATGAATAATGAAAAAAAAGGTATTTGTCAAATACAATTGAATATCGTTTTTACATTTTATATCTGTACAACTGTAATCCAAGTATTTGTGCAGCTGACCCACTTCCGCGAGAGGAAAGTGACTCAGCATACCATCAAACTGATTGCAATCTGCAATAAGTAAAATAAAAGAAAAAGAAGAACACAGTGAATTACAATGAATACGGAAAGATTAATCCACTTGTCGAAAAAAAATGACATAACAGTATATATTATATATGAAATACATGAGTAAATCATGAAATCCAGACATATTTGATAGAGAAATATTGATAGGATAATGATAGGTAAAAGTCCATCAGTATAGTCATTTAATGTGATACAAAATACTGCACGTGCGTCATGGTTGTGCAGACGTGATGCAGTAGTAAGCTATAGGTAGAGTCAAGTCGGAAGAGTAGTCTGACAGAGGGGAATTGCTGGCTCAATAAGTAGAACAAGGCACCGTTAACTTGACAACGGATAGCAAGCTTCTCTATATATAATACAACTCACGCGCTTGTTACTCATACCCCGTCCCCTTTGTCCCTGCACCCACAATTGAGCTGTGCTCACGTTTGCTTTCCTTTTCATTGCGAAAAATGGCGCGTGCGAATCAACCCATATCGACCTACATTTGATGTCAAGTCCAGATGTGCTGGTGAAATAAATCGTCTTATTATTATACCCTAATTATCATCATCCTCTAAACGAATATCCACTATAATATCATACTCTATTCATTTATTTATTTCAAATATTTTCGAAATATTATTATGTACTTTCCCATTTACATCAAAATGACCATAGATCATTTTACTTTTTTAATTAGAAAATGAAAAGAATATAAAGTGCGTTTAAAGAACACTGAATCAAAGAGAGTTTAATGCTCGTACTGTTGCATAGACTAGATTGTGTTATACTTTATGTTCAATAGATGATTACTATTTTACTGGTTAATTTTTATATGAATTATGATTTACATTTACATTGTTTATCATTGTATACGAAAAATGAGATTAAAAAGGAATATCTATACACAACACTGGAATATTTTACAGAATAACAGGAGAACAAAAAAAAAAAATAAATAAATATATGCATCGATTGCAATGAGGAAGGAAAAGAAAAGAGAAGGGGCGACCTGGTCAACAGAGAAAGTGCGACACTGTAAAATTGAGGTAAAGGTTAAAGACTTGTGTATAACGTATACATGAAATTATAAAAACATCAAAAATAACAAGTATTATTTTTAAATTACTAAAATATCATATCTTAATACATCAATTAGAAACATTTTTAATAAATAAATATGTGTAATATTAAAATGTAATAATTGATAATAAGAAGACTAGTATTAATCAGTAAAAGAGTCAATGAAATGAATAAAGAAATTGAGGTGTGAAATTACGACTACATTTGGAAGCAGGTTTTGCTGAGGTGGTGGTTGATCAGCTTACCGCAGACGGCAGGAGGCTGTATCTATGCTATATGTATATAGCCACTTGCGGAACTGACGAGTCGGAAGCCCCCTTCTCTTTGATCATGACTGGCACACCGGTTAATGTGGTACACTGACCTACTCTCAAGGCAGCGCACTCGGAACACCACGCGTCGACATCAAGATGTAGTAGTGGTGAGGAATACGACTATTGCTCACTCAACTACTCGTACAATTTTCGTCTTAACATTTCTCCAATCTCTAATACTTCCTTCCCACTTTAAATACCTACATATATTCATTTGTTATCAAAATCTTACGAAAAAATAAATATTTTTCAAATAGATACTAGATATTGAATAATGTATTTCTCAAATTTACCATTATATATTTGATCTATTATTGTATTTTTTTTTTTTATTTTCAGTTTTAATAAGTAATTTTTTTCAATTTAATAACAAATAAATAGTATTCATTTACTTACATAAGAGCAACGTGGTATCCAGAGTGGTATTGTTATCCGCAGGATCACCTTTTACAAATTAGTCCACTGAACGAGATCCACTGTCACCAGTGATTCAAAAGAAATATTTTTCAATTCAATTACTACCGACTCATTTATTCTTTTTTAATCACCAACATGATTTGTTTACCAGTAAAAATCACTTATCAATTAAATCCACAATAAAACTGCAGTTCCGATTAATTCAGTCACTTGATTCGACTTGTTATATGCTCCTCTTCCTGGTCGTAATTCCCATGAATAATGCCCTAAATAATGGAATATACTAGTGGTATCGAACACACACGATAACACGAAAATCCACGATCAGGAAGAGGTGTAATGAAAATAAACTGTCTTCTGATATACAAAACTTCCAGATTTTACTATTATCCACAACGTATTCATCAAATAAAATTCAATACTATATTTTGAATTCGAACAACGTTTCAGCTATTAGCACTTGTTTCAACTGTTATTATCAATTCACTTGATTATTTTCAATTGACAATAAACACGTTTACTGTTGACAATAATCATATGGTTGAATGTTTTTCAGTCAAATATTGACTATTTATTTGAAATAGTGAATTCACTGATTTCTTAATACTTTCTTTCGCATTAAAATCTCTTCAAAATCGATGAATTTTAAAATAGTTTATAAATGTCAGTTAATAACAATTAAATAGAGGAGTCGAAGATAAGTATGATTTAGTGACGATTTATAGTGCAGGGGAAATGCGACTAATTTCTAGAAGTAGACGAAGACGTGAACTGGATGGCCTATGGGCCCTTACTGTGAGCTGGGCCTTATGAGGTTTGAACAGACAGAGGCCCCTACTTCTTGTCAGGCCTCATGGCTATACAGACGGACATACAGGCGGGTCCCCCACCCTCTTAATTCAACTCTGAAGCCTCTCTTCCTGGTCGCGATGTTGCCTCCTTCCACTTGCATTACGAATACCACCGGCATCTTCCATCAACACCACCACCATGTACTATCTATGTTTTTCATTTTTTTACCATACCTCTATAAACATTCCATTTAGTTTCATGCTCAATAACCAATTATTGATCCATTAATAAGTTCAAATCTCACAATATTCTGCATTCAAATTTTTTTTTATATTTCTCATATACTTGCATAAATGTAATGATAAATATTTTTTTGTTTTTTTTGACTTTTCAACATAATTAATGGTTTTATGAATCATCAGGACATTTTTCAGTAATGAGATTGACAATTTTATAACAGAAAACATCAAAGTCATGTTAAAGATGATATATAACTTGATACCATAGCGATTAACAAAGTTGAAAAATAGCTAATAGCAATCATTAAACTGTATCTACTAATGAGAAGTGCTTAAAAGATATCAATTAATACACGATCATTGTTTTTCTATGCAAATGTTACTTTAAGTTACTTTAAGTACTAACAGCATGTATGACGTTATGAGTCATCTGTAAATAACACCAAATATTATATCGGTTCTTTTGTTGATGTATCCCCTAATTACACTACATTTTCAAATGATTATCATTTTTTGACTTTATCTGTAATTATAAATGTAAAGTCATAATGTGTAATATATTTATATATAAATGTATATAGAAGTGTGTATAAATTTGAACATGACGATAATGGATTTTGTAATTTTGTTATGGCTATTTTTATCCGCAATCTTTCACAGTTAATTATTACATACAGCAATACTTGTGTACTTTGTGTTAAAAACATATACTAATGTATTAGATGTAACTAGTTCATCAGACTTTACATTTAAGCAAAAGGGATTCTCTTACGCTTTCAGCACATACCTCGTCATGCTCGTCTACCATAAAGTTAATATGAGTCGTCATTGTCTACGCTTGAAATTACACGTATGTATCTATTGCAGCGCATATATTTTTTATTATTTTCATACGTATTTGAGTTAAATATCCAAATTCACTCATTCCAGATGTATTCATTTTTTATTTTTAATTATTGTAATAATCCACTGAAAATCCTTCAATTTTATAAATTTGTAAAATTTTAACGTGTTAAAATAACACGTATTAACGTGTTAAAATAACACACATATAGTTTGTTCAATGTAAAATATCCATAAATAGACTATACATCATTTGTAAACACATTTTAAGGAGGTTCTTGGACGACTAATAGTATAGTATAGGGATAACCTATATTTATTAAAATTTAAAGATAAATGAAAATATTTGATGATATTAAATTAAAATTGAAATTGATTTATTACAAAATTATGAAATTGTCGATCGTTTTGTTTACAAGAAATCTGAGTTTATTTGTGTCATTGGGTTTAGTGTTTAACCTAACTTTTAACTCAGCTTTACACATTTATTATTGCTAAACTAAATAGTGAAATTTATTGATAAAGGGAACTTAATTTCTTTGAATAATTAGCTATCACTTTAAAAATTTTTGAAGATTAAACTTTAATTTTGGTTAATACAATAACCTTCTAAAGTGTATGAAAAATCTATAGTTTGTTTACGGACTTTAATATTAAACAGACTTGGCATATTAAAAATATTTACAAGAATAATACACTTAGATTTGCAGTGAATAAATGTCAATTTACTTAAATTATAATCCATTGAAGTATAGATTGAAGAATAAGATAAATAATTTTATAATTTAGTAAATATAGTTTGAGTTAACTGTCGAATATATTTGAGACGTAGCCTACATAGAACTTTAGAAAAAATTTTGTTGGTAACAATTATGGTCCAGGTGAGAAAGTGGACTAAGCCTGGTTACCCAAATTATTGAGGTTCTATAATAAAAAATTTCTGTTCGTTAAATATAAAAATTTTAGCTGTTGTTAAATCTATTCAATTGCCTGTACCTGAAATTTGTAGCTTAGTATAAAAAATCTGTAATTTATAAAAGATTAAATATTATTTTTCTAAAATTCACCTTCAATATGTAAGTGTAAATGTTCAAATTATTTTTATTATTAAACTATATTAATTCAATGAAATGTAAATATATTTCAAATTTAAACATTACATAATGAGAAAAAAAATAGTGAAAAGCAAAACTGCATCGTTCCTTTACAATATCCCGCATATTTAAACTACCGTTATGGTTTAATAGATACCCTAGTAACTAAATCAACGTAAGACTGATGGAAGACTCACGTATGTAGCCTAAGTTCATCATTGACGTATGTGTCTGCCAAAGCAGACGGACGTAAGTCTAACGAAAATTCTGACGTCAGGAGTGACTACTAGGATACATATTGTAAAATAAGTCCAAATAATAACTTCAGAAAATTAATAAATAAAGAAAAAGTTTATTAAAGATTGACAGCTATTAATTAAATAGAAAGAATACATCCGATCAACTCAAGTCTCAGTCAAAAACTGGAGATAAACAAACTCTCCCCTCATTGCTATAAACAATCTAATCGTCAAGCAATCGTCGTTAACTAACAAACTGTCGTTAGTCTAATAGTCATTAGATGGCGACATACAAATATTTTACAATATTATCAATAAGTTTATTACTACTAATAAATAGCCTAAACCAAGATGCATACTTTTCTTTCATTCAATGTTAATTCTATACCAGGCATGAGCTACTTTTTTTAAGATAAAATCCCTTTTAAGATTAAGAATACTCGTACAGTAAGATCCAAAATGAAAATTATATTAAGTATTCCAGGCACTCAGTCACAGAGACTTCAAGAAGCTCCACTTGCTCATGGCTGTGTTATACTATTGAAGATTTTTACTAAAAAAATCTAAGTTATATGAAATAATCCAACAACAATAAAATGCCTAGTTGATACTTGAAACATTGATTTTTGTTTCCTAATATTATTTTCCTAGTACTTAATTGTCCTCACAGATGTAGGATAGTATAAGACAGATTTTTGTTGCAGTTGTAAAAAAATCAACATCACATGTTTTTAAAATACGAGAAAAGTAACATTTGTTGCAAGTATGTATGTAGATTTACAACAGCCACGCGTCCAATGGTAGTTATGTCCTTCTTCAATTGTTATGTATGTATGAATACTCACAATATTTACAATCTATAATAATTTTTAGTCATTATTCACAGTGAAAATTATTTCTGTAACAGAACATACTTTGTGTGTGTCGAATTGTACAATGACTTTTGACACGTGTCTCCCATGTGACAGAATATGTTTTGCATGATATTGATAACATGCCATAAAGCTAGAATTATTTGAAAGGAAATGGCTTTTAGTCAAGGGAAATTGACACATAGATTCTCACGGATATACTGATAATTATTATTCAAAATATATTATACAGTAAATTTTGGAATGTATTTCATTTATGAATGTAATAAAGATAGAATTAATAGGACATCTATCCCCTCTCCTCTTCAATACGTATTTGGAAGTTTAAAATTTCTTGAATGTTTTAGTATTTACATTTCGTTAAACGTTTTTTACTTTCCTTTCACTAGATAACATTTAGGGTATACTCATGCTTGTGCTTCGAAATTTCTAATTTAATGATGCATAGTTTTCATTACTAAAAAAAAAACGTTCATTTTTACGACAAAATGATTAGATCAGTTCAATTTCAACATTAATATCACGAAATGACTCTAAATTGCTTTGACTCTAAAATATTTCGCTTTTTTTAAAATCTAAATCAAGTGCTAGTTTTTAAAAAAATTTCAATATTCTTTATTCCAAAATTTAAAACAACTTATAAGCCGAAAGTTTTCTAATAATATCTATGGTTTTTAAATTTTTTTAATGATAATTTAAACTTTATTCAAACTACATTCATATATATATACATATATTTTTTCAATAAAATTTACATTATTTATTTTTCTTTTTTTTTAAATAAAATGTTTAAGAAAAATATCCATAATTTTTTTTACAAATCATTTTATTATTTATAAGAAAGAATTGTAATGTTTTGTTAACATTACAATAAAGTAAATATACCCAACTACAAAATCGATTCCATAAATAAATATATCAGAAAATGCACTAAAAAAAAGGGTCAGAAAAATTTTAACAACCCGGAAGAAACTTTTGGACCTTATTGAAGGACAACACACAATGGGGCCCACAAATCTACTAGCGGTGGTCCATGAAAAGTGGTTACATCTTAAAAGGGCGCATCCAATTGCAGTTTTCATATCTTCCTTGTCAAACCATACCTGAATGGTACTCACAAAAAAATGCTATTCTACATGGCATGCACAGAAATTTCCAAATATTTGGTACCAAAAATTTGATACGCTGTGAGAGGATAAAAGTCCTGGTAAAGTGATGACAGTTTTTTTTTCATTATTTACATTTATATTTTTGTCATTGATAGATATAAAATAATATATTTTATTTTTTTTTAACATCTGAGCTTTCATTTTTATGTATCATCAGGAGTATAGTATTTAATATTTATATCAATGGCTTATATTATCAATTTTACAGACTAACATACTGGATATTACTTGTTGAACATCGAAAAAACTAAGAATATATTCGACGATAAATGATATCTGTACCGATTTACAGATTTATTGGTGTGACCTGAGGCAAGGTGGTCTAACAAGCATGTCAGAAATCTTTTGTACTGTTACCTTAAGAGAAAAAATGTGGTTCTTCTTTCGTTTTTCATCTTCTTTTACTTTATTCTGATACACAAGACCGAAACTCATAATATTTTCATCTTTCTTGTTCCGCTGGAGGATCCTTTTGTTCAGAAACACGTCAACTTGTTAAATTTGTCGGAGCAATTGGAATGGGTGCAGGTACAAGAAGTTTAGCAACATTAAGAAAGGTGAAGTCGTAAATATAACTTTGTGTCCTGTGACCACTTTAAAATCTGTGAAGAAAGAATACGGAAATGTCTATCGATAGACCTTGCGTATTTGTGTGAGTTAACCGTCAAAAATTTACAGTGGCTTGTCCAAGAACAGTTTGCGGGCATTGATGTGACCACTGCCGAGCTTCCTCAGGCTTTATCTTTATTCTGTATTTATGATCCTCTCAATTTTCTTTCACTTATTCTTAGTCAGAGGTGAGAATCTCTCTCATTTGCTCTGCTGGATATGATGGAAGCTATTCGAGACCCCAAGAGATGAGCTAGCCCACCTTGGTCCTAAGTCATAGGATCTATGCCACATCATTTACGCCATCAGACCTATGCACCTTGCTAATTCGAATTATTTATGTTCTTTATGAGTAATAAATCATATCTACAGAAGTTATTCTTCAAAAGTTAGGTCTTTTGACTTTGTTACTGACTTCTTGATGAATAAATAGTTTAGAGGTCAAGTGTACTATTGTCACACAAAATTTTACTGTTCTCTTACTGTCACATCATTTTTTGATTTATGTCAGTTTTATTTATTTTATAACACACTTCTAATTGGCGAAAAATTTTAAAAATATTTTTGCAATAAAGTTACCATGATTTTTTATTTTATCTTGTAATATTTCTCAAAATATGTGTAAGATACAATAATACTGCAAATTAGTTATATAAAGGTAATAATGACAATAATTAAATTGATATAATTAATTAGTAATAATGAATATATTTATAAATTAGAATTTAATGGTATAGAAATAAAAAATATGTTTCAGGTATAACTTCAAATAGATTACTTTCAAGATAAATCATTTATTATAATAAAGTAGTTATTTAAAAATTAAATTATTGATGAAATATTTATTTGATAAAATTAATTGAAAATTTTCTCTATATGTTACTACAGTGCATACGGCCTTGCCAAGGACTTTGCACTTTACTGCTTTCCAAGCACAGGTATTCACAATTCACTACCATACTTAACTTGTATAAAGTACTCTCTTTTCTCGATTTTAATCAGTTATGTTTTTTAATGGAAATAATCGACAAAAACCATAGTAAAGTGTAAATGAATACTCTATTAATTTATGTTATAATAATATGTAGTTGTAATAATATTATAAATATATATATATATATATATATATATATATATATATATATATATAAAATAACAGCATTATAATGAAATATCTTATCCTGGGGCCAAATGAAAGTTATAAACTAAAATACTCGCTTAGTAATATTCAATGATGGTAAATAATTAAAAAGACCCACTCACAAATAAATATAATTAAGAGTATATGAGAAACTCAAACTGATTTAGGTGCACTGGAAATGCTTGGTGGACCACTAAAATAAAAATGAGGTCGTGCTACTAAAAAGTAAAGCCATGACATTGCGGCATGAATAACATACATAACACATATATACATATATATACAATAAAACTGATTAAAGAAAAGATACCACTGATGATTATCTAAATTTAATTTCTGAACAATTTGATATTGTAATAATTAAATAAAAGGAATATTTTACAAAAATACTCTGTAAACAAGTAGCAACATTTATTGGTGTATTAATCTTTAATATCATATGTAATAACTGAATGTTATTAAAGTTAAATCTTCTTTTACTCAATAATTTGATGATAAAGATACATTTTAGACTCACATAATCATAAATAGAATAAAGAATAGTGAGTTATTTTTTTTTATTGTTTTGCGCTATTTAACATCCGGTTCGAAACCAAGAGTGGGTCGTGTGATAGCTATATACACAGTTACCAGTTTGGTTTATTCGAATAAACCGGGACTTTGTTTGCGATGACCAAGTGCCAACACAATAATTGATCATGTACTGAAATCAATGATATATAACAATGGTTATTAACTATAAACAAAATAAAATATAATAAATTTAAATAATGTAAATTAGTAGATTTGTACTTTTGTACATTACACCTTCCAGTTTGACTACTCAACTCTATGGTTTTGTCCTGTTTACCAAGTGGGTCAATCGAGATGGAGAGTGCGCTTCAGAACGTGCGATGAGACATGAAACAACACCTTTTCTTTTTGTTATTTTATTCCCTTATAACTTTATTTGTATGGATACTAGTTCCATTATAAACCACTGTCACTAATCTACTCACAAATTCCTTCTCTCTGTATCTAACTGTTGCCCAAGAGATCCGTTACATTCATCCCTATGGTTTTGAATCATTCTAAATGCTTCAAGTGTGTAAGTGGCCTCGTAAATTCAATTTGTTACTTAATTACTATTAAATATCATTAATTAGTAATATAAATACAAGATTTATATGTTTTAGTATACTGTTATTACATGGTCACACAGCGTTTGTTAAAAATAACCTAAAAACTTGAAGTATAATTTGTTTACATTATTAATCAAAATTACAAGATTTATCCCAAAATATACCCAATTACTAACTTAAGTAATAAGGACGGTTCAAACAAAATCGGAATCAGTATAGTGTATACTATATAGTATATAACATAGGTAAGTATGTTTGTAGGTTAGTAGCACACCAAGTCACAATATGCTCTGCGAGTGTTGAGATCGGTCGGGTGTAGTATTTCTTTTTCTTTTGATTTTTAATCAACTCTTTAATTTTATCATCTTTTATTTCGTTTAATTTTTACTATTCAATACAAACAAAGTATGCGTCAGAAGATACAGTATCATCTTTCAAGAATAATGGAGTAACAATAAATCATATTAATTATTTGAATAATAATTTATTTTTTAATAAATTATCTATAAAATAGTAAAAGATTCTTACAAACTTTATATTTAAATGAAATCGACTTTGTTGAGTTATTGTAAAGTTGATTGATTGCATTAAAGAATTATGTCAAAATGGAATAGTAAACAAAAAAATATGAAATAAACGAAGGACATTTAACACACTATTGATCAAATCCTTGCTCAATAAATATTTTTCTTACTGAAATCTTTGACCTCATCAATAGGGGTCATTGACTTGTTGAATCAAATCTATACATAATTGTTTATTCAATCATAGGAAATAATAGAAAAAAAGCTCATTATTTATTATAAATTAATTTATATTTTATTATTTAGTTAGAATAATGAATGGATGTGTACGACGAGATATGTAACGTACCTACATTTGTTGTATATCATATGATTATACAGTTAAACGTTAGAATAACGGTATTATGGTGGCCACAGAATTTTGGACGTTCAGGTTTCAGTTGGCGCAATCGTAATGCTGCTTAAACGTTGAATAAACATTATTATAGACATTTTTTTCTGCTGTTCAAAAAATTATTCTGTGAACAAAAATCTCGATGATAATGATTGCAAAAATTCCATCATTTCAAATGGTTTTTGTAGAATTAATTTTATTTAGAATTATCATAAAATATACGTCATTTTTTTTTTTATTCCATTCTTCTACACTAAGAAAATAAAAAAGATCACTTAACCAGTGATGTGTGTCGAAGCATAAACTATTCTATTCTGTATATAGCCGTGGGCCAGACTATTTTGTTATACCTCTCTAACAGTATACTTTTTAAAAAATTTAACCAACTAACTTTATTGAATATTATTCTTATCACTAATTAACATTTTTTATTTTTAAATTTGTTTGGAAATTCTCAAGAAAAAAAATTAACGTTTTAAAGATAATTATAGCAACTTTATCTTAGTATGAAAAGGTAAAGAGATTATGTGAGATAAATGGTTAATATTAATTTATTTGTCATTGTTTTTTTAAATAAAATATATTATAATTGACTGCAATGTGTGTACTATTTTATAAGCTTCGTTTATCAAAGCGAAAGTTCCATGACAAGTTGTGCACTTTCTTAGGTTTTGGTCTAACCGTTACGTTTCCATGAGTAAACTGGCGAAGCATGGAACCCATTTTTTTATTTTTATGGATTTAAATATACTATCATCCAAATTAATTTGATTTAGATTATAAAGATTATATTTTATCAATATTTGTATTTACCACATTTCTCAATATTTGTATAAATTAGAATAACATTTAGTATTTGGTCCTATACACGTTAATTATAACATAAACACACAAGCATCAAATCATACATTACATTTTATTTAATAAAAATATCCTTTAAACAAACCAATGATAAAAAATTGTCTGTATGTAATATCTTTTAAAATATTTTTGATTTTTACAATATGAAAAATAAAAAAATATATTTAATTGCGGATAATGAGTTTAAGGGAATTTTTATAAATTTATAATAATTTTGAATTAGGATAGATTTGTAACCATGTGACAAGCCTTTGTTGTTGTGCTTTCTCTTTCGGGAGTGGCATGCTCTAGTTCACTTTTATATTTTAGTGTATATATAATATATATATATACAAAATAGTTGTTATCATAATTAGTTTTATAAACTTAATAATTATTATACATTTAAGGGGTAATTCTTTACGATCTACTAATTGTAAATACTCGTCCTCACGTGCATACTTTGACACACACACACATATTCATGTCCATACACCCATACACATTAATTGATTCAATTCAATTATTATGAATAGTATTTTAAAATTTCTTCTAATAATTGAGATTCTGTAAGTTCATTAATTTCAATAAATCGTTTATTACCTCTGCTGAAATAATAAATATCACCAGTGTAAATATCAAACCAAAGTGCATGAATGTGAAGATCGTGTTGTTCAAGTCGTTTTTTTAAAAAACCATAGGATGCGATATTTTGGAGTTGTTGTAAGGTGTTTATCTACAAATAAATATAAATACTTTATTAAAATGTTTAAAAAAAAAAATGTTGAGATTAACTACTTGTGAAAGTTTATCTTCAATTGCGAATTTGTCATCAGGATCAATGTAAGCGACAAATTTTCTCATTGGTGTTTCTGCTTGGAAAATTATTGGTTCACGGAAACTAGTTTTTTTAAGTTGTAGAAATTTTCTCAAACTGCTATCTGCATGTGCACACAGCCAAGCTCTTAATGGCGATATTCTTCGATTTATCTATGAAACAAAAAAATTTTTTACGTATCGGAAAAAATCTCTTTTCTACACTGTAAATCCCAATTTTCCAAAATGCATTATTTTAATGCGGATAAGTGTGTTAAATATGACATCATCCATTTGATTAACATTGTAGTCACTTTCTACACACTTAGAAATGCGTTAAAAGCGACTACAATGTTAATCAAATGGGTGACTTCATATTTACACACTTATCTGCATTAAAATAATGCATTTTAAAAAACTGAGATTTACAGTGTACATGATATTTAGTTGATCAATTATACATTTTAGAAAAAATATGTTTACTTTTGAGGCGAATTCTTCATCTTGTAGTGCGTACAATAAATTCATTGCTTTACAATCGCTATGACCACAAACAATTATATGACGAATATTATTAATCACACATCCTAATTCCAATGCAGCAGGTTCACACATTGTAAGTTCATCAATGAAATGTTGAGAGTGTGGAATTACATTGCCTGCATTTCGAACTGAAATTTATCATTACCTGTATTATTTATCAAAATACACCTTTACAATATTAATTCATAATTATTATTAATGATTTAACCAGTTTTGACCTCTTTTAAATAAATATTGATATTTAATAATTAGTTGAAAGGAATAAATAAAAATTCGATGTGTGTTATTTTTACCGTTTTGTAAATTAATGCCATACCAACAAACATATCTCCAACATTTGTTTCAGTAAATCTGGTAGGTATCATCCGGGAATCCATGCAAGTAAAAAATACTGCTTTAGGCTGTATAACAATAAAAAATACCAATTATGTTATTTTCATTTGATTTGGTTATCAACTATTTTTAAATGTTATCAGAATTATTGTTATGCGAATGAGTGTCAGTCATGATTTACCTGTCTTGGAATATGTGCAAATAGACATTATTCTGAGCATTGATTCATATAAATTGGCATCGATAACTAAAGATTACTCCGAAAGAATATAAATATTAAACCTTGTTTTGCAATTTTATAAACATACAAATATTAATAGGGTTAATTCTTTAAAACCAATGTATTTGAATTTAATTTCCGATGCTTATATACAGATATGAAAATATTCAGAATAGTGTTTCATACAACATATCTCAAGGTCATCTAAACTGCAGCAGATGTTATTTTTAATATCTGCCCTTATACACAAATGGAACTAAATTAGTACAATTAAATATCAATTTCAGATAAAAAAAATTTTTATGTAAATATTATTGTATTGAAAAAATGATAACATTAGAATATAATTTGTCATGTGAACAATTTACCTCAGGATTATCTCTAACTTGTTGAAACTGTTTAACCATTCCTTCCCGGTGACATTGTCGATATTTCATTATACCTCTTATTATTCTATCCATATTTTCAATAAATAAAAAATCTTTGTACCAAACATATCATCAATGATTAAGCAAAATATATCATCCATATGCCATTTGGTTGTATTTAACGACTATAAATCACTTAACAGCGGGAAGTTTAAAAAATGAAGTAATCTGAAAAGTATATCACAATTGTTATGTTAGACACATCATTCTGTGTGCAAAATTATTTTTCAAGTCATATAAGACGACAGAGAAAACACATACGTTGAGATAGTTTACATCTTTGTATTTTTATGCTTATCATAATTTTTTTTACATTGCTATAAAAAAAAAAATTCGACTCTTTATCCTGTTTAAAGGTTAGGAGTAATATTTTTTTATGACAAAAAAGCAATTGACTGTACGCATGTGCAGTAATACAAGTTTATGATTCCATATGGTTTGAAAATATTGAGTACTAGTTTCCAAATCGGAGAGAAGAATAAACTTTTCAGTAGGAATTTGACGAGACAGTATCTTTTGTTCACCAAGGGAACAAAGTAGCTTGCCCTTACTGCTCTGAATGTTTTTCAGGTAAATCTATAGCTACCGTAATAGAGAAACATTCAACCTTCGTCAAATCATTCATTTCCATAAGTTCTCTGAATCATCTTTACTCCAAAAAAAAGTCAAGGTTTGCTTAATCTTTTGCGATATTTCTACTCAGATGTTCAATATTATTCAACTCGTAAATAACTATGGCGAATATGCATTATGTAAATTACAAAAGATATCCTATATTTGTTTCTTGTGTTAATTTACTAAGATTTATTATTTATTTTACAGGAATTAGTAAAATAATTCGGTGAATTTTTATAATTTGTTTTTAAATAAAAACATAAGATAAGTTTTAAGTTACAGATAACAAGTTAATAAAACAACGATTTTTTAATGTAAAAAAACAAGATTATATATTTAAGAGATAATTACAAAAATATTAATTATTTTCTTAAAAATATGTGTATATATATATGGATGCTTTGATAATAAAAACACTCTAAAGTATTTTAGATTTTTTTGAACTTAACAAATTTTGTTGATTTATTTAAATAAAAAATATGCATTTTATTTTAGACTAAAACCTATGATAAATATAATTTTTTATAATTCAACAAAATTTAGATGAATTATTTAATAAAAAAATGTTAAAGTGAAAGATTGCCGTGACTTACTCAAATTTTACCCACTTAAAGCTGAACTTTGACTCACACGTTCTAATTTTTCAAAATGTTTTCGAGCATTACGAATATTTATCAATGTTGCAGCTGATGCTAAAAAGGCATTTATTTATATATTTAATAAAATACAACTAGAAATCTAATTAATTATATTTATAAATGAAGTACTTACGGATTCCAGGATCTGACATTATTACCATAACATAAGTGTTAGAAGTAAAAACATCAATAAATGCTGCAAAATTAGTGTTTCTAACTTCCATACTAGTGAACTGTGATGCTAATTTACTGTAATATAAATAAAATTTAACAATCTTTCATAATCATTATTTCGTTTTGGTTTGATTTAAAAAAAATTTTATAAAAAATAACCTGCAGCTTAGTTTGAATTGTTTAATTATATTAGAAACTTTTTCAAAGCGATGTACATCTCGATGAAATTTTCTTTGACAATGGCTGATTACTAGAAAAGTTGCTCTTTCAAATAACAACACTTCATCAGCATCAATTATGTTTGCAAATTGTTCTAAACTTTGTTCCAATTCTTTAACATTAGGTATTAGCATGTAAACAATAGATGACCAAGCCCTGGAAATATAAAATTTATCAGAAAATTGAAATAAAATATTAGGACGTTATAAGGTTTTAATTTTCTGTTGTATTTGAGACCTATATAAAGTTTCATCCCATATGCTTGTTCTGAAGCATGTACATTCAAGTGGAAGACTTAATTTTTTTAAATCTTCAGCTCTTTCTCGGAATATTATATCCCTTTGGTCTTCTTGAACTAAGTCCATTTTATGAACAAGGCAAAATATTTTTGCATCTGGACTGTTTTGCAAAATAGCTTCTAAACAACTTTGATAATAATGCATGTCTTTATCTAATTCTCGTGATTCTACATCAAAAACATAGATTAAAACCTCAACATTTCTAAATATATTGTCTCGTTGGGAAGCAAAATAATTTTCCATGAATGCTTCTTGTCCTCCACAATCCCACAAATTTAACACTAAATTACCAAGAAATCGAACATGGCTATGTTCAACGTCAACTGAAATGAATAAGATATTTTGTGTTGATAAATGAATGAATAAATTTTTATTTATATAAAAAATCAACTACTTACTTGTAGCACCTAATCGCCTAGTATCTCTTGCAATATAATTAGCAAATATGATACTTCGCATACTTGTTTTGCCAGAGCCACTTTTACCCATCAGCAAAACCTACAAAAAATTATATTTAATTGTAAATATAAAAAATACAAGAGATATTTAATAATATTGCTTAAATACTTACCTTTTTCTTCATTTTGAAAATTTTTAGCTATCAAATAAACAAAGATCAAGTTTCAGTAGTCACGCTTAAATACCGTGATAATAATATCACAATTCTACACTTTGATTATACTGAATGTTACAATATTCAATTCTTTCAATTAATTGTATAATTATGAGAAAATAATTAAAGTAAAATTAACTTTTCTGTTGAGCTGAGTCTTTTTTAATTTCTCATTATGAAGTTTTAAAAACCATTTTTCAAAATATAAATTAGGTATAATTAACACATACTATTTTTGTGATAGTACTTGATAATACAATGTTTGAAAGATAAAGATGAATAAAATTAGTCAATTAGAATGACAAATCATTCATTACTATTATCGTTCAGAATGTGTATATGTAGAAAAACACTCTGGTCATTAAAGAAATAATTCTCCCCTAACCTCATCGACTAAGGAAAAATAACCAATATTTTCTGTTTGTAACTATTTTCTCACGTAATTTTTACTGTTAACTAACCGACAAACTTGAACGTAATAAATTGCCATAGTTATTTAACTGAGTATTTAACCAGTCATCTTCTCATCCCCAACACACATTTTGTGTTTTGCGTTTGCGCAATAGAAGAAAATGCATATTGGTGGGGGGGGTACTAATATTTAGGTAGTGGGGGTACACAGAGCCTGTTCTGACATTTTGTCAATTTGACTATAGTCACGTTGAAGGTTAAAAACATTAAAATCGTACATCTATCAAAACAAATTATAAAAATGTTTAGCGTAAATTATCCAAATGGCAAAGTTTTGCATATCACAAAAATTGATTCTAAATTTAAAATTAATGAATTATGGAATCACCTTCATGAATTGGTAAGTCTAATAATTTAATCTTAAGCACTGTCTGAAAAATTATATTTTATACATCAGAAATTACTCCAATACTCATTAAAATTTCGTGTATATTATCCTTTATTTTTATTCTCTAATATAAAAAATGTCTTTTTTAGGGATTTGAGAAGGAAAACTATTATCTAACGCATCAAGGACGTCTTGTATATGAAGATTCTGAAATTGAAGGATATGTAACAATTAATCCCAAGTTTTTAGGTGGTAAAGGTGGATTTGGTTCTATGTTACGAGCTATTGGAGCTCAAATAGAAAAAACAACAAATCGTGAAGCATGTCGAGATTTAAGTGGACGTCGATTAAGAGATATTAATGAAGAGAAACGTCTCAAAGCATGGATAGAAAAGCAGGCAAGTCGAGATAATGAAGCTGCTGAACGGAAAAAAAGAAAATTAGAACGACTTTGTGCTGAACCTAATTATAAGTTCGAGGATAAAGATTACGAATGCGAGAGATCATTGCTTACTGAAAAAGTTGACAACGCCGTTGAAGAAGGACTAAAAATTACGAAAATGAATGATACTGTATCTGTACAAAAAGAAATATCTAAAAAAGGAGTAAAAAGAAAAACGATTTTGGATGATGATGAAGACTTTGACGATGACGACGACGACGAGGATGAAGATGATAATGATGTACATAGTTCTGATAAATCAAATAGTTCAAATAGTTCATCTCCGTCGAAAAAAATAAAAATGTCATAAGGATTTATGAAATAATTCATATTTAGTTTTGCTGGAATTCAATAAGAATAACAATTATTACAATCAACAAAAAAAACCATCCTGGAAGAAATTATTCATCAATTGTATGACTTTATTATATTAATGTATTATTAAATTGCATTTTTCTACAGTAATTAAAAATATTTTTCATGGAATATGTTGCTTACGAATTTGAAAAATGTTTTACTTTTGTTCATTATTTATTACAATTTGTTCTCCAGGTTTAAAAGCAGGCATGCCTAGATATGGACATTCTGCACAACGGAAAGCATCTCCAAGGTAGCACTAAAAATATGGGTGAAGTTTTATTGGAATATATGTGTATAATTGTATAGGAATTAATATTATAACTTTTAAGATTAAGACTTAATTCAAATACAAAATTTGAAATTAGATTTACAGATAAAATTCGATATCTGTATGAATTATTTATATAAGACTTTTTAAATGGAATTATGAATAAATACTTACATTGCCGCAAGAAGATTTTTTATTCTCTAAAGAAGCCAAACCACAGGTACAATCCTTACATGCTTTACGTTTACCACATTCTAGAAAATTGTTTAAATCATTTTATTATTTACTGTACCAGAATATAGAAAATAAATAAAATATTACCTTTCGTATCTAGTACTATATCTTTTGGTTTAATTTCATCATCAATCAAATCATCTTCTTCAATTAAATCGTCATCTACAACACTATCTATTTTCCAAGTATTACTTTTTAATTTCGACAAAGAAATACACGACCCAATCTAGAAAATCATAATAGTTTGTAATTTTTAGTAGAAATATACTTAAAGATCTTTTCATTTCTTAACAAAAAGTAACCATAAAATTATTTATAAATTGTTTAACGAATGTTAAACATCAATGTGCCTATGAGTATTCAAAAGATTATAGTTAGAACTTTCTAAATAATTACAACTTTGCAATTTAAAGAGCTAGTGATTGATGAATGATTACCTCATACTGAGGTTTGTTTGCAATCAGCTGACAAACTTCATTGCCATTATCAGTATGATCAATCAAAAGTTTGTTTATAAGTGGATTAGATGAAACATTGGGTATTATTGATGACTTTACAGAAAATCCATTAAGTTTGAATTCTAAAATTTCCTCCAACATTACATCATCTATTTTTTCTTTCTTTGAAGATGGTATAGTTGCATATAAAATAACAGAACCTCCTGGTTTCAAAATTTGTAATAAACGACTAAGTATACTTTTTTGGAATTCAAATAACAAAATCAAATCAACTTGAAGGTTATCAAATTCAGCTGGAAAAAAATTAATTTTTAGATGAATTAAGTTAAACATTTATTTCAATTAATATTAAATATGTACATTTTGTAATATCATCGAATTTTACGAATTGAATTGGTTCAGATAATTTAATCCCTTCATTGCTGATTAATTCTTCCAAAGAAGATGAATCAGCAATAGAATTAGTAATAGTTAAAATTTTGTTATGCTGTTTGATGAAAGAAAACATTACAATTCACTTTTTATCAGCAGTTTAGTTCTTAAGTATTTACTGAATAAGCAAATTTTTTAGATATACAAATAATACAACACTTTGTTAGATATAAAATTGGCACAACAAAAGGTGTTTTGAATATACTAAAGTACGTAGGTGACATGGAGAGAAGTTAGCTGCTTGATTTTTATTGGTTAAATTTGAACTCACATCCAATCTAGAAAGTTTCCAATCTAGAATTTTTTCAGCCATAGGCTGAGTTGAAATAATTATAAAATTAAAGATTTATATTCAAAATATGATATTTTAGGATGTGATATTAATAAACAATATACAATACATAGTATTGTATCACTTTTTTCAAAATATCTTTAGTAACAACATCTTTGGTAAACGTTAAATTAAATGAAGCATTTGGAGCAAATTTGAAATAATTTTTTCCCAATTCCTATTGCTAACTTCATAGCGGTAAACTTCACTCCATTTCTAATCCTTGGTTAATTGATAACCCGTATATGTACACATACCGTGTGTGATGATTCATAAGCATGTTTTATTTTATAAAAAATAGTGAATTAATTAATTTTTAATAAATCTTTTTTACATATAATATTATTTTAACACATTACTTTTTTATATTGAAATGTACACACAGACAATTAAAATGCCAGTACAAAAAGATTCAAATATTGTCAAAATAGCAGTGGAGATGACAAATCAAGTCGCACAATTAATTGAATTTAATCAAAAACAACCTTTGACGGGGATTATTCAGGTTTTTATATTGTTAATATTAGATGTAATCATTGATTTCAGAAATCACAATGACTGTAAAGACAAAACACCATTTTATTCTCAAATTATAATGATAAAAATACTTTATAAACAAACGTTTTTTTCAGGAATTATGTAATGGTTGGGGATTAACAGATCCTGAGACATACTCTTTACAGTTTTCAGAAAGCAACAACCAAAACTACATAACAGAAAAAAATAGGAATGAAGTTAAAAATGGGAGTGTATTAAGGTTGGAACATTCACCATCTAAAACAGCAGCAGACATTTTAACTAAATTAAACAACGGAACTGCTGAAGAAAAAATTCCAGCACTCAAAAAATTGAGTACTCTTAGTAATGATATCACATTTGCTCATGAATTTATTAACAAACAGGGCTTACCCTTTATTATATCACAAGTAAGTTTTTTATTATTGAATAATATTTTATTTAATGCTCTTCGAATACATTATAAATTTTTATATTCAAAGATTGAATCTGGAAAGTATAAAAACACAGCATTGGCTTATTCTCTTCAGTCTTTTGTTGAGTTGATGGACCATGGAATAGTTTCTTGGGATATTTTGGAACCTGCTTTTATTAACAAAGTTGCTAGCTACGTCAATAATCAGTCAGTTACTCAAGACTCTAATGTTATTAAAGCGTCGTTAAGTATTCTTGAAAGTATTGTATTAAATTCTTCTGGAAAATACAGTTTAGTAGAGAAAGAAGTAACTTTCCCTAATCTTGTGATGCATCTTCAAAGTTTGAGTCCACAAATACAACAAAATACTATAGCTTTAATAAACGCACTATTTCTTAAAGCTGATTTAGCTAAACGACGAGCAGTAGCTGCTACATTACAATCAAAGCAAGTAAGAAATGTTTTTCTTACAAATGTTATTCAATCCACTGGACAAGTTGGAACGGAAATGGCTCACCAACTTTACGTTCTTCAAACATTAATGTTAAGTCTTTTAGAACAACGAATGATGACAAAAATGGATCCTCAAGATCAAGATGCCCATGATAAGATCAAAGAGTTACGGAGAATCGCTTTTGATACAGAAGGGTGTCTTGGAGGAGACGTTGCCGCAAGAAAGCATGGTTTATTTGCCAAAGATTATAAGAAATTAGGATTTAAATATGATATTAATCCAGCTTTAGATTTTACTGGAACTCCGCCTGGAATGCTGGCACTTGACTGTATGATATATTTTGCAAGAAATCATACTGAACAATACACTAAGGTAGTTTTGGAGCATTCCTGTCGTGCTGATGAACATGAATGTCCATTCGGTAGAACTAGTGTTGAACTTGTGAAACTTTTATGTGAAGTTTTACGTATCGGAGAAGCTCCAAGTGAACAAGGTCAGTCTTATCATCCGATGTTCTTTACTCACGATCATCCTTTCGAAGAATTTTACTGTGTCTGTATTGTTTTATTAAATAAAACTTGGAAAGAAATGCGAGCAACAACAGAAGATTTTGTAAAAGTTTTCTCTGTAGTTCGAGAACAGATCACCCGTGCTCTTCAGAGTAAACCTACCGGTTTAGATAAATTTAAAAATAAACTTCAACAGTTGACTTATGCCACTATAACTAATCTCTGGCAACAGGAACGTACTAACCGAGAAGAATGGGAGAGTCATGCAAAACCAATTGTGGAGTTGAGAGAACAAATTACTCCAGAAATTCTTGAACTCGTTAAGCAGCAACGACTTGGATTTCTTGTTGAAGGAACTAGGTTTACTAAATATAGCGCTAGAGGCCAGGTAATTATTTCTTCCTATTCGTATAAGAAAATAAATATACAATTATTAAATTTGATTTATTTACGTAATAGAGAATCAAAGACAAATTTTGGTATGTCCGTTTATCACCCAATTACAAAGTTTTCCATTATGGAGATTGTGATGAAAAGTCAGTACCAACAATAGACGAACTTCCGATGAAACTTGCTGTGGTTGATATCAGAGGTCTTTTAGTTGGAAGAGATTGTCCTCATATGAAGGATTTACAAAGACGAAAAACTACTCATCAACTGGCTTTTTCTTTGATATTAGAATCTGTTGAAGTTTCAAACTTGGATTTTGTTGCACCCGATGAACAAGTCTTTGATTACTGGACCGATGGAATTAATGCTTTGCTTGGTAATAACATTTTTTTTGTATTCATATAACCCTTTAATTCAAAATATTATATTAAAACATTTTTACAATCAACATTTTAGGTAATAAAATGACAAGCAAAGAAACAGAACATGATTTGGAAACACTTTTATCGATGGATATTAAGCTAAGACTGCTAGATGCTGAAGGAATTGACATTCCTCAGGATCCACCACCAATTCCAGAACCACCGCCAAATTATGACTTCTGTTTTGAATTATAGAAATTTGTATCTCAATTCAACTAATACGAATTATGCAAAAAAAATATATTAAATTAATCTTATAACTACCAAAGGAATAATCTTTAGACAGTAAGTAATCAAACAGTTATCAATTATACAATATTATTAAGTCACATATTCCATAATCATTTTATTTCTACTAAAAATTTTATCACATGTGGCAATTCCATCTTTTTCAATAGTTTAAAGTTTTTTTTTTATCGGAAATAGATACAGTATTTCACCAAAGATATAAATAAGCATTTCTCATACAACAATTATGCAAGTGTTTAATGCATAGAAATGATAAATTTCAATTTTTTATAATTTTTCTAACAATTACACATACAGTGAATTTTTTTAATATTTTTACAAGATATTTAATTTTATTTAAAATTTTAAAATATAACTTGTTTAAAGTACTAAATATTATTAACAATCATTTTTATTTATAAATAATTAAATATTATAATAAATGACGATTAATTCATTATTTATAATTATTCATTTTATCAGTATTTTATATTAATCAAATTGTCTAATTAATGTAATAAATTTATATATAAATACACATGGGACTATTATTTATTATTTAATTGTGCGTATGTGAAATATTTTTGAACTTATTTGTTCAAAACTTTAATGAATAATGGCGTGAGAAATTAAAAATCCTTTATAGGAAAATTAGAGTGCAGTAGTTGGTTTTTTTTTTGTTATAAAAGTATCAGTAGTAATGATATTTATATTTAAAATTTTTTTTGTTTCAAAATGAACTGCTGATACTATTATTTAGATTGAATTATTTAGATTTTTTTTTCCAAAAAAAACTACATCATATCTTCAAAGAGAATGTGATAGTGTTGAGGATCAGTGGCATGGTGATCAGGAGGATAAAGGAAGAATTCAATAAAATTGAGCAGAGGACCACGACTAAAAGGATTTGAATATTTTCCTTTCTTATCTCTTAAATAAGAATATCTCTTGTAATTAAACATTTCGTTAGTTGTTAAATTCATGCAGGCGTGCAAGACCTAAAAAAAAAAATATTTTTTTTAAGAAACAAAATTCTTCTAATAAGTGAATATTAGAAAATTTTAATTAATTAAACTTCTGAATAAGAAAAAAAGTATCAAATTCGTGTTTGCTTACTGATGTGCATGTTAGTATCCAACCGAGTCCGCAAAAAGCAAGCGCCTCTATCAGACCCAACACGTACATCAACTGCAATCCTTCAATCGCAATGCAATAGCAAGCGAAGTAGAGCGTAAAAGAGCAATTTATTGCCACGCACATTACAAATAGAAAGAACCACATTCTGCAAGTATAGATTTTTGGTTAATGGATTAAAAAATGGTCATTGATTAATTACTATCTATCTAAATAATTATTTTAATATTTAAATAAATAATATTACTTTACCTGAATAAACCAGTCACTTACCTGTTCCTCAAGCCTACACAATTGTAAATAAAAGGACAGTGGTGATCAAAATAAGTTACACAACGATTGCAAAATCTACAGTGTTTAGCTCTGAGTGGTCTGAAACACCTACAACTATGACAAAGTCGCGATAAAATGACATTTCTTTTTTTCCATTTGTCGAAATAAGGAATCTAAAAAATAATTTTATTCACCAATCAAAAATTATACTTAGCTTTCTTTAATAAGACTGAATCACTTTGTATTATTTTTAATTTTATTATATATTGATGAATGATGATACCTGTTTAATAGCTCTGTAATACGTATCACTATTTTGAGGCACATAACCAGGATCTCTTCTATTAGCTACGATCCAGGAGATCCACATAATTATATTCCAATAAATAAAACAATAATGGCTACCACGTAGAAGGTTCCAGGTAATAGGAATACATTTTAACACATACATAGGATATCCCCAAAGGAGAACAGAGCCCATGAATAATAATAAAGGCCCTTTGCTGTTACCCGCGCCTCCAAACAGTAGTGCCCTGAGAAATTAATTTTTTCCTAATGGACTTATCAAAGATAAACAAATTTGTTTATTTTTCAAATGCTTACCAAAGCTCATTTATTGGTGGTATCCAACGAGCACGACGTTTTTGTTCACCTTCTAAAATAGCTACAATTTCTGAATGTCGATGACTCTTTGCTAATTGTAGAGGAGTCTTATTATTTTTGTCTTTTGGTCCAAGTTCAATTTTACTCTTTTCACAGAGAATTTTGACGCAATTTACGTTGCCTGAAAGACATGCTAAGTGCAAAGGAGTTGAACCGAAATAATCAGGCTTTTGGAGGTCTACTCCGCTATTCATTAAAAGCCTAATTACATCTGGATGGCCTTTATAAGCTGCCCAATGGAGTGCTGTGTCTCCATTAATATCTGTCAAATGACCTAAAGCACCAGAACCCAGAAGAAATGCGGCTGTGGCGAATTTTCCAAACATACAGGCTGTCATTAATGGTGTTAAACCTTTAAAATCTGCTGTATTTACAGCTACTCCTGCCTTCAATAATTAGTAATTCATTAATTAATTAAATAGCTTGATTGAAAAGTCCTTTTTTTTTAAAAGTTTTTTCAATTAAAATATATTTTATCCAGTGAATATTTGTTCTAAATTATTGATCGATTACTTTCTATATCTACCTTTAAAAGGATTTGTACGATTGCACTGTGACCTTTCCTGCATGCCCAATGAATTGGTTTAGGTCCTTGGGTACCAAGACAAGATAAATCTACAGGACCATTTTTCTCTATCAAATACCTCATTACCTTCAAAATAAACATTTTAATTATTTATATCATATTTTTTATTCTCTATTAATTATAACCAAATATCTGCAGTGTTACTAACTTCAACATTTCCATCTAATGCTGCCCAATGTGCTGGTGTATATCCCCATTTGTCACGCACACTTAAAATACTCAGTCCATTTTTTTCTACTAATTCCTCTACTGTTTCTATGTCCCTAAAAATGAAATAAAATATTGATTTTTTTTTCTCCTCAATACTTGATTTGGAACTATTCAGGCAAACGTATGACCAAAGCCAATGATTTTACCCAGCTCTTAATAATTCAAAAATCTTCTTTGTCTCATCAGTGGGATTCTGGCCAGGTGTTGTCTCGTCGGCGTAAATATTTTCGTCAGGACCATTTCTCTCTCGTACACCATTGCTCTTGCTCAAACCACTGTTGTGGTGAGTGCCAGGTATCGAATTGCCTGATATGTGCCCGACCATGTCGGGATCTGGACTGAGTTCCCATACAGACCGAGCTGCACCTGGCCCTGTTACAGGGCTTATTGGATACACCTAAATTGGTACATTGACACATTAAATTCAGCTACTATCATTACTTATTATCAAATATTCCACCCCTATTTATTTTTATTCATCATCATCAACAAAATAATGCTTGTTTTTATATTTTATTTTCAATTAAGCACAATATTGACATTAAAGCTATTTTTTTAATCAAAAAATTGATATTAAATTACCTTATAAAGCGTTGCCAGGTCCGTATTTTCTTTTCTAGAATCACAGACTGTTCTTGAATCGTTTGGAGATCTTGGAGAAATTGTGTTAGTTGATGGTACGGTTAGTCATAAAGAACTATTCACTCCAACCATTTTAAAAAGTATTTTTTGTCTATTGATTAACAATTCGAAATAAAGCGATTTTTTAAAAATAAATTTGTGAAAACTGTTTCAAAATTTCGAAATCAGAGTAGGTGACAATTCTTTCTAATGTCAAAATGTAGCACAGTTCAACATTTAGTTGCACTTGCGCATTCAAATCAATAATTTTATCCCAGAAACGCCTGCGTAGATGATTTACCCTTGTTCTATATTGAATGTTATAGTTATTAACCCAAAAGGGGAAAAAGTAGATCAACTGATGACATATTTTTTTTTAACAATTAACATAAAAAACTACAATTACAATAGAGAAAAAATATGCTACAATTCATCTTTTGTGATAGAAATGCATCTTTTACAAGATACATCAGGAAATGGCAAACATTATGATGATGATAATTTTTTTTTTAATTATTAAAATATTTTTCATGATAACAATTGTTTATTTGTATACAGCAAAATCTCTCAAAGATTAAATTTTAAAAAATCTGAACGGATTATCTCATTTTAATTCTCAACTGAAAATAATTTGCATGTATTTTTAATACGTATGTGTTCACACCAATTGACCTATAAACTCTATGCTGACCCAGATCATTGTTAAAAAATAAAATTTCTATTGAAATCCCAAATATTTTAACTAATTTAACATAAATATTATATGGAATAAAATTAAAATTAGAAAAATAAAATTTCAAATAAAAATAACGTTAGAGGAAATTTATTTTATAAAGTTAAAAATTGAAAATAACATAAATTATGGAAATTTAAAATCGATAAAAATAAATCCAAAAATCTTCCTTTAAGGCAATTATAATTTATTCATCATTTTTAAATATTACTGTTCACACAAATATATACATTAATATTTGATTGAATACATTTACAACATGTTCATTCGATTAAAATTTCTGCTATGAATTACTTGTAATGACGAACAATTTAACTAATTTTTTTCCAATAAATTTTATAGCGCTTTTATTGAAATTATCAAAAGTTGCGCATGTAAGCTAAGATTTCATTAAATTTATATAACGATCTTTCTTTTAGTATTGGTGTTCGTGATTATGAATTTTAATATGTGATAAGCTATTTTTTATTTTACCTATGATTAATTTAATAAAATAATTCATTTAGGTACATGAAAAATACATTTATATTATTGATATTGTATTAATTCGTATTTTATCTGGTAAAATAGCGACAATACTTTTTTTTTATTATTCATTTACTTATTCTATTATTGTTTATTTTTGTTATAATTCATTATTAAGATCATTTGAATGAACGGTTATCTATGGAATTTTTATTGTTTGCTTTTTCATACTATCAATTATTTGTGATTTAGAACAGAATGATTTTAATTAAGCTAACAATAAATATCAATAAGTTAAATATCTTTTGTATAAAATTATTATTCATTAATGAATTGATTTAATTGAATATTGATAATGGAAAATTCTTGTCTATAAAATTATATTTAACAGTCTGACAATTCGATTTAATTTGCTCACAATTATTTGGCCAAATTATTATGATAATCATAAATTATCATTATTTAACCAGTCTTTAAGTATATTATCATCAAAATACAATAACGAGTAAGGAAAATGTATTAAATAATGAATGAAAATGAGATATTGTTGGCATTGAATTTAATATTGAATTCATTATTATTTTATGGAATACTAATTGATATTAATTAAATAAATAACATTAAATAACAAAGAAAAATTTTCAAACAATTTTTATAGACATTATTATGTCTGATTAAATATTCAGGCTTTTGTTGTGAGTATTTAAATAGTTTATTGGACATAAATACTTTTTTATCATCCATTATTTGTGAATTTAAAAATTTATAAAAGACATATAAATTAAATTCACTTCTTAATTTTGAACTTGAATAAAATGAAATATTATAAGATATAATATCAAATTATTCTTTAATTTTCTATGAACAACACTATAATCACATTGAAATAAGTTGTTTAAAGTGCATGTCAGTACGAAGTAAAAATGGGTTTTTCTTTAATACAATTAACAAGAAGAACCACCAATGCATTAATATAAGTTTAATCAATGATTCAAGTCGTTGGCCTATAAATTAAAATGTCCACCAAGTGGAATGTATTTAATAAGACTAAGTATATAATCTGATGCAAAATTTATATATTATTATTCTAAATTTTCCTTTTCAAAATGATTAAGCTGATGCAAGTGATTAATGATTCAGAAGACATTAAACGCATTTCAAGTATTTCAATTAAGACAAATATGTTCGAGATGATTTGAAATTTTCATCTTTAGCTGTTGATGATGACCAAGACTCTTCTGCTAGACTCCCGTACCTCTGAACTCCTGGAAAGCGTGGTCCCGAGCTCTGGGGCGAGTAATAACCTCCATGAAGCTGATAGTAGGCGTTTCCAGGTGACTGATAGTAGTAATCTGATGCTAGAACATTGCTGTAACCCGAGTAAGATCCGTATGACGAAGAATATGATGAAGAATATCCTCGTTCGCTCAGACTTCGATAAGGCCCCGATCGTTGGGGCCGATCTTCTTGTCAGACAGGTGTGCTTACTGGTGCAGTACTTATATACTCGATATCACCAATACTTTTGACTCTTCGATGGCGTTTTCCTGTGTTACCGTTAACACTTGGTCTTGGTGGTAATTGCGGTGGTGGTGGTGAGTTACTCCTGATGCTACTCATGTACTGACATTGACTTGCTAAACTTCCAGTATCTGATGACGACGATGGTGATGCTTTTTCACTTCGTGGACGTAAACCCAATGCTCGGCTTAGTGATCCCTGTAATCAAATTGACTTTATTACTTTCCAATAAAATGTATCTTATTTTGAATACAATATTTATTTGAATCAAAATTTTTATTCAAGTATCCAATTACTTTCAAAACTAAACTTCAATATTTTTATTGATAACAATTGTTTCAATAATTACAAATATAATTTAAAAACATCATGCATCAAGATCCAGAAAATAAGCAAATATGTACAACAGTTGTACTTCTACTTGATGTTTTTGAGTTATTCAACAAGTTGTCTATGAATCAAATTGGTAAAATAAAATTTTTTATCATAGTGTTTAAAAAGTGAAATAAAATGTTGAATTAGGATTAAATGAGAGAGTAAAAATGTAATCCCATACCTGAGAACTTCTCCACGACAACTAGGAAGGATGAGATAGGTAAATTAAGAAACCGAGATCCATCCACATTGAAATCACATTTTATATTTACAATAAATGTCGCATATCATGCCACTTAAATATAATTATAATAATAAATAATAATAATAATAATAATAATAATAATAATAAATGCAATTTGTACGATTTTGCATTACTTAATCATTTCATTCTCTTGCATAATTATTATCTCATAATTCAATAACTTGGTTCATTTTGATACCAAAAGTATTATAGGATTGATCATAAATTCTTTTCTTTTAATTATTATAGAATTAATAAGTATTACTCGATATAATATTCAAGTCAGATAAAAGGTAAGTAAAATGATCTTTCATATAATCAAGTAAGAATTGTGTATAGATATTATATACAGTGTAATTAATTTTTAATTTGTCATTAAATATTCGTATTTCCTACCACTCATCAGGATATACGATTATTAAATTTCCCTACTAGGGATTACTAGCAAATATAAATTAATAATTATACTATTATTCATTTAATATTAATAAAGTTTGTTTGGAGATAATTGGTGAGGGCTCTTAAATTTGTGATAAGTATCATCGAATGCCACAAACTTGTTGTTAAATAACTATAGTGTTTTATAAATAACACAGATATGGAATCGATCAGTCTCCAATCTTACAATTAGATGAAATAATATTATATAAATGGTTAAAAATTTTTTTTAGTATTAATTAATTAATTCTCTTTTCAAGTTATCTATTTTAACTATGAAATAATAGGCCAAGACATCACTGATCGATCTAATGCTATCTAATAAATATGAATAATCAAAGACCCTCGTTGTCATTAAACTTTATTTCAAGTAACTTGTGGCTTCATAATCAGTCTTACCTCCTCGAATTTTAAAACATTTCTCTTCTATTTATTATTTATATCGTTTAAGCATTAAATCAACTATCTAAAAACTTAATTTTTTTTACTAATAATTGACTTGATTACTGAATTTTCACACTCTAAAGAAGAGCAAATTGGCCGGAATGGTGTGATCTATTGACTATAAGGTTAATCATTTATTTAGTTGGAAATAATATATATTTAAGAAAATGAAACAATGAATATACCGAACCTTTTTAAGGTAAAGAAGACTGCAGGTCTGCGACGATCCACGAGGATGCAAGGACAATGATAAATGTTAAGTTATTTAGAGCCCATAGCTCACAGCAAAGGGCGAGTCTCGTGTCAGAACAGATTTATTATGCATATAATATATGATAAAGATAAAAAATATTGACAGTTCAAGAAATGTTTCTTTTTTCCTTTGCGAATTATCACTTTCAAGCGAAAGCGCAATATATTTTCATGCTTTCAATCTTATAATAATGCATTTAATATCATGCATGATTGACGATTTTCAGATTATTTAAAGCTTTTTAGTTTTGATTGAAAGAATAAATCAACGAAAAACTATCTTATTGTGATCTTGTACTTTGGAATTAAGTTTATTTTTTTTAATGATTACTATTCTTGAAGCAAAATATTTATTAATGAATATAAAATTAATAATGATGATTGTTTATAAATAATATATAATGAAATGTTTGATTTTAATGATCATTTATTCTCAAATTAAATTAGTAATAATTTTATTATCAGTATGTTTTTTTTGTTTAGTAATTAATTTCATTTCAATATTTAATAATAAACATTTATTAATGTTACATGTTAATATGAAGTGGTTGTTTTATTATTTATTATAATATTTAAACATGTTGGAATTTTTGCATCACAAATGTTCAATGTACATGATCTTACCAATTACAATATTTTATGATATTCAAAAGAGAGCTACACTATGTTAATTAATAATATTACTAATAATAAAAAAAAGGAAAAAATAATCAATAAATGTTTTTTGCAACATAGTAACTGTTTATATCTCTACTTAAAAAAAATGTGAAAGCAAAATTATTATTATAAAATCGTCAATCATAAGTTTTCTCTTTGCAACAAAGGTAATGATGGCAACAATGATAATAGAGATGAAGATGATGATAATGATGATTTAAATTATACATCAATACTAGAATAAAATAAAATAATCGTGCAAATGAAGCATCAGGGAGGATTTATTTTACATTACCCTGAGACTGGAGCGTCGTCTATCAATAGTGTTAGAGTTGTTGTTGGTGGCCATGTGCAGAGCTGAGAGAGAACTCTGATGATGTTGGAGATGAAGGGCTCGATTACCACGACCAAGACTTCCACCAGCGCTTACAGTACTCATCGGACGACCTCCAGCTGGATTCCTCGGGACAACTTCCAGTTGGCTTCTATACACACACACATCCTCATGCTCGCTTTTCGTTTTAAATTACTACGCGGATTCATACACGTATATTTGATTTTTTTTTTTTTTTTTATAAAAAAAATCTCCGGCAATACACCGCAACACACACACGTTTTATACGAGTTGCTACCCACTGACAATTAAATTTAAACTTGTTGCAGCTTCGTTTTATCATTACCATTAAATAGAGAATATATATAATATATAACGTACAATATCTAAGTACAACATAAATATACATACACAAGCATTTTGTGCTCCAGGACAGAAAAAAAATTTGTCTATTCTTTTTTTTTACTGGGCTCTAATGATTATCAAAGTACTCTCTACTAGTGGCGCATTACTTTTAGATGATTTTTTAAAGTTAATTTATGTATTTATGTTTAAAACATTAGAGCCGAATAACATTTTTTTTTTTACTAAATAACACATTTAACAATTATATATATATATATATATATAGTGTATTTTTGACATTTGCAAACGAAAGATATCTACCATATTAATGCACAGTGATGTAATCTATGATCAGTTCAATTTGTTTGATGAATCGTTTTTATTGATAAATGCAGTTATTAATCTTCTCATAAAATATAAAAAAATTTCCCAATGATTTCAAGTTGATTTTTTTGTATCTAATGTTCGAATTAATTGAACCAATATTAAAACATAATAAGACATCAATAAATGGAATATAATTTTAAAATGAATTAACTACAAAGTTGTATTTGGAACCACAACTTGATTATTTTAGTTGATGTTTATAATTGATGTGTTTGATTGCGAACTAACTGAATAAATGAATGATGAATAAATCTGATCAAGGATAACACCACTAAACCACTAATAAAAATGAGTGCTATACATAGCGGAGTGCAGTGCAAGCAGTGGCTGTGGGCTACGGCTCAATTAAAAATTTTACCGATTAACTTGTGATCATGTGTGAATCACTTCTTCATCATTTATTAATAATGCTTTACACTAAATGATCGAGTGGACTGCAGACCAGGCTTAGTCGTTAAATAACAACGAATATATATCTAATAATCTAATAAATAAATTATTCTAAAATATCTAAACGAGCTTCAATCTATTAATATTCAATCATTAAATATCCATTTTTGCTGAATAATAAATGTTTGTATATGTACATTAATGTCAACTGTAGCTGTATCGTTTATACGTGTGTGTATTACTGGTAATGACGGGTATATCGTGTATTTTGATTATTCATTACAATTAATCAATTAATTAATTAGCCTTAAAGTTAATTCATTTTAGTACACATCAATTTATCAGATTTACTCTGAATTATTTTTTTTTTAGTATATTATGAATCATATGCTTAGTCAATTAATAAATCAAATGAGAGCACAGCCAGTTATTTATTTCAATCCAGCATCGATGTCACAGAGGCAAGAACACATCATTTTTTTCGCCACTGCAACATTGGAGTTCTCATTCATTATTAGTTTGAAAAACAAGCCTTAGACTGGGGAAGCATTCGTTTTATAAATGGAATATGGACTTGAAGATAATATGACACGTATTCCAATATTTTAAAAAATCGTGATAAATTATTTCTCGTTGACCTATTTATTACTCTGTCTATCGTCAGTGATTTGTCAACTGATTGGGATGTCGATATTAATTTTATAAATCGATCTATTCAATCGTTGGTGAATTTAACAGTATCAATTCAGTGGTCAATGCAATTTTCAACGCTTTTAAATTTTAAAAATAATTTTAAATAATTAAAAAGAATCTTTTTTTACGAAAAAAAAAATTATTTGAAAAAATATTCTCTTTCATCAAAGTAATTTGTTGAATTTTAACGAATTTTTTTTATAAAATGTCATCGAATAATAAAGTTCAATGGGAGTATGTTTGAAGATTATGTTTGGATCAAACGATATGACTTTGTAAAATTCATCGCGTATTCAAAGAGCTACTACAAATGAGCATACAGCAAAGTTTTGATCATTAAGCTTGAAAATTAAGGAAGAGAAACGTAGCGTAGCTACATCTCCATAAGTTGAAATCCAAACGGAATCCTTGCAAAGGGAGTGAGAGTCAATTCGAAGCCATAGCAAAGGGATCTTTGGTTGTTCTCTCATTGTTTTCCTACACCTACCTATGTATCGTAGACTTTACTTTGATTACGAAACCTTTCGTATCTTACCCTCTATCTTCTATTTTCCAAACCCAATCCTATTCTTAACTCTTTCTCAACACTCGAAATTCCTTTGATAAAACATCCAAGAGGTGAATTTTATAGAGTATTAAGAGAGGTTTTTTCTTTTTAAGTCGCGTTTGTTTATTTTTTTTTCCGTCAGTGCTAAATTTCGAAAGGAAATACTCCAAAAACAAATTCTCCAGCGTCATTTTTTTAGCTTTGTAACGTAAAAAATATTCTAATGTCTCAAGAAAAAAAAACTGAAACAATGATAAAATACCAATAATAAATAATCATAGGCATTGTATTAATATAAATGAATGGACCGTAAAAAAGTATCATCTTTGAATGGAGTGATTTGTTTTTGGTGTAATAAGACAAACGAGGGTCGGATGTCATGCATTAATATCCTCGTTTTTGCACGAGCTAACACTGTCAATTGTGGATTGATTGCCACTGGAACGAATGTCAAAAGTGATAGATCGAATGCCGATTAGTGTGCGTTGTCCATTGTTCCTTCTGGATGACAGTAGATTGAGTACCTTGCTGGTAGCACGAGTGCTTCTAACTCGGCTGTCAGGTGTCTTCGGATCATGTGTTTTGCTGGCGGGATCCCAAGAGCTGTTGCCATTGTGTCACCCGTAAATGAAGGCTCTAGTACTACGAGCGCCCCATGTACTCCGGAATCTTGAATTATTGACATTAGAACTCAAGTTACATTCATTATCTCGACATAAGTATAATAAATAAATACCATTCTAAATCAAGTTTAACCAATTTTCAAAATTAGTTTAATGTAAATTTGAAATTACCTTTGAGGTTATCTGCATATTCAGTTAAATCAATATTCCTAGCCCATCTAATAAACCTTTGATTGGTCCAGACTAAAGGATCTTCATCAACTTGGTCACATTGATGTCTGCGTATTGCCAATGCCTACAAAATTTATTTAACTTCATCTCAATTCTCATTTGAGTTAGTTTCAATGTCAATGAAGATTATTTTGCTAAGAGGATTAAATAAAACAAATGTTGCACATTTTAATCGGCTTAATTTATATCATACTATGCAAGAAAATAATTATGTGAATTATGTACAATTAAAATCTTTGGGTAGATTTAATGTTATTCTCAGCATCACCACAATGAACAATCTTGAGACTTTAGAAATATTAAATATATGAATGTGGTATTTACCTGTCTGTCGTACTTGAGCATCCTCAATAAATTAATGCCATGCATAATACTCGCTTGGTGAAATTTCCTCGTTACTCCAAGGAGCTTCTCCAGTTCTTTTTTTACAATTTGGTCAAGCATACGTGCGTCTACCATGTTTGTGGCGAAACTTTCAGCATATTGAGCGAGTCCTAAGTCAGGCAGCCATTCAGAACTAACCCAAGTGTGACCAAGTTGAGCGATACAAGGATAACGAACAAGACCTGGATGTCTATGCTCCTCAATTGCGAGTCTAAGCTTCTTCCTGTGAAGTGGATGTGTAATTCCTAAACCTGCTTCTAACTCAGCATCATTTAACTCTAGTAGAACCTGTTGAAAGATTGTCAGAATTTATCATATTCATCCTTTGTCTTATTATATTCTCATTATCTCTTAACCAGACTTACTCAGACTTTTTACTTAGGTTAATAGCTAAAATTAAAGTTTGGCAATAAGAATATAAGAAAGATCAGAAGTTAAAATTCTATAAAAAATTGTGATTAATTATATTCAAACTTAAGTAAAATTACATTAATTAAATCTCTTTTAATTCTTCTTCATTTTTTCAGTATGATATCAATTATGTAAAAGATTAGTTTTCTTTCTTCATACTTTTTTCAATCTAATTCTTTATAAGAATCCTAGGATAACGAGATAACGATTACTAAGTCTTTGAACATAACAAGCTATTAAAAATTGAAAAAAATCAGTAATGAATCATGTTGAAGGCATATAAAAGCTTAAAACTACAACAAATCGTATTGTGAGAGAATTTAAAGCTAGATAGTTTGTTTCACTCATTTTCATTTCTATGAATTAAAATTTTTAATAAAAAGTCTTAAGTAAATACCTTTAATGATATTAAATAAATATAAACAATTAATGCAATTATACCTTTCCAGATTTAATATTTTCAGCGCATCTTGGTCCATATTGTGGCATCCCTAAAGCAACTTCAAGCCAAGCTAAAACTGTCGGTGCTCTCCATCTTTCCATAGGAATAGCGGCAGCTTCTCTTAGCAATCGGAGCTTTTCGGCATAGCCTTCTTCCGTAAGGGGAGACCACGATCTATAGGGATCGAATCCATCGGGGCCCTCGTTTCCGGCGCTCCCACTGACGGAACTGTTTACCGCCTTCCGGTGACGCGACCGTGCGAAAACCCTTGAAATGAAATATAGAGATCATTATATCACTCTCGACCGTTTCGCACGCCCCTAGAACTCTTGTTCTTCAATAATGATAGTCTCAGAACACTTGTTTACCAATCTAAAAGCATTATCGTATACTTTTAGGTTTTAATGGAATAGCTATTTGATCAATTGCTTCCCGGCTTGAAAGATAAAAGCAAAAAATTACTTTAGGTATTAAAAAAGCAGAAGTTATTCTTTAGAAACGTACAATTGCAATGAATAAAACTTTTGTTGATAAAGTTTCTTATCAATATATTTCTTGTTCAATAAAATCTTCTGACCTTTATAATTAACGACTATTAAGGAGCTGATAAAGAAATAATTGCTGAATATTTTGATTCTTCTCTAAAAATAAATTACAATATTTTGACAGGTCTTTCTGCAATGGAAAAACGAATCTTTGGGTCTAAAAATTAAATATGATGAAATAAAAAATATTTAGTAAATTTGTTATCGTGATAATATGAAGACATTAGAAGTACATCAAGAAGAAAATGAATAGCTTTCCTAAAGCAACGTTATGCTCACTTGCCATGGAAAAGCTGAGCAGTCATGTTGAATTTAATATGGCTGAAAACTTAAACTCGAAAGAGATAACGATATTTCCAAGCCACGGATATTCTACACTTGCATCAACATAAGTAGTATGAAAACTTAAAATGACTTTTGTTGAAATGTACATTCATGATAAAATCTCAGTGCTAATAGTCTTCCTGTTAGTTGATAAATGTAAACAATGCAAACAAAGGCAATTTATTATAAACGACATAATTTACTGCATCTCCATTGTTACATCTATAATGATGCATATTATCATGACAAATTACATGTGTACTAATGTCAGACGTTATGCTCCTCACCTTGAAATGGATCCCCAGGGTCCTCCTCTAGTTGCTGAGGAACGGACGTGAGCGACAGGTGCAACGACAGGTGGAGGCTGTTTATTTCTTCTCGGCTCTGCATCCATTGGACTTGATAGTTGTTCTACAGAACGTGACATCGACGATGTATCCATGGATCTTGAGAATGCATTTAATGGAGACAATGTCGGACTACAATCCTTTGGTGTCGTTGCTGCTGTAAAGTCGAATCTTTTAGTAAAATGAAGTGACAATTTTCGCTTTTATAAAAAAAGAAAAAGAATATTAGACAAAATTATTTTATTCATTCATTTCTTGATATTCCAAATGTCTAAATTGATTAATGTACAGTTCAATAAGATGACTAAATTATAATAAAATAATTTTTTTCTCTTGATAAATTATCTCAAAGAACATAATACATATTTTCTTCCTCTTTCGAAGGAAGATTAATATGACGGGTTTTTATTAAATATTGATGCAACATAAAGAACATAGAAGATATTGATACTCTCATGTTTGAAGGATGTCATAAATCGTATTCTCACATGCTCATGCATTATAAAATACTATCTTCGATTTTTCACCAATAAATGACTTTTACTTTTCAAATGACTTTATTCAGAATTTTATTAAAATTTTTTAACGAAATTTTTATGGCAAATATGCATTCGATAATAAAATAGATAAGAATAAGGATGAATAATATGCAGCAAGTCAAGAAAAAAGATTATAATGGATAAGAATATGAAGAAAGGCAGCAAAGGATGAATGAATAAGCGAACGGACGATGACGACGATTAAACTGTACACTTACATTGGTACATGTGCGACGGGGCTACGGAAGATATCACGGAGATGCTGTCCATGTCGAGACCACTTCCCTCAACAGTAATAGTTGGTGTGCCTGCATGGAAATATAGGGAATATGAATTATAGGAAAGTGCGAGGAATGGGTTTACACTATTTTTTAAAGTCAGTTAAAATGGAAAAAGGATGAAAAAGAGAAGTGAGTGCTCTTGAATTGGTGTCCTCGTAAAAGACACCTGAGGTTAAAAGACCGGGTTATTTTCTTTTACAACATGTTCTTTATGTTACACCCTCAGTAATAAAGTATTAAACATTTCTAATGTCTAAAACTAAAGAAAAACAAAAAAAAAAAAAGCAACCATATATAAAAAAATTAAAAGCTTTTTTATCTATTCGTTTGTCTTAATTTCAACTCTTTAAATGTCATTTTAAATGTGCTGACGACTCAACTATTTCAACTTCATTGTGAAAATCCTCTTTCAACCTTTTAATCGTATTTGAAGCTCGAACAATTGAACAATTAAAAGAAATAAACTGCCACGGTTTTTTACTCGTTTAATATAAAATAAAAAATAAATAAATGACAGTAAAGGGTTTATAAAAGAGTAGAATTGCACTGTGATACGTTTTTTTTTGCGTCCAATTAATTAATCTTTTCTCTCAGTAAGGGGCTCATTGTTAAGATTAAATGCTAATACTGTTCGTTTCCTAATTAACTAACCATCAGTGGTAGAATCTGAAAGGTTTCCTCCTACACTCGTCGCTCCACCGCTTTCTCTATCACTAGATCCACGAACTCCGCTATCAGCACTGCAACTTCCTCTATCACCGGCTTGGCCAGTATTGGACACACCAGTTCCAGTGACATTGCTAACACAAAGGTCAGTCATTCCAAGAGGCGGCTGCGAGCCCAGGTGTGGCAGTAACATCGGTCCACAATTGCCAACTCCACTGTTGCTACATGCACCAGGTGTTGCTGTTCCATTAACACTTCCTCGTGGAAATGACACAAGGGATTCTTGATCGCTTAAACAGACATTTCCCACTCCACCTCGATCTGCTAGTTGACGTTGCAGCTGAAAATTACGTTTGATTATCAATGAATGTTATTCCCACTAATTAATTACCTATGGTATCATCAGAGTTATTTACAGTTTATATTTAAACATCAATTTGAATACTAATAAGTTGTTTCTATTAAAATTGATTGCTTTGAGAGGTTTCAAGTTCTTATTCATTACTTCTATTATTGTTTTGAAAGATTTGATAGCCATTATTGTAGAAGTAAACTTTCAAAATGATGGTATAATCAAGAACAGAACAAGGAGTATTTAGAGTTACTAACTTCTTTTATAGTAGCATGGGCATGTGAAAGAGCAGCTTCTTTGTCTGCTAAACTAGCGGCTAAACTCAGACTGCGGTCAGCCTCATCCCTTGCGGCTCTTAGAAGACTCCAGCGTTCTCGTTCTCGTTCTCTTTCTCGTTCATCTGTTTGTAGGCCGGCACCTTGCTGCTGAAGACGTCCCAATGTCGCTTCACTTTCCCGCATCCGCTAAAATCAAATGGTGAGAAAACCCACATCCGGGCAATCACTCCACCCCAATTGAACCAACACCAAATAGCAATAAAACGTACACAAGTTATCATGCAAACTTGTTAAACATAATTATTACTTGTTATATTATTTTTATATAATTGCTTTGTTTAAAAAACCTTCTTCTCAATCCACTAATTACTGTTTTCTGGTACAAATCAACGCTAACAAGCAAAGTTAAGTTTATTATGATTAAGGTATTTTATCGTATAACATAAATGAGATTCATTATGGAATTAAAGGTGTTAGACTGTTAGAGTAACATGAAGGTGTTCTGTTTAATCCATTTATTTCTCTCTGAACAAATATTGTAACGACGTACGAACAGTTTATCGAGAAAACTTGCTAACGAGTTTAGAGCAAGCAGGTAAAGTGTAACTGAGTCGACAACTTATCAAACTGAACTTGAATATGCACATAAATACGAAGGGTATGAAATAATGAGACTACAATGATGACAAAAAAAATTAATGATAATCTCATGATCTTGATCGTATCGATGAACAAAAAAAAGGATTTAAATACGATTTAAGAAGATAAACAGGAATAACATGGTCTTACCCTCGTCTAAATGTCACCCAGTGAATCGTTTGTATTTTCCCGAGATAAGAGAACTTGTGACGGTAAGTTAAGCCGAGGGTAGAAAGTTCTAGGGGCAAGATGGTGCTTGTCTAGAAAGGGGAAAAGAATCAAGGGGTGTCGATCGGAGGTTGTATAAAAGAACGAATCATGCGATCCCAAAGACACAGTGACACATCGACACTCCAGAAAAAGATGAAACAGTTCAGTGGAGCTTGAAAAAGTCGAGAATGAAGTAGTAGAAAATTGACGTACTTATTTTATCAAAAAAAACAAATATTATGCAATATATTTATGAAGCTAAGTAAAAGTAATATTATGGAGTTTTAACACCTGTTTTCATACCTTCACATTTAATCAACTTTTTTATTAACTTCTAGGTTTTTAATTCATCGACTAAAATCTATAGCCATATGGATAGAATAGTAGGATGGTTTGCTGACATCATGGAAATTCAAAGCACGAATGAATGAAATAAGATGCATTTGACGTTGAGGAAATTGAGAAATTCCAGTGAGATTTTAATGGAAAGTATTTCATGTAATAGCTATAAATTGAATCTATCAGTGTACCTCTATATTAATTTTTACATTAATATAAAAATTAATCTGAAGAATTATAATAAAGAGTTGAGATTAAAAGATTCATTAACGAACTCGTTTATAATTAGAAAGCCATTATTCACTGATGTTTTTTGTTTCTAAGGTAAAGTACACAGTCATGGAGAGGAAAAGTATTATGTAACTTTGATGAAAGAAAGCAAATAATTATCCATTCTTGAATAAATAAATTCCAATAATAGTTGCAAATGTACAATAAAATTAATGAAATGTAAAATATTGTTAAAGTTTTATCATATTTCAATGACATTCAAACCAACCTGTTCGTAATTTCGTATAAAATCTCGCAATTCTCGTTCTTTGTCTTCAAGAGTACTGTAAAGAGCTTTCATTTGGTTTAGTAGATCGAATTTTTCAGCCTTGAGTCGTTTTCGATCAGTCTTTAGCGCTTGGATAATCTCGCGAGAGTGCTGCAACTCCATTTCCAAAGCAACGAACCGAGCTTCTTCCTCAATTGCCGCATCTTCACCACCAACTTCGCCCCGAGCTGCTCCACTCAGTAACAGTCGCCGCAATCTTGCAACTTCCGCTACCAAACGCTCGTTTTCCAACCGAAGTCTTCTTGTGCTTGCTAATTCAACTGGTGCTCCAGCATGTAGACCAGGAAATCTTGATGCTACACATTTTATAGAGTTTGATTATTAATAAAGTTAGTAACTTATTCAATAATTTTCAAGATTCATCAATTAATAAAGAACTTTAATTTCCTAAATCAAATGCGTTTCAACAAATATTTGAGAAATGGGTTTAAATTATTCAAATATTTCTGTTAGATTAACTTTTAATTTGACATCTGCTACTATGTTTAATTGCAACATCAAATATTGAAAGTTTTTCACAGTTTTTCAATTAAGATGAAAAATTAACTTACATTTATATATAAAATTTTTAATTAGCATCCTCCCTAATTAAAAATTCAATAAACTTTACTTAACTAATTTTCATTTACGTAGATACTAGTCTGTTAAACATCAGAAAAATTTGTTTGGGTTTTTAATTATAGAATTCATAAACATACAATTATTTGTTGAAAACTTTTTAAAACTTAAAAACTTACTTTTTTAAATTCTAATTAATAAAAGACATTCAGAGAGAATTTAAAAAACAATAAATCAACTGAAACATCTGGATTCTGAATAGTTTCAGAAGAAGCATTTATTTGAGTGAGAAATCGGAAAAACTAATATTTCACTAAAGACAAACAGAAATGATAAAATATTTATAAAGCGAAAATTGATAGTGTTGCTTGTTGGAAGGAAAAGCAATCGTATAAATTCTCACATAAATTATTGAATGTCAGAGCTTTCTTACTAAGCGAACCGCTTGGTGATGTTGGTCTACTACTTGGTGCAGGCGCCGGAGGCTCGTTGTCTTCATCTGGTCGTACGTCACCATCAATTATGTCTTTACTATCTTTTTCAAGCTCGTTCGAATCCTTATTGGATCGTATAGAATCCCTATTGGTAGTAATACGAAGTCTTTCACCACTCGAACGTTCACTTCCACCACGTTGGAAGAAATTGGTGGCTCTACCAGTTCTATCAGGACTAGCACTGCCAGATCTTGAATCGATACTACCACCGGAACCACTAATTCGAGTTTTCTCTACAGCTGATGTCCAAGGTCGTCTCGTCTTTTCACTTGGACTTCGATTAGGCGAGTCATTATTCCGTTCTGAAATTGAAAAATACAATCAATAAAAATGTGAAAGATTCTATTTACTTTAACACTTTGAAACTTGAAACAAATATTTCTATTCAATTATTAGCAATAATTGAAATTCTAGTAATTATGATTTTTTAAATATACCCTAGAGTAACAATAACTTGTTCAAGGTTTTTTTTCCTTCAAAAGATGTATATGTGAGTCTTGAACAAGAATAGAAAATGTTACGATTAATTTCTCACTAATTTAACACATACTTTATTTAGCCTCGAGTTCTTGAACATTACATGAAACTTGCTCTTGATCTTTTCCTTTTCCATGAAAAAAAACTAGTTCTCATTACTGTTCATTTAATAGAGTTCACTTTTGTACTTGATTTTTTTCTACAAAAATAATCAACTCCATTCTACAACTCTTGCAAACTTTTCTCAGTACTTGAGACCTATTCATTCACTTTCCTAATGGGAAATAAAAAATAAACTCACCAATAGAAGGGCTGGTTCTGTTGCGATCAATCGGACTAGCTCGATCTTTTTTATCTACAGGACTATTTCCTTTATCAATAGGACTGACAGATTTCTCACTAGCAGAACTTCTCTTATCTACCGGACTGCTTCCAGCACTTAAGCGTTTGAGTGAATCTTCCTGAGTATTTTGTCCTTGAGTTTCTACATTGGCTTCCTGGCTTGAAGCTGGAGTTAAGTTGTTGGTTGTTGGACCACTGGTACTTGTGCTGTTTACTGTTGCATTAGTATTATTGTTACCATTGCTGGTTGGATTGTTTGAGTTACTGTTAAGCGCCAAGGCACCACGAACGTTTCTTAACTCTCCTCGGAGACTTGCACATTCCCCTCGTGCACGCTCCAGCTCCCCGTCCAAACGGGCGCCAGTTGCTGCGTTTTCTTCTACCATCACGCGAAGTTTTGCCTGCAAAATTAATTAAAGTTTTTTCATCTTCATTGTATTTATATATTTGTGTATATTCTGATTGAATTGCCCCTAGGATCGACTCACTTTGACGAGATATACATAATCGCCTGGAAAAATTAATTTGCTAGAATAATTGTTTCACACTTGATTTTATCCCAATATTCAATATAGCTGATGGATATGCATTTTAATGAAATGAATTTAGGTAAATTTTAGTGCAGATATTTTTAAAATATTTAATAGTTAATTACAATATTCCATAAAGTTAAAAAATTACGTTAAAACTTTACCAATTCTGACAATTTTTAGAAAAACCATTTTATTAATTGTTTTTATTAAAAAAAAAAACAACTAGTTCACTTTAAAAAAAAATATAAATAATCATTTTATTAATAAAAATATTTTGTTATTTTTAATTTTTTGGAAAACATTTTTCTTTTTAAAAAGAAAATAATAAAAATAAAAATCATGGTAAAATTAATAAGAATTGAGTAATGATGAAATTGAATAAACATTTTTTGCAACTGTTTATTGTCTGTCATTATTGTTGATGAAATGATTTCAAATGTCATAAAATGAAAAATTTAAGTGACATTTTGCTCAACACGGAAGCGAATCTTTACACAGAAATGGCAACTGCAAGAGTATTTGCGGTTTTCCTCGAGGGTTAATTATATCTACAGGAATAATTTTGTAGCACTACTGTAATATGCAAGTCTGTCATGCTCAGGATAGGCCTCGTTGCACTCGACTGGTGTGGACAGATGGCACAACTCGACGCAATCCGTTAGTTTATTATTTTTTATTTACCTCCCTCTATTTATTTGCACTTATATACACCACATATACTTTTTTTCCATTTCTTCCACAACATGTACCAATCATGAAAAACTTTATTAATTAAACAGAGGTCTAAATTACCGACAATTTATCTCTATCAAGTCACGTGAGAGTGGTATAATAATTGAGCATAATATTCCGTTTATTAAAGGACTCGTTACCTTCAATATTCATAGGTGATTAACCTGAGCACGTGAACAAAGGTAAAGTTGATGCTTGTTCGATAAAGGTCTCACCACTAGATTAGTTGATACAACTACATGAATATATTACCAACTGATCCACAATTTTTTTTTTTTTAGATTTATTACTTACATTTTTATACGTTATTCCTTTTTATCGAAAAATTCGCGTGATTCGAGTGTCAATGGCGCTGTACCACAAGAATTGCTGATACTCAAAGGCTTTGGAAACCGACGACGGATCTTGTTTTAGATGAGAGTCATCAAATGAGAAGCCATGCGGACATGTGGCGGGACACTATATGAAAATAGACGGAGCAGATTCGTAATGCTCTGAATTTACAGTTGGTGTATAAGGAAAAGTGTAGCATTTGACCGAGTTTTACGTCAAGATTTCATTTATGAATATATGAAAAATTTTTTTACCTCGTTGCGATCCTCTCAACGTTCCCAGAAAAGAGGTTAAATTTTTTTACGATTATTAAAAATATTTTCTTGAATATTTTTCTTTTACTTTTTTTTTCGACTTAACATTTTTAATTAATAAATGAAAGTCATTAAAAATTTTTATATTTAATTCATCAACTCATCATTCTTATTATCAACATAGATAAAATTGAATAATTTGTTATTCTCTTTCAGCTGATGTATTGAAAATTGAAGAGGCAATTATTTTTTTTTTAAATATACAAACACATACTGGATATATATGTACATTTCTATCAGCACATGATCCATTGAATTAATTTTTCCTGGTCATTCTTCCTCAATATTCGTGCGCAATAGCAGAGAATCAATTTTATAACCCTTCCTGCATGACTCACATGAACAAAAAAGGATAAAAATGACTTTAAATATCGAGAGCTTGAATGTAGTCATAGTTAAATGAAATACTATCACAAAAGAATCGTGCTACAGATGCAAGGATTTGGATTAGAGTTTAATTAAATCATCAACAGAAGACTTTGTTGCATGTAAAGTGTATGTTTCAATATCCAAGATTTCTTCATATCAAACCTTTTATATTATATAACTATTGAATTCATGGCATTGAAGCTCTTAGGAATAAAGGAAAATCAAATTCATCATATTCGATTGGATCGAAGCTCAGTAAAAGGTAAAATGGATGACATATAACTTGAAAATTATATAACTTGCATGTTAGAAAGCTTTATTTAGTTAGTGTGTTCTCATGTTTCATAGAAATTTATTAAAAAAAATTTTGTCAGTTTTAGGTATAAAAATGGCATATTTTACAATATGATACATGTGATGATAGAGAAGCTAACTAAATTGCTGTAGCTATTAATGTAATAATAATTGTGTTATGAGACTTGGAGATAATAAAATAATAATAATGTAATACTTCATCATCTGATCTCATATTTTTATCTTATTTTTTAAATGACGAAATAATGGAATAATGAATGGATAAATGGATCAAATTATACTAAACTTTGAAGCTTATATATTATTGATAAAAGATTGCAATCATGGAATGAAAAATATCATTATCTATGTTTATGGTAGTCAACTATTTCTCATTGATGGTTTATCATTATAAAAAATAACGAACTCTAGTCACGATTATAATGAAACTATCATTATGATTAAACTTGAAATATTTAAAAAATTCTAGAATAAATGGGATTACATTATTTTACTTTAGAAAAACAAATTTTATAAATTTTAAAAGAATTTATATTATAACTTTTATGCCTTAAAATGATATTTTTACCATGAAGAATATTAATATAATTTTTTTTTAATTTTAATTAAATTAAATTCTTCAATGAACACTTTGAACTTTCATAATTGCAATTATTTCTTTGTTATAAACTACAGTAGCGACAAAAAACATTTATTAAATCCGTATATCCAACCAGCTTATTATGAGCAGAAAGAATATCTTTATAAAATCACATTAAAATAGAAAAACTTGAAATAAAAAGAATCGTGCAACTGGAACGAGGTTCCGGATTGAAATTTCATGAAAAGAATAATGAAAACGAGATATTAACACCCATAGACCAGTGTTCTACTTCTGTCTGTAACTATCCAACTTATCTTTTACTTCAATATTCAAGACTACTAGCCTCTTACTAGTCTTATTTACCACAGCATTTTTTATCAGTATTTAATCGGCTTATGCGTCAGTACGTGAGGTATACAATCGCACGAACCCTTTTTTAAACAAACAGGGAGTAACTTAGACGGGGGTGGCCCGGGTGTGGACGTGGGACCACGTGAATTTGCACGCGATATTGCGCTTGAAATGTTCGGCGACTGGTACAGCATGAAATTGCTGTGGAAGTACTGGAAAGCCTGCAGGATTCTACTTCGGGTTAAGGGGGTAATAGGTGACAAGGGAGGTATAGGTCTGGTTAATCCATTAGTGGTGACGTCATGCACATGCAGAATACTAGTATATAGGATCTGTTCATATATATATATTTGCATACGTATATATGTACCCTCCTCTGTTGCATATGTAGTGACCACAATGGGGATCGACTCTGAGGTAGCTGCATGAATAGATATATCTCTATAGCTCCTACATGAAGACTATACATACAGAGTAAGAGTATAGGTTTAGCCATTGAGATCAGGTAGGACGTTAATGAACGTTGAGTATATTTGGTTTAACTTTGTTTTGTATCTTTACTCACATTAACATGCTACCACACTAGTGGATTCAATTTTTTTGCATGAACAACGAGTTTTCAAGCTATAGGATTGTTCTGTCATTGTCTTGGATTAATTAAAGTAGATTTAAGTACTGAAAAGGGAGCAAGAATATAGTTGCTAGAATAATTCTCTATTATTTTAAAGAGAATTAGATGAGATAATATTATTGAAATGAAGTGTTTTATGCTTTTCTTCAATGTGTGAATGAAAATAATACTGTCTATTTTACAAATGCATAAAATACCTTGTTCTTCTTTTATTTCAGTCATGCATATTCAAATTCTCTGAAACATATTCTCCATCATTAGTATAAGCATTTTAGAACACATTGGATTTGACTATAGGAGGTAGAAAGAGAATAGCTTGATTTCCTTGAGGAATGAGAGAATAAATTAGGTCACAGATTTGTTCTAAAGCCACCAATGATAAGCTTTCTCAAGAAGAAAATCCCACGAATTCTTTAGAAATGCTAATACAAACCATTTCCTCTATGGAAGTTGCTGGTTTGTTTGAATTTTATGTTTTTGCATATCCGTGATGGGAATTAGAGTCGAATAAGAACCTTTGGAGTTTCAAAAATTCTCGAGTTAGAAGAATGAGCTATATATATGCTAAGTTGGACTAGAGAAAATAAATATAAAATTCCTATATGATAGTTGCTATATTATATGATCCATCAAACCTACAGAAAGCATGTGGAAACAAAGATATTTCAATTTGAGGTTTTTGAACTTTCAAAGTTTCATGCTTCTCACATTTAAATGCATAAGTTTGAAATATCTCTAGGTATTGAATAAGAAAATATAAAAAAGGAATTGATTTTTTCTTTAGTTGGTGATGGTGGTAATCAATATTTTTATAGCTTCAAATAATTGTTTCAATTGGTTCTATTAAATTTCAATCACTCATTATTTTTAAGATACTTTTGTCTGTAAGATACTTGATAGTTGTTGGAGTATTTTATTTTTATTCTCATGACCTTTTTTTTACACTTTTGATATTTTTTCCTTCCTCTGCATTTACATTTTAGAAAAAACCTTACAATGTTTATGCAGTAATTTAAAAAAATAGTAAATTAGTAATAATGATGTCACTTTGGATTTAATGAGTAATTTGAAAGGGTAAAGAACTCATGTACATATGTGGCTTTATTTTTCGAACAATATTCCACACACGTGGCCCATGTCAGATGCTATAGTAGGGATGGTCGCAGGTGGTGAAGCTGTGAGGAGCCACTTAGTGGTGCTCTTTACAACTACATAGACTATGTCAGTCTGTCTTTTAACCCTTCAGCTACAAATCGGAGCCAAAAAAAAATACAAAATATCTCTATTAAAAAAAAACTAAAACTAATGACTTTGATACTTCGTCGAAACGTTTTTGGTCAATTATTAGTGTAATTTTAAATTCTTGTATTCTTCGAAATATATATTTTTTGCCTTTATTTAGAGTCAATTACTTGCATATACTTTGGCTCACGTAAAGCCCAACATAAAGTGGAAATTTTCTTCCAGATAGAAAACTTTGTTACACGCGACGTCGATGTCTGTTTCGAGCTTAAACTATATAAGCAGTAGCTACTACTGATATTAGGCATGATCTGTATTCCTACTCACGTAGCATATTCAACCTTCTCCCTATTCTCCTGCTTACAATATGCCTGACTTTATGCACGTATTCGCACGCACTCTGATCGTAATTCCAGAGAGGACAAAAATTCACGCGCTAAGATTGCTCATCAAAATGCTGATGGAAATTTTAGGTTACAGTAATAACATGGTAAAGCTATACAGTTTGGGTTATAAAAATAAATTCATACTAAAAGCAACTATTTCTTAAATGTTAAAATAATGTATGATAAAAATATGTACACGAAGGTCGTTGAATAAAAGCACAACTTAAAATTTATTAGAGCGAAAATAATAGAAAAGCTTAAGCTTTTATCCATCATACCGGAAAGACTTATCTCAAAGACAAAGATATTCCCATTTTGTGTATTTTCTTTTCTGGTCTTATTCAAAGTCTACAGGAGTCTCATTGACCTTAATATTTTATGTGCAACATTTTTTAAATGATATATATCTAAAATGAAAAATATGTAGTCAAGAAACCCTTTTCATGAATACACCTTCCCTATTATGAAAGGAAAAAGAGATAAAGTTTTACCTGTGCATCAGCAAGGATGCGCCTCATCAAGGCCAAGGTGGGGTGTGTTGAAACTCCGTCATCGCTGGCAAGCTTTTCACCCTCTGAACTCAGTCGATTCAGGCTTTTGATAACTGAAAAAAATAAATAAAAATAAGGATTCATTAAAATATTCCTCCACATTTGATCATTTAAACTTTATTTACTGAAAACCTTCACCAAGCATCACAAAGTTTTTTAAGCTTTTAGGTACAATTTAAGGCTGTATGAATTTAGTTAATGGCTCAATGAAAGTCACATGAGTCTTAATTACTACAACTCGTCACTGGTTATCGAAGTAAGAAGTACCAAGGGAACGAGGTATGTAGCTAGGGATTCAAATTTATCTACAAAAGCAAGTTGCTTTGGAGCTCAATAACCCTTTCGCTGGGAGTTAAATGATCTTGAGGGAACGAGGTGAAACTCACTAACATAGCTGTCCAAGCACGTTCAGTTCGCATTATCTTCTCTTTGCTTTTTGAACATGGACGATAATTGGATTCCCGAGTGTCTTGAAGATGCCGAAAGAGAATGCATTTCGTGATAAAGTATTATCGACAACTGACAGTTCTTTACAACCCACAAGTTAATATTTTAGCAGAGTCAATAGCCTTGTAGGAAGTTCTACATCCCAAGTCAGTGGTATTATTATGAAAAATTTCGTCTCTGAGAAATAAAGATGAAAAGCTTGCACCAAGAGAGACTTTTAAAGTTACTTCAACAGGGAAATAAAAAAGCACCAAAGTTTTTTTCATGTATGCTGAGTTGATGTGGTGTTATGGATGAGTGTAAATAAAGGGGTGTAGAGCAAACATCGATGTATCGCCTACGCGTGACTCTGACAAGATGTAAAGTTGCTAGAAATATATGGGACTAGGTCGTGGGTGGAGAAATAGCCATGACCGCAAGGGAATATGTTAGTTTAGGTTAGATCGTTTAGAATATCACAGTATATAACTGTGAAATATACCATGAAAGTCTTTCTTTATCAACAGTGAGAATAAACTAACTGAAAAGTATTCTTGATATTCTCTGTTGTACATTCAGCACCGTAATAATATACAAGCCAAGTTTTTTAACTTCCAAGTTTTGCACCAACTTTCTTGAAGGAATATTGATTTATGAAGAAATATAATAATGCATTTAGTAAAACCTAGTTACCAGGTTATAACTTGAAATAACAGATACCAAAAGAGTCTTATTTAACTTAAAAATTTTTTACATTTCAGAATTTACATTTCTTATCAACTGATACTTGCTCATAAAAAGCAATAAAATAATATTTTTAATAAACAGACCTAGTTTTTACCTTTTTTTTTTTCTTTTGCACCTCTATCAGAAAAGAATTTAATTAAGTAATTTTATAGCTGTAAAAGTGCTGTAATCTACTTTCCAAGCTAGAAGCATTTCGTGTAATTGATTCCCTTAATAACCGAGAAGGAATTTGAGTTCTCTCTAGTAATAATTATTTTCTCATAGTACAATTGAACTCACCTTCTTCATAGGGTTGAGCTCTTTTAGCAAATGCCTTAGAAAATACTCCACGTGACTTGGTAGTTTCTACACCGTTCTCAACAACCGTGCTCATTGTGATTTTTTCTTTTGCTTCAGATCAGAAAACGTGTACTTTCACCAAGAGAACCAATCTCTGGACAATCAATGGAACCATCTGCAATGTACATTTAATCTCACCATAAACGTTTGTCTTTGACAGTCTTTTGACTTTCTTCGGTATCTCTACTTTATAGCATATTGAATTTTCTTCAAGAGAATTGAGAATTGAACAACGATATTGAATTCATATATTTTATACACATCACTGGCCTTCGCTGTTTGATCGCATTCTGTATGTCGTGGAAAATGTATTCATGGATTCGTACAGTTGCCGAGACGTCTATTCATCTTTTGGGTGCTGCTATAAACGATAAAGACCGACAAGTTTATTGTACTGCATATGATATGGTGGTCTAGGGGATCTGAAACCAAACAACACCAAGCACTCGAATAGCACTGCCAACTGTTATCAATAGGACTGAAAGTTCCATGACACCTAAGGCCAGGTTTCACTTACAGAATGAATAGTTGGCTATGAAAATTATATGCTGCTTATACAGTCATTTTTCAGGTATTTTAACTACGCATTTACCTATTTCAAAGTATATTTGCAAATCCAAAGACATCAAAACTCCTACGAAAGATTCATCTGAGTGTCATTGCAATATTGAATGTCAGTGTGAAAATTGAATCGGTAACATGAGATCAAAGGATTTCGTTGGATCGCTATGTAACATCTCCAGTAATATTGATGAAAAATAGAACACCTTCCACCTCACATGTGTAACCAATGCAATTTCGCTAGCACATACTGTAATCCCTAGAGCCAAAGTGACATACCTGTTATTGTTACTCTTCATGAAAGATAGAATTTTATCTAAAGCACAGTCTTGTCACTCGTGGAATCTACACTGACTCTGCTAAATATTCACGCACGTCTTTTCAAGTTATTTGTCGCATTGGGAATAAGGGATGGAATATATTTGGTAAGTTATGGAAATAATATTCTGATACATGCTTCTAGAAATGCATCACACATGAAGTGTCTGTTGAATTTAGATTACTTTACATTATTGGAACACAAACTATTTTATTGCTATCATTCCTTCATATGAAATATTCCAATCTCTCCAACAAACAATAATATCACGAGTTTCATTAACTTTGAATTATTTTGTTTTATTTCTCGTTAATTAATGATCAGGAAATTAATTATTATAATCAAAATGCTTGAGTCCAACAAATGTTTGTTATTAAAAGCTGCCTGAAGCATATTATGTATACTGTAAAAAGAATTACGCACAACATTCACTTGAGTAATTTTCATGTTGAAAGTTATTCATTTGAAAATTATTATCTCACTGAAATGTAGATATAACCTTAAAACCAATCTTGAATTTAAATTATTGACAAACTCTTTCCTTCTATACAATAACTTGGTATGAATGTATATGTACATAAATAGTTAAGTTGAAATTTAAATTGGATGTAGCTCAATTGATATTGAAAATGTTGAGAAATTTTTTTTTTATGAACAAAAATAAAATACTTGAAATTGTTAAAGAACTGAAAAGTTTAATTTCAACAAAAATACTCCAGTTTCTTTTTTCCTTCCTCAGTCTTCTTTTTATTCTCTTCTGTAATTGACTATCATTAAAGTCGTTTAAAGGATGAAAACTTTTGAATTGTCATTTTCATTGTTTCTCATTATATGACAATTCTTTTAAATAGCACAGGCACAACTCAAAGGACAGAAATTAATGTCTCTGCAGTTTCATTTCTGGTGTACTCTAATTGAATTTTTCTCATAACTCTGATTCAACCTTCCTAACCTCTTCTTCCTTTTCTGTATCTCTATTAATTTATTTTGATTGCAATTTCATATCAACCTCAATAACTCCAGTAGGCTTAGTTTTGCAGAAGAACACTTGAGATAGCAAAAAATGCCAAAATTGAACATCCTTAGAGAGAAATAATCTTGCTTGCCTATCTGCTGCCACTCGATATTAGAAAACGTAATCTACCATGATATTTGTCGTTTAAAAAATACACAGATCAAGTTGCAGAAAATATCAGTGAGCATTCAATTGGAATAATAGCAAATTTAAAAAGTGATGTGATACCATCTATCACAATATGTCGAAGATTTTTCATGCTTCTCGTCATTTTTATAGAACGATAATCGGCTTAAGAATTGGTAAACGATCAATAGAATTACACTGAGTGCATCACAATAAAAAGGAAGAATAATATTCTGATGTTAAATTTATTGAGAATCGTTCCTTTCTCGTACAATTGGTTGATAAGAAATGTCAATAAAGAGAATATGCTAAGTCTACTAGTCCTTGGTGACAAATAGATCATTCGCCAGTCTCAACACGATTCATCACGCCCTATAGCACACAGTATTGCCTCCACGAGTCACTAACGACCTAGGGATTCGATTCTCTTGGGAATTTCCTGTCGTCCCTGTTGAAAGCCGAAATAGGTTAGCGAAGAGAAAATTTATTTCCCTTGATGGCGGCAAGAGCAGACGACAAGGTGGAGGTAGAAGAGGACGTGGAACCAATTACCTCCCAGTGCATGTCGACACTGCACACAAGAATTCCCAGCCAGTGTGGAGGAGGTGGAGGTAGTCGAGGGCAAAAGCTCGCGGGAAACGCCGGAAGAGATTCAAGAGAAGAGACGAAAGTGGGCATCCATGAATATTTACTGCGCGGTTAGGTTATCATGAAAAGACACATTTTAACGAAAAAGCTCACCAAATGACAGTGAGAAGAGGCTTTTAATTTTTCCTTCTTCTTCGTCTTAGTGGATTCTTGAAGTCGTTTATTGTTTAATTACACCTGCATTTATAAGTTTTTGCTAATTATGTGCAATATATTCAATTGTTCCTCGGGATATTAATTATTGATTATTCAGAATATCTTCCAAATGTATTCTTATAGTTCATTATAAGTTCATCTCTTTACAAACCTCTTATAATTAAGTCATTCGAGATTGTAACATTTCCTGTTTATTCATGAAAATGAAAAAAGTTCATTGAAATTTTAACAAAAAATTCACTAGTCAACTGTTTTAAACAAATCACTAAATATTCACTGATTGTCACTGAAAACCAGTATATACTCACTGATTAGTCATGACTTTCACTGATTTAGTTTAAAAGAGTAATTAGAACTTAATAAAGACCTCATTAAAAGTTTTATTTGGAAATACATAAAATATTTATTTGTAGGTTAACCCATTTTTCATAATAAACCGACAAATTAAATTTAAAAAAATTATTTACTGATTTTTAATGCGTTTCTAAGTACGTACAATGAAAAAAAGGATTTATTTATAGTTAACATTTTATGTTTATAATTAAAATTCTATGTTAATTATTAGTAAATTTTACTTCAATTAAACATGATTTTTTTCAGTGTAAAAAGTGATTACAATATTAATTAAATGGGTGACGTTATATTTAACACGTTTAGATGTATAACAAGAATGCATTTGAATTTGCAGTAATTACACTTGGTATTTATGGAAAATCAATTTTTATTGATGCTTGAAATATTATTTACATGTAATAACCAAAAAATAATTAAACAATAAAATTTTGGATAAATAAAGATTTGATTCCTTCCGAATTAATTAAATCTCATAAACAATTAATTAATTTTAAATAATGAATTTTCTTGTATACAATCTAATGAAGTTGTTAATCATCATTCTCGGTAGTCTAAGGGCAAGAAATTTTATTAAGCTAACCTACTTAAGTCGTTAATGTTAATTAAAATGTTTGTATCAGAGGGTTATTACTTATAAATAATGGAAAAATTTTAAACAACACTTCTCCATAATTCTTGTACTTTTTTAAACGAGGAGTAAAATTAAAACATAAAAGAAATTCACGAATAGAATTGTTAAATGTTGAAAATGTGATTTGAATGTTTTGTAAGAGCATTATTTTAATCGTTTAATGGATTTCATTGAATTACATAACTATTCAATTAAAGTAAATGAGGCATAACACCTGAAGAATAAATAGCTAAAAATGATAGTGATATAAACGATTGAGGCATCATACCAAAAAAAGTACAATTTATTATCCAATATATTCAGATTTGCAGTTTTGAAATAGATTTATCAGATGCAAAAAAATTGTTTAATAAAAAAAAAAATGTATAAACAAATATTTAACGAGTAAAAATTGATTTGAGTTTAAAAAGGGTACTAACTAGGAATGTAAATATTTAACATGAATTATTAAAAATAAATTCATAACTACTTTACAAACAAATTGGATATAAAATATCGCCAAGTTGATTTTTCATTAAGGAATAATATTTTAAAAATCATTTCCAAGGATAAGTTGTTTTCGTTCAATTTGATAAGAAAATTAAAAATGAAAAAGTTTGTGTGAATTTACAAGGAAAAAATTTTATAGGAATTTTTACTGGTTAATTTAGAGTCAAATTTACTAGGCAAAAAAATTAAAAGTTACTAGTTTTTTTTTTTTAGTAAAAATAACTAAAAAACTTGAGAAAAAGTATTATTCTAGTTAGTAAAAATTACTAAAAAATAGTAAAAAATCTTATGTCAGTTGATCAAAATTTTTGCACTGATAGATCTAGTATGTACCATAAATATACATGGTTTACTTACTACAAGTATAAACATGATAGGTAATACAAATTACGATCGATAAAAAAAATTACACGAAAACTGTACAATTTAGTTTTGTAACAAATAAAAAAAAACTTTGTTTGAGTTTACAATAATTCTATCTATCAGTAGTTATGAATAATAATGGAAGTAAAAAATATCCGACTTTTTGAAGGTATAAAAAATTTTCTCAGTGCCCTGCAAATCAAAGTGTGTTATTTTTGTGTTGATTCTAACACACTATAAAATGTGTAAAAAGTGTCTACAAATCATATATAGTTTGTTTATGAACATTTCACATTTAACACACTTAATGGGTGTTATTTTAACACGTTTATCAAATGTGGGGATTTGTAGTGTGTAGAAAAAAATTTATAAATTCAGAAATTTACTTTTATTCATTATTCAATATCAGAATAAGTCTCTTTTATGGATATATTATCAACCAGAATAATATTTTTCTCTAAATTTTTAACTAGAAAAAAAAAGACTAGTAA